TGATTAATTGTCATTGTAAATGTACATGTATCCACAAATTGTTAGCCTTTTGCTGTCAAAGAAACAACAGTTTCTGTTGCTCTTTTGAAAAGGTAATTTGTTGGCTTCAAAATCACATTCAAATTCTTGAGGTTTTTTTTGTCGTCGGTGAGTTAATTATGGTAATGAGGATTTTGATACACCATATACACCATAGAATGATGTGGAAGCCGATGGCAAGGTACCAGTGAAGGACAACTAAACATACACTTACAGTGTTATGGGAAGCCATACTGTTGTTTCCGTTAGCTGAACTAATACCCACTAATTGGTCGGGCCAAGGCAGGGAAGAAATGGCAACGCTTGGATAAAAAGGCATAGAGCCATAATTGATGAGTGTCTGGATAATGCAGGCGTTGCGGTTTAGATGAGTTTTAGAGATTAATGGTCCTTTATATTATTCTGCTGAAAGCTGATAGCCTTTCAAGTGCAAAAAAATACTTATTTTTGTTCAGTAAGCAAGAGAAAATGTAAGTGTCAACTAAATGGAATGCCATGTCGTCATTAAGAATTCTGTTGACCTTTTAAAATTTCTCTTGATAATTCCCCCCAAATAAATAACCCCATTACAGTTTTGCTCAGAAGTGTGCTGAGATTTAATGTTGTGTTTCAAGTTTTGGTCAGTGCCCTCATCAGTCAAACGTGGTCATTGTACCAGTCACCGCTGAGGTGATGGGATATCGTAATTTGCAGGCACAATGTTAACAGTGTTGATGTACACTGAACAGATAAGCGTAACATGCTATGTGGGAAAAGTTAAGAAAACATTCCGGCTATAAACATGTCAAAAGCAACTGACGCGTCACGAGGCATCATCTTCAATTGCATTGGCAGGGATGTATTTTGGTATCATCACAGACCTAGGGCCAAGGTAGTGTACAAATCACGCACCTGTCCGCTCCCTCTGTGGCAATTCTAAATATTTCCCAAGTTATGATAGCATAAATTTGTCAGGCCTTTACCTGTCTAATAGTCGCTCTAGAGGTATTGAAATGAGCTTTTATTTTGAAGGTAGCTATTTTGAAATATTTTGAATTACGTTTTCTTTTTTTCCCCCTCATTAATTTCTCATACCATAACCGAATGACGACTGCCATGACCTGATGTTGGCACCTTATTTAAAGCATTTTTGGACAGTTGACTGGGACAATTACCTGAAAACGTACCTACTGATTCAACCAGAAAATCCTTGCTCAAAGTGAAGATAGGACCTGGCACTAAATACCCTGTGAAATCAGTCCGCCTGAAATGGTATCAGTTGGAAGAAAACAATCACTGAGGTGATTTAAGAAAGTGTGCATTAGCAATGGAATCCAGTTACTGTGTATGAGACCCCCAAAATTTTGCACGTTATCTGTTTTCTCAAAATGTATCCTACCCATTGAGCTGAAACTTCAACAAGTTTAGTTGTTACGCACCCTTCATAATATTTTGAGCAATTTTGTTACTTCAAACAACAGAATTCACAAAAAGCAAATGATCCTATGTTCTTTATTTGGCATGTATTAACTTAAAGTTAATATGCCAAAACTCATAAATGTTGTAGAGCTTGTAGTGTGAAGTTTGTGACATAACAAACCCTGGTTTTCTTCATAACAAGCTTGACCATAGCTGACTTTTCATTCCGTTCAAGGAAATTATGTGACCAGCTGACCGGTGTCCCGATGGGCAAGGTACCAGCCATTTTTAAGGCTACATCTGTTTGCAATAAAAAACAAATCTCCGATCAGACTGGGGTCACTATTAGGTCACCTTCAAAATGTTAATAAACACTTGGTCATTTATGGGACCTTGTGAGTTATTGATCCTGTATTTTACATTACACAGTTGGCTTAACTCCTCATTAAGGTGGCTTAGCTGGTGCTGAGTAATTTCATGGTGATTTAAGGTCGGCATTTTTTTTGTAGGCTGGAAGTATTATAAAAAATTAGTCAAAGTCGCAGTGCCTTGGGATAACATGGTTACAATGTTTTAGAAATGTTCAATTTGAAAGGAAAAACTGCTATTTTATCATTTTGAAGATTTTGATGGAGATGTCCAATTTTGAATACATGTAAATAAAAAATGTATTCATGAGTGTCCTTTATTTAATCACTGTTGTATTTACTGTACTTTGTATAAAAAAACCCAACTTTTCCTTGATTGCTATTGATCGCCAGTCTTTAGGGAAAATTAAAAAAAATATATAATAATATTTCATTAAATGTATTTAAAATAAACTTTTATGAAATATTTCCCTTAAAAATGATTAATAAAAAAAAGAAGTCAAAACCCTTAGGGAGCTGAAATTGCAATAGTATGTCAATTTCACAAATGTATCCACAAAATGTAAAAAAAAAAAAACTTGTGCTTTCCTTCGGTGTGACACAATTTTCCTATCCAGTTTTCTACTGTGACCTGCATTATAAATGCACCCGGCCTACTGAGGATGTTAATGCATAATTGCCCTACCTGTACACATGCCGTTACACCCATTAGGAATGGAAATAATAATAATGTGTATTATGTGTTTTTAGTGCTAGGATGCGAGTCGCGAGGGTCGGACCGGAAATTCAGGTGTTAGCATGGCCAATGGGCCAAGGGGATACATGTGGGTTTCCTTCCTCAAATATATGCAGTAAGGCTTGCGAGCGGCGCAAAATTATTCATCAGAAGTGCTGGTGTACTTGAAGATGATGCGTGGCAGTTCGTGGGTTAAATTTATATTAAACGTTAAGAAGATTGGCTTATTTTGAGGTTTGGTTAATTTGAAAATTTTGTTGGGTCTGGGGAAATGGGAAGGATATTTGTTCACTAAAAGTGATTGGAAAAAAAATTCAATCTCCTTTTTTACAGTTTGGAAATAAATAAGGAAGAAACATGCCTCAAAATCGTGATAAATTATGAAGCTGTTCCTTGGCTATTTTTTGTTTTATACATATATTTTCAACCCACATACATCATGCAGTAGAGTATCCAACTACCGGTAGCTATGTGGTCACACCTTTTAACAGTGTGTGTGTGAAAAAACAAGATGAATCCAGGATCGTTAGGGTTAAACAAGCATCTGTTATAGACATTGCACATGGATAAAACAACTCTCCTGTAGTTAAACCATTCAAAACACCTCAAAATCTGGGTGCTGGCAAATTGGAGGGGAAACAAAATGCTGGACCTTTTAAAATCCTCCAGAATGTATTGTTACTGCACTACCACACCTTTCAATTCCTTTCGAAAGGTATTGAAAGGCAACTTACTGAATTTGCCCACAGAGTTGCTTCACCGTTGGAAACCTTTCAAAAAGTCCCAAACTATTTCACCTTTCAAAACCCTTTGGTCAGGCAAATTTAAAATGTTTTGAAAGGTCTGATAATTCTCTTTGCCAACTGCACTGGGCATAGCAGGGTTAAATCAGAAAACATTCCACTACACTAAATTGAAAAAAAAATTAAAGAAATACATTATGAAGTGATTCAAGCATTGACTAGGTCCATCTCATTAATCATTTAATGATATTCCTGTCTGCCAATTCCTGTTTGTTCATAATTAAACCCTCTCTCCTTGATCAGTCTTAATCCTGCAGAAGCTGAGAACCCCATAGCACCTGTGTCAACACAATTGACATAACGTTGCCCCTCGTTGCTCCTCGGAAAATTATAGTTAATGATTCTCCCTCCTCGCTTTGTGTGTCCTAAGGTTCATTATCTTGGGGCTGACCTTTACGCAGACGTTTCTCTATTTCTCTCCCAGGGTGTCATTTCCGCTGAACTGTGAATTATTGACATTTTGGACTGTGAACTGTTTCAAGTGCTTATATGCCTTCTAGCTGTCAAAAGTTTTTATTTTTAATTTGTCAGTAACAAAAGGGTTTTAGTAGAATGGATTTTAAAGCAAGAGATCATGTCAAAATCATGAGTCTCTTTTCAGTTGTGTGATGGAGTGATATTGTACGCTAGATTCTTGTAATCTCAAATTGGCGACAGTTGTTAATCCCTTGATGTTTCTATCAAAGCGCATTGTCCGATTTTTGTGCTATTAATAATTTAATGTTCCTGTCAAAAAAATATATTAAAAATTCAGAACTCAGCTCAAGTTGTTTGTGATTTCTGTTGCGTAATGTACACATTTGACGGATTCGCTCAATTTTTTTTATTTATTGAGAATCTCGGTTTTGCATCGTTAGTTGCTAGTTCCTACATTTAGAGAAATCTTCAATTGTACACTGAATTTTTCCCCTATTTTATGCCATATTTGAGTTGATTTTCCAATGAAAATACTGTCTTCGTCTTGCATGTAGCTGAAATTGGTCCCTTGTGTCTATTAAATACACCATCGATCGAGGAAACCGTGCTCTATGAATACACGAAAGTAAGAAATTCCAACAAGAATCTCAGCTGAATTCCTGGACCCTACATTAGAGAAAACCCTATTTTTTTTCTCCCATTTATAAGGTCCCTTTATTGTCCCCCTTCTTGTACCCCATGTCGTCACCCGAGTAGGCCACACTTCACACCCTTTGACAATGTTCCTAAGCAAACAGTAACCCTCCTGACCCCGGCATGAAAGCCAAGCCTCTTCTCTTGGGGGATATTCTCTGTCTTTCCCCCACGACCCTCTCACCCCGCTCCTGGGCAAAGTTGCATTGCGGACTCCTGCAACCGCTCAGCCCCCTGGATGATAGACAGCTCCCTGCGTTCAAATTGACAGATTGTTAAAATATGTTAATCAGGAACTATTTTTTTATGTGCCATCAGCCTGTCTTTAATCCAGACCGTAGTACAATTTCTTAGAGATATTAAGCAAAATGTTAAGCAGATTGTATAATCCTTGCTTAGCATGGTCTACGCGTGCAACATCATACACCATTCATATACATCAACATGTAGAACAATTTTCAATCTTTCCAGGGTTGTATTAAAAATACATTGCTATTATTATACATTTTAATGCATTAATTTTTTTATTGCATAATTATTTTGCAGGTTACAATCAATGACAATGGAAGTCCCTCCCAGAGCGCTGTAACTCACGTGGTCGTCCACATTCTTGACGAGAACGACAACGCGCCCAAGTTCAACGAGGGCGTCTTTGTCAGCATCAACGTACCTGGCCAGGATCGTAGCGAGGAGCGTCGTATCATCTACGGTGCTGTGGCCTCAGATAAAGACATTGGCGAGAACGCAGACCTGAGCTACTACATTCGAGAGGGTAACAACGCCGGGAAGTTCGATATCGATCCCACTACCGGTGTCGTATCGACCACCAAGTTGCTGGCGGAGGGAGACCAGTACAATCTAGTGGTGAGCAACTCGGGCAACTCAAAGAAAAGAAATCTTGTTATTTTCAGAATTTTGAAATGACCTTCCTTTCAAGCCTGACAAACTTCTGTTAGCCAAGTTCTGAACAGTCTACTGATCAGCCTTTCCCCTTGTCGCCAGGGCACTACTCACCCCATCATACTTACTTAAAAGACGGAAAAAAACCTAGAAATTCCTAGTTTTCAATTGATATTTCCCGTCTCCAATCTATCCAACAGCTGGAGGTACTCGACAACGGCCGTCCCACCCAGCAGTGGGGTAAATTCAGACTGGTCATTTTCATCACGGCACCCGTGACAGAGTCTCTCAGCCCTCCCGTCATAGTGGACGCCATGGACGGCACCGTGTCGGAGAAGGATCCCTTTGGCACATTTGTCACCAGTATTTTTGCGTATGATCCCGACGATGATGAGCTGTGGTACAGCATCAAAGGTACATTATAAAAGAAAAAATCCTTTAGGCCAAAAAAAAAAATAAGTCAGTCTCTGGTCAGCGCGCGCGTCGATTTTAATCATGCGCGTCGATCTTTTTTTTTCCAAAATGTTCCGCGGTAGCTCCAACAGCGCCCTCTATTTCCGCACCTCCTCAATTTTTTTTACCGAAGAGCACTAAGGAATGGGAAATTGCACCAAGGCAAATGATCGAAAGCACCAAGGCAAATTATGGAGGACACCAATGTACATGAGTTCACCAAAAAAGCAAAATAGTACCTACCTTGTCTGTACAATCCAAGCTTGAAGAAAAGCAAAAAAAAAGCAAAAAAAAAAAAAAAAGCCGCGTGGCCGCGTCAATTCCGGAACTTTGGTCTGACCAGAGACCGAATATTTTTTTTTTTTGGCCTTATTTGTATTCAGTTTTTTTAGCTTCCCAAGTCTGGATTTCAAGATGCATTGCGTCCACTTTGTGTGACTGTTGCTGAAACTTGTGGTCCAATGTATTTTTTTTCGTTTCCTCAATCTCTAATGCCTTCTATCTCCAAGTATGATTATGTAAAGCAAAGTACCTTCCAAACAAAGAAAAAATAGTTTGAAGTCAATTTTATTGATACTTGCATGGCACACTACACAGGTCAGGTGAAACGGGGACACAAAAAAAATGGCACACTTTTGGACCCAGATTTATGGACCGATCCATTTAGTCGTTGTTTTCATAACTTTAAATTTTGTTCCACTAAAGAATGCTTTGTTTTTATTCCGTTTAGCCGGCGACGACAACAACGATTTCTTCATGCAGCCGTCGAGCAGCGTCATCCTCATAGCGTCCAAACTGGACGCCGAAAGGCAGTCAACTTATGATCTGACCATCGGCGTCTCTGATGGGTTCCACGAAGTCACTCAGACTGTGAGTATTAGATTATTCCTCCAGATACGAGATACTACATTTGGAAAATTCAGAGAAAGTACACCTCCCCTTTCCGGTTTCAATTCATGAGCAATTGAACATTTCTTGCAATCTGGAAATCCGTGTTCTGGAAAAGTACTCTTGTAAAAAGTGCATTGAATTCCCATATTTGGGAATATTTACAAGGTTTAACACATGTATGCAAAAAAAATTGCTACAATGAGATTGCAATATGTTGTAGTGAGACTCCTAAGTTCACTTACACAGGCACCGGTACGTATCCTCAACCCTGATAGAATCATATTCTGTTCAAATAATTATGTGAAAGTGCAAGGCACCTTGCAGTTTCATTCAATTTTTTTTCAGTTACTCTGATAAGTGATGTGCAGTATAACACCCATTTATAACGAGCATTCGGCTATGACCAACATCCATTTTATAAAATTAGCACTTTATATCAGCACTTTATGGAATTACCATCACTGTGGTTTTCTGTGACTGTTACTTTTGACGTTAGTTATTGCCATAATACTTGGATGCATGGAGTGTCCCAGAAGTAGTGAAAAACCACCTCAGTTGGAGCTATTAAATTTGAATTGTCTAATACCTTAACTTGACCTGCCAACAGATTCGTGTGATGAATTATTGCCATAATACTTGGATGCATGGAGTGTCCCAGAAGTAGTGAAAAACCACCTCAGTTGGAGCTATTAAATTTGAATTGTCTAATACCTTAACTTGACCTGCCAACAGATTCGTGTGATGGTCATGAACTTCAACGACAACCCGCCACTCCTGGAGAAACTGGAATACTCCGTGGATATTTACGAGAACACGACCATCGGCACAGAGATCCTGCGCATCCGTGCCACGGACCGGGACCACTCTGACCGCCTGACCTACTCCCTGAAAGGTGCGGCGGACCAAGCCAGCATGTCCATCTTCAGAGTCCACTCCAAGACCGGGGCGCTGACCACCACAGCTCCCTTGGACCACGAGACCCGACGGCGCCACGTACTGACCGTCCAAGTCAAAGACCACAACCTGGTCACTCACCGCAACTACACCCGGGTGCTGGTCAATATCTTGGACTCCAATGACCACGCCCCTGAGTTTGGGGCGTCGGCCTACGAGGGGCGTGTCTTTGAGACGGCGGCGGTTGGTACCCAGATTACTCAGGTGCATGCATATGACAAGGACCAGGGAACCAATGCGGAGGTCACATATTCCATTGTCTCAGGTAAGCCGTTTAAGTATTTAGCTTGCTATCATTTTTCATTCCCCCTCTTGAAAAATTGAATTAAGATTAAGAAGTCCTAAAATAAGGAATGTAACAAGTGATAAGTTATGGAAACAAGATGATTAAATAAATATTGGATTAATCATTAATATTATTATTTTTTTTTTTACTAGAACAGAGAAAATATGTGTGTTTCATATCCTTTTAGTTTATGTAGGCCTAATACGAGTCGGACTAATTTTGTTACCAGTGAAGGCATTATTTTACAAGAGGAAAAAATATCAAAGTCTAAATAGATTCTGCTGAGAAACTACATAACTGTCCTATTTCATGATTTCTGTAATCTTCTGTCTCATTAAAATCATCATCATTCTTTATATTCCAACCACCCAGCGAATATTTCCAAAATAGTCCTTTGCATTATCAGCAAAAAAACTCGAAAGAATTCTATTCATTCAAACAATCCAAACTAGACCAAGGCTTTATCAAAACTCAACTGTAGGGCTCCTTTGCAGCTAGCAAGCCAGGTCATTGAACCCATCAAAAATATAATCGCACCCCTCCCTCAACATACACAGTACTCATGCAGATAGCGTACCATCTATGCCCACACAAGTGCAACCGGTTGTACGACCTGCACTGCCAACAAGTTGGAAAAGTCTCTTAACACTCAGAAAGCATTGAACCTTTTTTATAGGTTTGAATTGATATTTGCTCTACAGGCTTCACTGCATGTAGTACTTTGTGGATTAAAAGTGGGCAAGGGTGACGGATTCATTCCTGCTACCATGCATGGGTGATTTTGGAGCTTTACCCCCACTATAGAAGGTTATCTTGAAAGTTCTTGCTAGAAAGCTCGTGCAGGGTTTCAAGGAAGGAACATAGGGGTACGAGGGGTTGGGCTGAGTTCTGGGTGGTCTTGGATCTTTATTGGAGTCTCTGTACTGCATAAAACCTTTCCATGCTTGAAAAAAAAGAGCTGGACACCTTTTGACATCATTTTGGCATTTGTAGGGAAACCTCTAGCAATGGTTCTATTGTAATGAATCGGTATCGACTCACAGATTGTCCCTAATATAAAGCTAGTGTTCAGAATTTTCTATCTGATGCTGATGAAAATAAAAGTTACCATAAAAGACAACCCACTCAATGGATAGATCAGCAGTAAACAGAAAAAAACGTTGCATTGAATAGATGATTTTGGCCGTGAATATTTTTGGCTGAAAACACCACTTTTGAAAAAGATAAGACATATCGGCCAAATTGTAAAATGAAGCCAAACACCACAGATACTGACTCGAGAGAGTCATTTGTGCAATATTTGTACGATACTTCTTATTATAACTTCATATTTTGCAATACCTCGAGGCCCTACCACGGAGCGATATTTGCTACGACGACAGGCCGTGTACAAAGGCCAAGTTCAAGTTCAGAACATGGTGCGTACAAAACCAATGGGAACCACTGACGTGATACACGTCCACCACCGGAGACTCAGGGAAAGCTTGACGTTTTAACCCGTCACCCGCCCCTGCGAATAAAACAATGCCGGATCGTGTTTACACATATCTTAAGGTGTTAACAGGTTAAAAATAGAGCAAAATATTAACATGTTGATCCCCCCATGCTGATTTTTCCATTGTCTCTTATTTTTCTTTCATATTATCATCATCGTCATCATTCAGTTCTTTATCATCCATTCTTTTATTGTTGTTTTTCTCCCCCCTGGTGTTTCACATAACAGTCGACAGGCAAGACAGACCGCAAGGTTTGCTCCGTTTTACAAACTTCTCTTTCATCTCGGGCATTTTTGATGCGTGCATGCCTCTGACTCTCACACTAATGTGTCATATTTTCAGGATCATTTTTTCATCGATCATTGACAAGACAGCGATTGTGCCCTGTTTGAATAAGCGTCGAAAATAATTTTAAAAGTTGAACAAAGAAATTGACTGGAGCGAGGTTTGAACCTGCGACCTCCGGATTACCGATCAAGTGCTGTATCAACTGAGCTATCCATATCCAGCCTTATTGGTGGTTCCCCATTTGGTCAACGTCTTTGTTCAAGGGGTGCCAGTCAGAAGCCAGTATGGGCTGGATAGCTCAGTTGGTAGAGCACCGGAACGGCATTCTGGAGGTTTCGGGTTCAATCCTTGCTCAAGTCAAATTTCATTGTTCAACTTAAAAATTATTATCATGCTCCTAGTCAGTTTCCTATTGTGGTTGTTTGAAAACGAGTATTGAAAGTGCTACATACTGGGACTTTTAATGGTTGGTGTGCAGTGGGAGGTGGAGTTGGTGATAGGAGTGGTCGCAGTGGTGCTGTGGTGACTGTCTCTACCTTTCACCACTTGAGTTGGTTGGAGTTGGGTGTGGGTGTGTCAATTCTTCCTTGAGTGTGTGGGTTTTTTCTTTTTGTAATAACCCTCTTAAAACATTTCTTAACGTCTACTCGAGCTGAAACTTCATCTTTTTTTCTCTTGGCAATTAAAATGGAGATCCTTCTCTGTAATCTTTGAATTGCTTTCCATATTAACAATGCTATGAAATAAAAATAAAACATGATAAATAAAAAACACAGAAAATCCCTCTTCAAAGAAATATGAACCATTGTGTCAGGGCATGATACAGTATTTTTTTCGTAAAAGTTCAAGTCCATCAATACCTCTTATTCAGTTTATTTAATAACAGTGAATGCTTAAGAACAAATAACTTCGAAATTCCCAATGAACAGTTATAGATTGCAGTGCATATGAATGTGATAGCCAGATATATACATGTAGACTATATGTTTTTATAACATGGTAGACGACATGACTGATGTGGCAGCTCCATTTATCCACCATACAGTAGTAGTAACTAACTTCATTGTATTGAGAGTTGAATGCATTTTGCCATACCACATGTAGTTGCTTGGCATCCTAGAGACGACGGTTTGCATGTATTATGACCGAGCGGCATCATGTACTTACGCAGTTACACAGTTACATTTTATGATTATCATTGGTAACAGAAAACTGAGAAATTACACATGTTAAAACTTTTTATGATAATCTGAATTAAGTGGAATGTATATGAAAGAAGTAGTATTTCTTCTGTGGGTAAACTTCTCTGTTGCTCCTATCCTTCCATCTAAATTCTCAGTGACTCAAAAGTTTTTTGAGAGTTTGTGAGATAAACGTCTCCCTTGCACTTGTGGTAATAGATTTAAGCACACTATGAGAAACCCCAAACAGTGAAATGCACATATGTAAACCTTTTCTTGTTCTACTTAATGAGAGTGTGTTTTTCAGTCAGATGGTCACTTTCTTCTCAAAATGTCTTTATTCCCAGTCACCCTTTGCTCTTGGGCCGAAATTCTGAATGACTGTTCTCAAACTTCTGTTCGGGAATGTATCTTTTGCACTTGTTCGTGATGATTAAAAAAAGTACGTAGCTGTAATGAACTGGAAGTTAAGCATTAAAATATCTTGCGCTTTATCTTTTAGTGTCTTGTTTTTCTTTGGCAGGCAATATCGGTGAAGTCTTCAATATTGATCCAATTCTGGGCATCATCACCGTCGGAAAGGAGCTGGACCGCAAGGAAAAAGCCATCTATGACCTGATCCTCAAGGCCACGGACCGGGGTACCCCCTCCCTCAGCAGTCTCACTACCATCACCATATCCGTCACCCTGTCTAACAATGCCCCGCCCAAGTTCACTCAGGATGAGTACATGGTAGAGCTGATGGAGAATCGCCTTCCTAACGAGTTTGTGGTGGAAGTCGTCGCCATTAGTCGCTCCTCGGTCTACTACCGCATCCTGGCTGGCAACCACGCCCGGAGGTTCGACGTGAACGCCAACACAGGTGTCATCACCACAGAGGTCTCGTTGGACTTCGAGGAGCAGATGTACTATAACTTGACGATGGAGGCTACCAACATGGTCGGCCTGAGCTGCACCACTCAAGTACTGATCCACGTGCAGGATGTTAACGACAACCCGCCGTACTTCACTGCTACCATCTACAAGGGCAGCATCACCGAGTCTGCACCCTTATCCAGCGTGGTCCTGGACGCAGCCAACCAGCCTCTAGTCATCGCTGCCCTGGATGCTGACTCGGATCACAACGCTCAGCTAGTCTACGAGATTGTCGAGCCGGACGCCCAGAAATACTTCATGATTGACCCCAGCACCGGCGCCATCCGTACCCGTATGATGCTAGACCACGAAGACATCCCTCAGTTTGACTTTACCGTTCAGGTTAGGGATTCTGGAGATCCAGAGCTCTGGGCAGCCAGTCCTGCCCACGTCACCATCAACATCATAGACATCAACGACTCCCCGCCGGAGTTCACCCAAGATGTCTTTGAAGCCAGTCTCCTTCTTCCAACCTTCAGAGGTGTGAAGGTCCTGACACTCCAAGCCGTGGACTTAGACACAGTCAGCATCTCCCAGCTTGAATACTCGATCGTTACTGGCAATCACGGAAAAGAATTCAATGTGGACACTACCACCGGAGTCCTTACAGTAGCTGATGGCTCAAATATCCACGGAACCTATGAGCTAGGTGTGCGTGTGACGGACGGATTGTACTACGGCCATGCAGAGGTAATGCTTTCCTCCCTTCGTGAATCCTGAATCTTTACCTTAACCCGACTGGAAAGAGAAATGAACAACTGTCACAAAATCCTCATAAGCTTCAGGATAACTTGTCTTGAAGCAAGCCTGGATGTATATTTATGGCGTTTCTTGTTTTTGAGGTTCAAAACGTTGGTGTTTAATCATGAATTTCATCATGTTCTAGAGTAGGTACAAAAGTGACTGTGGAATCTCCTGTATCTCACACAGGCCAGCCCGATCTGCTGTGTAGTTTGGAGATGTCAAAAAAAAATAGATTGTCTTCTCTTAGAAAATAAAAACCAAACCCCCCCCCAAAAAAAAAAACCCAAAAAAGAATCACCAGGGTTGAATGCCTGGAGGGAAATACAAAACAAGGACACCCTTGTGGAATTTTTGTTCAGATCCTTTTAGCACTCTTTATAACTGCAAACTTTGTCTAGCCTTATTTGAAAAAAAGAACCATTTAATACTTAAATTATATATTTTTATACGATCCTCTTCTGCCAGGTTTCCATCAGAGCCAAGCCCCGCACTTCTTCAGAGCTGCGCTTCGCCTCCGACGACATTTACGCCGTCATCCAGGAGAACGACACCACGGTGCGAGACCTGGCCTTCCTGAACGTCCTGGGTAACGGGCTGAATGAGCCTCTGACCTACTCCATCCTCAACCCCAACGGCATGTTTGAGATCCGACCTACCTCCGGGGTGCTGAGGAATACTGGCATGGCATTTGATCGGGAGAAACAGGACCAGTACAACATTGTGGTTGAGGTAAAGAAATTAATTTTTACTCATCTTGGTCATTTTATAAATTCGGGTTTCGCTTTCTTTGAGTCTCTGTTAATCTGACATCTGTGTATGAGTCATTATATGGACATGACTTTCACATTATATTATTACAAGAAATCAACTTGGATAACAAATTCTTTAAAGGCTTCAAGGTAATATTGAATGCATCTTGTATCCTCTGTCTTGACAGGTGCAAGATATGCGCAGTCCTCCGCGCATGGCCCACGTGATCGTACACGTGGAGATTCTGGACGTCAACGATAACGTTCCGGTCTTCGTGCACCACCTGTTCAACGCCATCGTCCAAGTGGATGCCAACATTGGTGAAGTCGTCAGACAGGTAAGCATCAAGAGGAGACTCGTAGTTTAGAAGACCGCCACCACAGGGCTGGATAGCTATAGCTCAGTTGGTAGAGCACTGGAACCTTGTTCTGTAGGTTTCGGGTTCAGATCCTGATCCAGTCAATTTCCGTTCAACCTTGTATTGAGACTGGAGAGTAGAGAGATGACCTTTTTCTTTTTCTGTTTCTTAAGTATGGCTTTGGAACCACTTGAAGATGAAGCAATTTTTCCATCATGCCTATAAGTTCTTCCCCAGGAAAAAGCGAATAGAGGGAGGTGTGAACCTCTAACCACTGGATTGCTGTATCATAAATTTGTGATAAAAAAATCTCCCCACATCTCTCTTTGGTTTGATCTCGAAAGATGATCGTGTTGACTTTTATTATTTTTTGTCATTCCAGGTCACAGCGGTGGACAGGGACAAAGGTCTGAATGGTGAGGTCAAGTACACTTTGGTTGAAGGTGGTGAGGGTCACTTTGACATTGACAGCACCACGGGTACCATCGTGGTGAGAAGACCCCTCAGGACCAACTCCCAGAACAAGAACTTCACTCTCAAGATCAAGGCCAGCGACAAAGGTGAATAGTCTGTTCCGGATTTGGGCACAAGCCCCGCCCACTTTTAGCCCGTTTACCTTGCACACCGTGCTCTTGTGACCAAGTTTGACTGAGCTACCGTGGTCACCTGACAAAAACTCATAATCTAATTAATGTCAATGTAGACTGTCTGATCGACAGTCAGGAAGAATCTATTCTAACATTGTTGAAGATATTCCCCTTTGGATTGCTGTCTATTCTATCTAGTCTCAACAGTCTGAAATCAGACTGCTCAAGTTAGAAGCCAGTAAATCAAGTTCTTGGTGTTTTGAAATGGCGGCATCAGCTCCAGCTTTTGTTCAGATTGATCAATGCTCTAATTACGAATCTAGTGATAAGCTAAAGTTCAAATTTAACATGAAGCCAAAGTCAGAGATGAAACTGGGGTTTTAAAAAGTCCCCTTCTCGCTGAGTCACTTCGCTAATGTAATCATGTTTCAACCTCCTCAGGAAAACCCCGTCACAGTGCTGTCGTGGACGTCCCCATCACCGTCCAGAACAAAGCCATGCCTGTCTTCCAGGAGCAGTACTACCAAGCCTCGATCCCTGAGAACATCCAGCTGCACTCGGCTGTCATTCAGATCCAAGCCATCAGCCCTCATGGTAGGGACGTCCTGTACAGCATCAGCGGAGGCGACGAGTTCAAACAGTTTGACATCAACCCCAACACAGGTAGGTTTCTTGGAGATATTTGTGGCTAAGTCAAGCTGGTTTTGGTGGATACAATTGGCCATTTGGACGGGAATTGGCCATAGTATGTGAATTAAAGGGGGGGACAATCATTTATAAAACTGCATAGTAGTTTGGTTCCTAAACCATAACTGGGATGTGTTTGGAAGACTTAGGTGGATTGAGGAAGATAAACCCTCGCCACTATTACTTTGCATGGGATTTGATGCCCCTTGGCAGTCATAGCACACAGACTGTGTTTTTAGTGATTTCCTTGGATATTTTGGATGGTTACGGAAGATTCCTTAAGAAATTTTCTAGGGAGTTATAGTTAATTTTAATAAATTTGGAATAGAATCTGTGCTCTCAATCAAGTCATGCAACAACATGCTGATTTTGGTATGTGACTTAATACTTTTTTATTTGTTCAGGTGTGGTCAACGTGATTGGACCCATTGACTACGAGAGCCAACAGGCCTACCGACTCACCATCCAAGCCAGCGACACCCTGACTGGGGCCTTCGCCTCCGTCATGCTAGACATCACAGTCCTAGACATCAACGACATTGCTCCCAGCTTCCAACAGAAGGTGTACCAGACCACGCTGTCTGAGGCTGTATCCGTGGGCTCCACGGTGGCGCGTGTCCGAGCCACGGATATTGACTCTCCGGCAAACAGTCGTATCGAGTACCGGATCGTCACGGAAGGGGAGGTGGCAAGCTTCTTCCATCTGGATCCCGACAGCGGCCTGATCCTGACTTCCCAGGTCCTGGATTATGAGCGCTACCCGCGACACGATTTCATCGTCGTGGCTACCGACTCGGGCGTACCCATGCTGAGCAGCGAGGCGCGCATCACCGTAGAGGTCCTAGACATGAATGATAACCCACCAGCTTTCTCCCACCAACGTTACGAGTGCACGGTCAGCGAGCTGGCAGGCAGGGGCGAGTTTGTGACCGCAGTCACTGCAACCGATCCTGACATATCCGACACCGGGAAACTGACGTATTCCATCGTGTCTGGAAACGATAAGATGGCATTTGCTATCGACAGTAAAACAGGTAAGTGAGGTTTATCCTTTCTCTATCACACTTATCAAATATTTGTAAGGAACCAGTAACAAGTAACTAATATCTACAATTAGTCTAGATTGACCAACAATAACTTGGTTTAAGCAGCAACACTGATTATTTATGCCTCCTTGTGTCAATTGGCCCTCAATCTGTCTTTATGCCTTTGAGGAAGATCCTGCCAGGATCAAAACGTTGGGCCATCTAACTTCTTAAATTTTAATTTCAATTCAGTAAGTTTGTAGCAATTTAGTTTGTTTTTCATCCGCTGTTATCATTGTTAAAAATAACATGGAAGTAACCATTCTTGTTTTTCTTCCATCAGGCGTCATCAGTCTGTCCAACACCCATGAGCCAAGCCTCGCCTCCCACTACACCCTCAACGTCTCCGTCTCCGATCGCGTCTTCACCAGCTCGGCCCAGGTCCATGTCAGCCTGGCCCCGCTCAACCGCCACGCTCCCGAGTTCAGCCTGGCCGAGTACAACATTGAGTACCCCGAGAACGAGACGGCTGGGGGCGTGGTCTTCCAAGTGGTGGCCAGCGACGCGGACGAGGGACCCAACGGCCAGGTGACCTACGCCATCATTGGCCACGAGGCTAGGATGAGATTCGAGATTGACAGCCAGTCAGGTCAGTTGATTGTTCTTGGGCATTGAGAAACTAAAAATACCCTGTATCTCTGGGGGGTTTACAGATCGCAGTATTATTGTAGTCAACTAGATAGGGAATTGATGTTGGCTTAAATGTCAACAATAGGTTTGTTGGTTATTTTTTTTCCTGGTGTATGACCGCCTAACCAAACCCTTGCCTTGAAAACAGTGTTATGTAAAGAAGGCATGGAGACTTGTGGCTTTATAACAAACTTGTTTCTCTGTAACAAACCTGCATCTTTGCTTTTAGTTTAGTTGAAAACATGAAAGGAACTTTGAAAATCTTCATTGCATTGTTATATTTTGAGCTTCGAGGGTAGAAGTGGTGCATGGTGATAAATTGTTTAATCTGTTGTTGTTTATTTTGTTTCTCTAACTATTCCTTGCTGACGAGTGGTTTCTGTTGACAGTGATGCCTCTTGCCTTCCACTGGATCTTTCATATCGACAGTGATTGCTCCATATTTTTCTTGTCCGTTTTGTCCCACTGTATCCTGTCATTTTAACAATTTCTGTACGCTTTCCCAGGTTTTATATTTACAATGGTGGAATTTGAACGCGATAACGCGAAACCAATAGGTAAAAACCCTCCCACAGAAAATCATGGGATTTTATTTTTGACTCACTGCTTCGGCCTACTAACATGCGTGAAGTTTCCGCTATTAAAACTAAAATTATACTCTACTTCAATAACAAGCACAACAAAAAGAATGATATTTATTTTTGTCTGCACACTAACTTATGTTTGTCCAAGCACTAGTGTGACAACATTTTTGCACACACCGTATTTTAAGTGATAATTACGAATCCGTTCCTGAAAACATCGCGTTATTGTAAGAGTTAAAGTTGGTCAACAACTAGTCCTTCACACAGGATTAATGATAACTTTTTCTGAAATAGTTTTGAAAAAAATTTGGTAGTTTCCCCTTGTTACGTCACGTCTAAATAACCTTTATAAACCAAACGTAGTTCCATTGATGGGATGTGCTGTTTGGCTGTACTTGCTCCTCATCAAATTTTCAATTTTCGGGCATAAGTTAATCCCCAAAATTGAAAATTTTGTAATTATATTTTGATTCCAAAATATGAGATTTAATAAAGAGCGCTCCTTCAACCATTGCAAGGAACACATGCTACAATTTAGGGCCTGCACGTTTCCTGCAAGGCAGCAGTGTGCATGTACGCACAGCCACTGTTTGTACTCGTGCACTAAATAAAACGTATTTCACAACCTAAAATTTGAGAAATTACATGAAAGTGCTGAGGATGACAATATTTAAAATAGAACACCAACAACAGTAAAGTCTACTTAAGATAGTGTCATTCATGTACTTATCTTGAACTTTTCCCCCAGCGCTTGAATTGCAAAACACGTCAGTGTTTTTGAAATCAAAGTAATTTCACAGTACATTATAACTCAACTCTCACTCCAAGTTTACAAAACAGTGCCCTACTGCCAAGACTAAACACACTCAAGCAGTTTGTCTAGAGTTTGACATCCTACTACAGATGATTTGGTCTAAGACTTTCAAAAAAGCCTTTCAAAGGGTCACAATTTTACAAAATAAACACTGTGTTTATTTAACCGGATTGCATCTGGAGAGCCTGAATGTTTACATCACAGCAACTCCAAGCACTTCACTTCAACTTGATTGTCCTTTTTCGAGCATCCACAAAAGTGCTTGAGAGTTCAACAAGTGATCCATTATCATTCTGCAACCTCACCCCTACACAAAGCTATGCGTATTATAAAATATCCTTCCAATTCACTACCGGCTGTTTTTGTACACTTCGCATGTTCTGTACCGGTATGTTAGAAATGTTGTAAAGGATTATTCTACGAAAAATGTATATCGCATTGTTAGGTTATCAGATAGGATGTAGAAAAGTTCAGTTAATGTCAGACCCTGGCTGATATAACACGTTGGTTCTGTTAAAAAAAAAGGCGGGGATGTAATTTTAAATTTTTTTTCCAGATAAATTACTGTAATTCAGTCATTTTGATTCCTGTCCCAGGGGCTGAATACAAGTGCAAAATCATATTTTACTTGCAAAATTGTCTGGGAGCTTGGATAAGTTTTATGAGTTTGATCTGCGACTGAACTTTCACTGTGAGAAATCTGCAGCAATGATGACTTTATTAGAATCTGTGTTCATATTTTGTGTGTGCAGAATACAAATCTATTGTGAAGTCTTTTCATATCGTCCAGTGAAAGTCTTGTTGCTCCAGTTCACACCAGAAAATCTATCATGACGATAAATTCTATTTTGAAATATAAACACCTTATCTTTACACATGTTCTTCAGCATGATAACATGGAAGTGCAGTTACATGTCAACAGAGAAATAAAGAAATAAAAGAGAGGAATTAAATGAATAGTTAAACAGGTTATCATTGGTGCAGGATCAAGGGAACAAAACTCAAATACCCCTCAAAGTACCAAAGAGTGTTTCGAAATATGAAAAAAACCTTTGCAGAGTGACTTAAAAAGTTGTTCTGGAAATTGAAAAAAATGCTGATTTTTAGAACCAAATTAGCCTTCAAACAATATCACTAATTCTAGAATCTCTTTGCAGATATAGCCTGTAGTATTGAAGTAAAACTCTGAAAGCCACAGCTAGGCTACTCATTAGACATTAGTCTATTCAAAAAGGTTTACAGAAATGACCAATGTTCATAATGAGTGTAGTGATATGGCCAAACTTATGAAATTTACTGTTGTACCGATCCACTTAGGTGAGATTCGAACCCGGGTCAGCTTGGACCAGGAGGACCCCAAGGAGCGTACCATCACCATCCCCATCATGGCTTCGGACCCAGGCGGCAAGACCAGCTACACTAAGGTCAATGTCATCCTGACTGACAAGAACGACAACCGGCCGCAGTTCGAGAGGCAGCTGTATGAGGCTTTCATTCCAGCTGGCTTGGAGATCGGTGCCGAGATAATCAGGGTAAGATTTGCTGTTCCGATTGTTTCCTTTTTGTACTCCCAATTTTTTTGTCTGCTCATAGTCAAACATTTCGTATTGTATTTACTTCTTCTTTTTTTTACGTGTATTGTGCTAACAAAAAGCCAAGAGCCAGGCTGCAAACTAGAAAGAACGAAAAAACAAAAGAATTCATTACTGGCAAAAGATTACGGTTCATGTTTCTTTGATATCATGAAAGTTAAAGATCGACAGTCAAGAAAACTCAGGGAGAGAGATGAGGATGAGGGACAAAAACTTAACAAATATCTCACAGCACTAGCCTCCGGAACTGTAATCTTGATAAGATGTGATGAGACAGCCAAGCCAGTAGAATGCTCGAAAATTGGGCCAAGAGGAACTAGGGATGAGAGGCCTCTGGGAAACTAAATAACTAATTCTTACTAGTTCTCAAAATACTTCTTAAAAATTGTGATGGATTTTTTGCAGTTTCTGTCCGTTTGGATCATACCCACTGACTGACCGTAGTTATAGTTTATTTTTGATGTGCTGATTTTTTTCCCCTTCCTCTAAATCAATAACCAAGTCTCTTTTTTCTCCCCTTCTCCTGTCTCTAGGTTTCAGCCAATGATGCTGATCTGGGCAGCAACAGCCAACTGACGTACTACTTCGACAACGGTACGTCGGACGGCATCATTGACCAGTTTGAGATCAACACGCAGACTGGACTCCTGTCGGTCCGGCAGTCACTCCAGGGCAAAGGTGAGAAACTCCAACCTCCAATTGGTAAATGATCGGTAATCACATGAATCAAGGCATCAACTTTGTGGAACTGCATATTACACAAAGTTTGTTAAGCACAGGAGCTTTTTTGCTTAGTCCAAGCAGACTAGAAGTGAAAAATGTGAATATTTATAGCCTTAACTCAATTTATATGAATTGTTTTGTTTGTTTGTTTGCTTTCAGAGGGATTCCATTTTCAATTCTTCATGAAAGCGACCGACAGTGGTACCGTGCCACTCATTGGCCGCGTCCCAGTCAGCATTTACATCCTTGGTCCCCATGACGAGACGCCCGTCTTCGAAGGTCAGGATCAGATGCTGAACTTTGAGCTCTCTGAAGACCACGCCTTGGGAGATACCATCGCCACTTTGACAGCCCAGAGCAATCGCAGCCTGACCTACAGTCTTGTCCCAGGGACTGACCCGCGCACCAACCTCCCGGCTAAGTTCAGCATCGGCCAGGATGACGGGGTGCTAACGGTGACCAGCCAGTTGGACTATGACACCTGTAAGTGGTACAAGCTCATTGTCAAGGCTGAGATACAAGACATCCCTAAACTGGCGGCCTTCATGGAAGTCACTGTCTCGGTCCAAGACATCAACGACAACCCACCCATCTTTGACGACTCGTCCTACGAGATCCGCGTACCAGAGAACATTCCCGTGGACTCCGAAATCCTCCAGGTCCGCGCAACAGATGTTGACTCGGCCATCTTTGGACAGATCAGGTACAATCTGGCGCCCTCAGAGGAGGACGAAGACTTGGAAGCCCTGGACATGTTTGAAGTTGACCCCGAAACCGGCGTCCTCAAGACCAAAGCTGTCCTTGATCGGGAGATGTTCACCAGCTTCACCGTGATCGTGGTGGCTACCGACGGCGATACGGGCGACGCCCAGAACACAGCAGAAACCACCGTCCACATCATCCTGATGGACTTCAACGACTCCCCACCCCACTTCACCCACTCTTCCTACTCCGGCCGGGTGCTTGAGTCGGAGCCCGTGGGAACAGTGGTCACGGCGGTATTTGCCACAGACGCAGACCTTGGTTCCAACTCGGACCTGGTGTACTACATCACTGAGGGGGATCCGTTTGGTCACTTTGCCATCGAGAGCAACTCAGGACAGATCTTTGTGTCCAGGGAGCTTGATCGCGAGTTGAAGGAGACGTACAACCTGAACGTGACGGTGACTGACGGAGCCTTCATGGATGCTGCGATGGTCACTATCACTGTCCTGGATGTCAACGACAACGTGCCTTTCTGTGCACAGGTAAAATTACAGCAAATTTGCAAACTCCACGGAATCAGTCAAGTAGACATAAGTATTAGTCATAAGATGGTGTGAGAAATTGTTCTCTTTCAAAATCAACCAATAAGACATTAAAACGTCAACTGAGAAAAATTCTTTTCCAGTGTGATTTTTAAGGACTGCTATCCTTATTTTTGCTGAGCAACATCGTCCATTGTGTAAAGTCAACAGCATTGTGAAATTATCTGTTGGGTTTGATTATAATTTAGTGTAAATCTTCAGGTCATTTATCATCTTTCTCATCCCACAGACTGTCTACTCAGACGACGTGACTGAGAGCCTACCTCCGGGCACCGACATCCTCCAAGTATCTGCGTCAGACGCTGATGCTGGGGACAACGCCGTCATCACTTACACCCTGAGCGGTGATGATGCCGCACTCTTTGCCATCGATTCTTCCTCTGGTAGGTGTCTTTAGCACAGATCAATGTTTTATCAGTTAAAGATGCACACCCTGTGAAACTCGACAATTGAACAGGCAACGCATCTTGAAGCTTAGGGGTGTGTAGCCAAGTTCCTCTCTTTATGTTTCTAACTCTTCCTCCAGTGTTCAGATTTTGGGGGGGCACGGCCTGCCTTCAATGGATCCATCCTGCCTGCCAATCAAACAGTACTCATTGACAAATGAGATCATGGCTTTCAGTCAGGTGACCAAGATATCAGGTCACATGGGTCGGTTTCATGGCAACATCTGGAATGGTCCGTTGCCCAAGTTGGATGTGGTTCAGGCACCACTAATACCTCCTTTTTTTTGGGCATCTTCAGGTCAAATCAGCTCAGCTGGCCAGCTGGACTATGAGACTCAGTCCCTCTACCACTTTGAGGCCCTGGCGTCAGACGGCAGTTTCTCCTGCGCCTCTCAGATCTTTGTGGGTCTCCTGGACGAGAACGACAACCCACCTGTCTTCTCATCCAGTGTGTACAACGAGAGCGTCAGCGAGAACACTACGCTGAACACGCTGCTGACAAGGGTCCAAGCTGTCGATCCTGATACAGGTAAATGAAGGAATCAACCAAGTCAACAGCAGTGTTGTAGTTTAGTCAGTCAGTCAGTTCTTTGACTCAAGAAGGAGTGGCTTGAGACGAGCACAAATTAGTTAATCCACTGCAAATCCTCACAAATCGTCCACAAGTCATCCACTCGTCATCCAGTCTCAGTAGTCGCAAGCTGTTGAAATGAACGATGACTGTTGGGGTTGAAGATGTTAACTTTTGTTCCAGATGAGCTCAAATTAATGCAATTGAGTTTCAGAAAGTAATGCAGGTTTTTTCCCCTTAACTTCAGGTGTCAATCGTCAGTTTACCTTCTCCATCGATGATGCCGACGTTCAGAGCTTCACCATTGACCGTGCCTCGGGCATCATCACTTTGCGCCAGATCCTGGACCGAGAGAACCGTAGCATCTACAACCTGACCCTACAGGCCACGGATACCAACAACCCTTCCCTGGTATCCTACGCCCTGCTGGTCATCAACGTCCTCGATGAGAACGACAATGAGCCGCAGTTTGAGCACGACTTGTACAACGCCACCCTGTCCGAGGACGTCGCCATCGGTACGACAGTCGTGACGGTAGAGGCGTTGACCAAAGACGTCGGTCTGAATGCCTTGATCACGTATCAGATCATCAGTGGAAATGAACACGGCAAGTTTGAAGTGGATATGTACACAGGTAAGCATTGTGCAGCTTTATGCAGGATTAAAATTCATTAATATTTAACATCCATTTACTATTGAACAATGTACATTGTATCAAAAGGTTATCATAGGCTTACTTTAAGCTTGAAAAAAAAAAGAACTCACCAAATTTACAGATAAAACAGTATTCAATGCTTGAGTTTTTGAAAAACATTTTTAGAACTGTCCCCACAACACAAGAGGGGCTTAACTTGGAAAACAAAGACTCTCAATTCTTGAGTTTATGGAAAACATTGTTTAGAAATGTTCCCACAGCACAAGAGGGGTTTTACTTGCAAAACAAAGACTCTCTGGCATCATAACTGTGTAGGTCTCTAAGCTACAGTGTAAGAATCCATTTAAGCGATGGAAGCTTGCCAGTGCACAGGCATAGCAAGGGAACACACTTGGATGTACCAAATCTTTCACCAATTTATTAAAAGAATTTTATCCCAGTTTAGACAACAAAAATTTGCAACTAATTTTACAGCATATCAGCAACCCACATTTAATTTGTTCACTGTTTCTAGGTCAAGTCTTGGTAGCCGACACGCTGGACTTTGAGATGTCCAGCAGTTACTACTTGACCATCAAGGCTACGGACAGCGGGCTGCGTCCGCTATCCGACACCACCATGGTCAGTGTCTACATCACAGACGCCAACGACAACGTGCCACAGTTCAGTCAGGTCATCTACTACAGCGAGATTAACGAAGCGGCCAGGGTGGAAGATAGCATAGTGCAGGTAAAGGCCTACTTACACATACACGACTTCGTCGTGCGACATTGTCGCACGTTTTTATAAATGCGCACAAATAATGAGGGTTGTTTACATTTAATAATAATAATAATAAAGCATTTGTAAGGCGCACAGTATCTGACAATAATAGTCATGACAAAGTCGTGCGACTTTTCGGAAAAATTTTTATAATAAAATTCAAGGTGATTTTATCGCGCGATACAAAACGTCGCATATGTATTTCACCTGGAACCTTTGCCTGAACTGAATTTTTCCCTTGATTTTCAAAATCGCGCCACAAATCACGTATTTGTGGAAACGTGCATCTGGACATTGCTGTGCGACAAAGTCACACATACATAAATAGGCCCTAAGATTTACAGAGAAAACAAAATTGAAAGTATGTCTCACAAGATTAGGCAGAGGGTCTGCAATTTAAGGTTAGTTGGACTTTGAAACACGGATTTGTTGGTAATTTCTCAGCAGTAGCTGTGCAGGTTGGGAGTGCCTCTATAGCTGGGCTGCGATTTAGAGAAGTTTGGATCATTGCATTCAGACCTGACTTGTTTCTGTCTACAGTTTCTCTGTGGGCCTCCACAGGTCCATGTTATCTAGTTAGTTTGGTCATGTGTTGCTAGGGGCTGTGTCTCAACTTCCAGTTTTATATTTGTCAAAAATTTACATGTTGTGTCGTGACCTGGTAAATTCTAGTCTACTTTGTAGATTGAAAGATTGTAGAAAATTATTGTTTTAAAAAGGAGTAAATGGCCAGAACATATTTGTCAAAATGCCGTTGTAACTATCAAAAACCCTCTCTGTGCAGGTTTTGGCCACTGATGCAGACAGCGGTGCGTACGGTGAGGTGACGTACTCCATCCTGCGTGGGGATCTCTTCTCTCAGTTCACCATCGACGAGAGGAACGGCCTGATCAGTGTGGCTGCGGAGCTGGATAGGGAACAGGTCAGAGATTGCGTTTAAAAAATAAGTCACTTTTTAGCAGTGTTTAAGACAATGACTATGTGGAGAATAAGAAATCAGTTTTGACACCGAGATTTCATGAAATGTTGATTATGGCTCCTACTGTTATTTCAGATTTTAATCTGCCAACTGACCCTGGAAAGCCTGCGGTTAATTCTGCAGGTTGGGGGTTCGAGTCCAGCCTGGGGTTATGGTGCCTGTATCCTCGAGCAAAGCACTTTGTCACTCATTGCTTCTCCCCACCCAGGAGTAAATGGGTACCTGTGAGGGCAGAGATGGTTATTGTGATTGATTTTAGCTGCTTTGCACCGAAATGACAGCATAAAGCTGTATGCTCCCCAGGAAGCTGAGATTGTCCTTGGAATGTTTTATTGGCCATGGGTAAAAGTAATTTAAAGCGCTTTGATCTTATAAGTGTCCTTTATTTTAATGATATATAATTCTTTGCACCTATGTCTCTCTTCTGCAGACTTCCTCGTATTCCCTGATCATCCGTGCCAGAGATGGAGGAGACCCAGCCCAGTTTGATGACGTCTCCGTTCAAGTCTCAGTCGGAGATATCAACGACAACCCACCGAGGTTCCAGCGCTCTAACTACACCTTCTATAAGAGGGTAAGAATGCCATTCCAGATTTCTTGGGAAGGTTGTCAAAAGCCGCAGAAAAGAAGTCAAAGTAGTTCAGACCTTTTGACTAATTTATCGTGTTGAAATAAACAATTTAACCTGAAGTCAGAGTTCTAATTCATTGTTTCCCCGGCTTGATTGTTACCAGGAGGACTTGCCTGTCAACAGTAAGCTGTTTCAGTTGAATGTGACAGATCCTGACTCTCCAGTCAACGGCCCGCCGTTCACCTTCACCATCATCAGGGGCAATGAGGACAACGACTTCAACATTGATGCCGACGGAGTCCTGATCAACCGCTTCCCTTTCAACCGGGAGATGAAGGACGATTACCAGCTGACTGTCCAGGTGACGGACAATGGCAAACCGCCCTTGTCTTCCGTCGCCCATGTCAGGTTGGAGATCATCGAGCCTACCAATCCGCCGATTGTCAAGTCGCCGGTCAAGATCACCATCAACTCCTACGAGGATGACTTCCCAGGCGGAGTCATCGGATGGGTAGATGCCGTGGACGCGGACCCAGATGATGTCCTACGGTTCGAGCTTGCCAACAACATGGGTAACGCCTTCCGGGTGGATCCGGAGACCGGTAGCATTCTGGCCCAGCCCGACTTGGATGAAGGCTTCTATCAGCTCAATATCAGCGTCAGTGATGGTCAGTTTATGTCCTACTGTGACGTCCAGGTGACTGTGGATCCTGTGACAACGGAGATGTTGAACAATGGGGTGACTATCCGCTTCCAGGACCTTACCCCTGAGAAGTTCCTCTACTTGCACTTTAGTGTCTTCAAGCACATCATCAGTAACATCTTGAAATCAGCTGACTCGGATGATGTCCAAATCATCAGCATCCAGCAATCCGAGCTGGCAGCTGTAAACACGGAGGTCCTGTTTGCAGTCCAGAAGTCGGACCGTCGAGGAGTAACCTACTTCAAGCCCAAGTCCCTGGAGCGACAGATCAACGGAAGCGTGTCCAGCTTCCAGCAGCGTATGGGTGTCACGGTCCAAGCCATTGTGGCTGATGTCTGTCTGGACAAGGTCTGCGACAAACAGCGACGCTGCGAGTCACACGTGACCTTTGACCAAGCCAGAGTGACCACCATAGACGATGGGGAAAACAGTGGCTTTGTGTCGGCCAGGCACAGCAGAGAACCTATCTGTGTCTGCAAAGAGCGTGGTAAGATTTGCATAAAAAAATTTTCCCTGGAGCATAGAGACTGCAGAATAATAGCTGATGCCTCACTGACAGATCAAAGAAACTTAGGTTACCTATATTCTCTTTCAATTTTTTTATCCTAAAAACCTGGGGTTCTCTGTAATTTGGTTAAATGTGCACAAGCAGGGATGTTATGGATTCAGAATTATAGTTTAATGAATTAAATTGGGAAAAAAATAACTCTCCTGTGCCAGTTATAAATGTAGCTCTCCCTAGTTTTGATTTTTAAGAATCTTGTTGCGAGTTGCCCAACTCATGATCTCTCCCTTCGTCTTCATCTTGACAGTCGAGGGCTGTAGCGACCTACCCACTGCCGAGCCCCCTCGCCCCCAGACACCCACCACTGACCCATGCTCCAGCGACCCCTGTCCAGACTACATGTCCTGCCAGGGTAACGGTGACTCCTACACCTGTGTCTGTGCCGACAACAGCCTGAGCTGCGGCGGAGGGGATCCCAGCCTGCGTCCCATGAGCTTCACTGGTAGCAGCTACATGCGCTATGACTTACTGGATGTGTCTAGTCTGTCAGTCAGGGTAGCCGTAGCCATTCACACCGTGGAATCTAATGGTGTCATCATGCATGGGGAAGGAGATGATTACAGCACGCTGGAGGTAAGACCAAGTACTTGGCTGTGGTGGGCATTTACTAGTGTTGTTTTGGAGTACTTTGCCATGATTACGAGTGTGAGTACCCAAAAATTTACTCAAGTACGAGTACCACAACACTGCCAGCAATAGCCAAGTAATTTGGGCATGGCTTTTTGTTACCATGATTTTGGTTTTTTTCCAAGTTATATTTTGTCTGTAACAAAAGGAGAAATTGAATGAAGTTACTTGATTCTTCCAGTTTATGCGATCATGTAAATTTTTTTTCATCAAACTGCTTTTGGGGTTTGTACAGAGATATAAGCAGCATTTTTTTTTTTTTATACCATTTCCAGATTGTGGATGGCTATGTTCAGTATACATTCGACTGCGGAAGCGGCCCAGCAAATATTCCTCTGACAAGAAAACGCGTGGATGATGGCAATTGGCATGAGGTATCCATCAGCCACCACGGAAACGTTGCAACGGTTACCCTGGACCGGTCAGTCTCGGCAACTGGGAGTGCGGCCGGTGACAAGCGTGCCCTCAACCTCAACAAGATGGTCTTTGGTGCAAGGGTGACCGACCAGGTCCGTGCTCGAAGGGAAACGGTCTCGGATGGGTTTGTCGGGTGCATGGGCGACATGAATGTCGACGGGCTGAGACTGGAGCGGACCGGGGACGGCATCACGCCCAGCGGTATCGGCGAGTGCCCAGCCAAGGTCCTGAAAGCCTGCGCTGGCAATCCGTGCGAGCACGAAGGTACTTGCATCGATTATGGTTACAGCTTTGTCTGTGACTGCCGCCCAGGTTGGAACGGCAACAGATGCCAGTATCCCTTCACGCCTTGCAACCCAGACCCCTGTGCGAACGGCGGGACTTGTTACAGTACCGGCAATGACTTCCAGTGCGACTGCAAGGAGCCTTACGCGGGACGCAACTGCAATGAGGTGCTCTGCCCTGTCGAGGTTTGCCTCAACGGCGGCTTCTGTAAGCTCGGTAGCATGACTTGCAACTGCACAGGCACCGGTTACGGCGACACCTACTGCCAGATGGAGCTGACTCACTGCAGTCAGAACCCCTGCCGATACGGTGAACACTGTGAGCAGCTGTCGGAGTCCTACAAATGCTGCAGTCCATCCTCACCAGATGAAGTCTGTCGCAATCTTAACCTGGATGCTGTCCCCAATATCACAGCTGGTCCCTTCGCCATCGGCATGGTAGAGATTATCGGTATCGTTGTAGCAGCCGTTATCGCCATCTTCCTGGTCCTGTTCTTCGCTCTCTTCATGCGTCGACGTCGCAAGAGGCGCCAGTCGCACCACATCCGTGCAAACGCTAACAGTTATGTCATGGATACCTTCAAGCGAGACAGCAAAGGATCAGACTATGGGTACCCTCCGGCAAGCCCGCCTAGCCCCACACCACCCCCTCTGCCAAACCGGCCCGCGTCATACACCCCAAGCAACCACAACTCACTCAATAATTTGGAGGCAGACAGGTATGATCAACTTCAGTTAGTTAAACTGCTGCACAGATGTTGGATTCTTTGACAAGTTTTAAATAACTTATCAGACAAAATTTACTCTTTTACAATTTTTTGGTAGCCATAAAGGTTGGTATCTTTAACTTACAGTCCACAATATTGAAAGAGCTCCTTTCTTTCCCATTTCAACCTGGAAAATAGTATGTTTATAAACTTCAAATATATTTCAATAATCATACCTAGTAGTTGGGGGGGGGGGGTCTGAAAACCAAAGTTTGTGTCAGAAGGGTTTGATTTGATCAAAGATTGGAGTCTTGAAAGACGGTTCCACCTGTCACATCAATCCATTAAAATCAATTCCACCTGTAACATCAATCAATTAACCCATCGCTCCCCCTTTCTCCATTAAGGTACGGCTATGATGATTCCCAAGCCTACCACGGCCAGCCCATCAGCCAGCAGCCATCCCTGCCTCCCCTGCCTTCCAACTCGGCTTCTGACAGTGACTCCATTGCCAAGCCTGCCTGGGAGTTTGATGCGCCCAGCGCCCACGAGAGCTACGTCGATGGTAGGTTTTGTATAATATATTTAAAATCTGCAGTCCAGTTGCACATTTCTGTATTCCTGTGTCATTTGTTGTGAATTTTTTTTGACTGGCGCAGACTGACCCCAGCTCATACCACAAAGGACTGCGCATTTGAGAGTCTTCCAAATTTTTTCCTGTTACACGTAAATAAATTGTCTGCCATTTCTTAAATTGTCTCAATTACTTTCCGTCATGTCTGCATGTAAATGCCGACAAGATACAAGACAATGCAGACAGTCTCCAAGACAGGGTTTTGTATTCTCTCGACCTGACCTGATCTCTTACAGCCCCAACCCAATTATTCCTTCCATTTCCAGGGCGTGACAGCACCACCAACGCCCCCATCACTGCCAATCGTCCCCTTCAGCACTCCCACCCCTGCATCCTGCCCCCAGCCAGGGACGGTCACATGCCGCTGGAACCCCCAGCCTACGATGAGTTCAGCCACGCTGAGGTGACGTCCATGAGCTCCATCAATACAGAGAACGACGATGACGCATTACCAGGTAAGATAATCCCAACAACCAAACAAAAACAAATTTTAATAAAACCACTTTTTTGGCTAATTCTTCTGATAGTTGTGTAGATTTTTATGTTGAGGGATGAGGTTTAGATGGTTAATTCAATTTAAATCGCTACTGTAATGAGCATCTTTTGACCCATTGTAAAAAAGTCAGTTTTTTTTAGAATACAATTTTTTAGGTTCACAGTTGATATATAGCAATGTAAAGGGCATGCATTGTTCCACAGATGATGTTCATTATGGCCATGTCTTTGATAAAGCACTAGTCGACATACAGAAAAGCTACGTTTCAGAAGGAAGTTCATGATTTACTTGGCAATCTGTTTCAAAAGTTTGCGCTGACACCATTAGGCTTTCGCCAAACTTTACATAGTCAGTAGAACACAAACTCTCCTCAAGAGCTTTGCTTTGGTAGCAGTGCTAGGTGGCCACGCACTTTCGCCTTTTAACAACAAAACTTTGGCTTTTCTTCTATAACATATTCTGTCCTACTTTCTGGTTTTCATTTTTAAAAAAAATATCTTACTTTTTCCTCAGATTTGCATAGAACTACAGCCTTACGCTAGCTTTTAGTAGACACATGCTAGACTTTGTAGATACATTAGAATTAACCAGTTCCCAGATTTAGTCGCAATGCTAGGCCTGATAAGGATGTTTCCTTTACTTCTAGGATATGGTAGATGTTTTAATAAAACAATATAGTGCTAATAAATAAGTAAATATCATGCACGTTAACAAGAGGTTGATCAGTCAGCATATGAACTCGAGCAGTAGTTACACAAACATAGAAAAGTAGAATAGTCTGTGACACTATTAAAAACAAGATTGTTTGGAAGTATTGACGGAATTGTCTCTCTCTCTTAAAAAAAGGGACTGTTCTAATGTAGCATATTAAAATGTCCTCACTTGGTTGTTGTAACGAAAAGAAGTTGTACTAACATTCTAACGTCTTCACCCCAATGTCCTCACAAAGATATCCTCATTAACCCTATTAACCGTCTTCGTTTGAAGCATACTCCGAAGCCCAGTAACGACTCCGTCCCGGTAAGGTGGTACGCACCCCCAACTTGGCCTGCTAGCATCTTTCTTTTCTTTTTATTTCTTTTGAACATGAACCTTATGGATTTGTTTTCTGAAATCGCCTGTGAATATTCACGAGACGTTTATTTTTTGTCGCGAACTTTGCCGAGAAACAGTTTTTTTTTTTAACAATAAGCAAGAGTGCACAATGAATGGAATGATCCGATGTCTCCCGGCCTGAAAATGTTGCATTTTTTTCACAAGACTTTTATTTGTTCGTTTACCTATGCTTTGAATGAACTGAGACTGTTGCTTGTTGATTACCCTGACTAAACCATCTTGCCTGATTAATTTGCCTGTACTCTGATTTAATGACCACAACTAACTCTTTACCACCTTCTTTCCTCTCCTCTCTCTTATTTTCTATTTCGCTTGTTTTTAATGCTTACACAATGGAATCAAATTGTAGCCTCTAAGGCTGTGCCCACCGTTGTCAAGGAGATAGATTTGTCCACCAATCAGGAGAAGCCTCCATCGCCGTCGACTCCCTCCTCCAATCACAGCGACTCGGATGCGAGTCAGGACACGGTGATATCGGTTGAGCAAGCCAAGCTGCAAAGTCCCCCTGTTCAAACTGAGAGACCCCAGGATCACCCCCTGTCGAAAGTGTCCCTGGTGTCCCCACCAAAATCCCCCACCGCGCCCACTGCCGTGGAGAGATGCGAACCCCTGACAAGTGCCGCCCCTACCATCCAGCAGTCCCCCAGCCCGACAAAATCGCCCAAGAAGTACGCCCCCAAGTCCCCGATCCTTAAAAAACGCCCCTCCAAAACCAGTCCCGTTCTTGAGACCGACATAGACTCGGTCTTGCCGCCATCCAAGAGTGTTCGCTTCAACATGGAGCCGGAGATCAGCAGGTTTGAAGTGGACAGCTCTCAGTCCGACATCCAGACAGATTCCGACAGCGAGAAGTCCTACGCCGACCTGATTGGTTTGAAGATCGAGCGGCAGAGCGAGGGCTCGGCTGACTCTGAAATCGGCTTCAACAACGTCCCTCCATTAGACTTTCTTGAAACGCAGAAGGCCATCGGCGTCGAGGGGGTACAGATTCTTGCTGACGTTAGCTGTCAGACCGTCGACGATGACGCTGCCACTTCGGACGAAGCCTCCAATCCTTTCTTGGAGTCAGACGAGCCCATGGAAACCATGACCGAGTTCCATGATACCCATCAAACAGTCTACATCACACAAAACCCTCAGGATGTTGCAGAAGAAGAAACGAAGAAGGCAAATGAGAAGAAGGGTTAGCCTCGATGTCTGTAGTCAGATCATTCAGTCCTGCTTAATTTACTCCCATTATTCATTCATGGAGTTTCTCCTTGTGTTACTTTCTTCACATCTTGTTTCCTTGTACTCCCTGTATATACTTTGGTTTGACCTCACCCCAAACCCAGAGTGATTGAAACTCCTTGAGTGGTGCTAGTCTCGTTTCCAGTTCCACCATTTTGTAATCCTGTAGTCTTTCCCTCCAGCATGCATAACAGGATGTCTGGCCATTTAGCACAACACTGAATATGATGTCTTAACACGTGGCAGAAGTTTCGTTACAATTCCAATTGGTTTAGTTTTTTTTTCTTTCAGTGTTACTCGTAGGTGTTTATTTTAAACTTTTTTTTTGAATTAGAAGTGATTTTTATCAGTTATATTTCTTTTAAAAAGATCCATTTCAATTGTTTATTTAAGTTTGTAGGTGTTGTTTTTTTAATATTTGTGTTTAGTTGTTACATTGTTAATTCTATGCAGATTTGTACATTTTGTGAAATTGGTATCTATATTGTGTGCATGTTTCATTGCATTGTACTGCTTCTTGTTTATTGAATTTCCATCGCCCATATTTGTACAGAAATCACGATATTATAAAAGTGCAGGTAGTTCTTTGCATCATGTTTCAGGCTTCCTGAAAAGCACAGCTTGCAAAATGAGCCGTTTTATCCAAAATTAAATAACTTCCGAAAGGCCAATATTTATTCAAGCTTACGCATTTTGTTACAACAAATTTAATAAAAAGTCACTGGTTCCTTGCTGTTAAGTCATGCCCAGCACTACTAATGGCAGACTACCAGTTTTTTACCTTTGCCTGTGGCAGTTCAAAAAATTCCATAAATGGCACAGATATTAAAAATCACCACAATGCACCAATTTTCTGAGTTGCTATTCTAGTGTTTTGAAGAAGCTTCTATTTGACCTTTCACCCTTGGTGTGCCAAAGACTCTTGTACACCTTTAGAATCTAACCGGTTATTGTTCTTGCTCTTTCTGTATTCCCCCATATCCCTTTTTGAATCTGCGTTGTCTTCCCTGCACCGCACCTTGCTGCTATTTTTACGTCTAGATGTGTCCGGAGATATATTTAGGCAAAAAGGTACCGGCTAATGAACGTTTAAAGAAAAGTCACGTTATTTCACGATCGTGATCATTAACAGAATTTGGACAGTAATGAGAACCGCATGGATATCTATTAAGCACTCACCAAGGGACGAGGTTGCACTAATCCAGAGAATGTATGGTGGATTTTGAGGCTGGTGGGTGAGGCAGATATGGAGGTGTCAGCCGTGGGGGATTTGTGCCCTTTTAACCCACGAGCTCACCTCGCTGAACCCCGGCCTCCCACTGTACTCTGTCGTTTGCACGCACTAACCCTTTGGGTGTACAGTGAAATGCATGTGACTTGGTGGAGGCAGAATTTGGGGTGGTAATCGTGGGGGCTTTGTACCTCCTGCACCCACGGCCTCACCGCCTCATTCACTCCCCTAGTCTCACTGTACACCTCTAACACTTAAACCTTGTATTCAGAAAGTTGACTTCCCACCATGCACCCATAGAACATTTTATTTGGGGTTCCAGGATTAATATTATAGAGAGCGTAACTGGTACCTGTTGGTCCTTCCAGGTACCCAGTAATGAGAACCGCATGGTATCAGTAGGTATCTATTGGATACCTCTGAGTATCTATTGGGTACCTCTGAGTATCTAATGGGTACCTCTGAGTATCTAATGGGTACCTCTAGGAGGTAGCACTGATCCTCACTGGTTCCTCTGGGTACCCAGGGATCCCTCTTGGTACCCTTAGGTATATATTTGGTACCTCTAGATATCTACTGGGTACTTCAGAGATGCCACTTTTCAGGTTTTAACCTGAATTCAGGTTTTTGTTTTTTAAATGTGACAAATTGAAAGTGCTGGATTTGGTCTGAAACATCCAGAAAACACACTTGTGAAAGAGGGTAAGAGTAGCTTCAGGTTTTTAGTAGTGTTTCAGGCTTTTTATTGATATATTGGTGGCATCTCTGGTACTTGTAGGAGGTAACACTGCTCCTCACTGGTTTGTCTGGGAACTGATAGATCCTTCCTAGCACCAATGGTACTATCTATAGAATACCACTGGGTATCCATTGGGTATCCACTGGGTATCCCTTGGAGGCACTGATGCTAGTTATAAATTCAATCACTTTGAATTGTACTAAAATGTAAAACAGTTTTGCATAGGTTAAAATAATTATGTTGGCTTTGTAACTAGACCTGAACTCTGGTTTCACGTGGGGCATTTCTCAAACCGTGGGTTCAGCCTCAGGCTCTGACTTCGCTACCTCGGGTTCATCACCTCAGTGACTTAATGCTCGGTTCCGAAATCGACGCAGGGGCCAAAACACAGCCCAAGCCAGAATTGGACCCGTGGTTTGACAAATAGCCTGCCCTCAAATTAAACTTTCTGAATACGAGTTCAGGAACTATACTTAATCATCGTCATGATACACCATGACAATGCACTTCTAACCTGCATGCTCACACTGAAGCATAGTCTCTGCTAAAACCTAACCCATTATCCAAATAAAAAACTTAAATGACAAAACATCACTCATCAACATTTCCTTAATATCATTTTTTTTTGTCCGTGCTGGCTTTCAAGAATTAATGTGGCTATCTGCTGCCATTGTGCCCCAAAGTTTGTGCAAATTGGGGGCATTCAAATTGCAATTAACCTTTGGAAAATAAAATATGTAAGAAGTATGAAAAAAATCAAAAAAACTAAACCATCAGAAAAATTAGGTGGCTGAGGGAGCACTATACTACATGTCACCGAAAGTTGGTTTTAAAGATGGCTGCCGGCAGTGGATTGTGTGTGTTGCATTTGTTGGGACCATTTTGTCTTCCAGAATCTTGGTCTGATTTTTAACCGTTTTCAGATGTAATGGTTGTGTCAACTGGAGGATACTATTCACCAATACCTTTCCTCTAAATGTTAACTTTCTTCCTACCATGTATTAATTTGGCATGCTATGATATACCGGTGGTAATATGATATAATAATCACAATTTTCTGTTGTTTATGTTTAATGGTTGTTTTCAGGATTCATGTAACCGTGTGCACATTTATTTATAATGGTGGAAAAATTCTGTTTCATATTTGTAATGTTCAGTGAACACTTTTGTATCTGCCCACTTTTTATTCACATCTTAATTACATGGCACAGTGTACTCAAGCACGAGCATCTATGTGTATCAATAAGTTCAACATGATCATTGCTTTTCAATATATATTCATAGTAATTTTGCTGATGCATTTTTATCACATATAAACTGAAAACTGATCAGACCACCAAGCAATATTAAAATTCATCAGAAACTACAGTAGGCCTACATATCATTTTCTATATTCAAGATATTAACCCATTTTTACCATCCACAAATATTGTACCACTTTGATTGGTTAAAATTTCCTTTCAAAGACAATAACATTCACTTTACACTTTGAATTCAAATTGTATATAGTCATCATCCCTCTCATAGTCAAAAAGTTTTTTGTCAATGTCATTTTTGAAGTGCAAAAAACTTTGTAGTGTATTGATATTTTATTGTTTTATTTTCCCTTTGAAAAGCATGCATTGAAGTTCACATTTTAGATTTATTTTTCCCTCCAATTTCATTTCCCAGACTTTTAACGGAGCATGTTGTCTTAATATTCTGATATTGGATTTCAGATATTGTGATTTCAACTAGACCCCTCACCCCTCAAGTCAAGCCCAACAGAAAGGTTTGATCCATATTTTGTAACATCTTTATCTTCATTGGTTACCATTACAGCATACCAGTGGGACTGCAGTGATTGGTTGCCAGCCGGCGAACCCCTCAGCAACATCCCCGAAGTGCAATACGAGACGCCCGAGTCGCCCACCAACACCAATCTCTCCGACGAGGACATCGAGGATGAGTTCGTCGGAGAGGATACCGACTACCCAGCCGAGAACGAAGACATGCCCTATCCCCGGGGGGCGATGAGTGACTTCCAGCAGCAGCTGGCTAGCTACCCACCGGTGGACGACACCCCCTACGTGGGGCTCAGCTCCCACTACCGACAGCATCCCAACCAGTACTTGCCCAAGCATGCCGTCAGCAACTCTACCTTGCCTCCACCGGACCCAGAGGAAGACATATCAGACGGTTTGCCCTACCCGCAGCGTGGACAGTTCCCTGCGTCGGCCGCCTCCACCGGCGACTTGAACTTTGACCTTGAGGGCGCCATCGCCAACATGGACAACATGTCCATGTCGGTGTACACGGACACCAACGCATCGTGTTCTGACGTCTCAGGGATGTGTGATCCGGACAGCGAGATGGGGCTAAGCGAATACGACAGCGTGGACGACACGGAGGATAGTGAGGAGGACGACTTTCCTGACGACAGAGAGCTGAACGCACAGCTCAAGAACCTAACCACTGACGTCTGATCCCCTACAACCCCCTCAGTTCAATTCCATGGAGCTGATAGTGATATCAATACACAGAAATTTGCTAAGCAGAGAAACTATATGCTAAGCAAATTCAGCTTACCATCCAAATGACTTGCAATGTGAATTGTTAACGACTGGTACCCATCTGTGTTATGCTCAGCAAGGCATTTTGCTTAGTATTTTCTGCCCACAGGCTCCATGAAATTGAACCGTCCCTTAAACAGTAATCAGTGATTCCATTGCTTACGACATACAGTACAAGTAGAGCCCGGCCAAGCCTCCTAGATGTTCTAAGCTGTATATATTGAGTGATATATCGTATTTCGTGGCTTGATGTATCTCATAAGAGACATATTTTCATTGTAAAAGAAATAAGCTCAGCGGATCTCGGCTATAGACAGCTGGGAAAAAAGGATTGTTGTGTAACATCAACAGGATTGTAAATATTCAAATATGAAATAATGGTGCAGCAGAGTTTTCAGGTTCATTGCCAATGAAGATATATATCATGAATGTTCTCAAATTCAAAAACGTTTCCATCATTTGGACGATGAGTTCAGCATTTTGTATCGTAACCCACCATGATCAACTGTCTTTCAAGGAGATCGTGGTTGTCGAAGAAACTGCCAGAATTGACCAATCAAATCCCTCCATATCTGTGAAAATATTTGTAAAAATAACATTTATTTCACAATTTCTTCGGTAAAAGAAGCATTTAATGTACTTCTTTATCTGCACGTTTGGGTTTTTAATTATTTGTAAAAATGAAATTAAAGCTCTAACTTTGATGCTTTTTACTGTTACTTGCAAAATTACCACCATTGTTCAGATATACAAACTATCATGCACTGTAAACAACCAAAGTACTATTTGAGTACATTTTACCATATTTTTAAGCCTTTTTTGGTTCTTCAAAATGTACGATCATTGTGCTCAGTACTTACATAACAGCACTTAATTTTTTTTTTACGAGATGTTCAAAGGTCAATTACTGTCTGTTTTCTTCAATTCTTATTAAGGTATTTCTTTCAAAATAGGAGATCATTGGTCCCACTCTCAGGTTAACGAACTTTGCAGTACTAAAAATTCTTTCCAACAATGAATGTTTTTACACCCTGGGCTTCCCTCTTTAATATGCAATTCATCCCCTTCCGAAATTTGATACTGCAAAATGTTATGAATATTTTTGCTGAATTTCCCCTAGAAAACTCAAAAGTGGTGAGACATCAATAAAACTGTTATAGTACTGCTATTTGAATATCAGTACCGAGTATGCATTATGCAAATATTAGACAAGCTTAATGTCTGACTTTATCATTTCTGAAAAATAGTTGCCACGGCTTGAATTTTGTTTGTAAATCCTTGTTAACTTTTTTAATATTGTCCAAAAATGCAAATGAGTAAAGTAGCAATATTGTGAATTTACCACACTTTTTCCAATAATTATTAATTCTTGCAACAAAATAACCAATTGAACTTGCACTGAATACATTGCGAGCACCGAATGCACAAGATGTATATATGTAACGTTGCTCTGATATGCAGAAATACTAATAGGCCTAATGTAGACTTTGTACTAGTCACTTTATGTCTTGTTTGTTACAGCTGTACGTGACATTTTTATTCATCATGTGTACATATCATTGCATGTATATGCTTATAATTTATGCATGTATATGCTCATAAATTATGCATAACCATAATGAATAATGCATATAATCATTACAAGATAATTGTGGATCGTGGTGTTGTTTTAGATAAAGTCTACTTGAAAGATTCTTGAAAGAATACGCAGTTAAAAAGCTACAAATTCTTTGAGTGACTTCCTACTTTCATTTAGGTAAGAAATGTTTGTTATGCAAATATTTTCCTCCTGCCTTATGAATATTCAGTGGTGCATAAGAATATATTAATATTAAGCTTTCTGCACACGCAAGTCTTTGTCTTCTCAATCGTGAATATGCCTTGATTCTCAACCCTTGTTTTATTAAAAGCTTGTGTCTTCATTTTACAAAAGTACTCTAGTTCTTCCATTTTCTTTTTTTGGAATGCTTTCCCAGGCTCAGGACATACGAAGTTACCTTTTTATTCTCTGTAGCACTCAATAGTTTGTTTTGAAATTAATGCAAAAATATCTGTTCCTAATGAGTTTGTCAAGAATTGAGAAACTCTAGTCACACGCACTGAAAATTTAAATAAAAAGCCCCCCCCCCCTCCCACCACAAGCTCTGTTTGACACCCATTGGGCAAATCCTTCATATATTTCCCATGGATATTGTATACATTTTTTTTTTATATCTCTTCCTTGCTCCATGCTTTAATGGAGTGCCCTCCCATATTCCAAATGCACCAGCCATCAAAACTGCAAGTTTATTTATTGAAAAGTGGGAAAAGTTGAATTTGATTATTTAAGTTCATTTTATTCCTTTTTATAAACCAGTGGACACAAGTTTTGAACCAGTTTTTTCTGTTTTTGTTGTGAAGAATGGCAATAATTTTGGGGAGAACTAAATGTTGATTTAATAGTTGAAGTGTGTTCTAACCCTGTTTACATAAATGTAGTTATTTTTAAGTGTCTTTCTTGATTTTTTTTTATTATTGTGTTTTGTATATCCAAATATTTTAGGAATGTTTTAAAGATCAGGACAACTCCACTGATTAGAATAATACTTGTGCACTTTGAAGTTATATTTATTGTTATCGCTTAAACTGTATTTATCTCCGTTCAGATTTGTTTAACAAGTTGATTGGACAGGAGCACAATTGTCATTGTTTCCTTAGTGTTTCATGTGGCGTTCCCTTGGAAACTAGTGGGTTTTTATTAGTAGATGATAGTGTTAAGTTGTTAAACAGAATTGGACAGTTAAAGTCTTAGCAATTCCCCAAAGTTGTTCCTTGAAAGAAATTTCCTACGAGTTTTGGTGCTTTATAATTTTTTTTTTATTATCTTATAATTTGAAATATTACTGTTTGCTTCTTTTTAAGTGTTATGTTGTTCAAGAAAAAAAAACGTTGTTGTAAGGAACAAAGCTTTTAATCCGAGTAAAAAAAAAATCAAGTACACAATTTGTAAATTGTAAAATATAAAAAATGAGGAAAAAGTACTGATTGTGTTTAAATTAGCCAAAAACTGTAAGTACATTAAACTGATGAAAGAAAAGAATAAAAAGAATTCTTGAGATTAAAACAATGCGTATTTATGCATTATTTCATGAACTGTTGTTTCATATTTATTATGCTTGTTAAGAAAGATTATAATAAACAAAATATTGAAAGAAGAAATGCACTCCGAAGTAATCTTTTGGAGTAGGGGTTGAAATAGAGGTTTTTTAAAGGGAATATACAACATTTGCAAACATCGAAAAATAAAACTACCAAGTTTTTACGTAATACCTTACTAGGATGTTGGTAAATGACAGTCTAAAGCATCCTGTAAAATTATGGCACCTGGTGTGAAGTCATTTTCAAGAAAATGGTATTTTTGTATACATTTCCAACGGTGATTGGCCGACCACCGTTGGAAAAACCTAACTTTTTTTCAACTACTGCTCCAACTTTACACTTTTTTCAGTCCAAATTTTGTTTGCTATTGGTTACATGTTCATGAACGGGTGCAGGCCAGCTAGACTGGTTCCCTTACCTTACAATTTTCCGGCATCTATAAATTGATCCATTTTATCTTTAGTGGAGTCAAGGAACCAGACTACTTAAAAATTTTTGTTTTTCTTGGTTTTTCCAGCATTTTTGAACACAAAACTTCAAACATGTCAGTGTAACCATATTTGATCTATTATACTAACCCCTCAAATAGTTCATTTCTGAAAATTACAGCAAAAGCCAATGATGTACATTCCCTTTAAGCAACCCCCCCCCCCCCCCCCAAAGAAATTCTTCCACTGCCACTTCTATTGATCTGGTTATTTTTATCTTGACATTTATACCGTTTCTACTCCAAATTAAGTTGGTTTATTAAAATAATAAGAATATGCAGAGTTTTTCAGACCATAATTTGATAATATGTATTTATAAAGAAATAAGGCCAAGGTCAATGACCAGTTATTGCCCTGAGTTTTCTCGTTTTTTTGTGTCTGAAAAATAAGCATATCTTGATCCAATTTAATAGGCTTCTCGTAGACTTTAAGAACAATCAACCCACAGACACTATACTTTCATGACCAAAATCCGGTTTTACTGAAAAAATCGTGCAGAGTTCTTTATTTTTTTTAACAGAAAGGCAGGTTTTCCTCGAATAATTGCACCGACAAACATTTGTTTTTGATTGTTGTTCAGAACTGAACATTGTCATTTCGACTCCAAATTAAATATGCATATTATTAAAAAAGAAAGAAAAAAAAATTGCCAACATGTACAGCGCGGATTTCGCTCGATTCCCCGAAAATTCAGTATCGATACGCAGGATAATTTTGCTCGAAAATAGCTAATCGATACCTGTTTTTCTAGCACGTTCTTGTCGATGTCGTCATGTCAAAGAGTTTATCGGATCATGATCGGATCGTGTGGGGAAGTCCGGAAGACTATTTTGGGTGTCTGTTTTTCTCGTATTGAGAACATTGGAAGCTTAAATGACGAATTAAGAAATCCAATATGAGTGAAAACAAGGAGAAAGAAGGATCAGCAGGACCTCCGAAGTTGAAGCAAAAGTAAGTTTACATATTTTTGGAGTAACGGGCATGACGTGCAATGGAGTTCTTAGTTGCATTTAATTCGTGAACAAAATGGTAAAAAAAGGGTGATCGTGTAGGGCCCCTGTTTCGATCAAATTAGAATCAAGAATATTTTTTTTATTACTAAAAACTGACATTGTCAACCTAAACCAGACTTCTGTCAATGTAATGACATCTTTTTGATAATTTTTGAAAAGTTTCTTGGCGTAGAAATTATAATTTTCCTATCCCCTATGGGGTTTACAGGCCAGTTGGTGCCGTGCAGTGCGACTTGTGCATTCACGGTGCATCACGCGGTGATCACCATCTTTATTTTTCGGGTACAACTATAGAATGCAGGGCCACTTTACTCTACATCCGCGCCTCCGTATGGCTGCGTGGAGGCGTGGAACCGCAGTCGACCTACCTCTGAAAATCGATCGTGGAGTCGTGGAGCCGCAGAGAATTACGCCCTCTATCGGTGCGCGTCTCTGCGACTCCGCGACTCCGCGCCTCCACCACTGAGAGACAGTGCCCCGTCGCCCTCCCCCCTTCCTAATTGGCCCGCCCAATTAAAGTGACTCTGCGACTCCCCGACTCCGCGCCTCCGCGACTCCAGACAGTGCCCCGTCGCCCTCCCCCCCCCTTCCTAATTGGCCCGCCCAATTAAAGTGGGAGACTCTGCGACTCCCCGACTCCGCGCCTCCGCGACTCCAGACAGTGCCCCGTCGCCCTCCCCCCCTTCCTAATTGGCCCGCCCAATTAAAGTGACTCTGCGACTCCCCGACTCCGCGCCTCCGCGACTCCAGACAGTGCCCCGTCGCCCTCCCCCCCCTTCCTAATTGGCCCGCCCAATTAAAGTGACTCTGCGACTCCCCGACTCCGCGCCTCCGCGACTCCAGACAGTGCCCCGTCGCCCTCCCCCCCCTTCCTAATTGGCCCGCCCAATTAAAGTGACTCTGCGACTCCCCGACTCCGCGCCTCCGCGACTCCAGACAGTGCCCCGTCGCCCTCCCCCCCCCTTCCTAATTGGCCCGCCCAATTAAAGTGACTCTGCGACTCCCCGACTCCGCGCCTCCGCGACTCCAGACAGTGCCCCGTCGCCCTCCCCCCCCCTTCCTAATTGGCCCGCCCAATTAAAATGGATATGGATGCTTCGTTCTCAAAAAGATTCCGCCGAGAATTGCGCCCTCTATCCGCGCGAGTCTCTGCGACTCCGCGACTCCGCGCCTCCGCCACTGCGGCCACTCCAGTGCCCCGCGTCTCCGCGATTCTGCGACTCCAAGACTCCGCGCCTCCGCCGCTCCAGACAGTGCCCCCAACACATTTACAAGCACGCCCTCCCTTCCGATCCTTCATGAGAAGCTTTGAAGACAAGTGCAGTGCATTCCTTCGCTGTACTTAGCACTTTTTTGCAGGTTTGCATATCTATTACTCCTATTCCATCCACGCCTCCAGGCAAAATAAAAAGCCTTGCTTCGGCGTGGCCCTGCATTCTATAGTTGCTCCCTTTTTCGTGTTGCAATTTGTCGTTGCCATCGTCATTTTACCCCCAAATTTCCATCGAAAATTCAAAACCCTGCCCGGCCCTTTCGGTGACAAACATGACAAACCCATCATGCCCATGGAATCATGCCCATGCCCATGGGCCTGTCTGTATCATGTTCTTAATGTCGCTAACTAGTTTGGTTTGTCAAATAATTTAAAAGTGGATTTTGTTCACTTATGGGAACCAGGCCCGTAGATACATGATTGCCAAAAAAGTAGTGTGGCTATCTGGTGATTGTGTAATTTAGGGCCCTCTTCCCCCTCTTCCGAGAAGGAATGTTGCATCCTGACAACACTTTTTCATCTGATATTATCTCAACGAAGGTCATCAGACATCATTGCAACAAAAGACATGCCCTTAACTACAAAAACAACTCTTCATAACTTTGTACAAAACCTAAAGATGTGGCATCTGGAAACTACATTCTACATTCTACAAAAAAAGGGTTTCATTTTTTAGGACTAGTTTTCATTAGGCCTACTTTTTTTAAGGCCTCTTTTTGTAAAATTTGATTTCTTTGTTTTTTCTTAGTGATCTGCTGGTGTTGGTCAAATTTGAGGATTTTTATAAAGAGAGCGATCCTGACGTTGAATATTGTCAGGTCAGGGGACCAGATGGTCGACTGATGTAACGATAGCCACTGGAAAAAAGTATTCCTCGTTTTGGGAGGGAAGTGTTTAATTAGTATGTATGTACATTGATAGCGCAAGGAACAAATGTTCTATGGTAGGAAATTGTAAGTATTTTTCAAAGATAAATCTCAAAAAGATGAAAAATGTGCTTTGCAGTGCATACAAAGGTTTTGTAGATTTTTTAAACTTGTGCTTAGATGAATATCATGCTTAAATTATCTTTCTTTCCAGATATGACTGGTACCAAACAGACTCTACTGTCGTCATTACTCTTTTGATAAAAAATTCCAAGAAAGAAGATGTACAAGTGGATTACACGGAAAGAGCAGTGAGTATTGCATCTTGGTAGGGCCTATTGTCATTTTTGCAAAATCTTTTTAATTAATGAGGCCATGTTGAAAAAGTTTCAAATTGTCAGCTTTCTGCAACAAAATCGGTCGGGAAATGTTTGTGTCAGACTTTAACTTCACCCTCTGTCCCAGCAGACTGATGGCTTAACTGTGTGATGTCTGACTTCTGTAGGTGAGTGCAACAATCAAGCAGCCTTCTGGGAATGACTTCAGCCTGGAGTTGGACCTGGCCCACAATGTCGTCCCTGCCAAGTGCACAACCAAGATCATGTCTATGAAGGTTGGTCAGTGTATCTTCTTGGTCACATGGAGTTCCCTTGCCACCTTGTGACTTTTTGAGGTTTAGTTGAAAAATACCCGAATCTCTCAAGTTATTCTATTCTAGTCAGTCCTCAGTCAAGTTTCAATTAGGCGGAGTGAATTTAAAAAAAAATTGTGTCTTGCCTTTTTGAAAAAATGAAGGAAGCAACCTTCCCCCTTTTTTTTCTCTCCCAAGATGGCAGATTTTTCAAGATGGCAGATGGATTCTTCCATTTTCTGGACTCTTTGGCTTCTACAAAAATCATGTCCAAAATTGTGTCTCAAGGCTAAGTACAAAACGAAATAGTTTCTCGTCGTGTCCACAGGAGCCGTCACCCTTTCTACATAGCTACAATTTGACGGAAACAAGTAAAAAGACAATATATTGACAATATTTTTGTAAAATTTGTTGCAAATGTATGAATTAAATTTGGGTTATTTTTTTTCCAGATTGAGCTGAAGTTAGTCAAAGAAGAGGGACTGAGGTGGAACAAGCTGGAAGGGGAGGATACGCTAGCTACCAACGCAGCCACAGAGCAAGGTACACTGGCCTCTTGTCTCATGTGCATTGTAGTTGAACAAAGTGTTGCCGATTGTTTTGGGGGGGAGATTTGCTTGGGGCTTTCCCCCCCCCCCCCCTCCCCAACCCCTTCCTTCTCCCCAATCCAAGTACAATCTTGGGGATTTGATCACTTTTAGATGAAACAGACTTGAATAGAATTCTTTCTTTTAGGGATGTTAATAAATGCTGTTTTCAGTGGTCTGATTTTTAAGATATTTGCATGAGAGTAGGTTGAATGAGGGGAATGTTTCTTTCTTTACAACCCACAAACCAGCTAAGGCCAAAAAAAAGGTTCCAGTTTCTAGTCTGTGCGCGCGTCACTGTAGCCATGCGTGTCGGCAAAATTAAAAAGGTTTTTTTTTTCAATGTAAGATGATGTCTCAAAACCGCCAAACTTTGACTGGAATCCTGCTGCTGCATAATTTTCTAAAAACGTGTTTTTAGATGGGGGTTACGATCGAGTATATGCTTTATGTGGCCTCTCTGGGCTCCCATACATTTTGCACTTAATTTAGTCGGGCACCATTTGCAGTCATCAGGCAAAATTCGAAGGAAAAAAAAGCTGCGTCGCCGCACCACTTTTGGGGCAAGCTCCATACCAGAAACCGGAGCCTTTTTTTTGGCCTAAACCACCTTTCCCAACAACCCCACAGCATTCAGGTAAACACTTTACGGCCAGCTTTCTTTTGTTCCTGGTGTCAGATGCCCAAGACATTGTCCACAAGTACCCGACGTCCAGCCACGTGACACGGAACTGGGACAAGATCGGCAAGGAAGCGGAGGAAGAGGAGAAGGAAAAGGCTGAGGGAGAGGCTGCCCTCAACCAGCTCTTCCAAAAGATCTATGGAGATGCCTCGGACGACGTCAAGAAGGCCATGAACAAGTCATTCGTAAGAAGTCGTTCTTTTTACTCCCGGCATGCAATTTGACATATAAGCCTCAGCTATGCCTTTATCAGCTCTTTACGTCCACAGCTATATACAGTTACAGCACAGTACAGTGCCTCAGTCAAAAGCATAGGCTTTCCTGCTCTGATTTAAGTGTCTTACTCAAGTTACCATACTACTTGTCAGCCCCACTGAGCCATTGCGTGCCGAATTAATCAAAACGAGCATTGCTTTAAGAAAAGCAGTGCGTTGAAGCCAGTCATCTTACTTTCTCAACAGGGAAAGGGAAAAAAATCAGTTAGGGCCCATCTGAATTCATATCTGAGACGAGTTCTGGACAAGTTGCGGACATTGTATCGGGTGTAAGTTGTAGGATTCTGAACAACTTCCCCGCAATCTTCCCGCAATGAAGTTATCAGTATTGGCGTGTCAAGCAGTTGCTTATACAAATTTGTCCAGGACAAAATAATGCAGAGCTTCTTCCGGACAAAATGAATGATTCTACCTGCAACTTCTCCGGAACTCGTCCCGGGTATGAATTGAGACGGGGCCTTACGTTTAAACGATTTTTTAAGAATCCATTTCTTTTCACCCACAGACCGAATCAGGAGGCACTGTCCTCAGCACCAACTGGAAAGAAATCGGTCCTCAGAAAACGGAAATTAAACCACCAGATGGAATGGAGTACAAAAAATGGGACACCTAGTGGTCTGCGTAAGGGAAGTGTACATAGTGGAGCTGGTCCGCATTGAGACAAGTAAATAGATATGATAAAACCTCTCCAGTGTACAGGCATGCAACTGGCAATTTCGAGGAAACTCCGAACCACACCAGACTTCGTACTGTATTTTTCAGTTTGTAATGGCATTCATGAGAAGTGAAAAACGAGGAAACCAGGGGATCCGAGGAAAAGTTGCATGCCTGGGTGTAGGTTAGGATAACGGGCAGATACTCTTAATCATGTGAGATCTTTTCAATCTTTTCAATCTTTTCAAATCTCCGTCATGTCAAACCTCATCTGTCAGGTCAAAGCAGGTCAAATCTGTTCAATTTTTTTTTCAAGTGCACCTACATTCTCCGTCCAGTATATGTATTTCATCCCACGCAGCTCCGTCATAGTCTTTTCTTAAAGGTTTCACTTAGTTTTTGTTCTGCTAAGAGTTACATTTCCACGCTCGGTTGGTTTTTAAGTTGCTGTTATGTTGTTCCCTGTCCCAAGCTTATAGCTGTTTTACATCTGTATGGGAACCAGTAGTGCTTGTAGTACTGTTAATAATCATTTGAGAGAATTTTTGTTTTTGGTGTTAACAATATTGCTAAGGCCCCCAAAAAAGATATTCTTAGATAACTTGGTGATATCATCATTGCCGTGATCTCATTTATTTGATTTTTATTCATTTGAGGAAAGAATCCCCAAATTTCCTTGTCAATATGGTTTATAAAATTGTACTGTGTAAATTTTGTATAGTCTTTTCTCTTTAAATTTAATCAATACTTTTGCATTTCTCAAATTGCTGTTTTTTTCTCTTTGGTCATCAACATCTTTGCAGTAAAACTGTGACAACATTCATTTTCTCCTCAAAATTGACCAATCAAATTTGAAGTGAACACTTCACTTTCCATGGGGCTGCCAAAGATAGGAAGGATATTCCCAGTCCGTGGGGAGGAATAACAAAGATAAATTTCCATTTGAATTCTTAGAAAAGCAAATTGTAAAATGTTTATATTCATCCTCGGTCAATCCTCATTGGTTTTTTTCGTATGCTGTACAGTTCTTACTTTTTGTTGGCTCAAGATAAACAGGAAATTAAAAATAATGCACTTGGGATAATTCTATCAAAATAATTGGAAAGGTGAATGTGCTTTACAGAATTTTCTTTTCCCCCCAATATTTACTCAGATAAATTGAAATAGAATTCTAACTTTGTATGTGTTACATTCATTCTGCGATTTCATATCGATTTGATAAAAAATCAAGAGAGGTGCATTGTGGTCATATTATATCCCAACATCTTTTACCACCTTCAAATGTAAATTGTCATTTCCTTACCGCATTCTTTAAAAAACAAATTGCGACCATGTTGCATGTATAACCATTTGTGTATTGAAACAAAAAAACCAAAAACATTTCACCACATGTGTAGCTTTTTAGAACAAGGAATGTAACCAATCTTTAAGATTTCTTTACTTTTTGCTTTGTATTTCTTGAAACAATAAACTAAATAATGTTTGGAAAAAAAATTGTAAAACTATGTGCCGGAACATTTTCATGGTGTCAAGTGGTCACCACTTGTGACAACACGTACCTCAGTTGCTGAATTCAAAGCCTCTAACATGTGCAAACATCAATACGTGCATTTGGGAAATACAGGCTGTACTAAAGACCCTGACATTTTGCAAGCATGCAGGTCGTGCATATGCTTGATCTCCAGTAATAGTTTGGCGCCCTCAAGCTCAGATCAAATCCACGCGCCGTGTGCTTCCTCGGTTCTTAGTTTGGCTCTGGAATATAGATTTTGAATCTTGTCCATTTCTGTTTGAGGTGGGCACTTGTTTACACCTGACGTATTTATTCCACATGCTAAGAGTCTGGCGCCCTCTGATGTTCACATCCAGAGGCATCTCGATAATCCCTTCATTCCTGGTATCTGAAGCAATCGCTGGCAATCTTCCAGACGCCGCCTTGCGTCGTCAGCATGAAGTTTTCCGTGAAACTGAAGGTCTCTTTTGTCCCTTCAAATTTGACCCGTCCACCGACAATGACCATCAGTGACGTTTGACCTTGTGTGACCACAGCTGAAAAGACAAAAATTTACACATTAATGTTGAAGCTGAGAAGCCTGAAAATGTTTGTACTGTAATCACAAATATGAACATTCAAATTAAAGAGGAAAATATAATAAATCAACAAGGATTTGCGTGATACCTGGTATCGGTTGGCAGTCCAGGGTGTCAATGGTGTGGTCGCTGGTGGGTAATTGATCAAGAAACTTCAGGATAGCTTCTGAGCCCTGCAATGGGTTGCCGTTCCAAACCATTGTAGCTGAATCCATGTACAGCTTGTTTAACAACTAGAAGAGAAACCACGAACTTGACATTTTTAGAACTTAAAATAGAAGTTCAAATTGGCTAAGCTGATCGTGATGTAGGTTTCATAGAAAAAGAAGCTTGCTTTTAAAATAATACACGTACTTGGCTATACTTTGTTCTATTGAAAGGCGGACTTATCCTACTGTACCTTGGCGTGATGGTACGTGATAGCCTGATGTGGGGACTTTGAATGCCAAGCATTAATTTAGAAGTAGAAGTACTGTTCGATAGGAACAGGAACAAACAGCAAAAGGCCCAAATGTCTTAAGAGATAAAGCTACATAGCCTATTAAAAGTATTAACAAACTTATCTTTATGAACGAAAAAATGGCTATTCTAACAACTTTGAAACAAACACGACAAAGCTGCATTGTACTTACATTTCTTCTCTTGTCAAACTTTTCATAGTACAACTTGTGGAATTCTTTACCGGCAAGCACAGCTTGTTCAAGCTGCAATTTTACATCCTGGACAGAAAGACGAATTGAAACATACTCAAGGCCAGGAATCAAAATCTTTGCCTCTGTATTTTAACCCCCCCCCCCCCCCCAAGTTCCCGCCACCAACATGACCAACGTACAACACGACCAAAGCATGCAAGCCATGACAATTGACAGAAGAGAAGGCCCCAAATCTCTGGAAAAAAATGTAACATTTATTCTACCAAACTACTTCTACATGGTTTACACTTAGAAGATAAAATAAAACTAATTCAATTCAAACTAAACAAAGGGTCTGAGCTTTTGCTAAGATCTGTTTTCTGTGTAAAACAAAATAAGGCCACCTTACCGCGGGGAGCGTCATCTTGCATGTCTTGAGTTGAGCGACTGCGCCCTCCAGTGACAATTTTTTTTATGATTATTTTTGAAATATGGTGCATTTAAAAGGACAAATAAAGCTACGATTGTTTTATAGATTAAAACTCTATTTTGTCAATAATTCTCCTTTTTTGAGTATGCGTAGAAGTTTTTACGTAATATCGATCAAAATATCACTATGTCGACTTCTTCATTTCCATTAAAAAAACTTGGGATTTCGTGAAATCAATCTACAGTTCGATTGTGCATGTCCACCCGAAGGCTAGGCGCGGCCACCGTATCTTTTGAGTGGATATGGCGCACGTGCACGCTGTTTACGGTCCAGTCTCTTGTTGAAATTGTTTCAATTTTTGTCATCAATCAGGTAGGTTTAAGGTTGTAAAATATCGTAATTAAGAAAAGACATATGTTTGTAATCCCCTAGGACAGTTTGGCGGGACAGAAATTTTACCAATTTTACCAAAAGTCCAATGTGAGCATGGTGAATTTTCTTTTGACAAACTTTGTCGAGTTTTCGTCCCGCGCGCTGACTCCTGATCCTGCACGCACATACCGGGGGTCAGACAAGTCGACCGTTGAGACAACTCGACTCGGGACAAGTCGACCGTTGAGACAACTCGACCGTTGAGACAACTCGACCGTATGTGCGATAAATGGAAAGACAAGTCGACCGTTGAGACAAGTCGCCTCGCATGTTTTGGGCCTAGTTTCGGGGTAGCCCCACTAGTGTGGCCGTCGGTATGCTGCGCTGAACCTCTGGCCACACACCGTGGTACCGCGCGCTACTGAGGACGAAGTTTCATAAAATCTGCGGTCCGTTTCTTACATTCTCAGTTTCTTACTTTCTTATGGTTGTATTCTATGATGTCCCACCTATCACTTCTGGGATGCTTAGGTCTAATGATGTTCCATTTTCCGAGATATTCTTCAATCTTTCTGGAGCCCAAATGCACTCAGCTCGTGAAACGTCTGGTGATGGCTGCCATTTTGAATGTGACAAGAGATGACCTCAAGCTGTGACGTCGCGTTTATGCAAATTGCTTGTCGAGCGCGCGAGGGCGTGAGTTGCAAATGCGACGGCTGTTTCCTGTGCCGTAGATCCTGAATAGAGATCGGTGCACATGGCCCCCTGACGATAAATGCATGGTACAGGAAACAGCCGTCGCATTTGCAACTCGCGCCCTCGCGCGCTCGACAAGCAATTTGCATAAACGCGACGTCACAGCTTGAGGTCATCTCTTGTCACATTCAAAATGGCTGCCATCACCAGACGTTTCACGAGTGCATATGGGCTCCAGAAGAAAGATTGAAGAATATCTCGGAAAATGGAACATCATTAGACCTAAGCATCCCAGAAGTGATAGGTGGGACATCATAGAATACAACCATAAGAAAGTAAGAAACTGAGAATGTAAGAAACGGACCGCAGATTTTATGAAACTTCGTCCTCAGTAGCGCGCGGTACCACGGTGTGTGGCCAGAGGTTCAGCGCAGCATACCGCCGGCCACACTAGTGGGGCTAGTTTCGGGGATAGTACCGGGGATTTTGACGGCGGCTGATCGCCATTTGGGAGTGATGACACATGAGTTTTTATTTTTGCATATAACAGAGCCGATATAACGCAGCGTGATTGTCCGTGCACATCGTTCGTTTTTTTTCAAGGCCACGTGCGCGCATCCCCGGTCAACGTGGCCGTACCGTGCACGGTGGCATCGTTTTTGCCGGGCCTGTGCGCCCATTTGCCGGTCAACTTGTCCGTACCGTGCACGGTGACATCGTTTTTGCCAGCCCTGTGCGCCCATTTGCTGCGCCGGTCGACGTGCCCGCGTGCCGTGCCCGGGCCGGTCCTCGCGGGCGGGCGGGGCGCACCAGCCCGACGCGACGCCCTCTGTACATCGAGTATGCCCACGCCGCACCCGTGATCGGTCTTGCCACAGATTTGTGCAACTTTTTCTGCTCCACGTGTATTCATTTCCATTAAGTCGAGCAGTCTCAACGGTCGAGTTGTCCCGAGTCGAGTTGTCTCAACGGTCGACCTGTCTCAATGGTCGAGTTGTCTCAACGGTCGACTTGTCCCGAGTCGAGTTGTCTCAACGGTCGACTTGTCTGACATTCCACATACCATCCATTGACCCGACGGCTATTGCATGTCGTACCGTTATAAATAGTAATCAGGCTTGTGTTGTGGGGTGGCTGGGTCCTACTAAAATGCACCAACTGGCGTCAACAAGCGTGAATGGTCGTCAACCCAGCGTCAACATATTTTGTAAAACGTAACGAAACATAAAAACAAGCTATGGTAAACAAAGAACATCTTCTTCAGCATATAATCTAAACTAAGTTAAAATTCTTTCAAAAAGTTGTTTTTTTTTCAATGCGAAACGTTATGTAATGTAAGAAGACTTTGTCGAGTTAGTGTTGGCCGCCATCTATGTGTACAGTGTCAATCCAAACAAGATGGCGGCCAACACTAACTTGACAAACTCGTCAAATTCGTAGGTTTCACGTTGAAAAAAAAAAAACTTTTGAAATAATTTTAAATTTGATTTATTTGCTGAAGGTGTTCTTTGTCGCTATTTCTACCATACAAAGCCTTTTTTTATGTTCCAAAACTTATACAAAATTTGTTGACGCTGGGTTGACGACCGTTCACGCTTGTTGATGCCAGTTGACACTTGTGGGCGCATTTTAGTAGGACCGGTGGGGTGAAACATGGCGGGCCTAAACTAGTATTGCTTTCACAATCTCATTTTTTGAACATAAAAATGAAGCAAAATTTGAAGCATCCATCATGTTCATTTGAAGAGGGCTGACAATTTCACACTAATTGAATGGTCAACTGTGAGTGACTGTCCAACTCAAATCATTTAAGAATCCCTTCTTTTTCTTTCTACAGACTACAGATGGAAGTAGCTTTAAAAAGCGTCTATCGAAATTTGTTCCTCGTGCTGGCAAGACAACTCTACAGGCTGGTTAACATGTAAGTTAGTTCATTGGCACCGGCAACAGAGACACACAGTGCAGTTCTGTTGTCAAAACTGGGTTTGAGTCCTTGAGCTAAAACAGGAACAAAAGTAGATTTGAATCTTACATGTACTTGAAATTCAAAATGAAAAAAGAAATCGAGTTCAAGTAATGATAGATAATTGCAAATTGAAGAATTTTTCTAATATTTCAAACATACTTCAAAATCCAAATCCAGTCCGCAACTGAGCTAGGCACAAGCCAAGTCTAGGTCTGGTTTTATGTTTTTTGCCCAAGTGGATTTTCAAAAGCTATTGAATATGACCTCTAAAATGGTTATGGTGTGGACACAGATAGGGTCATGTGCATGGACAAAGACAAGAAAAATAGTTGCATTCGTGTTTTATTTTGAGTCTTAATTATTGCTGTATTTCAGTGTTATGGGAAGGACGACATCTCGAAGCAGAATGCCGCATTCCGATATTCTAGACCATATCCCTTCAGGCAAGATGACCAGTCAGCAGTTGCTGAAACACTGCATTGATGCACAGAACAACCAGCCGTCTTTGTTGAAAAGAAGCTTCCATTTGCTATCGGGGGAGGCAGTGGGCGGAGCGGAGGGGCAGGACAGTAATACCATCAGGGTCATGCAATGGAATATTCTTGCCGACGGTAAGTTCCCCACTTTTCTAACTTGCACGGGTAATGTTTGAGAGATCCAATAATTCAAATGTTTCTTCACGAATGTCCCATTTTAGAATGTGGCATATTTTGGGTCAAGGCTGTTTCAATTATTCAAAAATGTATTTACAAGTAAACAGTCTGATGTGGAATATTGGAGTTTGAAAATCACATAATAAATTGGTATCTTTATGAAAGTCTTTGACTAAAGAGAATTACCTACTCAACCTAGAAGTAGTGTACTTTTGACTGTACAGGATTCCGTTCATATATGTATCGCAATGCCGCATGTGGCAACAGTGGTTAGGTGAAGAATATCTACCTTTAACGTTTCCTATTGTATGAACTGTCTGCGCGTGTCTTGGATGTCTGCAGGCGACGATGCTGACAATAAAAATGATTGAAATTAATTGATGATGATACTGATACAATTGTCTGACCAAGTGATACAAGAAACAAACAATGGCGTTATCGCCTGAGAAGTGGCAGTATCAGGTCTGGTACAAGCAAATGAAGTGAGTATCTTTGCAAAAAATAATATCCGAGAGTGCGAAAAGTTACAGACTACAGGCAAGAAAATGACATGCTCCACAAGCAATGGCTACCGTCACTGGAACGACCTCTCCTTCCAACAACTTGAATCTGATTAATAATGACTACTCCCCGATTGTCTTAAAACAGCACTGAGCGATGGAGCTGACAATTTCATCAAGTGTCCCGGCGAGGCCCTACAGTGGGACACCAGACGCATCTCCTGCCTCCGCGAGATCTTGACCTACGACCCAGACATCGTCTGCCTCCAGGAAGTTGACCATTTCCAGGATTTTTTCCGAGTGCAGCTGGAGAGAGTGGGTTACCAGGGGATCTTCAAACCCAAACCGGACTCCCCATGCCTGGACTGCATCCACAACAACGGCCCGGATGGATGCGCCGTCTTCTTCAAACCAGAGAAGTTTACTCTGGCCGGTAGCACGTGTCCCGTCTTAGAGGTAGCAGACCGGGGAAGCATTTGGCCTACAAATCAGGTGGCAGTCCTACTGCGGTTGAAATGCAAGTCCCCCGCCGAGCATCATGGAAAGGAATTTCTTGTCGGCACCACTCACCTGAAAGCCAAGTCAAGTTGGCATAAGCTGAGACATCTTCAAGGCGTGAACCTCCTAGAGATCCTTGAAAAACAAGCCGGCGGCTGCCCAGTAATACTCTGCGGAGATTTCAATGCCGAGCCGACTGAGGATGTCTACAAGGCTTTTGAGGCTAGCAAGATGGCACTGGATAGTGCCTACAAGTGTCTTAGTGAGGATGGCAACTCAGAGCCTTCTTACACAACCTGGAAAATCCGTCCAGCTGGAGAGGTGTGCCACACCATAGACTATGTGTGGTTCTCCCGAAACCAGTTACAACCTGTCAAGGTTTTACAATTGCCATCGGAGGAGGACGTCGGAAAGGACAGACTACCATCTTACAAATACCCGTCGGATCACTTGTCGCTTGTCGCAGATTTTGCATTCAAGACTTGAGGTTTGATCACTCCCCTCGCACCATTTTGAGCATGTTTCCAATTCTCCGAGTGTGAATTATGCAGTGGCAGACGTCTACTCTTGTCTCTCCCCATTTTAAAGGAATGATCCTATTGTAAAGTTTTGTGCTAGAGCAGTTGAGAGCGCTGTTGTTGCTATTTATACATTTTTGGTTTACTATTTATTTATGTCTATATTTTACCAAATAGAACATTCAAAAGTGATAGCTGTTGAGACACAATGATGAAAATTGTCTTTGAGAGGTATGAAACTCAGCGGTTTTATTGTTTAAGTTGACACATTTTTGTGGACTGCCACATTTCACACGTTTTGAGAGCTTTTTGCAAGGAGTTGACCCACATTTGCATCTTCAAATATCAGATAGTTGGCTTTCTCAAAAAATAAATTGATAAATACATGATTTTCCTAAAAAAATTACCTCAATGTCAAGTCAAATATTTGATCAAATCCAAGTTCCAATAATCAAATACTAAACTTACTATTCGAAAACGCACAGCACTGATGTGCAATTTGCATTGCCTGCGGCTGAGAGTCTTGTGTTTTATTGATGAGACCAAGGTGACTTTTGTGTGCTCAATGACAGTCTGAAACTGTTGCAGAAAGAGTATAACGGCAGGGTTCAGAAAAAGTGTAGGTAAAAAGATAACGATCCAAGCCCAACCTCCTGTTAAATTTCCACGCAATATTTAGGATCCTTTTCCTGCCACAGAATGATGTAACCTTCTTGAGATGTACAAAAACATGTACAATGTATTACATGTAAATTTGTTTTAATAGAAATGTTGAACCAACAAGAAGGATTTTTTTTATGGAAGCTGTGAAAGAATTGTAGAAAATGACCAAAACTAGCCATAAATTTTAATGCTATATTTACAAAGCGATTGTAACTGTATGTGATATTGAGGTGACTTAAGTGTTTGGCATGTTTGCAGTGTATTTATCAGTGGTGAGATACCGGCACAGGTTGAAATGCGGTATCAATAAATTCGGGCGATTCACAATGCAGTGCGCCACCAAGAGTTTGCCACGGAGAGTTCCTTTTTCCCAGTGCATTGTTGGAGATGGTCGACAAATTCGCAGCGCGGGACATTTGAAATTGTTAGTTTTTCCGGTCAGTGGTTTTGTAAGCGTATGATTCGAGTATCTTTTTGCCCTTTTCTTTTTCTTTTTATCAATACGGTATTTTTTGTAAGGCGTCAGAACGCTATTCCCCAATCTATAACAAATTAGCTCAAGTTGTCTACTGACACTCATTCAAATGGGCCATGTTTTGTCGACCGTAAACTTGAAAAATAGACTCTCCATGGCAAACTCTTCGTGGCGCACTGCATTGTGAATCGCCCGAATTGCCATATTTTTTTAACACAAAAGATCAAACACCCACCAGGGATCAATACAAGTAACAATACTATAATGCCATTTTTTGAGTTAAAACTGTTTTCATTAATTTCTATTCAGCTGTGTAGTTATAAAATCATTGCATTTAAAGAGGTCTACTACTACACCCTTTACCATTTTGATTTTTAAACCCTCCCTCTCTGGCTGGCAGCTTCAACAAGGCCAGCCTAGCCTTGGTCAATGCTCTCGTCGTTATTCGTCCCGTACGCGGTCAATCGTCGGCATATATCCTCGCGCGCTATGCACATGCATGTAAAAATACAGCGCGAACAGCGACCTCACGCGGCCACTATTTTTATGCAAATCAGTTGGAGACGATGTCGAGCCTTGGTTCAATCGTCGGCCAAAGCTTATGTTTTTCTTTACTTTGCGCTAGATTTCCAGCGCACGACCTCGTATGCGAATACAGATAATGTAGGCGGGGCTAATATGTGGAGTGTCCAATCACACCTTGGTAAATCCGGACGTCATCTAATTATTTGCAGCTATTCCGGCTTTTGCGGATGTGACAGGAACCACAGTTTTTGTGCATTGGTGCCGTGTGCAGAGACACAATGTGTATGTGTATGGATTATGTACGGTGCCACGTTTCACTATGCAAGTTTCCACGCAACGATCGACCAATAAGAAAACGACATTTAAGGTCAGCTAAGGCTATTAACATAATGAGCACCACCCCCAAAACCTCACATGGTCGATTGAACCAAGGCTCGACATCGTCTCCAACTGATTTGCATAGAAATAGTGGCCGCGTGAGGTCGCTGTTCGCGCTGTATTTTGACATGCATGTGCATAGCGCGTGAGGATATATGCCGACGATTGACCGCGTACGGGACGAATAACGACGAGAGCATTGACCAAGGCTAGGCCAGCCCACCAATGAAACTAACAGTTGAGTGCTCCCTGCCTTCATAACACAGGATTGACTGGGTGTGATTTTTTCCGAGTGCAGTTGGAGAGAGTGGGTTACCAGGGAATCTTCAAACCCAAACCGGACTCCCCGTGCCTAGATTGCATCCACAACAACGGCCCAGACGGATGCGCCGTCTTCTTCAAACCAGAGAAGTTTACTCTGGCCGGTAGCACGTGTCCCGTCTTAGAGGTAGAAGACCGGGGAAGCATTTGGCCTACAAATCAGGTGGCAGTCCTGCTGCGGTTGAAATGCAAGTCCCCCGCCGAGCATCATGGAAAGGAATTTCTTGTCGGCACCACTCACCTGAAAGCCAAGTCAAGTTGGCATAAGCTGAGACATCTTCAAGGCTTGAACCTCCTAGAGATCCTTGAAAAACAAGCTGGCGGCTGCCCAGTAATACTCTGCGGAGATTTCAATGCCGAGCCGACTGAGGATGTCTACAAGGCTTTTGAGGCTAGCAAGATGGCACTGGATAGTGCCTACAAGTGTCTTAGTGAGGATGGCAACTCAGAGCCTTCTTACACAACCTGGAAAATCCGTCCAGCTGGAGAGGTGTGCCACACCATAGACTATGTGTGGTTCTCCCGAAACCAGTTACAACCTGTCAAGGTTTTACAATTGCCATCGGAGGAGGACGTCGGAAAGGACAGACTACCATCTTACCAATACCCGTCGGATCACTTGTCGCTTGTCGCAGATTTTGCATTCAAGTCTTGAGGTTTGATCACTCCCCTCGCACCATTTTGAGCATGTTTCCAATTCTCAGAGTGTGAATTATGCAGTGGCAGACTTCTACTCTTGTCTCTCCCCATTTTAAAGGAATGATCCTATTGTAAAATTCCAGTTGTTTTGTGCTAGAGCAGTTGAGAGCGCTGTTGTTGCTATTTATACATTTTTGGTTTACTATTTATTTATGTCTATATTTTACCAAATAGAACATTCAAAAGTGATAGCTGTTGAGACACAATGATGAAACTTGTCTTTGAGAGGTATGAAACTCAGCGGTTTTATTGAGAAATGACACATTTTTGTGGACAGCCACTTTACACACATGGTTTGAGAGCTTTTTGCAAGGAGTTGGCCCTCATTTGCATCTTCAAATATCAGATAGTTGGCTTTCTCAAAAAATAAATTGATAAATACATGATTTTCCTAAAAAAATTACCTCAATGTCAAGTCAAATATTTGATCAAATCCAAGTTCCAATAATCAAATACTAAATTTACTATTCGAAAACGCACAGCACTGATGTGCAATTTGCATTGCCTGCGGCTGAGAGTCTTGTGTTTTATTGATGAGACCAAGGTGACTTTTGTGTGCTCAATGACAGTCTGAAACTGTTGCAGAAAGAGTATAACGGCAGGGTTCAGAAAAAGTGTAGGTAAAAAGATAACGATCCAAGCCCAACCTCCTGTTAAATTTCCACGCAATATTTAGGATCCTTTTCCTGCCACAGAATGATGTAACCTTCTTGAAATGTACAAAAACATGTACAATGTATTACATGTAAATTTGTTTTAATAGAAATGTTGAACCAACAAGAAGGATTTTTTTTATGGAAGCTGTGAAAGAATTGTAGAAAATGACCAAAACTAGCCATAAATTTTAATGCTATATTTACAAAGCGATTGTAACTGTATGTGATATTGAGGTGACTTAAGTGTTTGGCATGTTTGCAGTGTATTTATCAGTGGCGAGATACCAGTACAGGTTGAAATGCGGTATCAATAAATTTGGGCGATTCACAATGCAGTGCGCCACCAAGAGTTTGCCACGGAGAGTTCCTTTTTCCCAGTGCATTGTGGGAGATGGTCAACAAATTCGCAGCACGGGACATTTGAAATTGTTAGTTTTTCCGGTCAGTGGTTTTGTAAGCGTATGATTCGAGTATCTTTTTGCCCTTTTCTTTTTCTTTTTATCAATATGGTATTTTTTGTAAGGCGTCAGAATGCTATGCCCCAATCTATAACAAACTAGCTCAAGTTGTCTACTGACACTCATTCAAATGGGCCATGTTTTGTCGACCGTATACTTGAAAAATAGACTCTCCATGGCAAACTCTTGGTAACGCACTTCATTGTGAATCGCCCGAATTGCCATATTTTTTGAACACAAAAGATCAAACACCCACCAGGGATCAATACAAGTAACAATACTATAATGCCATTTTTTTTAGTTAAAACTGTTTTCATTAATTTCTATTCAACTGTGTAGTTATAAAATCATTGCATTTAAAGAGGTCTACTACTACCCCCTTTACCATTTTGATTTTTAAACCCTCCCTCTCTGGCTGGCAATTTCAACAAGGCCAGCCTAGCCTTGGTCAATGCTCTCGTCGTTATTCGTCCCATACGCGGTCAATCGTCGGCATATATCCTCACGCGCTATGCACATGCATGTAAAAATACAGCGCGAACAGCGACCTCACGCGGCCACTATTTTTATGCAAATCAGTTGGAGACGATGTCGAGCCTTGGTTCAATCGTCGGCCAAAGCTTATGTTTTTCTTTACTTTGCGCTAGATTTCCAGCGCACGACCTCGTATGCGAATACAGATAATGTAGGCGGGGCTAATATGTGGAGTGTCCAATCACACCTTGGTAAATCCGGACGTCATCTAATTATTTGCAGCTATTCCGGCTTTTGCGGACGTGACAGGAACCACAGTTTTTGTGCATTGGTGCCGTGTGCAGAGACACACAATGTGTATGTGTATGGATTATGTACGGTGCCACGTTTCACTATGCAAGTTTCCACGCAACGATCGACCAATAAGAAAACGACATTTAAGGTCAGCTAAGGCTATTAACATAATGAGCACCACCCCCAAAACCTCACATGGTCGATTGAACCAAGGCTGGACATCGTCTCCAACTGATTTGCATAAAAATAGTGGCCGCGTGAGGTCGCTGTTCGCGCTGTATTTTGACATGCATTTGCATAGCGCGTGAGGATATATGCCGACGATTGACCGAGTACGGGACGAATAACGACGAGAGCATTGACCAAGGCTAGGCCAGCCCACCAATGAAACTAACAGTTGAGTGCTCCCTGCCTTCATAACACAGGATTGACTGGGTGTGATTGTTATGAAACCTGATATGGCTGTGCTTTGACTGTAGATTGATAAGCCAACTGTGTCAATCAGTTGATGCTTTTGACTGCCACATCAATGCCTACAAGAAATATAATCTGACTGTTGGCGACTAGCCTGTGTAAAAGGCATGGCAGAGAACAGGATTAAATTTTGACTGTCTGTGACAAACAAAAGGAGGGTTATTAATATTGAGGTGGGGTTTTTTTTGGGGGGGGGGGTTAGAAAATCACAAATGTGTGCTGCAAGGTTGATTTAATTACAGTTAATTACAGGTTTTATTTATTTGGTCAAACTACATAGCCATGGCAATGCTACAACCTGAATTAAACAAAAGTAGGTACATTACATGATGATGTACTGTGCAATAAATACGTGTGCAGTTGTTTAAGACTTATCACTTTTTTTGCAGATTGCATATTGATTTGTTCTTGTATGTTAAGAGGAAAACCTCACCCACAGCATCTCGACTCCTCTTTAGAAACTGATCTGTAAAAGATGTCCAGACACTAGTGAAGGGATAACAATCTTCAGATTCAAATAAGAAGCTTAATCCTAATCCTCCTCAATCCTCCAAAGTCCTCCGTGCAGTTTTGGAGGATTCTGGAGGATTGATGATGAATGTAACGTAAACTTTTGGAGGATGGAGGACACATGGGTATTCAGTATTGGTTAATTTGAACACAAGTGCAACATTTGGAGGATGGAGGATGGTTCCTAGCAAAAAAGGCCCTGGGGTAAGGGGTTAGATATGAATTTTGGAAACCAACTTCGTTCCAGAACGTCATATTGCCCTTAACCTGTAAGATTCTTCATTAACCCTAACCATCCTCAATCCTCCAAAATCTTCCTTGTGGTTTTGGAGAATTTTGGAGGATTGAGGCTGAATGGTATTTTTTAGATCAGCATTTTGGAGGATTGAGGCTGAATGGTATTTTTTTCAGAAAAGGACTTTGGAGGATTGAGGCTGAATGGCATTTTGAGGCAGGACTGTCTGACGACTTTGAAGGATTGAGGGGCTGGGTACCCTTCATTTGAACATAAGTGCAACATTTTTGGATGAGGAGGGTTTTGGAGGATTGAGGACGAATGCATTTTGAGGCAGGAATGTCTGAAATTTTGAAGAATTTAGGCGCTGTTGTAAAATTTTGGAGGATTGAGGATGGTTCCTATCCTAGCAAAAACGCCTAGGGGGTTAGGGTTAAGTACATTTTCTGAAACTTCATAAAAGAGGGCGCACTTCAAGTACAGTTATGTTATTGCTCTCCATTAAAAATCTTAGACCACTTCATTTTAAAGTCATGCTTAGCAAAAATGATTATAGTGCGCATGCGCAAGGTATACCGCCCATTGAGTGGTAACAACATTTTGATGGATACATTATATTAAAAAAAAAAAAGTGATAACACCCAAAAGGCTGCCACCGCTGCAATGCTATCAGATATTTTCCAACTCTGGAGGTGTATACCTTGCCAAAAAACGCTATGACGATTATTCCCCTCATTTGATACCGGTGGCCAAAATTTTGGACCGAGGCTGATGGCCTAAATAAAAATGTGCTTTATACCTAAAATCCATCTTACGGTTAAATCGCAAAGTGCTAAACACAAAAACTATGCAAGAATCAAACAAGCAGTGATAGTTCACCTTGCATCCAAAACATTTTGTGGTTATTCAAATGATAGACAATCAGGACATTAAATTCGTCACATTACACAAGTGACATTAAGTCACTTTGATAGTTATTATAAAACTTAGGCCAAAAAAAAAATACTCCGGTCTCTGCACAGCGCGCGCGTCGATTTTAATCATGCGCGTCAACCTTTTTTTCCGTCAAATTAACACGGAAGCTTCAACAGCGCCCTCTATTGCCGCAACTCCTCACATTTTTGTACCAAGGAGCACCAAGGAATGGAGAAATTGCACCAAGGCAAATGATAAAGGGCACCAAGGCAAATTATGGAGAACACCAATGTATAATGAGGGCACAAAAAAGCAAAATAGTACCCATCTTGTCTGTACAATTCAAGCTTGAAAAAATTAAAAAAACACCCCCCCCCCCCCAAAAAAAACGAGTCGCCGCATCAATTCCGAAACTTCGGTCTGACCAGAGACCGATTTTTAATTTTTTTTGGCCTTATCATTGTTTTTTTTTTATTGTGCGGCATCGCTTTGTCGGCTACTTTTTTACGACTCTGAGAATCGGCACTTTTGCTTTTTCATTGATGGTATCGTGTTCATGGTACGTGATCCAACGGTCATCTACAACTTCCCACGATCCTTGCTGGACGTGTGACTGAATTGCCGCTTCTAACTTGTCGTTCCAGTCCTCCGACACCTTGGTACTCATTGTGATCATGATGTGACCACCTACGAATGAAAATGGAAACAAAACAGTTACTTTATTAACGTAACATACAACATTTGCTTTTGCTGTAAGTTTCAGATACAGACATTGATCTGTTTTGTTTTAAGTTTTGTGTTCAAAGGTGTTGGAAGAACCTAGAAAAAAAAGTGCTTTTGAAGTCTGGTTCCTTGACCCTACTTCAAACAAAACGGAGCAATTTATACACATCAGGGAATTGTCGGGTCAGGAAAACAGACTAGCTGGCTTGCACCCATTTACAAATGTGTACCCGACTGCAAACAAAATATGGAGTAACTAAATTTGGTAAATTGGGGTTAGTATTTGCAAAAAAACCCCACTTTTTTCCAATGATGGTCGGCCGACCATCGTTGGAAAGTGATTAAAAAATTCCACTTTTTTTGAAAATGACAACACATCAGTTGCCATGATTTCACAGGATGCTTGAGACTTATTTACTTACAGTCAAGTAAGGTATTTCATAATAATTTGGAAGATTTGTTTTTGATGTTTGTAAATGTTGTATATTTATACATTTAAACTTGTCAGTGTGTTAAATTCTGAAAAGATGATGCAGTCGACTACTGAGGGCATAGCACGGTTTTTGTTTTTATTCCTACACGTGACATTCACTATCGAAGCGATAACGTAAGATCTGCCAAAACTGGGATCACGCTGATGCAAACATGGCCACCACTCACTACAGATGTGCATATTTCCTGAGCATTTTTGTGTTGTTTCGTTAGAAAACTGGAAACAAATCTACAGGTGTGACTTTTATTTGTATGACTACAGTCTGCAGTGAAACAGTTGACCAGCGGAGCAGCAGACTGCTGACCACATCATCTCCGAGTGCCCCCTCTATCGCCCTCCAAACAAGTACCATGACCTGATTGATGTTGATGCAGATACTCGAGAGTGGCTTCTCAGCAAGCACCCAGAGATTTAACTACTTCTTTGTTTTGGTTTCACAAAAAGAAGAAGAAGAAGAAGAAGAAGAAGGCAGGTGCAGTAGCTGGCTGGATCAGTTGGCACGTGTGTGGCATGCTCCATCACTAGGATAAGTCCAGTGACCTCGCTCGATATTACGCAACACTCTGATAGTGACAATGTGTGACCTTGATATTGTGTTAATTCAGGTGACAATGCATGAACGTGAGAGCATGTGAACCCTCACATTGGGTGAGAATGCATCATCATGTCGGTTTTAAGGCCGTTGTCCAGTCTGTTCTGGGTTGGCCTGCTTTCTCCCTATGGCTCTCCTCCACTTGGCCCTGTCCGTCGCGTCCCTCGCATTGACTCCAAGCAGTCGCATGTCATCTGACACGGAGCTCTGCCAAGTCTTGCGCGGTCGGCCGACGGGTGTGGGCCCACCCACAATTACGTTGGTACACCTCTTGACCCAGTTGACATCCTCCTTTCTCTCCACATGACCAAACCATGAATGAATGTACGAATACACAAAGCCCCATTTGTTGACTTCAGAATATTTTAAATAGCTAACCAGTTGGGCTCCACATGACGGAGATTTGTGAGTGTGATTCTCCCCTGTTGAAGTAAGATTCTTCAGATAACCAGAAATGTCACAGTTTGATGTAAATACCTGGTTTCGTAATTCGGATGAGTTCTGGGAAACAGGCGTCGCTCACGTGGCCAGGAATACCAAAGGCTCCGCACATTACAACGGCATCATAGTGACCTGTTCAAAAATTAAGCAGCAAATCAAACATGGTTACGCATGTAACCGTGTGAGATACATCGTAAAGGCTTTGAAACAAAAGTTGGGAAAATAAATTTAAAAATCAACGGTGAGAAGGGCTGCCTGATGCATTCTTTTAAGAATAATATATAATACTGCTTATATGTTAAAAATGATCTACAATCATGCTGTGACTTACTGTCTGGAACGGTGGTCTGATGCTCATCCAACGTGTCACATATGTACTCGGTGTAAGACTGATGCTCTTTACTTTTATCAAGAGAACCTTGGGAGGGATCGAGGGCGTCGATGTTGGTGAAGCCACGCCTCTTGAGCTGAATATTAAGGGAGCAAGAAGTAACAAAACAATGAATGAAGTTTTTATTCAGGTGGAGTGATCAAGACAAATTCTTACATGCGACTCGGTCCTGCTAAGCTTACTGGATAATATGATGCTTGTTAATAATTCAAGACCAGTCACTTTAACTGCGGCTTGAGCAGCTTTTGAACTTTTATTTTTTTACGGCTGAAAACCCCTTATTTGGGTTTTCCATGTTTTCGGGCCCTATGCTGGAATGTTTATACATGTAGCTTTATTTCTGTAAATATGTCATGTTTGTTCGTAGTCTGTTTCACCAATGCACTTTTTCCTTGCGAATTTTACTTTGCTTAACTTTATTTAATAATTTGAACTGTATGCAGGACCCCAATAGAAACTAGTTTTGAACTGTTTGGGCACACCCTGGGTATAGAAATGTAATAAATAAATACTAAATAATAAAACATGTAGATTGTTTCAAATAAAATCTTCACCCTTAGTCAAACTATGTTCACCACTTTAAAGTGACTGATCTTTAACATGCTTTGGTACTGAACTCAGAAAATAACCTTGTTGTCTCAATTTGCTGCCGTCAGACAATAATTTCGGAATCTTTCCGAGCCGAGCCAGAACCAAACCATTGTTCTGACAAACGTCTCCGAACCTCACGGAACCCGAACCTGAACTTTCCACACACTGGATCGATAGTAGGTATGACTTGACCGAGTCCAAGACCCGAACCCCCGTCTCATCTCACCTCCTCGCCGACCATTCCTGTTCCAGATGCAGCATCAAGGATCCTGGAGGATTTATCTCTGATGACGTCAGACGCCAGGGCGGCCAGGTTGGCCGGACCGCTGTAGCCCACACTGCCAGTTTGCTGCCAACGAAAAATTCTATCGTAAATTTATCTCGGACAAGCATAGCTTTTGTAAACCAGGTAAGAACATTTTAACAACAGTCTCTCCAAGGAATTCCAAACGTTTTTGGTTGCGACTTCAAATTGTATCCATTTCTGTAGCGTCAATTTGGAACTTTTAATGAACATGCTTCAGCAAAATTAGAAAAGGCAACAAGTAAAAAGATTTTGATGTACAATGTAATAATTCTAAAGTAGCAAATGAAGAAAGCCCCATTATTTGGGCATGAAAGTACTGTTGTGTTATTATTGGCTCCGTGCATAAACAAGAGAGGGCACTTTTTTACCACCTTCGAGAGCCCTGCGGATGGGACACACTGCGTGGGGGCAGTGTTCTATAGTCTTTTCATGTGATCTTTCATTGCTTTATTGATTGGTTTAAATGCGGAGTCCTATTACCTTGTCTGCCTTGTAAAAGAATATGGTGGTTCATAGATCATGGCTTGGATGTGTGTTACATAATAGGCCCTTTTTCCCTGAAAGTGATGAACAAGGGCATTGAAAGGTGGGGGGGGGGGGGGGTTCAGAGGAGGAGGCTAAAACTTGGGACCAGCTTGAGTAGATAGGTCTTACTCTTGTTTACGTTTTAAGGACTCTGTAGTACCTGTGCACGAACAGCAAACATGGGCGTCGCCAGGATTTTTTCCGGGGGGGGCCAAAGCAAATTTTTCCTCAAAATTCCTTAACTTTTACATTATATTCACAATTTATCATATTTTTTCGAGTGTGAGCAGGGGAACATTTGCCCTTATCACCCCTCCCCCATCAAATTAACAGCAATATGGCTTCACACCTCTTCTTTTTTTTTTTCCTTGCCCCCCCCCCCCCTCGCGACACCCATGACAGCAAATCATCTGCGTAGTGACCAATGTAAAAACGGCATAAATGTCCAGCCAGAATGTGGCCTACCTTTGTATAGTATTCCGCCCAATTATCGTAAACCTGAGAAAGCTTCTCTCCTCCCGATAGATTTGCGTAGACTTGCGTCCGGAAATAGTGGAAACCATTCACGTCTTGATCCGTCGACTCAGTCATGGTTGAATTTTGTCTGGTTGAAGAAAAGCCTGAACTGTAGGATTAAGCAAAATTGTCATTTGTAATGTAGGCCAAGTTCCTCTGCTCCCTAACAATACCTGTATGGCGGTGTGTTTGCTTCAACTTTTGCTTTGTCGCTGAGGGGAAATTCAATAAAAGACCAGTTCCCTGTAGTGACTTATCAGCCATCAGAAAGCGGTAACATGTCATAAAAAGTCTACTTTAGCAGAGAAAATATTGACGCCTTGGAGAGATTCCCGTATCTGGTAATCGCTTGTCACCCTGTAAACTAGCCCGACTGCATCTGGCCGTACAGTGCTTGCGATAGTACTGTTACGCCCCAACTATGGTATCGGTCCAAACTATAGATGGACGGTCCCAACTGTAGTTCCACAGTTGGGCTGGCCCAACAATAGTTGGGAGTCATCAAGGGCGCCAGTTTATAGTTGGGCCACTCCAATCTTTTTACTTTGAGGCGTCCCAACTATAGTTTACATTGATGTGCAACTATAAAACATTTCCTGCAGCTCTGATACACGTCTGACTTTACTTGGGACCATTGAAATTAGCTATTGTTGGGGCCAATTATAGTTTGGCCACCCCAATCTTTTTATTTTTTGGTTCCAACTACAGTTTACATTGATGTACAACTATAAAACATTCCCTGCAGCTCTGATACACGTCTGGCTTTACTTGGAACTAGCTTTATGAAATTAGCTATTGGTGGGGGCCATCTACAGTTGGGCCATGGCAATCTTTTTATTTTGCAGTCACAATTATAGTTTACGCTGCTGTGCTAGTAGTATAAAACATTCCCTCACACGTCTGACTTTACTTGGTACCACTTAGCCCCATAAATGTGGCCTATTTTCTGGACTACCTCCGTAAACATAGGCCACACATCCACATGTACAAAAACGTGTCGCACTCTGCCAAATTTTGATTTTCACATTTAGGCTTAGTTTGTAGGTTTTTTTTGCTTTAGAAGCATACTTGCCCTCTTTATAGGCTAATCAGAAAGTGCTGCCTTTTTCAGATGTCTATTTTTTGTGAAATTTCCAGATTCATTTGCACACATTTGCGTATTAAAATTTCAACATGAAATTTCACAAAAATTAGCCATCTGAAAAAGGCAGCACTTTCTGATTAGCCTATAAAGAGGGTGAGTATGCTTCTAAAGCAAAAAAAACCTACAAACTAAGCCTAAATGTGAAAATCAAAAAGTGCGACACGTTTTTGTACATGTGGATGTGTGGCCTATGTTTACGGAGGCAGTCCAGTAAATAGGCCACATTTATGGGGCTAGGTACCACTCGGATATTAGCTATGGGTGGGGCCCCATCTATAGCTGGGCCACACCAATCTTTGAATTTTGCATAAAAAATATTGCTGGACTATAAAACCCAGCTGGACAACTCATCAAACTAGGTAGTCCGAGTAACTTGGACCAACTTATCGCCTTTTTAACATTCGGACATGGTCCGACGATACATAGTAGGGTCCAAGCTATTTCTGAAATCAGAAGGCTTCTCTCCGTCAGCCTTCTGAGAGCCTTCAAATTCGGGGGTCAGCCAACCTCGTACCCAGGGTGTCGAGCAGTACGCGCCCATCTCTACCTGCTCTCTCACCCTGGTATTGGATCATTTGCATGTGCAAGATTTTTGAACACATATGCAAATGAGGAATAGTCTGGTGCCTGCATGTGCGTTACATTAGCATTTGTTTTTGTATGCGGTGTCTGGGGTAAAAACAGAGTCAATTCGTAGCAGTGCGAGCATGGCGTGAGTAACAAAAACACAATTTTTATTCAATTAAACTGTTACGATCTTAACGAAACAATATGCAGTATCACATTTCATATTAATATTAACAAATTGGAAAAGAAATTAATATTTTCGAGAAGGCGTGGACGAATGATCGCGAAAACATGTACTGCATGTTGTGAATAACAACACCAAGTACACGATAAAAATCCATTACTAGTATAATACTAGCCAATTGCGGTATCGAATCAGGAAGAAAGTTTCCTATCCAGGGTTTACTATTGGAAACCGTGTTGGAAATAAAGTAAGCACTGGGGACGAGGTTGGGGGTCAGCACTCTATGACTTGGCTTTTGGAAATGCCCTTTGACATGTTTGAGATTCCTTCCTCCATGTTGATCCATAACTCTGAAATATTTTCACGCAATTGACATTTGGATCATGGGAAAAAAATTTGGGTGGAAAATCTGAGTTTTTTACTCACCAGCCTCGCGTCTCCGATCTGACGAATGCAAGGTTATGTAATGTTGTTCATGCATGTCATGTGTGTGTGTTTACGTCCGTTGCGCGTGCGCTGATCTTACATTGGGCTCGACCATTTGGGATGGAGGGGGTATGCTTTGCATTGCGCAACAGTACATGTACGTCATTTTGGCGCGATGAATACGCTGCGCTGTATGGTCACAAGTTGTCAGTTTTGGTGGACTGTTTACTGATGGATCTTTTCATCCCTTTTTGTCAAATTCAAAAACATAACGAAACAGTCTCAACTGAAAACAATTCATGATTAAAACACTCGAGTTTGAAATCGATATGGTTGGAATTAGACCCGTGAACGTGGCGTTGTATACAACGCCACGTTCTTGTTTCATTTCGAACCTGGCGAAATCGATCCGACATACATAATTCCGTGTGGGTGTTGAGTACTCACCTAGAAATCTAAAATTGCCCGTCCGATTGTTTCGGCTGTGTAATTTCGACGAAATTTGCCCATCAGTAAAGACCCATACAAACGTGTAGAAATTAGATTTTAACCTGACCCTGACAAATAACCAGGACGCGTCCGAGTCACTTGGACAGATTGACGGCTGTTTCATGTCGCAACCCCGAAAAAACCCCGCAGACGATTGGCTGCTCGGCTCATCTCGTGTACAGCAGTACGTGTGTATGCACACACCACTGATCTCTATATAAAGACTGGATAGCGGATATGCATACAACATTCACACAGTAGACTTTGCATGTTGACCAATTCGCCCCCGGTCTCACGAAGATGGCCGCGTATAATACGAACGTTCTACGCGTAAATACGCGCGCGTTGTATCAACAGTTGACGCGCATTTTGGTCACGTACACATATTATGATGTTCTAAAAGGGACACATTTCCGTAGTGATTATTATTTCAAAACGCCGAAAAAGTTATATTTGCGGCATTTAGTAACCACGACGTTAGAAAAATTGTAGTTAACCTTGGTCAGTGATGGTGGTCAAAATATAAGTCAAGTGAACCGCGACGTTACAAAAGAAATCATGCTGTCTATAAAAACGACAACTTGTCCTTTGTAGATCACCAGCCGGTCTCACCAATATGGCGTCAAATTCGTACATTGTGCGGCTCTTTATTAGCTATCCAGTCTTTATAATAGAGATCAGTAAATACACCCCGCGCCGGCCCCAGACACAAATCCGCACTGTACACGGCCGGACGTACAGTATGTACAGTAACCATGCCGTGGAAGATCGGCGCCTCATGAGGCCGCGTAGTGGTTACCGCATGGGGTGTACGTAGTACGTACGTATGGTACGCACATAGGTACTGTATGCGTACCGGTCGGCAACGTGCGCTGTAATGTACATTTACATGTACATGTACTGACAACAACCTGTATACGTACGTCTGCCGGATCGGACCGTTTGTTCAGGTAAAAAGCTTGGCTAGACAGCATTCGTCAAGGCTAGACTGATTCCCTCTCAAATGAAATGACTTAAAAGAAAAACCGAGAACCAGTGTTCGGCTCTCATTCATACTGCCTTCCTGGTATGCTTGCAATACGCATTGTTGTCATGATATCAAACGATAAACAGGGCTAGTGGACCACCGAGGCTGACGCACGTAGGTTTGAAATTATTGCATATTAAATAGGCGATGTCATTTTGGTACGAATAATGATAAAACATGAAGGCCGGTTCATACTACGGTTCTTACCTTTTCCCGTTAAACTACATTATACGAATACGAATTTAATATTCGGCGTTAAGAATTAAAACAAAAGTGTACACGACTGTACATAATATTGAACATGACGAGGAGAACACTTATTATCAAGCGTATGTTTCTCGATGTTGAATTAAAAAAAAAAATATGAATGGCGACAAAAAAACCTCTTCTTAGGCCAAAAAAAAGTCTCCGGTTTCTGGTATGCGCGCGCGTCGCCGTAGCCATGCGCGTCGGCAAAATGAAAAAGTTTTTTTTTCAATGAAAGATGATGTCTCAAAACCGCCAAACTCACTGGTTTGACTGGAATCCTGCTGCTGCACAATTTTAACGTGTTTTTAGATGGGGTTATGGTCGAGAATAAGCTTTATGTGGCCTCTCTGGACTCCCATATATTTGCACTCAGTTTAGTCGGACACCATTTGCAGTCATCAGCCGACATTTGAAGCAAAAAAATCAGGTAAAAAAAAAAAAAAGCTGCGTCGCCGCACCACTTTTTGGGCAAGCTCCATACCAGAAACCGGAGACCTTTTTTTGGCCTTATTACCCTGTGTCACATCCCTTTTCCTTCTCCTGCCGAACAATCCCTCCTTTTACACACCTATTCATCTCACACTTCCCTCCCTTCTCAACCCCCTCCCCTTGTTCCTTCCTGCCCCTTCCCTTTGATCTTCACCTACTGCCACACTCCCTTGGTCCACGCCCTCTTCATGTTTAATACCTCAATTTGTGTTCTCCTTCCACCCTTGTGTGTCCCCTACGTAAATGTTTCTTGTACCACTGTCAGTCTGAAGCAGGTCACGGTCTTGTTAAGACCGAAACATCAGGCCTAATTTTTTTTAGTTAAACAACTCAAATGAATGAGATAAAATAACATTTTTTGGCTTAATTTTCCAACTGTCTCTGCAAACGTTTTACACCGAAATGAGAAAGTCTCACTCACCACCGATAATGCTGCGCTATCGCTGACTCGGATGTCTGGTGATGTCTAGTGCTTCTTACTGCACTGCAGTATTGGGAGTGGTGTTCAGACCGAAGTTGGAGGCGTTAATATAACCTACAGTCGTCATTTTGGTTGGTAAGCAAGAAGTCATTCGTTGCTTTGATGCACCGAGGAACCGGCAATGACAAACGTATAGATCTCTGTGATGATTAGCCTATAACCCTCCTCTCCTTTTTTTTTGGTAACGAAATATCGACGTTGCATCTGGCGCCGTTTTTGGTTTTTGTCTCTTGAGATGTGGTGATGGAATTACATTGATATGTAATTTCAGTTTCACTGAAACAAGACGGCGGTTCCTGTCCGTAAAGCACAACCTTCAGAAATTGAGTGAATTATACTCTTACCTTGCTGGTTATTTCAACATATGAAGTTTTGCGTATATGGGTGACGGGGAGTTGATCATTAACCCTAAAAAAGCCGGGGAGCGGAATCCGCCCCCCCCCCCCGCTCAACTTTTTCCGCGATTGCCTTAAAAAAATTTGCGACCCGAGCTGTTATGACTTTTTAGCCTCGAGCCTTGCGCATCTTTTGATACCAAAAACATAAAAATCGGACGACGGGTTGCCGCGCAGAGAAAAATTTTCCGGCGCTACGCACAGTGATAACTTAATTTTTCCATTAAACGTCGTGTACACAGAGCAGAACTACCATTCATACATATGAATAATTAATTAGCCGTAATTCCAAAACCCTTTGACCTATAGTCATGAAATTTCTTGGGTATGTTTATGATGAAATGCTCTATGCATGTACCGATTTTCAAAATTGTTTGTCACTCGATGGCAGAGATCTTAGGGGGGGGGGGCGAAATCTGCCCCCTACCCGGCTGAGAGATGGTCAAAATAACCCGGCCCTTTCAGGGTTAAGGCAGTGCTATATAGTGCCAGAAATCACTCACATTTGTTTTTGTTTTCTTCAATCACCTAAAGAGTAGTGTTCCTCCTGGTAATTTAGCTGTGTTTCGTTAAGTAGTGGTTCCCCATCTGTTCCTTTTGCCGCATTATACCCACGCACCACGCCACGTTCATTACGACACCAGCAGAGAAGCCTACGGTACCTTTGTACCCTCTCGTCCTGCCCATACAGTCCTGTCTGCTGCAGAGTCATTGTTTTTTTTTCAAGCCAAAATATAATAAGGTCTTTTATTTCACACTTTATTGGTATTCAGTGTTTGTTCTGTTGGTTTTAAAAAAAAAATTTCTAAATCTGGTTTTACTTTAGATTGGTGTGTGTTAGTTTTTGAGTGTAGTCCGGATTTCGATTCTTGTTTTCGATACCTCATTTTAGTTGCTTTCTTAAGTCTTGAACTAGTTGAAGTTGAGTACACAAATTCTATAATGTGTCGTTTTGTTTGAAACTACAAAATAATGTGTATGGTGTCTCCACTATTAATGCAGTTCCTCACAAACTTTCCCTTTTTGTTTATATTTTAGTATAAAGTTTAGTATTATATTTTTTAGTTTATAGTTTTGTTTTTGTGCGAGTTCCCCCCTCCTCCCAATATTACAATGGAATCGAATAAAAAAGAGTTCATGGTAGTTCCAATTAATCTTAAATGAATACATTGGAGTCGAGGTGAGCTCGTCTACATCGCCCATTAAACGCGTGCATGCTGGTGACATCCATAATATTGCGCTCCCATTGGACGAATGTTTCTAATCCGGTGACCTGGGTCAACCACATGAGGGTGCACGTTTATTATCGTGCGCAAGGAGTTACCAAGCAACCTCGAGCTAGAAATACGATTGGTTAAAACTCACGCAATGAATTATTCATGTCGATGACGTATTACGCTCATGACGTCCACGCCATGCGCTCACGACCATCCTGTTAGTAAATAAATTATTTTGGTGTCGCATGTCTTGAATCGAAACCCAGTAACGTGGGTTTTATTCTAGACAGATGTTACATTGTCACACCACCCTCTCTTGGCCTTGTTATAATCGTATCGATTTGACTACATGATCCACCATTTGCTATTGATAATCAAAAACAAATGCAGTGTCGTTTGTGGACACGAGAAGTAACTAGATATAGTAAGCTTATTTTGTTCCATCTGTCTCAGGGTTCGAAATTAGGGGGGTAGCCCGCAAGCCAAATGCTAGTCAAAACAGCGGCGGGCTAGTCAAACTAGTCAAACTAACTTCACACTTCATCGCTTTCGCTTCTGCTACATAGGTGTTTTCCTTCTTAGAGTTTAGGCATTCTCCTGAAGACGGTCAGAGCATACTGACCGGAGCGTCGAGTTTATACCTCTGGTTCTTTTCAGAACCATTCTCTTAATTCTTCGCACATAGTGTTTCCGCAAAACCTTTCATTATTAAGTACTTAAGTAGCCCGGCTGGCAAGTCAAAAAAATTTGGGGCAAAGATGAAAGGACAGGAAGAAATAAATCATTGAATTCAGAAGTCAAACCTGTATCAATTTGTGTATAGTTTTATCAACTGTTTTAAGTGGTTACCTGATAAGATCTGTCTATTAAAAACACTGACAAAATAGGAGGCTTTTTTTTGTACCTAGATCTCCTTGTTCGATCACGGGTTTTTTTCACATCGCGTACTTGCGTGAGAACGAAAATGGTAACGACGCGAAGATTAACCAATATACATCAGATGGATATTAGTTTTTTCAGGCTCATTTAGATCACTTTTTAATACAGTTCCTATCAACTGTCACTTTAAATTTGCATGTGAATGAAAATAAATCCCTCAAGTTTTAAAAAAAAAATTGTCTGCTACAAAATTATTTCATAAATTTTCATGCTTGAACGAGTGATCGAGTTCACATCGAGTGCACACGGAAGTTTTCGGAAGTGAGAGGTCAATTTTTTGCACGATATTTCTCTTTCACGTCATGCGATTTTTCAGTTTCCATAAAATTGCGAGGGTGATTTTCTAAGAAATCAATATACCAAACCTAATGTCAAAAACCTTAGTTCCTTTTCGAGGGGCCCTGAAGCGCGCCACCAGGTGTCAACTTTCAGGCTATATACACGTTTTACATGTATGCACGTTGTTGTTTATGAGACACTCTAGTGAAAAAGCCCGCGGACTAGTTAGGTCGAACCCTGCTGTCTACACTCTTGGCCGGCCATGGGCGTCGCCAGGATGGGGCAAGGCCCCCCCCCCCCCCCCGAAAAGCAAAAAGCAACACAAAAACAAGAAGAAGGGAAAAAAGAGGTGTGAACTTGAACTCATATTTGCTATTAATTGAATACACACTTAACCAAATGGGCGCGTCTGCAGGGGTGTCAATGGGGTGGGGTGAGTTAACGTCCCCCGCCCACCCTCGAAAAAAATTGAGAATAAATTGAGAATATATCAGACAAAGTACAAGGTAAATGTGCCATTTTGTCTTTGAGCTTCCGGACCTCTGATCTCCGCCATGCGCCGCCTGCGATTTATTTTTCCATACCACATATTCGCTATTAAACAACACCTGAATAAATCCCCGTTATCTGATTGGTTGATCGTTGATCACATGTCATTGAATTATTCGTCCCAACGCACTGCGCGGCCGCACCACGAAAACAGAAGTTCTATTGCACGGTGAATGGAAGTTCTATTGCACGGTTTCATTACTGCCGGTGGTGGCGCTGTATTACGAATCTGATTCACAGAATGTCAAATTGACGGAAGATACACGAGAATCCCCGTTTGTGCTCAGAAGAAATAGCGGAACTCTATGTGAATGCTGACGCTGCTAACACAAAGAAGCAAATAAGATTTGCTGGCAAGCGATTAGGCGAATTTGATTATGGTAGTTTTAACATACATAAATTGGATAGGATAGTTCTGAACCTAGGAATATAGTTGCTGGCTAGTTCTGAACTTGTCGAACAGTTTTGAATAAATCGGATATTGGAAGGGACCACCAATTTGTCTGAATAAGTAGAACATTGCAATAGAACCGGAATAGTTATTCTTTTTTGTTTTTCAGTTGACAAGTATAGTGCTCGTATAATACCCATTTGAATCACCTTTCGTTTGTTATTCCACATTATATGCATCATCACAGTTTTATAGGCACGTCATTCTTTCCGAATTACTGGGGCAAAACAATATGGAATAGACTGTGTATAGGAAGGCAGTTAAAATGCATTACATGTAGGGGGGGGTCAAAAAAATTCATAGAAATACATTAAAAATAATGCAAACCCCCTCCTCCCCCCCCTGCTCTGACGCCCCCCAAAAATATACTGGTAATTATGTCCGTCTGTGCACAAAATTCAGACAGAGCCAGCTTGTTTAGGGGGTCAATATAGTATTAATAATCGTCGGATTTGAACAGCGCCCCCATTGGAAGTATGGTATGAGCCCCCCATTCCCCCCCCCCCCCTATTGATTTTACGGAAGCCAAGTGTCCGGACAAAAACAAACTCTGTCTACATTTCAGCAATGATTTGCTGATGACCCCCCCCCCCTGCAAAAATTCCTGGATCCGCCCCTGACATGTCAGTAAGGCCCTCTGTCGGGGGGGGGGGGGGGGGGTCAATAGCCTGAATCCAACACCAGCTATGTCAATTGTTCTGCCCTCGCTGGATGATTTATAGTTTAGAATTAATAACACTAATGGTTCTTACTTCTTCTTGGCTTTATTCAACATCAGAACTCTCGTACAGAAACACTTTTCAAGCGAAAGTTTACCGTGATTTTTGTCTGGTCTCTTTTGACCACAGGAGAATGCAACTTGCGGAAACGGATGACATTACTTGCAGTAATCAATAAATGGTGGTAGGTTTTTCTTCAACTAAACGTTTAGTGCTACAAGATGACAGACTCTGCTCTATAAACGTCGGCAAAATCTTGACACTATTGAGAGCAAGGCTTTTCTTTATTATGTAAACAAGCTTACAAGTTGGGCCGAGGATGGCGCTGAAAGAACTTGAAACAAAACGGTCAGACAAAAAAACCCACAAAACACATTTTTTTTCATGCTTTTATTGTTTCATTTTATTTATTCATGCATATAGTCCTGAAAGGAAATAACTAATTCTATATAGACATTAGCGACATAAATAGAAGCTTAAATTCAATAAAGAAATCAAATTCTGGGTTCGACTGAAGCTTGTCAATAATTCTTGCAGAAAACTCTTTCAATTCATTAGGTCTCCCGTAATGGTTTCTCAGTTTACTTTGTATTTCAAGTACCAGTTTTCATCTGTTTCAGTCAGGAAAAATAGGCGCAATTTTGCATAACCTTGATTATGTTATCTACCATAAATTAGTTTAAGATTGCCAATGCACTTCGCACCATACGACACAAGTATTATGATGCTTAAAGGAAACCGTTATACCAAAAGCAAAATCACATAAAATATTCCAATTAGCCATTCCTAAAGGCGGTCGCGTTGTTTTTCAATGATCAAAGAAAATGTTCCACATGATTAGAAATCGCCCTAAAGTGAATGTCAGTTCAGTATTGTTAACATTGGACAAGGTTCAGCAGAATTTGAACCATGATGAGATTTGTTTCTTGAAAGACACATAACCCAGATGTATAGATCTAATTAAAGTATAATCTTAGCAGAAGATAAAACTCATGAATTTATTAATTTCAAGTGATTATCAATTAACCAGGTCTCAAACCAGTACCATTTTCACTGCAAAACTGCAGTGTAAATTGAACACCGGTAGTCCTATATAGATACAGTGGCGTCGCCAAGGGGGGGCCAGGGGGGGCACGTGCCCCCCTGGAAAACCTAGTGCCCCCCCGAGTGCCCCCCCATCTGAGATTTGGGTTGGTAAAAAAATATATATATATTTTGTTATATTCAACTCCCATCATCTGAGTTGGTTAAATAGCAATTTCTGGAGATATCTTCAGATCGAATTTAGCATCAAATGTGGCACCATTTTGCATCTAGCCCATCCTCCGTATGCGAAAATTTTCCAAAGGGGAGGGGGGCACCCCCTCCCCTTAGACCCCTCCCCCAGGACGGCGATCCGTATCCACCTATAAAGTGCCCCCCATCAAATGCTGGTGCCCCCCCTGTGCCCCCCCAGACTGAAAAGTCTGGTGACGCCACTGTATAGATACCACCGGTGTCAAATTGACACTGCTGTTAGATTTGCAGTGTGTCGTACGTTTGCCTTCCTGATCGAGAATCCCTTTTAGTCAGTTTTCTTTTTCCAAATATTGTCGCTGGAGTTGACTACCCACACCAGGCACGACAGAGACTCAACTTGCTTTGCGCCCCCTCCGATCTTATGCCAAGTGCTACCCCAGGGTGTGGCGGGCGTCACACCCCCTCGATAGTAGATCGCATCCCCGGCGTTAACCCCGTACACCATGTCAGCCGAACTGATATACTTGAGCGCGCCTGAGACCTGTTTCCACCTCGTAGCGTCTGGGTCAGTGGGCAGGTCACCGTAAGTACCCACCCTGTATTTGATATTATCGCCCGCAGTCACACCCCACACCCCGGAGTTACCCACTGAGATCTGCTTCAATGCCCCTCCAATCTGCCTCCAAGAGTCCCCGCCCTGGTTGCAGTTGCTTGCCCCAATGCGGTGATAGATGTTGTCATTCCTATTGACCCCCCAAACATGCCCATTTTGACTAACACTGACGTGTTTCAAGGCCCCAGACACCTGTGCCCATCCCGTACCAGTTGGATTAGTCGCGGATATGCCTTGTCTGTAATAGATGTTATCGTTTGAGTTTACGCCCCACACTACGTTCTTCCCCACGTCAAGCTGTTTTAGAGCCCCACCGATTTGTTGCCAGGCCGCACAGGTTGCGCTCTCTTCCTCACCGTACGAGTTGCCTCTGTAGTAGATGTTATCGTGAACGTTGACGCCCCATACTCCTGACAGGCCCACTGATACGTGCTTCAAGGCCCCAGGGAGGTGACGCCATGACGTGGTCGCCGGCTGGCAAGCGCAAGTTGGCCCAAGAGCCTCAGTGATGATGCAGAGGGCCCACACCAAACTGAAGGCGGAAAAAGAAAAAAAAACACCTCTAAACGTCTTGGGTGCATTCATGAGCCTCGACTCTAATGACAACCTCTTTTCCATGGGTACGATCCTGCTGCGCCATGTTGGTTCCCATCACGCCTTGCGTGATCTAAACACCTGTGGTCAATACCAGACCAAATGTTTGCCGAAGAGGAACATTTGGTAATCTTTCCCGTTTTTGTGGGAGACGAGAATGGTTACGTTTCCAAAGGAAAAATTATTTTGCTCATCCCTAGACTGATTCTAGCCTTGACCAATGCTGTCTACATAGCCAAGGTTATTTTTTAAATCTGAGCTGAACAAACGGTCCGCGGCACACGTAGCTAGCTCCGCTTTGCCTGGCTGTGCGATACACCCACTGATCTCTATATAAAGACTGGATAGCGGATATGCATACAACATTCACACAGTAGACTTCGCATATTGACCAATTCGCCCCCGGTCTCACGAAGATGGCCGCGTATAATACGAACGTTCTACGCGTAAATACGCGCGCGTTGTATCAACAGTTGACGCGCATTTTGGTCACGTACACATATTATGATGTTCTAAAAGGGACACATTTCCGTAGTGATTATTATTTCAAAACGCCGAAAAGTTATATTTGCGGCATTTTAGTAACCACGACGTTAGAAAAAATGTAGTTAACCTTGGTCAGTGATGGTGGTCAAAATATAAGTCAAGTGAACCGCGACGTTACAAAAGAAATCGGGCTGTCTATAAAAACGACAACTTGTCCTTTGTAGATCACCAGCCGGTCTCACCAATATGGCGTCAAATTCGTACACTGTGCGGCTCTTTATTAGCTATCCAGTCTTTATAATAGAGATCAGTGGCACACACACGCGGGCGCACGTGCGACCGCGTGCGGTGCGGTGAGAGAGGAAAGGACTTGAAACGTGTCTAAAACGATGTCTGTTTTAGCTGCGACAGTAAACAGCCGTCGCATCATACGAAAATAAAACGCAATGTGCATGCGTCAGTTGGGAGAAAATGGCAGCTAGCAGTATATGGGTGCGCGCCTGCAAATAAATTCCCATAGACACTAGTGCTAAATGTCCATACTTCAAAATTCATTTAAAAATACTCAGAACTCTCACAGGTATTCAAGCTGCACAGAAAAATGATGATCAACATGTCATCTTTCATTTTCTTTTCAATTTTGGGTGGGTTGACCATTGACTTTTTGAGATATTCTCACCCAAATAAGAACACCCCTAAAACGAATGATGTTTCCCGAACTGGAAAAGTAGCCATTTTGAAAAAGAATCCCTCCACAACATGGCTAAATAGCGCCACTTTCGGGCCAGATTGCATCCAAAATGATCAGAATTGGAAGCTCCAAGTCCAGGCCAGAGGTTCAGTGCCACATGTCTTCAATTCCCCAATTCCATGGTTCTCAGAACTCTCTAATATAGAATATTTTGAGGGTATAACTTTTATTTATGAGCTCGGCGGACGGATTTTTGGTCTATTTACAGGCGTGCACCCATATAGCGGACTGACTTCATGAACCGGGGCCAGAGTTTTCCTCAATTTTCGTCAAATGCAAGTTTTGACGTACAAATAGAATTCAAGACAGCTTCATATGTGAGTACTTATTACATGGGCAAAATAACGTCCAGTGTGTGTAACGGAGGGAGTCAGAGGGACACGTTCGACAGGTTTGAAATGACATAAGAACATGGCGTAGTTTACAAGCCACGTTCACGGGTCTAGGTACAGGTTGGAATAAGCCTTTTCGGAGTTCCAACTGCGCATTCACAACCTGTGACAATGCGCATTATTTGTCTCAGATGGCCTTTGACATCATCGCGCCACTGACTTTACAAAAAGGCTGTTTGTGCATTGTGGGTACTGTCAAAGGGCATTTGATACAAATAATGTGCGTTGTCACAGGTTACGAATGCGCGCAGTTGGAACTCCGAAAAGGCTTATTAGGAAGTGGCTGTGATCATCTTTCTACGGAAGACGGATAGTGCCACTCATTGAGTGAAATTATTTTTTTGGTGCGTGTGAAAATATTTTTTTTGTATAGCGGCCGCCACTTATTATGTGGCGGCCGCCAGATAAATAAGTGGCGGCCGCCACATAAAAAAAAGTGTGAAAATATTTCTTTGTACAGCAGCCGCCACTTATTATGTGGCGGCCGCCAGATAATAAGTGGCGGCCGCCACATAAGTCGTCATAATAAGTGGCAGCCGCTGTACAAAAAAACATTTTCACACCTACAAAAGAAATATTTTCACACTTTTTATGTGGCGGCCGCCAGATAATAAAAAAGAGTGTGAATACATTTTTTTGTACAGCGGCCGCCACTTATTATGACGACTTTGTGGCGGCCGCCACTTATTATCTGGCGGCCGCCACATAATAAGTGGCGGCCGCTGTACAAAAATATTTTCACACGCACCAAAAAAATATATTCACACTCATTGAGTGGCACTATCCGTCTTCCGTATCTTTCATACGTTTAAGTTAACAAAATATATTTCATTCCGTTTATAGCCGATATGCATTGCTTGAATTAAATTTTGTATTAGTATATTATTTGTTAGTGTAAGGAACGCGCACGCGCCCCTGGATGGAGTCGAGGCTGGAACGCGAGTCCCATTACATTGTCGAGTGCAATTTGAGTCCTCCGCGCAAGTTTAAACTTGCGCGCACGCAAGTTTAAACTTGCGCGTGCATTAATTTTCTAGCTACAAATTGCGCTCGCAAGTTTAAACTTGCGCGCTACATAGATTTTTCCCACGCATGCAAAGCCGCCCAACTAATTTTTTTCCTGGAAAACTCATGCAGATATGTAACATTATTTTCTCCAATTAATAGCACCACTGTGCTTCGTGAGACATAATACTGCAAATAAAATGTTTCAAAAAAGGCATTAAGGCATTGGCCTTAATGCCTTTTTTGAAACATTTTATTTACAGTATTATGCTAATGATGTTGACTGTGTGGGCTTAGAGATAAGGGGTGGTAATGCGAACAATTTATGCACTTTCATGATATGTATTATTGTTTATGGCTCTTTAGGATTTTTGTTAAATAAACAACATATTTATTCATTAATTCGAATTAATTAATTAAATTAATAAATTAAATTTATTAATTAAATCATTAATAAATTTATTTACTTTTTAAAATAATTACCATTTTATATGCATAGCGTTTTTAAGTTAAAGCACGTAAACATTAGTGAGCCTGCAAGTAAAATAATTGTTTAGAGTAATAATTTAAATTAATTAATTAAATTAGTAATGAGTTCATTAAATGTTTTTCAAATTATGCATTCTTGAAGTGTACACAGTGCTCGAAATGTTATTAAAAGTATTTTTAATAACAAAATGAAATATTGTACCGTCCAATTAATTAATTGCTAAATTAATAAAAGTAGTATTTCTTTAAGAATATGTACTTTTTTAGTACAGTACATGTAATATAATTTAAAGCATTTAAAAAATAATGTAAATGATTACTATAACGTCAAAAATCTTGAACAATTGAAGGGATGATAATCATTCTCGGGTTACCCCTAGGAAATTGTGATTTATTTACATTTAAGAATATAAATAAAATGCTAATTAGTTTTACATATGCAAGGTAAAAAACCTTGAAGCAAGTTGTCTCCATTTATGAACAACTTCAGTACGCTTGGCTGGTCCCCTTCCCGCCCTCGCCCCCTAAAAACTTCTCTGATATGTACTGCTTAATATCAATGTTTCTTTTCATTGCCGCTAATTGAATTCCACTTTTTATTAATTTCTTTGTACATTAATTTATTCCATTATTTATTAATTTATTTCTCCTTGTGTTTCAAACATTTATTTTTCTTCATCAATGAAAATCCCGCCCGCAAGGTTCTCAAATTGCGATCGCCTTTGCGTAAGTTGTAACGTGCGCACGCAAATGAAAATGGCGCGGTGTAATTTGCGTGCTGTAATTTGCGTGTAATTTCGGGAGTTCCTCGCGCCAGTTTTAACTTGCGTGCGCAAGTTTAAACTTGCGCGGGGGACTCAAATTGCGCTCGACAGTACCACCGGCATAACAGCAATTGAAAGTATTCCCTGGGCCGTTTTTTCCATCCGTGGCAACTCGAATTGACTGACCAGCTGACGGGGGAATTAAATATAAGTTTCGCTAACAGATATACCGGTATCTGGAAAGTAGTCTTCCTCGACATCGAGGGACAGCCAACATCAACAGATACACCTCACTGCAAACCTATGAAAATGGAGACAACCGGTAAAGAGCTCGTCGATTTGCGGAAGGCCACATATGACCACGGGTTTGCTGCAGAAAAAGGCGGCGACCCGATGTCTGGATTTTACAACTTGTGGGCAGGAAAATACGATCAGGTAGGCCAGAACCACTGAACAATAGAAAAAAGATATTCGTTAATAATACATTATCAACAGGCATGGCAATTAATTTATAGTGTGAGCTTCTATACATTATTATGACGTCCATTCAGGCATGGGTGTAGCCAGGATTTTGTCGGGGTTGTTAGGGGCCCGCTTTTAATAAGGGCCCCGAAAAATTGGGATTCTAGACGTTCTGAAATCTGGGGCAATTTCCCTTTCACCATTTGTGTCTGTTAGCCAAACGGATCATCATGTAAATGTGGCAGGGCCATATTTTACTTGTAGTGTTTAACGTATTTGTGTTATTATCGAGTTTGGAGTCATTGAATCAGCTACTCTGAATCTGCAGCTAAATAAAAATGTAGGCCACATTTTTGTATTCGGGGACGAAATAGTTAGGAGGGGAGATGTTAAGATCACCAGTAAAAACAATAACAGGGGACGACAATGTCCCCCCCCCGCGATATTTTTTTCCGTACGGCGTTTTTCTGTACTCATGCATACTATGGGCGTATTTCGAAATACTTCAAGCAGCTCCATGGTTCAAGTCAGGTTCTCGGACTTTATTTTCCCTTGACAAAAAAATCCTCCAAACCACATAGAAAAATGTTCCAAATGACTAACAAACGTTTTTAAGAGATAAAAAAGAAGTAAAGAAGTTAAAAAAGTATCCACTGGGAATCGAACTCGCACAATCGGGTAGCATCCATGTTACTACAGCAGGGTCGATATGGTAGTTTTAAACATTATATTATTGCATATTTAGGGCCCTCCCGCACAATTCTATATTATACTATATATACTATATAAAATCGTCCCGCCCTCCACCGATCGACGCCATACGGTGGCACCCTGCTTCAGAACGACATGACTTACCGCGTGCATATCGCATGCACATCATTTTCTATACGTATTGAAGGGCCTACCCATACTAGAGCTATAGATTAGCTCTATGGGCCTATACCTACATGATGTACATGTACAATGTACATGTACATGTACATTACAGCGGCAGTTGGCGAAATCGAAAGTTCTGAGAGAGACCCTAAAACATGTTTTTAAAAAAGAAAAAAAAAAGAACGCGGTGTGTGTTGTGTGGGTAGGCCTTTTGTGGCAAACTGCGGTAATTTCGAAGGCCCTAGGCACAGTGCCTGTGCCAATTTGGGCCTGCGTATTTTTACGGTCACGGGGTCGAAGCGGCAGGTTGGCGGAGTGCACCTTCCACCTCTGTGGATAAGTTGAAATTCCCAGCTGAAGGCACATGGAATGGGTTAACCCGTACCGGTGATTCTCGGGCAAATTCCCGGCTTGGAATAGCATTACCGGAACGTTACCGGTAATTTCGTTATCGTCTGTATCGTATGCTGTCTCGGAAGTACATGTTGTACGTGCACTTCTTTGGTCGAGAGTCGAGTGCATTTTTAAAAGTATTTTCTCGCATTGAAAATTTGAAAAGGTTCTCAATCCCAGATTCATAGATTTTCAATTATTTTTGCAATGACTGATCTTCACTGAGATAATATCTCTATACGACGAAAAAGTGGCGTCAGTGTGCCATATAGTCTTTCCATAGTGGAAAGGCTACAGTTTTGCACTTATATGCAAACCCCTTGGTTTCGTAATACAAGACGGGAACATGAAATAAAATAATATTCAACTTTCAACAACTTTCAACTTCACCTGTAGTTAGAGAAATGCAGGCCTACACGTACACGTACGTGGCTTTTCGTAATCTTTTAAGTTTTATTGAGGCCGCGCCCGGCGCGCATTTTGTCTTCTGATACGCGTGCAGGAGTTAAGTCATTTCATAGATATAGACCGCTTGCAGACGCGTTCGATAATCGACGCGCGAAGGCGCGCGACGCCATGTTGTGGGACAAGCGCATATCTATCCATGCACATTTTGTCCCACAACATGGCGTCGCGCACCTTCGCGCGTCAATTATCGAACGCGTCTGGAAGCGGTCTATAGAATAAAAGACTAGATCGGCAGCGCGTGCATACGCGCGGCCTTGCATGGAGGGTCACGTGCTGGAGGAAAGATACAAATTGCGCGCTAGACGTGACGAACGCACTGCCGTTTACGCGCACAATGCAAGTTTATTTCTGTGACTTGAGACCTTCAATGCTATTAATAATTATACACAAGAGAATAAATAAGAAACACCGTTCTCATTATGTTAAAATCCCAGTCTACTCTTGTTGTTTATTTCAATCAGTATCTCTTGAACATAGATGCTGATGATTATATGACCAGGGCCTACTTAGCAAACTCGGTTGTCTTAAAATCGGTTTACTTTGCAGAAAACAAACTGATTATCGATCCCGTAGCTGAAATCAAAAGTCACCAACGTGTAAGAGTGCGTGAGCGCAGCGCTTAAATACTCGGTGCGCACTAGCTCGCGCGTGTTGAGCTAGGTCACGTGCTGGAGGAAAGATACATTTAGCTTCATTACTTTACGTTGATTTGTTGCGCGTCCACGAGACTGAGACAACCAAAATGGCGCAGATTTATCGCACAGTGAATGGGCGCGTGTGGACGCGCTGCCGATCTAGTCTTTTTATTCTATATCTATGAGTCATTTACCTTAATACGCACGCGTGGAACATATCCAGTGAGTACATTTTCTTTCTTAAATATTGTGTTTAAAGCTATAGTCCATCATTTGCAGCCATCCGAAAAGTAACTGGCGTAATTATTGTTGAAAAACAAACTTGGTTGAAAGATAGTAAGGGAACTAAACTCCCTGTGAAATTATTCTTTCTGGGAAGCTGTCATTTTGAAGTAATTAACGAAAGAAGGCATTTCCAACGGTGATTCTTAAGAAGCACCGTAGGAAAATTTAAATTAGTAGTTCGTTTTGTTATTCAGCGCAGCGCGCACAAGTTTTGGAACGACGCACACGCGCGCGCGGTTGTTATAATTCGTCGGATCAGTGCGCTACGTCGCGTATAGCTGCAATTCAAAAAAATTCAAAACTTGATTCAGTAACTTTTGATTTGAAATTGAGATCTTAGAATGCTGTTTTTTTCGGAATGTACAGCTGAAGCTTAGCTGAAACTTCATCAGGTTAGTTGCTCAGTATCCTTCATTAGATTTTGAACTCTTTTGTTGCTTCAAACGAACAAAATGCACAAATTACAAATGATGGACTGTAGCTTTAATCAAGTCCTATACTATACTCATCGACGAAATAACATTCACTTTTTTCATGATTCATGGCCTGGAAGATTTTTTTTATATACATAAAATAGGGCCTATGTAAAGGGAATTAAGTACGAAAACCATAACGGATCGGTTCAAAAAATTGCAGTCAATATGGTTTGCTTGCAAATTTCAGATTTTAGCGAATGTTTATCAAGGTCCTCGCAATTTGGCAGCCCTTGCATCCGAGTTCATCACTGATAAATCTTCAAGGATCCTTGATGCAGCATCGGGAACAGGGATGGTTGGACAAGAGGTACAATATAAATGGTGGCTATTAGATGGAACGGTCGGGGCGATGTACATTCAATACTGCGTTTTGCCCTTCACCGACTTGGGCATTGTATATATTTTTTTCATAAACACTGCCTGAAGCCATGTTTGTGAGATCAATTTAGTTGTGACAGTGGCACCCGCTGCTATATCAGACTCGAACCAGCCAGCTGGCCTGACAAGCTCGGTGGACGAGTGGTAAGACGTCTGCACTATAGGAAGCAGGAGGTTGTAGGTTCGAGTCCCACCGAGTAGTTTGATTTGCACTTGATAAAACAATTCTCCACAACTCTTGATAAAAATCTGGATAAAGTGAAAAACACTTGATAAAATCTGGAGTTGATTTTAGTTTATCTTCTACCGACAGCTGAAGAATCTGGGCTACATTTGCATTGATGCTCTAGATCCTTCCCAGGATTCCTTGGATAAAAGCAAGGAACTTCAGTCTTGCAACGAGTACATATGCGACACGCTAGACGAGCACCAGACGAAAATCCCCGACAGTAATTATTTCTGCAAACTCAACTTAATAATAATTCGAAAACGAATTGCACTTGGGAAGTTCTTAATATTGTCTGTTATATAACCGACATACAGATCCTTGTCATTTGATTGGTGGAACTCACATCACGTGCCATTCGTTATTACTCCCATTCACGCCGGGGCTGAAAAAGTCCCATTTGCCCATGGAGAATGGGAAATACTGCCTTGCAATTTGACCATAAAGCTTTGGATCCTACATTTTCATTCTGATCAGGCTGTTGCCATTTCTTTTGCCAATAATGAACCATTTTTATTCTTTAAGACTACTGTACCGGAAGTAAAGTACACTTTAATATGACATTCATAAATACCTAAGAAAGTTTACGCATTCCTATTGGTCGAGAGCCCGTCACGTGGCCGGTCTTAAACGGATTATAAAGACATGGCTAGCTGGTCTTAAACACTTTTCCAGTGTCACAATAAAATGTGGACTCCTAAAAATCCAGTGCCTCTTATCGTTTCATTGGTTGAACGTTCACAATCCTCACGTAGGCATGCGCAACACTACCAGGGAGTCAGAATTTTAAAGTTCTAAATTCAAAACGCAACGCGCCAGGTGCGTTCTGCGCGACATCGCGCAGAACATGATACGCGCGCGTCAATCTCCATAAAAGCGTTGTTTACATCTTACTCGCCAGCTGAACACTCCATTATTTTGCAAGAGGGATGTTTCAAAAAGCATAAAGTGAATTTGTTGAACAAAATCGGGATGTTTTGAACGAATTATATGATTTTTTCTTACCGAAAAGGTATTTATGAATGGTATTCCCTTAATATTGTAAATGTACTGTAAGTGACAGTGCCCAACTGACTGAATTTGACAAAATTAATTTGATTTATTCATGTTTCCATCGTCTTCCAGATCAATACGATGCCGTGGTGATGTGCGGTGCCTTTGGTGTGCCTGGTCACGTGACCGATGCGTGTTTTCCAGAACTCATCCGTATTACGAAGCCGGGTAATAAAAACCGCACAAACATTAACAAAATAAATCAGAATTGTGTATATAGTCCTGTCCATGGGACTTTTATATTATTAATACATGTATTATTAATTATTTCTGGTAAAACCAAGGATTCCCACAAATGCGCCCTAGACACTGCAGCTTGTAAGCCTGAAGAAACCCGTAAAGAGAAGAAAATGAGAAGAAATAACATTTTTAGAGGTGGGAGGAAAACCCCAGAAGAGTATTCTAGGGCCAACCCATGGGATCAGGTAGGGATTGACTTGACGCATGTGGACCGTACCAGGGCAGGAATCGAATAAACTTGTTGCCCGATCTTTGAAGCATTTTGCTTTTTATTGAATTTCAAATTTAGGAGGATACATAATGTTTACGTTCTCCGAAAGCGTGATAAACCGATGGAATAGCCAGACGGAGGCGGCCATCGGAGCACTCAGCCGGCAGGGTCGATGGGAACTCGTGGAGTATCGCTGGGTACAGTACCTTGTCAGTGAAGCCTTGAAAGAAAAAGCGAAGGTACCTGTTCTCAGGATCTTACCCAAGTAAAACACAATGCTCTTTTTTTGAAAAAAAATCTGTTGAGTTTATGGTTTCAATCGACGGGTTTTTATTTCCATACGACTTGAGTTTAAGCACAGGTGTAAAACAATTTGGATAGCGCGTGCTGTGACCATTTTGAAGCTACGCGCTGGTTCCGAATCTCTCAATTCGAATATAGTACGGGAACCAATACACAATGTATAACAACATTATAATCAAATTAAAAGAGAATAAAATAATGTCTAAAAATTTTTGTCTTAACAGAATTTGATTTGAAAAAAATATGTAAGTCAAAACTTAATTTTACTTCACGGTAACACAAATGAACCCATTCAATAAAAAAAAGGTGAAAATTGTGGTTAAATAAGGATAGTTTTGTTTACAATTCCATTGTTATGCAAGTAGTAAGATGGCGGACGGGTGACTTCACCTCATCTAATGGACTATCCGTGGTATTTGTAGCCGCCACATTGTGTGGGCTTTTGTTCTGTGGTTGAAGTCTTGAAGAACTCATTAAAAGAAATACGTTGCATGGAAAATTTGGTGATAAAGTTTGCATTAATTAACATCCAAAACGAAATGCCTTTGTGATTGTATTGTAATTAAATGAAATGTTCAGCTGTCGATATTGGGGGATCACCACGCGCCTGCCAAAAGCTTTCAGTTCCGGGAAATGAATGTCAGTGTCATTAAAAATGCATCATTTTCATTACCTGTATAGAAACAATCTGTGTAAAAACATCAAATAAATGAAATGAACACAGTTGAATATCATGTTCTATCAACTCAGTGACATACACGTTGAAGTTGCATTTATTGACGGATCATTGGAAATTACCTACATTTCTTGATTAATTTTCTTCTAATGATATGACAGCAAGCCAGATGGAATAATTTCAAACGGTGCTTAGTACCAGCATACGATCTGTACATGTATAAGCTTTTTGATAATATTTGGATAGGTTAGTTTTGGGATAAATGCAAATGGTTCTATATAATTTGAACAGACTTGAGATATTTATAGGCCTATAACTATAAGGTTGTTCAGAGCCTTCTATGGAGAAACGTCACACAATTGCTTTGATATAGCTCATCCTATAAATAAAAGGTCCTAAGTGTGATATTTATCCTGTCCAGTGTTACCTTGGTATAGTGCACAATGTGCTTGATAATTTGCCATTCACGTATCATAACGTATGACTGCAAACGCTTTTTCATTTGTTGGGAGGTGGTTTACTGTTCATAATCATTCTTGTAGTGCATCAGAGTTATGAAATCATAGATGTCAGATGTATCAGGGACAGGAAAAATGTGGACCCCAAATTTATAGAATGACCCCTATCGTAGACCCTATACTTCGTCCACAAATTGTTAACAAGAGTAATTATCGGGAGTGTTTCAGAAATCTCCACACATGTTCCTGGAATCTTTAAACTGTTTAAAATAAAAGTATACCTGAATAATGTAAAAAAAAAAAAAAAAGAGTTGTGCTCTTTAATTATCTGTGTTATATTATGTGCTGCACTGTGGGTGGGTCTGTACGTGATGGGGTCGAAGTCTGTATGGGGGTCGAAGTCATATGTTTTTGTATGCGGTGTCTGGGGTAAAAACAGAGTCAATTCGTAGCAGTGCGAGCATGGCGTGAGTTACAAAAACACAATTTTTATTCAATTAAACTGTTACGATCTTAACGAAACAATATGCAGTATCACATTTCATATTAATATTAACAAATTGGAAAAGAAATTAATATTTTCGAGAAGGCATGGAAGGCGTGGACGAATGATCGCGAAAACATGTACTGCATGTTGTGAATAACAACACCAAGTACACGATAAAAAATCCATTACTAGTATAATACTAGCCAATTGCGGTATCGAATCAGGATACAGGAAGAAAGTTTCCTATCCAGGGTTTACTATTGGAAACCGTGTTGGAAATAAAGTAAGCACTGGGGACGAGGTTGGGGGTCAGCACTCTATGACTTGGCTTTTGGAAATGCCCTTTGACATGTTTGAGATTCCTTCCTCCATGTTGATCCATAACTCTGAAATATTTTCACGCAATTGACATTTGGATCATGGGAAAAAATTTGGGTGGTAAATCTGAGTTTTTTACTCACCATGACCTCGCGTCTCCGATCTGACGAATGCAAGGTTATGTAATGATGTTCATGCATGTCATGTGTGTGTGTTTACGTCCGTTGCGCGTGCGCTGATCTTCGCGTGACCTCAGAAGGTCAACTGTACATTGGGCTCGACCATTTGGGATCGATGGAGGGGGGTATGCTTTGCATTGCGCAACAGTACATGTACGTCATTTTGGCGCGACGCTGCGCTGTATGGTTACAAGTTGTTAGTTTTGGTGGACTGTTTACTGATGAATCTTTTCATCCCTTTTTGTCAAATTCAAAAACATAACGAAACAGTCTCAACTGAAAACAATTCATGATTAAAACACTCGAGTTTGAAATCGATATGGTTGGAACTAAAATTAGACCCGTGAACGTGGCGTTGTATACAACGCCACGTTCTTGTTTCATTTCGAACCTGGCGAAATCGATCCGACATACATAATTCCGTATGGGTGTTGAGTTCTCCTAGGAATCTAAATTTGCCCGTCCGATTGTTTCGGCTGTGTAATTTCGACGAAATTTGCCCATCAGTAAAGACCCATACGAACGTGTAGAAATTAGATTTTAACCTGACCCTGACAAATAACCCCGGACGCGTCCGAGTCGCTTGGACAGATTGACGGCTGTTTCATGTCGCAACCCCGAAAAAAAAACCCGCAGACGATTGGCTGCTCGGCTCATCTCGTGTACAGCAGTACGTGTGTGCACACACACGCGGGCGCACGTGCGACCGCGTGCGGTGCGGTGAGAGAGGAAAGGACTTGAAACCTGTCTAAAACGATGTCTGTTTTAGCTGCGACAGTAAACAGCCGTCGAATCATACGAAAATAAAACGCAATGCGCATGCGTCAGTTGGGAGAAAATGGCAGCTAGCAGTAGCGGACTGACTTCATGAACCGGGGCCAGAGTTTTCCTCAATTTTCGTCAAATGCAAGTTTTGACGTACAAATAGAATTCAAGACAGCTTCATTATGTGAGTACTTATTACATGGGCAAAATAACGTCCAGTGTGTGTAACGGAGGGAGTCAGAGGGACACGTTCGCCAGGTTCGAAATGACATAAGAACGTGGCGTAGTTTACAAGCCACGTTCACGGGTCAAGGTACAGGTTGGAATAAGCCTTTTCGGAGTTCCAACTGCGCATTCATAACCTGTGACAATGCGCATTGTTTGTCTCAAATGGCCTTTGACATCATCGCGCCACTGACTTTACAAAAAGGCTGTTTGTGCATTGTGGGTACTGTCAAAGGGCATTGAGACAAATAATGTGCATTGTCACAGGTTACGAATGCGCGCAGTTGGAACTCCGAAAAGGCTAATTAGGAAGTGGCTGTGATCATCTTTCTACGGAAGACGGATAGTGCCACTCATTGAGTGAAATTATTTTTTTGGTGCGTGTGAAAATATTTTTTTTGTAAAGCGGCCGCCACTTATTATGTGGCGGCCGCCAGATAAATAAGTGGCGGCCGCCACATAAGTCGTCATAATAAGTGGCAGCCGCTGTACAAAAAAATATTTTCACACGTACACAAAAATATACTCACACTTTTTTATGTGGCGGCCGCCAGATAATAAGTGGCGGCCGCCACGTAAAAAAAAGTGTGAAAAATATTTTTTTTGTACAGCGGCCGCCACTTATTATGTGGCGGCCGCCAGATAATAAGTGGCGGCCGCCACATAAGTCGTCATAATAAGTGGCAGCCGCTGTACACAAAAATATTTTCACACCTACAAAAGAAATATTTTCACACTTTTTATGTGGCGGCCGCCAGATAATAAAAAAGAGTGTGAATACATTTTTTTTGTACAGCGGCCGCCACTTATTATGACGACTTATGTGGCGGCCGCCACTTATTATCTGGCGGCCGCCACATAATAAGTGGCGGCCGATGTACAAAAATATTTTCACACGCACCAACAAAATATATTCACACTCATTGAGTGGCACTATCCGTCTTCCGTATCTTTCATACGTTTAAGTTAACAAAATATATTTCATTCCTTTTATAGCCGATATGCATTGCTTGAATTAAATTTTGTATTAGTATATTATTTGTTAGTGTAAGGAACGCGCACGCGCCCCTGGATGGAGTCGAGGCTGGAACGCGAGTCCCATTACATTGTCGAGTGCAATTTGAGTCCTCTGCACAAGTTTAAACTTGCGCGCACGCAAGTTTAAACCTGCGCGCACGCAAGTTTAAACTTGCGCGTGCATTAATTTTCTAGCTACAAATTGCGCTCGCAAGTTTAAACTTGCGCGCTACATAGATTTTTCCCACGCCTGCAAAGCCGCCCAACTAATTTTTTTTCCTGGAAAACTCATGCAGATATGTAACATTATTTTCTCCAATTAATAGCACCACTGTGCTTCGTGAGACATAATACTGTAAATAAAATGTTTCAAAAAAGGCATTAAGGCATTGGCCTTAATGCCTTTTTTGAAACATTTTATTTACAGTATTATGCTAATGATGTTGACTGTGTGGGCTTAGAGATAAGGGGCGGTAATGCGAACAATTTATGCACTTTCATGATATGTATTATTGTTTATGGCTCTTTAGGATTTTTGTTAAATAAACAACATATTTATTCATTAATTCGAATTAATTAATTAAATTAATAAATAAAATTTATTAATTAAATCATTAATAAATTTATTTACTTTTTAAAATAATTACCATTTTATATGCATAGCGTTTTTAAGTTAAAGCACGTAAACATTAGTGAGCCTGCAAGTAAAATAATTGTTTAGAGTAATAATTTAAATTAATTAATTAAATTAGTAATGAGTTCATTAAATGTTTTTCAAATTATGCATTCTTGAAGTGTACACAGTGCTCGAAATGTTATTAAAAGTATTTTTAATAACAAAATGAAATATTGTACCGTCCAATTAATTAATTGCTAAATTAATAAAATTAGTATTTTTTTTAAGAATATGTACTTTTTTAGTTGTACAGTACATGTAATGTAATTTAAAGCATTTAAAAAATAATGTAAATGATTACTATAACGTCACAAATCTTGAACAATTGAAGGGATGATAATCATTCTCGGGTTACCCCTAGGAAATTGTGATTTATTTACATTTAAGAATGTAAATAAAATGCTACTTAGTTTTACATATGCAAGGTAAAAAACCTTGAAGCAAGTTGTCTCCATTTATGAACAACTTCAGTACGCTTAGCTGGTCCCCTTCCCGCCCTCGCCCCCTAAAAACTTCTCTGATATGTACTGCTTAATATCAATGTTTCTTTTCATTGCCGCTAATTGAATTCCACTTTTTATTAATTTCTTTGTTCAATAATTTATTCCATTATTTATTAATTTATTTCTCCTTGTGTTTCAAACATTTATTTTTCTTCATCAATGAAAATCCCGCCCGCAAGGTTCTCAAATTGCGATCGCCTTTGCGTAAGTTGTAACGTGCGCACGCAAATTAAAACGGCGCGGTGTAATTTGCGTGCTTTCGGGAGTTCCTCGCGCCAGTTTTAACTTGCGTGCGCAAGTTTAAACTTGCGCGGGGGACTCAAATTGCGCTCGACAGTACCACCGGCATAACAGCATAACAGCAATCCCTGGGCCGTTTTTCTATTCGTGGCAACTCGAATTGACTGACCAGCTGACGGGGGAATTGAATATAAGTTTCGCTTACAGATACACCGGTATCTGGAAATTAGTCTTCCTCGACATCGAGGGACAGCCAACATCAACAGATACACCTCACTGCAAACCTATGAAAATGGAGACAACCGGTAACGAGCTCGTCGATTTGCGGAAGGCCGCGTTTGACCACGGGTTTGCTGCAGAAAAAGGCGGCGACCCGGTGTCTGGATTTTACAACTTGTGGGCAGGAAAATACGATCAGGTAGGCCAGAACCACTGAAAAATAGAAAAAAGATCTTCGTTAATAATACATTATCAACAGGCATGGCAATTAATTTATAGTGTGAGCTTCTATACATTATTATGACGTCCATTCAGGCATGGGTGTAGCCAGGATTTTGTCGGGGTTGTTAGGGGCCCGCTTTTAATAAGGGCCCCGAAAAATTGGGATTCTAGACGTTCTGAAATCTGGGGCAATTTCCCTTTCACCATTTGTGTCTGTTAGCCAAACGGATCATCATGTAAATGTGGCAGGGCCAAATTTCACTTGTAGTGTTTAACGTATTTGTGTAGTGCTTAATATCATTATCGAGTTTGGAGTCATTGAATCAGCTACTCTGAATCTGCAGCTAAATAAAAATGTAGGCCACATTTTTTATTCGGGGACGAAATAGTTAGGAGGGGAGATGTTAAGATCACCAGTAAAAACAATAACTGGGGACGACAATGTCCCCCCCCCGCCCGCGATATTCTGTACTCATGCATACTATGGGCGTATTTCGAAGTACTTCAAGCAGCTCCATGGTTCAAGTCAGGTTCTCGGACTTTATTTTCCCTTGACAAAAAAATCCTCCAAACCACATAGAAAAATGTTCCAAATGACTAACAAACGTTTTTAAGAGATAAAAAAGAAGTAAAGAAGTTAAAAAAGTATCCACTTTGGATGTAATTTGGACCCTAAAATCGCTCTATTTTGCAATGGAGTGTAGGCATCGTTTTTCAAAATGGCGATGGACTTCAGGACTATTTTCAGGGGTGATCATCTTCAGATGGAAATTTCTCCTAAAAGTCATCAGTTGACCCCCCGAAAATTGAAAAGAAAATGAAAGATGATGAAATAAGCTTTAATTTGATGTGTGTCTCGAACACCTTGGAGAGTTGCGAGTATTTTTCCCGAATTTTTGAAGTGGGAGCATTTACCATTCTAGTTCGCGCGTGTTGAGCTAGGTCACGTGCTGGAGGAAAGATACATTTAGCTTCATTCATCATCATCTAGGCGCTTGCATCAAGTTGATCTGACATCGCGCACTCTGTAAGTGTTCTCCACTGTTCTCTGTCTGATGCCACGTGCCAGGTGCATCGATCTTTGATGTTGACCCCCGTGGTTGTCAGGTCCTTGTTTACTCTCTTCAGCCACGTGGTTCGTTGTCCCCCTCTTGGTAGCTTGTTCTTGCGGATTGCCTCTAGAAGTGCTTGCTTGGCAGGAGCTTCCTCGGGTAGTCTCAGGAGATGGCCTGTCCACCTAAGACGTCTTCGGGTAATGGCAGTACTCCAAGGGATCTCGTTGGTTCTCCTGTACGGTTCTTTATTGGTGATCTTCTTGGGCCATTTTATATTAAGGATTGAACGCAAGAGTCTTCTGTGAAATGCATCAATGTTCTCTTCTAGTGACTTAGTCAATGTCCATAGTTCGCTGTTGTATAGAAATACAGATGCTATGAAGGCACGGAATGTTTTGAGTTTCGTGTTGTTTGAGATTGCATCACTGTTGAAGACATTCCTGAATTTGTTGAAAGATACCATCGAAAGTATTTTCCTTCTGGTAATATCTTGCTCAGTGTCGAGAAAAGATCCCAGGTATTTGCATTTCTTCCAACTGGTGTTGCTTCCGTTTCTACTGATGAGGTGTTTCTCTGTCTTAGACGTGTTTACTGTGAGGTTTCGCTCTTTTAGTAGCTCAGGTGCCTTCCTCTGCACAGTTACTTTACGTTGATTTGTTGCGCGTCCACGAGACTGGGACAACCAAAATGGCGCAGATTTATCGCACAGTGAATGGGCGCGTGTGGACGCGCTGCCGATCTAGTCTTTTTATTCTATATCTATGAGTCATTTACCTTAATACGCACGCGTGGAACATATCCAGTGAGTAAATTTTCTTTCTTAAATATTGTGTTTAATCAAGTCCTATACTATACTCATCGACGAAATAACATTCACTTTTTTTCATGATTCATGGCCTGGAAGATTTTTTTATATACATAAAATAGGGCCTATGTAAAGGGAATTAAGTCCGAAAACCATAATGGATCGGTTCAAAAAATTGCAGTCAATATGGTTTGCTTGCAAATTTCAGATTTTTGCGAATTGTTATCAAGGTCCTCGCAATTTGGCAGCCCTTGCATCCGAGTTCATCACTGATAAATCTTCAAGGATCCTTGATGCAGCATCGGGAACAGGGATGGTTGGACAAGAGGTACAATATAAATGGTGGCTATTAGATGGAACGGTCGGGGCGATGTAGATTCAATACTGCGTTTTGCCCTTCACCGACTTGGGCATTGTATATATTTTTTTCATAAACACTGGCTGAAGCCATGTTTGTGAGATCAATTTAGTTGTGACAGTGGCACCCGTTGTTATATCAGACTCGAACCAGCCAGCTGGCCTGACAATTAAGCTCGGTGGACGAGTGGTAAGACGTCTGCACTATAGGAAGCAGGAGGTTGTAGGTTCGAGTCCCACCGAGTAGTTTGATTTGCACTTGATAAAACAATTCTCCACAACTCTTGATAAAAATCTGGATAAAGTAGAAAAACACTTGATAAAAATCTGGAGTTGATTTTAGTTTATCTTCTACCGACAGCTGAAGAATCTGGGCTACACTTGCATTGATGCTCTAGATCCTTCCCAGGATTCCTTGGATAAAAGCAAGGAACTTCAGTCCTACAACGAGTACATATGCGACACGCTAGACGAGCACCAGACGAAAATCCCTGACAGTAAGCATTTCCGCAAACTCAACTTAATAATAATTCGAAAACGAATTGCACTTGGGAAGTTCTTAATATTGTCTGTTATATAACCGACATACAGATCCTTGTCATTTGATTGGTGGAACTCACATCACGTGCCATTCGTTATTACTCCCATTCACGCCGGGGGCGGGGCTGAAAAAGTCCCATTTGCCCATGGAGAATGGGAAATACTGCCTTACAATTTCACCATAAAGCTTTGGATCCTACATTTTCATTCTGATCAGGCTGTTACCATTTCTTTTGCCAATAATGAACAATTTTTATTCTTTAAGACTACTGTACCGGAAGTAAAGTACACTTTAATATGACAATATTGTAAATGTATTGTAAGTGACAGTGCCCAACTGACTGAACTTCAAAATTAATTTGATTTATTCATGTTTCCATCGTCTTCCAGATCAATACGATGCCGTAGTGATGTGCGGTGCCTTTGGTGTACCTGGTCACGTGACCGATGCGTGTTTTCCAGAACTCATCCGTATTACAAAGCCGGGTAAAAAAAACCGCACAAACATTAACAAAATAAATCAGAATTGTGTGTATAGTCCTGTCCATTGGACTTTTATATTATTAATACATGTATTATTAATTAATTCTGGTAAAACCAAGGATTCCCACAAATGCGCCCTAGACACTGCAGCTTGTAAGCCTGAAGAAATCCGTAAAGAGAAGAAAATGAGAAGAAATAACATTTTTAGAGGTGGGAAGAAAACCCCAGAAGAATATTCTAGGGCCAACCCATGGAATCAGGTAGGGATTGACTTGACGCATGTGGACCGTACCAGGGCAGGAATCGAATAAACTTGTTGCCCGATCTTTGAAGCATTTTGCTTTTTATTGAATTTCAAATTTAGGAGGATACATAATGTTTACGTTCTCCGAAAGCGTGATGGACCGATGGAATAGCCAGACGGAGGCGGCCATCGGAGCACTCAGCCGGCAGGGTCGATGGGAACTCGTGGAGTATCGCTGGGTACAGTACCATGTCAGTGAAGCCTTGAAAGAAAAAGCGAAGGTACCTGTTCTCAGGGTCTTATCCAAGTAAAACACAATGCTCTTTTTTTTTTGAAGAAAAAAAATCTGTTGAATTGATGGACTTGAGTTTAAGCACAGATATGTAAAACAATTTGGATAGCGCGTGCTGTGACCATTTTGAAGCTACGCGCTGGTTCCGAATCTCTCAATTCGAATTATTGTACGGGAACCAATACACAATGTATAACTACTCCCCACCGTACATTATAATACAATTAAAAGAGAATAAAATAATGTCTAACAATTTTTGTCTTAACAGAATTTGATTTGAAAAAAATATGTAAGTCAAAACTTAATTTTACTTCACGGTAACACAAATGAACCCATTCAATAAAAAAGGTGAAAATTGTGGTTAAGTAAGGATAGTTTTGTTTACAATTCCATTGTTATGCAAGTAGTGATGGCGGACGGGTGACTTCACCTCATCTAATGGACTATCCGTGGTATTTGTAGCCGCCACATTGTGTGGGCTTTGGTTCTGTGGTTGAAGTCTTGAAGAACTCATTAAAAGAAATACGTTGCATGGAAAATTTGGTGACAAAGTTTGCATTAATTAACATCCAAAACGAAATGCCTTTGTGATTGTATTGTAATTAAATTAAATGTTCAGCTGTCGATATTGGGGGATTACCACGCGCCTGCCATAAGCTTTCAGTTCCGTGAAATGAATGTCGGTGTCATTAAAAATGCATCATTTTCATTACCTGTATAGAAACAAACTGTGTAAAAACATCAAATAAATGAAATGAACACAGTCGAATAACATGTTCTATCAACTCAGTGACATGCACGTTGAAGTTGCATTTATTGACGGATCATTGGAAATTACCTACATTTCTTGATTAATTTTCTTCTAATGATATGACAGCAAGCCAGATGGAATAATTTCAAACGGTGCTTAGTACCAGCATACGATCTGTACATGTATAAGCTTTTTGATAATATTTGGATAGGTTAGTTTTGGGATAAATGCAAATGGTTCTATATAATTTGAACAGACTTGAGATATTTATAGGCCTATAACTATAAGGTTGTTCAGAGCCTTCTATGGAGAAACGTCACACAATTGCTTTGATATAGCTCATCCTATAAATAAAAGGTCCAAAGTGTGATATTTATCCTGTCCAGTGTTACCTTGGTATAGTGCACAATGTGCTTGATAATTTGCCATTCACGTATCATAACGTATGACTTCAAACGCTTTTTCATTTGTTGGGAGGTGGTTTACTGTTCATAATCATTCTTGTAGTGCATCAGAGTTATGAAATCATAGATGTCAGATGTATCAGGGACAGGAAAAATGTGGACCCCAAATTTATAGAATGACCCCTATCGTAGACCCTATACTTCATCCACAAATTGTTAACAAGAGTAATTATCGGGAGTGTTTCAGAAATCTCCACACATGTTCCTGGAATCTTTAAACTGTTTAAAATAAAAGTATACCTGAATAATGTAAAACAAAAAAAAGAGTTGTGCTCTTTAATTATCTGTGTTATATTATGTGCTGCACTGTGGGTGGGTCTGTACGTGATGGGGTCGAAGTCTGTGTCATAGGGTAACGGGGGCAGACCTGAAGTGGAAGAAAATGGCGACTTCCAGCGACGGACAACGTGCAGATTCCAACATCATAGACGAATTTGCCGATTATCGGGAGGAACTGACTGTCACGGGACATTCTGTTGATAGGGCCGGTGGGGAAAGGTTGTCCAGCTTTTACGACACGTGGGTGGAACGATACCACGAGGTAATCGAACACACACATAGGCCTACATGTACCTTCTATTTTCTGCCTTTACAATCGTGCGTAATGCCAGACACATCTTTGTATTTGGCGAGGGGCGGGGCCTATACTATAGGCATACTGCTGTCATCATGCCTAAAGTATTACCCTAATTATAAAAAAAGCCCATGCACGTTCTCCAAGCACCTACTCTTCAGCCTCTATCAAGCTCCACTTCTCGATATGGTTTTGTTTAGGCCTAGATGAATGCGAATTTCAAAACCACTGACCTATTATTAAAATGTTTATACAAGTTCAAGTCTATGCTTATAATGTTCATCTCCCATGGGCAGTTTTTTTTAGCCTTCAAACACATACTACATTAGCAGCATCACGTTGCCAATAACTACGTGAGGGGCAAACAACCCTCAACTGTGTTATCGCTTGATGAATTACTTGTAACCGAGTGTCGCACAGTGATTTCAACTTGTCAGAAAGGTTGAGAGGGATTTATAATGCATCTTTATGTTGTCTTCATTAGACTAGGCCTGTAGATTTCTTTCGCAACTTTGTTACAGATGCATGTTACATATGGCTGGCTAGCTCCTCGCAATTTGGCAGCCCTTGCATCGGAGTTCATCACTGATAAATCTTCAAGGATCCTTGATGCGGCATCAGGAACAGGGATGGTTGGACAAGAGGTAAGTAAGAACACGATTAGTCTACTATACTTGGCAAAAAAAATATTAGTTTAGATTAATTAAGCTAAATTGAATTTCAGTGTAATTCAGCAGACACTCGAGATACTATGGTCCGTATGTGGAGTGTAAATTCTCGATCAGGGATGGCACAAATCTCATGGGCGTCGCAAAAAAAAGAGAAAAGAAAAAGGGGAAAAACAGGCATGGGGGGGGGGGGGACGGGGGAGCAAATGTCCCTGCCCACCCTCGAATTTCTGATCTATCGGGAAAATGCTGGAAAATATAGGGATTTTTTTTTTTCGGGGGGGGGGGGGAATGTGCTTTGCTTCCGGTTCCCTCTAGAAAAAAATCCTGACGACGCCCATAACGACAAATCTGGCTTACTTTTTTTGTTCAGACAAAATGTAAACCGACCTCGTCTACAGTATTCGAGGAACTCTACCCTCCATCGCGCCCTAGTATAAGGGACAACCAACTACAATTTAGTATTTTATTTATAATTTTTTTTTGGCCGCAAGACCTCTCAGGTATTTTTGAATTAGAACTATCACCAAGTAAGTCTGCTGGGGAAAAGACAATCTGTGACGGGAGCCATGTTATCATTTTGGGATTTTTTTGACGGTGTGGAGTAACGGGAAAAGGAACCAGAATACGAGGAAAAACATGTACACGTACATGTAATGCAATCACAAAATCTAGAGAGGGCACTACAACTTAGAATCATTTTGAAATATGGATTGAAAATCATTCGAGGTGTAAAAAATATCGAATATTTGTGATGGATTGAATGATTTGCTGCGGTTAATGATAAGACAAGATTGTGGTTTTTTTTCTGCCAACAGTTGAAGAATCTTGGCTTCACTTGTATAGACGCTCTGGATCCTTCCCAGAAATCATTGGACCAGTGTAAGGAACAAAAGTCTCACACCGAATACATCTGCGACACGTTAGACGAGCACCAGACGAAAATCCAAGACAGTAATGACGTAGTTCAATTATTTTCCATAAATTATATACTTTAAAACAACATTTTTTTTACTTGCGATAATGTTTCTCAAGAGTATCTGAAGTAAGAATTTGGTTCCAAAGGTCAGAGGTCGCGCAGAGGTTTGACGTTCGTTACTGAAATATATCGACTTATATTTTTCTTCAACTTTTACAGATCAATACGATGCCGTGGTGATAGGTGGAGCTTTTGGTGTACCTGGTCACGTGAGCGATTCGTGTTTTCCAGAACTTATCCGCGTTACAAAGCCGGGTAAAAAAAACCACATTACTTTGGCCAACCATGATTATCCGTTGGTAAGTGTGACGTTATTTAAACAGAACCCACGCCCACTGCACATGCATGGAGTCTCCGATTCGTTAGTGACTTCGTCATACACGCACAACAAGCGCCACTGATTACATACAATACACACTAAAGTTACATTAACTTCCGGCTCCAATGTTCCAGCGCTACCCAATGTGCAGTGGGCGTGGTTTTCAACTGAAGTGACGTCCACTAACGAACCGGATGCATTGAAGCCGGAAGTAGTGCAAGGTCAAGGCGGCGTGTTTAGCCAATCGTTGCTAGTAATCAGTGGTGCGCGCGCGTATAGGCGCACGTGTTGTTACAACGTGTGCAATGGGTGGGTGGGGCCTATTATGGATCGGTCCAATCATGAATTTGGACTGGGAATGAATTTTCATTGAATTAATGTGGAACAAAAGAGTGAAAAAAAACCCCAAGTTTTAAAATTACAGATTTTGAATTGCACATTGTGTTAATTGGTGTTTTTGTCTTTTTTTGACCATTAGGTGGGTACATCATGTTTACGTTAAGCGATAAAGTGAAAGACGAATGGGACACGAAGCTGGAAGCGGCCATTGCGGCGCTCAACAAGCAGGGAAGATGGGAGGTTGCAGACTCTCGCCGAATCCAATACAACTTAAATGAGGATGTGGATGAAAAGGCAACGGTGCCAGTTCTCAGGGTATTACCAAAATGAAGAAGTCTCTGAAAAAAACTTGAGATCATTGGTAGTTGATTTGTTGATGAAGGTTGCACGACATTTATGATTAAGGTCGGAGGGCGTACTGAAACGCTATCAGAATATTTTTAATGGTTATTTTTGAAGCTGTGTGACTATTGTTTAATGGTATAGTTTTGATATGGGTCATTCCACTGGGTTGGGGAACAATGTGTGACACTATGACCATATTAAGAAAAGCATGAATGCCTTGCTAGTTGCTCTACATAATATTTGTTGTTGGGTGTTTCACTATTGCAGAAAGTTTGAAATCATTTCAACGTATTTTGCCAAAAATATGAGCCAAGAATGTCATTTTGGATGTAACATTGACACCGTGTCAGTGTTACATCCAAATATGACATTTGTACCTTTTTTTTATTTCTACGAAACATTACCCAAATTCACTTTGCGTACTTCTTACTATATGTGCAACACAATAAAAAAAAAAGCATTTGTTATGGTAGTCAGGCCCAAATGGAGCAAAAATGATAGCTTGGTTGTGTGGACGTAACATTTACACGGTGTTAAAACCCAAATGTCACACTTCAATTGAGTGATTTTTACACTGTTACATCCACACTTGAGGTATTGCTTCTACTATATTTAAACCCTGACTATACCAAAACAAAGGCTTTTCTTGGTGCTTAGGTGTCCAGTTGTAAATATGCAATGTCAGTTTGGGTAATATTTTACATACGTGTAAAAAATGGCAAAACAAGAATATTTGGATGTAACATTGACACGGTGTCAATGTTACATCCGAATTAATACATTTTTGCTAATATTTTTGTCAAAGTACTTCCGAATGATTTCAAACTTTCTCAAGTATTGAAACACCCTCAGACAAATATTTTGTTGAGCAATTGTGTAGAATGTATTGATACTTTTCATAATATAACCAAATATATGGATGTAACATGCACTGCTTCCCAACCCAGTGGAATGACCCATATCTAATTAGTAACACAAAATAATGAAATGTCGCAGTAATCCTCCGTTTAATGTCCATCGAGTAGTTAACTTCAGTTAACCGGATGTTATAACACCAAGTCATTTTTACTTTCTCGTTTGGATAATTTTATTGCAATGCGATTGAAAGTAAACCTATTTCGATGCTGTCATGCAATACGTTTGAAAGTAACACTTTTAAAAAAAAATGTTATAATTTGCAGGTAGAAGAGTTATGTATTTTTTGCGAAGTTCATTTGTACGGTCTAATGCAACGGGTTGAAAAATAAAAGATATTTGTAATACTTGAAGTTATACAACCCCATCCCCATTGACGCCCCTGCAGACGCCCATTTTGTGAAATGTACAATGGCAAATATGACTTCACAAGGTTTTTTTCTTCCCCTTTTTTCTGGGGGGGGGGGGGGGGGGCAGGCGCCCCCCTTGCCCCCCTTCCCCTCGCGACGCCCATGGATACTTGTGTCTGTTATGAACATTTGAATTTTCAATGGCCGGCTTAATAAATATAGTGCAAATAAGTTTGCAAATAAGAGTGCAGAAAATACTTTATGTACAAAGTTATGCATAAAAATATGCATTGGTAGCCTTATTTATGGAAATACCCGCATGCACACGCATAATATGTGCGTTGTTGTGAAATATACATGTACCTACAGTGTGGGCGCATTATTATACGGCACTGAAGTGGAACGTGTGCTGAGACTTGTTACTTGTGCTTTTGGAAAGAGGGAAACTAAGTGAATTTTGTGGGGGTTTTTAAACTTGCTTTTTAAGATTTAAGCAATTCGAACTTGAGTCAAGTCTAATCCCCCATTCAAAGAGGGGGGGGGGGGGATATCTCCCCCGGATTCACGCCCCTGACGTCAGCTGATCATCATGACCTCGCGACATAGTTATTATGCCTGACCCCATCAGGCGAAGAGCACTTGGCTTCGTGCCATATGTCATGTATATGATACATGTAACTGGTGCTATGAAAATTAAACTCGCTGAAGTGGCAAAAAAAGAAAATGGCGACTGTCAGCGGTGGAGAACGCGCAGATTCCAACACTTTAGACGAATTGGCCGATTTTCGGAAGGAACTCTATGTCAAGGGACATGCTGTTGATACTGATAGAGCCGGCGGGAAAACGTTGTCCAGTTTTTACGACACTTGGGCAGAAAGATACACAGAGGTAATCAAACAAATATACACACCTGTACATAGGGTAGTCTCCTTCGGTCATACTCAGTGGCTCATCTGGATTTGTGGCAAGGGGGCGGGGGCCTAGATACTCAGTGCCGTACCCATGGCCTACCACTGCCTCAAGAATTATCCCAGTACTATAAGGAGCGCGTTCTGTAAAGAAGCTTAATCCATCACCCAGCCGTATATCTTAGCACCATTAACCTATCACTTAATTATTCAGCCTCCAGACTAGATTTTTTTGCAACTTCTTTTGATACAGATGCATGTTGCTTGTGGCTATCTAGCTCCTCGCAATTTGGCAGCCCTTGCATCGGAATTCATCACTGATAAATCTTCAAGGATCCTTGATGCAGCATCGGGAACAGGGATGGTTGGACAAGAGGTAAATAAGAACACGATTAGTCTACTATACTTGGCAAAAAATATTAGTTTAGATTTGGCCAAAAAAATATGTCTCCGGTGTCTGGTATGGAGCTTGTCCAAAAAGTGGTACGGCGACGCGGTTTTTCTTTTTTTCTTTCCCCCTGACTTTTTTGCTTCAAATGTCGGCTGATGACTGCAAATGGTGCCCGACTATTAAACTTAGTGCAAATATAATTATGGGAGTCCAGAGAAATATATGGGACGCCACATAAAGCTTATTCTCGATCATAACCCCATCTGACAACACGTTAAATTGTGCAGTAGCAGGATTCCAGTCAAACCAGTGAGTTTGGCGGTTTTCAGACATCATCTTTCATTGAAATTTTTTTTTTTCATTTTGCTGACGCGCATGGCTACGGCGACGCGCGCGCATACCAATAACCGGAGACTTTTTTTTTGGCCTTAATTTAGGTAAACTAAAATTCAACAATTACATGTACATGTAATGCAATCACAAAATCTAGAGAGGGCACTACAACTTAGAATCATTTTGAAATATGGATTGAAAATCATTCGAGGTGTAAAAAATATCGAATATTTGTGATGGATTGAATGATTTGCTGCGGTTAATGATAAGACAAGATTGTGGTTTTTTTTCTGCCAACAGTTGAAGAATCTTGGCTTCACTTGTATAGACGCTCTGGATCCTTCCCAGAAATCATTGGACCAGTGTAAGGAACAAAAGTCTCACACCGAATACATCTGCGACACGTTAGACGAGCACCAGACGAAAATCCAAGACAGTAATGACGTAGTTCAATTATTTTCCATAAATTATATACTTTAAAACAACATTTTTTTTACTTGCGATAATGTTTCTCAAGAGTATCTGAAGTAAGAATTTGGTTCCAAAGGTCAGAGGTCGCGCAGAGGTTTGACGTTCGTTACTGAAATATATCGACTTATATTTTTCTTCAACTTTTACAGATCAATACGATGCCGTGGTGATAGGTGGAGCTTTTGGTGTACCTGGTCACGTGAGCGATTCGTGTTTTCCAGAACTTATCCGCGTTACAAAGCCGGGTAAAAAAAAAACACATTACTTTGGCCAACCATGATTATCCGTTGGTAAGTGTGACGTTATTTAAACAGAACCCACGCCCACTGCACATGCATGGAGTCTCCAATTCGTTAGTGACTTCGTCATACACGCACAACAAGCGCCACTGATTACATACAATACACACTAAAGTTACATTAACTTCCGGCTCTAATGTTCCAGCGCTAGTGCAGTGGGCGTGGTTTTCAACTGAAGTGACGTCCACTAACGAACCGGATGCATTGAAGCCGGAAGTAGTGCAAGGTCAAAAGTTGCGTGTTTAGCCAATCGTTGCTAGTAATCAGTGGTGCGCGCGCGTATAGGCGCACGTGTTGTTACAACGTGTGCAATGGGTGGGTGGGGCCTATTATGGATCGGTCCAATCATGAATTTGGACTGGGAATTGAATTTTCATTGAATTAATGTGGAACAAAAGAATGAAAAAAAAACCCCAAGTTTTAAAATTGCAAATTTTTAATTGCACATTGTGTTAATTGGTGTTTTTGTCTTTTTTGACCATTAGGTGGGTACATCATGTTTACGTTAAGCGATAAGGTGAAAGACGAATGGGACACGAAGCTGGAAGCGGCCATTGCGGCGCTCAACAAGCAGGGAAGATGGGAGGTTGCAGACTCTCGCCGAATCCAGTATAACTTAAATGAGGCTGTGGATGAAAAGGCAACGGTGCCAGTTCTCAGGGTATTACCAAAATGAAGAAGGCTCTGAAAAAAACTTGAGATTCATTGGTAGTTGATTTGTTGATGAAGGTTGCACGACATTTTTATGATTAAGGTCGGAGGGCTTATTAACGCTATCAGAAGATTTTTTAATTTGGAAGCTGTGTGACTATTGTTTAATGGTATAGTTTTGATATGGGTCATTCCACTGGGTTGGGGTTCAAAGTGTGACACTATGACCATATTAAGAAAAGCATGAATGCCTTGCTAGCAGTTGCTCTACATAATATTTGTTGTTGGGTGTTTCACTATTGCAGAAAGTTTGAAATCATTTCAATGTATTTTGCCAAAAATATGAGTAAAAAATGTCATTTTGGATGTAACATTGACACCGTGTCAGTGTTACATCCAAATATGACATTTGTAACTTGTTTTTTTTTCTTTTATTTCTACGAAATTTTACCCAAATTCACTTTGCGTACTTCTTACTATATGTGCAACACAATAAGAAAAGCTTTTGTTATGGTAGTCAGGCCCAAATGGAGCAAAAATGATAGCTTGGTTGTGTGGACGTAACATTTACACGGTGTTAAAACCCAAATGTCACACTTCCATTGAGTGATTTTTACACTGTTACATCCACACTTGAGGTATTGCTTCTGCTATATTTAAACCCTGACTATACCAAAACAAAAGCTTTTCTTGGTGCTTAGGTGTCCAGTTGTAAATATGCAATGTCAGTTAAGGTATAATTATATTTTACATAAGTGTAAAAAATGGCAAAACAAGAATATTTGGATGTAACATTGACACGGTGTCGATGTTACATCCGAATTAATACTTTTTTGCTAATATTTTTGTCAAAGTACTTCCGAATGATTTCAAACTTTCTCAAGTATTGAAACACCCTCAGACAAATATTATGTTTAGCAATTGTTTAGAATGCATTGATACTTTTCATAATATAACCAAATATATGGATGTAACATACACTGCTTCCCAACCCAGTGGAATGACCCATATCTAATTAGTAACACAAAATAATGAAATGTCGCAGTAATCCTCCGTTTAATGTCCATCGAGTAATTAACTTCAGTTAACCGGACGTTGTCACACCCCAGTCATTTTTACTTCCTCGTTTGGATAATTTTATTTCAATGCGATTGAAAGTAAACCTAATTCGATGCTGTCATGCAATACGTTTGAAAGTAACTTTTTTTCATTGCAGTATTGAACATGTTTTAGCTTTGAGTTAAAACAAGTGCGAGTGCACAATAAGATCTGGTCGTGTTGCAAGAAGTCTTGCATGAAAGTCTTGCGTGAAATTGATCAAAATGATCCCTGCCGGAGCTGGGAAAGGCGACGCCGATAGCACATTATGGAACACCATACAAAAAATTGGTCGATTTTCCGGGTAGAGACAGACAGACAGACCATCGGACTGACCGACCGACCACCAAGTGACATGTAGGGATAAGCTTCAGCCAGAGCTTATAAACAGATCATTTTACCGGACTTGATTTTGAAAAAAAATAATTTGCAGGTAGAACAGTAAGGTTGTGTAAATTTTTTGGCGAAGTTTTTTAGTACATTTCTAATGCAACGGGTGCAACAAATAAAAGATATTTTGCAATGCTATAAATTATACAATAAAAGCACGTTCAATAATATGGTAGTTTTCACTGTATGATTATTCATATTGAATTGTTTTTCCACCCAAATCATTTTTTGTGTGTAAATGGGTTCAATTGAATCAAAGGTGATTCAATATGTATCTTTCAAGTTATTTTACTGACTATGTTTCTGTAGTTGTTTTTCTATCTAGACGAACATTTCTACTCCAGATTAAATAGCCTTGTTTTCAATACCAATTAACAACCCCGTTGTAATTACTGGTATTTCTGGAAATTCTTCGGATTTTTGTTGTTGTTGTTGAATGTTAAAGTGAATTTTAAGTACTACTGGAGATATACTTTGGGAATTATTGTGCATCATTTCTGTTATACCGGAAACCTCACTTTAATACATCTCGTGTTTTATTATTTTGGCCATTACATTTAATACTTGCCCTCCAAGACATTGATTCCAACCAGTACGGACAATACCATCACCGTTTTCACAAAGAGCCACATGAATTATGTACATGTAGGCCTATGTGGCTCTTCGTGAAAGCGCAAAATGCAGGTATCGAGATTTCTGCCCCTTGCAAAATTAAGTTTTGCTTACAGAAGCATTTCAAAATGGTTAAGTACATTGTTTTAAAGCAAAATATTGAAAAAAAATCGAAATCGAAAGAAATGGTAATTATTGACATAATGTGGCTCTTCGTGAAAACGGTGACGAATGCAGCCGGTATATTCCGTAAACAAATCGTGCGCACGTGACATTGACTACCTTTTAACTTTTAATTTAAAGCTGTTGTTACATATTATTTCCCTCTCCCTTCTTAGCCCCCCCCCCCAAAAAAAAATTGGCTTGAATTTTGATATTTCCACTCGAAATTAAATACGCTTCTTGCAAACATCTAGCTCAGTATTCAGACCAATTTTGACCAAGATACAACCAGTATCTCTCTTGAAAAATCGTGCGCGCACAATCGTGAAATAGTTTGGTTTTTGTTGTATTAAAGTTGAATTCAGATGTTTCACAAAATTGTTGCGCTGACGTAACTATAGGGTTGTTTGTTCCCCACTCCATATTTAACTAGTTTCAAGAGCAAGAAGAGATGCGAGCTGTTTTTCTTGAAGGAGGCAAAGACTGTCTTTCAGCGGACGTCTGGAGCGGGGCTAGCGATGAGAACTGATGAAAGACGGCAGGATGGAGTGAAACGCTGAGAACTCCGGCTTGAAGGGTCGAATTCTAAATTTCTGCTTGAATCTTGAGCACATTCACGATCTCATCATGTTAAGTCCTTATCATAGGCCTATAGCCATTTAGTGGGCCGAGAAAAAACTGAGTCACTCAGTTGAAAGTTACTGTCGAGAATTTGGATGATCTGTTAAAATTTCCAATTTGTTGGAACATAGGCCCTAATTATAGGTTGTTTATAAAGAAAAGTCAATTAGTGACAATTTTAATAACAATGTCAGGTTAATCCTGCCACTTTATTTTTTATCCAATTTTGGCTGCAAAATGAAATTGCTTGAAAACTTGCAGGGAAAATGCCTGAAGGGCCCTACAAAAACAGTACATTGAACTATAGATTTCTGGACAGACTCGGCACTGAAAAGCAAAATTGTTTGGAATATTTCGGGCCAAATTACTCAAAATTATTATTTGTTCTCAACAAATCTGTAATTTTGGCCACCGTGTTCAATATTCTTGGTGTTTGAAGGTTGATTTATACTCCTCTTGCATTCAAAATCATGTCTGGGTTGCTTGGAGAAAAGGAATTTTGATCAAATAAAAAATAAATCGGTAAGGTGAAACTTAAGAAGATGCCTTGAAATGGCCGTAGAGCACATTCCGATTGAAATTCGGCATTTAAAAGAAAAATTGCTTCGAAAATTATAACTTTTTTTTCTCAATAAATCAGCGATTTGGCTCAATCTTTCCTCCACCCTTGCTCTCCCCATATGCACACTTCTCTTAAATATTTTGGGGTCGGTCCCCGCTCCATCTTGCAAACACATGATTCCTCCGATGATCAAAAAATACATCAGAAATCTGTTGGAATTTCTCTCGATCTTTTCAGACAATTTTCCACAGAAACAGTGGATTTTTCAAATTCCTTGGTAGATCTTGTCCGTGCTTTGTAATGCAGCTATATTAATAACTGAAACTTGGGGCCAGTCGAAAAAAAAAAATAACAAAGTATACAATTTGAGCCCTCCCCAAACTCTGGTACTTGAGTGGTGTGAAAAAATGCTGCGCATGCATCAGACATCGTTCTGAAGGTCTCCCTTGACAATATTTTTTCCCCAAAGTGGTGATTTTTTTCCCAAAGTGGTGGCGCACTGCACTTTGCTCGCTCGAGCAAGCGCGCGCTAGTAGTCAAGGGTTATCTAAATATAGCATATGACTTATGATGTCATGGGGATGACCCGAATGCGAAAAGAAGCGGGTTTTTTTTCCGGAGTCCCGAAAAGCAAAGTTTTTACACATGTAAAACGAAAGAAAGTGACCGAATAGGACTGGATTTAAGGAGAGGTACCAATAACTATCTTTCGGCATATGGTCATATGTAGGAAGTAATACCTAGTGAATTAAAGTACGCACAAACGTCTTTAATTGGGCGGCATGAGATTGAGAATCAATCATCCATGCTGAATTAGTGAATACCTCCATGACCTCCAGGCTCCATTGTCCATGCTGAAACTACACACTTCCTTTATCCGGTAAGTTCCTTTATTTTTGCTTTAGAAGCATACTCACCCTCTTTATAGGCTAATCAGAAAGTGCTGCCTTTTTCAGATGTCAAATTTGTGTGAAATTTCATGTTGAAATTTTGATACGCAAACGTGTGCAAATGTATCTGGAAATTTCACGAAAAATGGACATCTGAAAAAGGCAGCACTTTCTGATTAGCCTATATAGAGGGTGAGAATGCTTCTAAAGCAAAAAAAACCCTACAAAGTAAGTCTAAATGTGAAAATCAAAATTTGGCAAAGTCGACACGTTTTTGTACATGTGGATGTGTGGCCTATGTTTACGGCGGCAGTCCAGTAAATAGGCCACATTTATGGGGCTAGGGTAATCCTTACTTTTAGGACACCTCTATTTTTTCGAGTTCTGTTCAAAACTGACTTTTGCAGATGACTGTCCAGTACCAAAGTTACTTTTGCAGGCTAAAGCAATCTTTTTTCTTCATATAAACCATGGAGGAAGGCTATGTTTGTTGTAATTTTGAAAGCACTTTCAAAGAAAATGTGACTTTCCTACCTTTTTTTGCAGTCAGACGTGCATGTTGTAGTTCTCAAAACACAGTGAAAGCCCTACATAATGAAAGCTCGATGCTGATTGGCTGCTAAAAAAAATAAATAAGAAGTTTATTTTTTATCAGCCAATCAGCATCGAGCTCTCATCGCATCGAGCTTTCATCTTGGTTTTTGAGTCTGTTTTCTGGTTGTCATCGTCGCCTTTTACCCCTGAATTTCCCTCACAAATCAAAGCCCTGCCCTCTTTCCACAAAATTAAACCTGCTGATATTCAAAAAGGTGTCATTACCAATTGTTTAGATGTGCCAAGAAATATCAGAATGTCACTTTTTAGTGTCATTTAGTCAACTGTTTTGGTGAGTCTTTCCCTAAATTCCCTTCCTATATAGGAACGGGGTCCTAAAAGTAAGGATTACCACATTTTGATACGCAAACGTGTGCAAACGAATCTGGAAATTTCTGATTAGCCTATAAAACACCCTCTTTATAATAAAGAGGGTGAGTTATGCTTCTAAAGCAAAAATAAACTACAAACTAAGTCTAATTGTGAAAATCAAAATTGGACAAAGTTCTACATGTTTTTGTACATGATGGAAGTGTGGCCTTTATTTACGGTGGTAGTCCAGTAAATTGGCCACATTATGGGGCTATTTCTAGTCCCACTAACCATGGAGGAAGGAATAAACTCCAGCATGAGCTTGTGATAGTGTACAGCCAGAGGCAGTCGGGCTAGGGATATCCCTGTGATGTATTCCGGCCCTAGCTACCCAGAACTATGGGGCTCGCTACCTAGAACTACGAGGCTCCACGTAGTGGAGCCTCGTAGTTCTAGGAGTAAGGGCTCGCTTGAGTAGCAAGCTCCATAGTTCTAGGGGTAGGCCCCAGCCACACGTCCCACTTGGAAAAGTCAGCTGACTCTTTGCTACTTTCAGGCACACCCCAGAGTTTCTTGAGGCATTGGTTGTATTATGATCTCTCAGCTTTTGCGCCTGCGGGCATGCCAGGGTTGATATTTTCATTACCTGAAGTGTTTCGAGAAATCATGTAGTCATCTTGCTACATTTCGGTGTGCCTGAAAGTGGAAAAGAGTCTGCCGATTCTTCCAGACGGGACGTGTGGCTTAATGGGATACGGAGCAGCGATATATATCCCACTGAGCCACACTAGTACTAGTTGTAGGGAGGTTTAACCAACATTTCAAAAATTGAATTCTAGTGCCCCAGATACTGGGGCCAAAGTGGTACATATATTACATATGTTATACTAACGGCATGGAGCAATAAAGAATTCCTCCATATGTTAGAAAGTAACAAAAGCTTAAAATTTAAACTTTCCACGCTCACTGCAGTGCAGGATTTGCATAAATAGATTGCCTTAGACCCGTGAAAGTGGCTATGTTGAATACATAGCCACGGTTAATTTATATTTGCTGGACTTTCGACATGTTCGAAATCCCGGTTGGAGACGTTCACGGGTCTAAGATTGCCTGAGAGTGAGACTGTAAACCACACAGCCAAACAGAACACCGGCAATTACGAAGTCCACTTGTGTATAGGCCTATGTAAAAAAAAAGGAAAAAATGGGGTTGGCAGTTAAATTGTTTTTTTTTGGTTTTTTGCATTTTCGAACAACATTACATTTACATAAATTTATTTCATTTTTCGGGATACATTTGTTACAAAAAAATAATAACATTAAATACTCAGAATTACACATGAACATTGTAGACAAAACATACACAGTATATTTAACCAGCTCCCACTGGATTACCCTTAAGAAGCATGGTTTCTGTCGAGGGGCTTTCCAACTGATTAATTAGGACACACTAAAACAATGTTAATATATTATAACTATGTACAACTTTAAAGAAACAAAACAATAAAACAACTTACAAGTCCTTAAATGAATAAAACTACATGTATGAATGAAACAAAACACTGCATTGTGTTTTAAATTGCTATGTATACAGTAAATGAGTAAACATAATAAAATATAATAAAGATAGTTGCACCCCCCCCCCCAAAAAAAACCCGGACTTAGTAAAGTTTTCAGGGCAGAATTCATCAAAATGTCTATTTTGGCATTTTCTGTTGCAAATACAAAATAATTAAGTACCGGTAAATTAATACAAGTTAGTTTCTCTGGCACTTTGCAGCACATGTTAGACCGATATGTAAATGTTCAGCAATTTCAATAAAATTGTTGAACCATGGAACAGTGGTCAGAGTGTTTTTTTTTGTATTAGCGTGTGTTCTTTGCTAGTGCTTTTCTTCAAAATGGTACAATGGATGTAGGCCTACATGAAACTTTCACCAAATTTGTCCTAAATACCAGCCTATAACAGGTCTCATTTGCACTTATTTTGGTAATTGCTACATATTTTTAATATTTTCTTTAATTTGGGTCCAGATCATTCTGACTCACCCTGTAGTATACAATATATAACCGACATACATATTCTTGTCATTTGATTGGTGGATCTCACATCATGTGACATTTTTTATTACTCCCATGCACGCCGGGTCTCAAAAAGTACTATCTGCCCATGTGGAATGGGAAATATTATTGAACAGTTAGGATCATTCTTGTTCCAAGACGCGGTATTTGTGTACAAAGGCATGCTGGTGTGCGCGTTCCAATGAGCCAGCGCTACAGAGTGAGGTTCAAACATTTTTGTGAAGGCTTGGTTTGGAAGAGAGAAATACATTTCCCATCAAAAGTGACAAGGATCTATATGTCAGTTATATAAAACAAATATTGAGTGGCTTTAAAATGTGAAATGGGAGGAATATTATCGCTTGGTAAAATCTGGACTTCGCCTCATGAAATGGAAAAGTCCAGATTTTACTTTACGATAATATAATCTCCCATTTCACTCAGAGCCACTCAATATTTGTATACTGTACATTGGAAAAGAACTTGCATGGGCAGACTGTGGGTTAGGGAGTAGGCAAAAACAATTTATATTATTTTACAGTGATATATAATAGTGCTTGTAATGATTCACCCTTGTAATCATGTCTTTGCTCTATATTTCACCAGATATGAAAAAATCTTCGTACACGGTTATTGACCGAGGACACATTTCAAATGATTTTCGATTGATATCCAACAAAAGCAAGAATCCAGTGTACCTGACAAAGTGGAAAAAATCTTCAGGAGAACAGACAGTTGCTGCAAAGTGCTGCCATCATTTTCATGAGGACGAAGCTGCGATTTTGGCAAGGTTAAATCACAAAAATATCATTAAGTTCTTTGGAGTTGTTCTGCCAACTTCCATAGGGGAGAGTCACATCATTGTGACTGAATATGCAGAGGAAGGTTCTTTACATGATGTGATTGCCCGACACTGTGAACACTGGCCCGAGTACATGCAGATAGAGAGTCGTTGGATGAAGTGGGCCCAGGATGGTGCCAGGGCTCTGCAGTTCATTCATCAGAACAAGTACCAACATGGGGATGTAAAATCGCCCAATTTCCTTGTCACCAGCGATGGCACACTTAAGATATGTGACTTTGGCATATCCAGAAAATGTGAGTTAACCATCAGCACAGTCAGCAATAGGGGATCTTGGCCATGGATGGCCCCGGAGGCCTTCGGCAGTGTTGCATATGATCCCCAAAGCACAAGGAAACCATGCAAGGTCACAACCAAATCAGATGTGTTTTCTTATAGCATTGTCATATGGGAAATAATGTCTGGTCAGGCCCCCCATCCCGGGAAACAACAGATTCAGATTTACAAAGCAGTAGTTGAGAGAAAGGAACGCCCTCAAATTCCAAGTCATTGCCCAGAACACCAACAAATGAGCGAGCTTCTAAATAAATGCTGGCAAGCGGAATACAGAAGCAGACCCACTATGGATGAAGTTCTGCAAACCCTCCTTGATATTGACAAAAGCATGAGGGAAAGTACATGTATAAGTAAGTTACCATTCAAAAATGTATTATTATATATATCAAGCAAAAGAGAGTATCCATTACAGTGATGTTGACAATTAATCTACAACAAAACAAGTAGTTTATTTCAGTGGATCAATTTCATGTTAAGAATCTAAATGTATTTATTAAAACTTGTTTATACACAGTAACCCATTCAACCAAGGTTGTTTTTCAAGGGGCTGTTTTGCCCCTCGAAAAACAACCTTGCGAAAAAAATGGTCAATACACAAAATGTAATCAGTATTCAAAACATATAAAACAAAATGAAACATTAAGTAGGTGTGCAAAAGTAAGAACAAAACTTTAATAAACGAAAGGAGAAAAAAAAGAAAGAAACTAGAGGTTGTAGGAACAACCACACGGTGTTGGCGCTAACAAGCTGTGAGATTAGGTGAAGGAGGGTTCTCATCCCCAAATGTATTAGCCTGTCAGATCCAGTTTTGACATTTAAGTAGTTTCCCCACCATTATGCTATTAAAATGCCATTCCGTATTGAGCACAGCCTCATGAAACTTTCGAGCACTATGCCTGCGATAAGGTAATTGAACTACCGGTGTGGAAAGGCATCAAATTTTAGAAAACCTTCAGCTACCCAATAAAAAGGCGGGGTAATCCCGCCTGTCCAAATTACGCCCATGTGCATCTATTTGATTGTAATTAATGTACAGGCTACGATATAAGGTCAAAACCTCCTGACACTTTTACGCACCATCACTACCGTATGGACAATGTGATCTTGAAATTTGTAACAATGCCACCTGTACTGTTTTCCAATTTCCAGCACAAAGCATAAATATCAGTAACTGAAAAGGTGGAATGTCTGGGGTTGGTGAAGGGGATAAAATTGTCCAATGTATAATTAATATGTATGCCTCCGGTCGACAGCTGTGACAAAGTGATGGGTCCCAGTGTAAACAAACTTTGGTTCACCGCCGACTCATGCACATGCAGCACCTTATTGGTTGAAAGTTTTCTCCATTTGCATATTCTCATTTGCATGCTTCTTTCGTGACCTTATATGGTTACGATGACCTAATTGCCCCGTGTTTGCACTCTACAACTAAATCAGGTCACCGACGCGCGTACCTGACTCGCCACAGACATAAAGTGAAAATGCATTTTTGTCGTTTCTTAACCTGCTGCTAGAGGGCACTCCAACACTTCATGGCGTCACACATTATTTTTTTGAGCGGTCAATCCAGGCAGACACTTAAATCGTTAAAAGCAAGTTCATATCTTTTTCCACTTTTAAATTATTAGGCACTTCCGGTTTTGACCGGAAGGAAGTGTCACGTGATTTTGCACGCATAAGATAAAATGAAGATCATGTATTAACATGTCGATTCCCACAAATTTCAGGTTCCGGTCTCTCACGGTTGATTTTATATGGAATTTCAAAGATTAAATTTGTTAAACTTTGAAGTGACGTCACGAGACCCGCGATGACGTCATGATTACGTAATTGCAAAAAACCACATCTGCAATAGTAAACCCTTACAATAACAATAGGTGTTGGGCTCAAGGCCCTACACCTAATAAAATAGTTTGACCAAATGGGTAACAGTGGTTAAATAATCACCAGTACAGTAAAAGTCAATATAGAAACCAGACAAGATTAGTGATTTACATTTAAAGAATTACTGTCCATTTGATATAAATTGAAATATACGCAGTAATCAAAAAAATAAAAGCAAAATTTGTAAAACAAAATAAAACAATAAAAATATATTTTATAGGATTTTATTTTAAACACAAACAAAACAAACTTAAGTGTACTTTGATAAAAAACAACCCTGAACAATGTGTACTGAAACAGTAAATACAAGAATTGAGCTGTACACAGAAATCGTAAAAGTAAAAAATGTTAAAAATGTAGAAAAAAAAATGTAAAATGAATTAAAACAAAGAAAATATTTAAATTATTTATTTAAAGAAAAAACTATACTCTAAAAGACTAAATAAAACTTAACTTTAAAAGCAGATCAGAAGCAGTAAGTACAGGGATTAAGTAATTTGTCAACATGCCGGAGTTAAAGACATTTTCATTTTAAAACATTTCAGACTACAATCCTGGCCAAATCTCGCTGGGCCCCCAAACCCCCTAGTCCGAAAATTTGAGACTCTCAAATACTGTGTATGAGAGTCCCAAAACTTAAGGTATCCATATTGTGCAAAAGTTTGTGCTGCATAATAAAACCAGTGTGAATGAAATGTGCAAGCTTCTTACTCACTACAGTTTCTTCAATAATCCCCGAAACTTCTGCCCTGCAAAGTTGCTGTTGTGAGCATTGCATCACCAAAAATTCAGCGCTTAATTCTAATTTTGCAGGGAGTTATCGAAATCCAAACGCGAAACATCACGTTGATGTGTACTGCAATGCATTGTGCAAAAAAGACTACTCAGCTCAAACATTTTCATCGTGTAGATAAAACAGCGCCCTCTTGTTGATCTGAGTGAATGCAGAATGTTTAATATTTTAACAGAGGGCGCTATGTTCATTTGGCCATCGATTAAAAAACAAGTAAGCTGCAAGGCTCTTCCTGCACCTACCCAGAATACCTTGGGAATCACACCACCATTTCTAAAGCATGAAGAATGACGTGGATGGTTTTTGAACTGTCAAAAACTTGCCTTAAAATTGGATTTAAGGTCTCAAATTTTGCAGGTGACATGCTTGCAACTTAAGCATTTTGATGTATGTGTTGTGTGGGCATTAATTAGCCGAATGGTGAGTAAAAAAACGTCAGTAGTAATTTTGCACGTTTTTATGCACTCACGGTCCCAGTCTGCAAACCCCCCAGCCCCAGCTCAATGTTGTCTCTCATTGCGCGGTGTGTGCTCCATCCGCTGGAGAGAACAACATTGACCGGGGGAGCGGGGGAGTTGGTGACCGTTGGAGGCTAAGGTTATTTCCAAGTGTCCCAACCATTTTGGCCGGGATTGTCTGAATGTACAATAGCCTTGATATTGCATTTGGATATTGCGCGTAGTACGTGCTCAAATAATAATACACACGCGCGCGCGCTGGTAACATGGTCAATGCACACGATTCACCATGACGGTGCACCATGTCATTTTGGCCAATATTTTTACAAAATGCAGATTGTGTTCGACGTGAAAGCCGTAAGTTGACATAAACCCTGTCTGATGTTTTTTCCCACTTGCAATAGTTTTCAAGCCGAATGAGCTTCGGCAAGCCTTGATGCCAACCCTGGAGAAGCTTTACCGTCAGAATCCGGAGTCCCTTCCCTTCCAGCAGCCGGTGGATCCCAAGACCTTGCAAATACCTGTTTGTGCTGATCCCTGTTTTGTTATTTGTCCTCAGTTGTTCTGAGAAAAAGCTCAGCTACCCATGCCTTGAGAAGATACCTTGTGCCTGTTGTGATATTAAAAATGGAAAACTTTTAATTTGGCAGTTAATATGAGTACTTTGCTCCCTTTTCCTCTTTTTTTTTCCAATACAAACTGTGTGACTGATATGAGTTTTTGTAGTTTGTGATGACTAACAGCCTATCATTTCCACGTCTTTTTCCTGCTTGGTTAGCAGCCAGTGGTGTGAGTCTGCATGCTGGAATGGTTCTGTCACATTTTTCTTTCTATAAAATTTGGATCTTGCTTTTTGACACCGCGGTAGTCTTGCTCAACCAAATTCGGCAGTGCCCAAAACGCTACTGATAAAAGGGGTTTTTTTTCGCCAGCTCGGACGAGTTCCGTTCATGAGTTAACAGGACTCCCTTGTTAACTGATAAACTGAATATGTGCCGCTACACTAGAGAATCTCTACTGCACATAGGAAACAACTGTTCAAAAAACAAAGATGGCCGCAGAATTGACCAGGAGGTATGGACAATCATCAAACAAGCAGGTATTGCGAATATCCCCAAACGGGGCTGCAGAGCAGGTACAAACAAAGAATGATCAAAACTCATATAACTGTGCGTCCAGTTGATTCGCCAAATAATCACGATCGAGGAGTTTCTTGTGCAAATTTGGCAACGTTACCAAGACTGGTGGAAAAAGACCAACCTCCTAGTAGTCCTACCCTGCCTACTGTGTACTTTTGTAATCCACGCTCCCTAGTGAACAAGTTTGATGAATTCAGAACGACAATACTGGATCTCAATGTAGATGTAGCTGGCATATCAGAAACTTGGTTCAGCCCCAGCACACCAATTGAACAATTTGGAGTACTTAGATGGATTCTACCTCTCGTCAAAGTGTAGGAGCACACAACGTGGGGGAGGAGTAGCAGTATACATGCGGGAGAGTTTGTGTGCTCAAACTACTAACATCAAGGTCCCAGACCATCTTGAAGTGGTATGGATGAAAGCGAGACCCTATCGCCTACCCCGTGAAACATCCATACTCTTCTATGCTGCAGTATATTCTCCACCCAACAACCCACATGAACATCTCATTGATGGTGTTGATTATATCAACACCAACTATCCTCATGCTGGTGTCACCATATTGGGTGACATAAATCGATTGGACACAAGTGATCTTTGCACAGGTACTGGATTCGCCCAAGTTGTCAAGCAGCCGACTCGCAACTAAGTGATTCTCGATAAGATTATCACTAATATTGCCAAACATTACCATGCTCCAGAAACTAGCTCCCCAATCAGAAAGAGTGACCATTCCACAATCATCTGGAGCCCAAAGTCGTGACATGCCCGAAATGCAACTAACACTCGGATTGTCCGCCCAATGAAAGAGTCTGCAATCCGTGATTTCGGTTCATGGATTGTCAACCATGACTGGGAAGAGGTTTACACCAAGTCCTGTGTTACAGACAAGTGCTCAGCTTTTTATGATACTCTACAAGGAGCTATAAACTCCTACTTTCCAACCCAATCCATCAGAGTTCATTCTCAAGATAAACCATGGATGACAACGTACATCAAAAACGTCATTCTGGAAAGACAGCAAATATTCCACACTGAACATCGTTCCCCAAGATGGAAGCAGCTTCGCAACAAGGTGAGGCGCATGATAGGCAAAAACAAGAGAAACTGCTATACGAATTGCGTACAGCAACACAAGAACGCTAATCCTGCTGAATGGCATACACATATTCGCACTATGTCAAATATGAGTTAACCCTCCTCCTGGTGTTAATGTACACAACTCGGAGGATGTCGCGAATTGCATCAACGACCACTTCGTCTCTATATGGAGTCACCTCAAACCACTCGAAACTGCTTCATTGCCAGCCTACTGTCCAGACCCTCAACCTGACCCAAGAGTACTGAACTATCAAGTCTACGCAGTGCTCAAGAAAACCAAATTGGGCAAATCTGCTGGTCCAGATGGTGTCCCCACCAGGATAATTCGTGAGTTTGCTTGTGAGCTCACAGGCCCTCTAACAGACATACTTAACAACTCGTTTAGCGAAGGAGTCGTCCCACAACAGTGGAAAAAAGCAGTCGTGGTTCCCACCCCTACACCAGCTACTTGGGATAAGTTGAGACCCATATCATTGACTGATCACTTCGCTAAGGTGGCTGAAGGTTTCATCGCGGATTGGCTATTGGATGACATCAACAGCAAGATTGATCCAAACCAGTACGGCAATCGTAAAGGAGTATCCACGACTCACTATCTAGTGAAACTGTTGGACACCCTTCACAGAAACGCAGATAAACCGGGTTCTATGAGCATAGTAGTAGTAACAGACTTCAGCAAGGCCTTCGATTCAGTAGATCACAACATACTCGCCAATAAACTCGTCAATCTCGGAGTTCGCCCCTCTGTCGTAACATGGATAGCCAACTTCCTGAGCAGTAGAGAACAGTGTGTCCGCTACCGTGGTGTAACAAGTGACTGGAAACCGCTCAGGGGTGGAGTACCTCAGGGAACACGCATCGGCCCACTTGTATTTCTGGCACTTGTCAATGATGCAGTAGGGGACATCCCACCTACCGTCCTGAAATACGTTGATGATCTAACAATGGTTGGGCATTGTGACCGGAAGACCCCATCGGATATGCAAAGTCATCTTGACAACCTTGCCGAGTGGGTCCAGAACAATCACATGAGACTCAATGCTGATAAATGTGCTACCATGCAGGTTACGTTCGCTAGGGAACTTCCGACCCAACTACCACTCACAATCAACGATACCCCACTCCAGTCAGTCGATACAGTAAAGATTCTGGGACTGCAAATTTCTAAGGACTTAAAATGGGACACTCATGTCAAATCCATCCTAAAGAAAGCTAATGGCAGGATCCACATGATAAAGACATTGAAGCATTTTAATATGCCATTACAGGACACGGTTACAATCTATTCATGTTATGTTAGACCCATATGCGAATATTCTGCTCCTACTTGGCATTCCGGGCTCACTGTGGTAGAAAGCGAAATGCTTGAGAAAATTCAACGTAGAGCCTGTAAGATCATGATGGGCAAACAGTACACTAGCTATGAAAATGCACTTGTTGCCTGCAACCTCAACACTTTGGCTGAATGGAGGGAGCAGATGTGCATGAAATTCTTCCAATCGCTGATTGCATCCAAACACTACAGCAGCTGGCTTCCGCCAAATAGGAGAAATGTTCATCATAGAGACCTCAGAAACTGCAACACATACTCCCTACCTCTTTGTAAGACTAAGCGGTACCAAAAAAGCCTAATTGTTTACATGACAAAGATTTGGAATGAAAACCACTAATATTAACCAACTAGTGGGTCTGACCTCTAGCTGCAATCCTGAATTTTTATGCATTTGTGTTTATGTCGAATTTTTTTTCTTTTGTAACATTTGAGGGTTCCCCGTTGTTTTTCTTTACCTTTGACCCCTCCCTTCCACAATCCTGTTGTTCACATAACAACCTCCCTTCCCATGCCTTCCATCCCCAAGACAACTTCCCAATCCCACTTGTATCAACCTCTGCCCCTGTGTACACCCAACCTTTCCATCCTCTTTTCCCAACCTTTTTCATCCTGTGCGGTTTTACAGCCTGTTTGTACACAATTTTAAAAAGGAAGCCTGGTTTTTATTGCATTTGAATTTCACTAAACTGTTTCTCTCGATTTTTATTGTTTGTTTTGTATCTGTGTACTTTAATACCATACATGTTTTCCCAGCTCCATTCCCCTCAACCCGTCCCTATCACTCCCTCCCTTCCTATGCCCTTTCATGATGGTTATTCTTTAAATCTCTGTGTAATTTTATTTTTTATGTAACTATTCTGCAATTCCGCTGCTGGCGGCGATAGAATAGAATAATAAACCATTAATAATAATAATAATGAGAAAGTTGTCAGTGTTGTAGTATTCGTCTTGCATGTTGCTAGAAGCTTGTGTGCTTGTGCTTAGTTCGGTACTAGACTCACTAACAGGGTCGTGTGTGCAATGGGAATAACTAATGGACAAGTATTGTGATGTATCAGGTTGTTTAGTACTGGTTGGCAATGAATTAACCTCAAAACTAAAAACAGAATAGTTTTGTGATCTATTGCTTGTGAGTACACAAAATAAAATCTGTTGTGTAACTTATCACACATAAAAGCTATATTTGATCAACCCGTCCCTATCACTCCCTCCCTTCCTATGCCCTTTCATGATGGTTATTCTTTAAATCTCTGTGTAATTTTATTTTTTATGTAACTATTCTGCAATTCCGCTGCTGGCGGCGATAGAATAGAATAATAAACCATTAATAATAATAATAATGAGAAAGTTGTCAGTGTTGTAGTATTCGTCTTGCATGTTGCTAGAAGCTTGTGTGCTTGTGCTTAGCTCGGTACTAGACTCACTAACAGGGTCGTGTGTGCAATGGGAATAACTAATGGACAAGTATTGTGATGTATCAGGTTGTTTAGTACTGGTTGGCAATGAATTAACCTCAAAACTAAAAACAGAATAGTTTTGTGATCTATTGCTTGTGAGTACACAAAATAAAATCTGTTGTGTAACTTATCACACATAAAAGCTATATTTGATTGACATTCAAATATAGTATAGCATTCACAACCAATTCATCACAGTGGTTGTCAAAGGTGAAACATTGCACACACTTCCCTTCAACTAACAAGAGCAAACAAGAAACAGCCAAAAATATTCATCCATTTTGCGGTATTTTTTCTGTTGGATTTTACTCCTCCAGGACTACTTTGACATCGTGAGGCAGCCCATGGACCTGTCCACCATCAAGCACAAGCTGGACACCGGGGTGTACCAGAACCCCTGGCAGTACGTGGACGATGTCTGGCTGATGCTGGAGAATGCCTGGCTGTACAACCGTAAGACGTCCCGCGTCTACAAGTACTGCTCCAAGCTCGCGGAGGTATTTGAGACTGAGATTGACCCTGTCATGCAGATGCTGGGGTACTGCTGTGGCCACAAGGTAGGCATCCAAGCACTCTATATTACCCCCACCCTTAAGCCCCACTCTACAACCAAACCCCAACCAATCCCACCCAAACACCCCAACTGCCAGCCCACCAATTATCCCCCCCCCCCAAAAAAAAATTAAATGTCTTGAGTTTTTTTAGGGGATTAGGGAACTGTAATTCTTCCTCTGAAAACAAGTGCTAGTTTGAATGATTCTGACAGCTGTATTGTTTTACCTCTTCCCTGTTTGCAGTTTGTTTTCCACCCGCAAGTGTTGTGCTGTTATGGCAAGCAGCTCTGTATCATCCCGTGTGATGCTGTGTATTGGAGCTATCAGAACAGGTAAGAATTCAAAATGCAAAATCCTTTTTATGCTCGGAAGCGAGCATAACAATAGTAGGTTTTTGTTTGGGGGAGGGGGGCGATTTGGGTCTAGTTTGAGGAGCAAATGGCAAAATGAAAAGTCGTCAGGGGAAAAAAGTTTCAATATTTAATTTCTGTGAAACACTGATTTTCATGATATATTTTCATCATTACTCCAAGAAAATTTGGTCGTAGAAGAATGATCCTCATAAGTATGTTGGTGATTTCCTTTTTCTAGGTATCACTTTTGTGAGAAATGCTTCAACGAGATCGAGGGTGACTCGGTGACATTGGGAGATGACCCAACGCAGTCACAGACGTAAGTAGACTCGCTTGTCTTGAACGTAATTTCGCAGGGTTTGTAACATTTCAAGTCTGTTGAAGATACTAGATCAGAGCTTCACCCTTCTCTTCTGTCAAAAATGACAAACTAATCTGAATGACTTTTCTAACCTTTTCAGTCCCGTACTGTGGATATCCCATTAAGGTCTTGCACCCAGGATACCCCAGGTTATAGGGTTACACACACATAAATGAACCCGAAGCACAGTCTGTTCTAGGAAGATGTCATCGTGAACATCAATGAATGTGGTTTGTCCCCAGGCTAACTGTACACATTATGAAATGAGGCAACATTGAACTTATTATGAACCCATTTGTCCCTGTACTGCCCCAAAGCGCCCTGCCGGTTACTTCCTATAACGCCCGAACCGACCAACACTCTATGGTTTTTGTTTCATTCATCAAGGATTAAATACAATGTAGTACAATGTATCAAAAGTTCTAATGGGTTTAATGACAAACTTTTATCACTATTTTATGTGCACTACTTTTTGTCAAACTCGAAACATAACTAGTGCTACTAACCCCCCATTAATTTATGTACATACCTAATGGTACAAAACCCAGTTAGTTTTGTAATTGTTGGGTTAATCAGAAATCTATTACTTGCTCAACAGTGTTGTAGGTCTCGAGACCGGTCTCGGTCTCGAGACCGGTCTCGAGACAAAAAGTGGTCTCGGTCTCGGTCTCGGGAGCTGTGGTCTCGGTCTTGGTCTCGGTCTCGGTCCCCTTTGGTCTCGATATTTTGGCTGGTCTCGGGTCGAGACCGGCAATATGTAGCTTTTACAGCTCGATCGATTACTTTGTGTTCACTTCGTTCAGTACCGTTGATAGTTAAAACATTTGCTAGCCCGTAGATCAAGTTTGTTATATATCGTGGTCGGTTTGGACTCGACTGCACGTTGGAAAGTCCCAAAAGTACATGTAAAGCTGCAGCAGTACCAGTCACTGAACGATTTGGAACAAGTTCGGCATTTATCTGTTGTGTCAGGCACATAAACAAAGTATAAACTTGTAACAATTTATGCAATAAGGGCCTGCCATTTTCGGGGATTGTGAAGTTTAGCCCACCCCTGTTGGCGTAATCACTTGCATTTTGTATTCTGATAATAAATGAGGTGCTTCAAATTAGTTATATTTTCGACCCCCAAGGGCGGATCCAGGGGGGGGGGGCCAAAGGGGGCCATGGCCCCCCCCCCCCCCAAAAAATGAAATCATTTATTTTTTTCATGACATCGCAATAAAGGCAGGCAATGAGTACACCACCATCTTTTCCTCAAAAAAACATTGGTTAAAGTGGTCAGAAATTGCCTCAGATCGCACCACAGAGCATCTAGAATCCAAACATTTTTCGGGGCCCTTAAGCGGGCCCCGAAACCCACGCCATAATTTTTTGGACCCACTTTTTTGGGGGACCAAATTTTTTTTTTTGCCCCCCCCCCCAAAAAAATGTTTTCTGGATCCGCCCTTGTCGACCCCACACAATGTTCTCTTTAATTTGGGACAGTATTTTGAAGAAAAAGTAAATATACCCGCCTGATTTTCCAGCATTGAACTCACACACTCTTACCAGTTACCACTCACTGTTGCCATGAGAGTGTATGATGAGACCCCATTTTCTGGCTGCTCATTTTGAAGTACCCCATTATTCCTCAAAAATTAAAATCCCGTTCAGAAAAAAATTTAAAAATCCATATCTGGCACATTCTGGCTACCACCTCGCAACTTGTGGGTCTACATGTACAAGTCCACATTCTATGACAGAAATTTTAAAGATTAATTCAACATTTTCTAGCTCCCATTTTTTAAAATCAAGTACACAAAAAAGTCTTGTTAGAAGTTAAGTCCTATATTTATTTTAGGAAAAAAAGGCACAATGTAAAATTAAAATTGCATCTTTAAATATCCGTTAGAAGTCATAGCTGAAACCAAGGGGTGACTGTGGAGTTTAGGATTCAAGTTCCTATAACAGATGAAACATCTGCCTTTAACTTTTTACTTTTGTCACGATTGGGTGCAGACAACATGTCAAAGCCCATATTTCTTAAGTGTAACTACTTTTTGCTCAAGTAGGGTGTCATGTATCAATTTGTCAACACTGCCACTGGTCAAAATTTTGGTCTGTAATCTTTGTGAATAGAAAGGTTACAACTTTCAACTATAATAATGTGTCTTTTTAAATTTTATTTCGACTATTGTTATTTATTATCAGCGGTCTCGGTCTCGGTCTCGGACCATATTGGTCTCGGTCTCGGTCCGCCTTGAAGAGGCTGGTCTCGGTCTCGGTCTCGGTCTCGAATCTTCAGGTCTCGGTCTTGGTCTCGGTCTCGGACTATCCGGTCTCGACTACAACACTGCTGCTCAAACGTATGGCAGTATACTTCATGAACTACGTGTGAATTTAGTAATATATCGGCATTGTTGGATTCACTGCTGGGTTCTGAAAATGTAAACAAGATCTGTTTCGTAGAATCTTTCAGTAGTAAATTAGGGCTGTGTATTGGAACTGGGTACCCGAGAACCCTGCCTTTGATGTCGGGAATCAGTTCCGGATTATGGGATCGGGTACATGTAGCCGACTTTACAAATTACTTTAATAGTAACTTCTCAGACAATGAAAAAGAGAGGTTGTGAATGTCATGTGTGGATATTTTTCAAAATGAAAGCCAGGCTACGTGGGAAAACAAAAGATATATCACGTTTATGACTCGCGCGAAAATTCCACCTTTTAGCTAAAGACCTCACTGTTCACACTTGTTTCTTACTGCATTGATGTGGCAGTATCAATGTACGGAACTTTATGAAAAATCTGAACAGCAACTTCTGAGATATGAATGTTGGGGTTAGGCTTCTTTAACGAGTTCCCGGGTACCTGGTTTTTTTCCTTCTTTTTTTCATTTGGGTACCCGGTTCCCGTATTATCTGTAAATGCACACCCCTATCGTAAATGCAAGCAGGCTGCCCACGATTGATAGATTAACAGATGCACCAACATTCCCAGCATGCTTTGGTTTTCTCAGGAAATGCCCCCTTGTTGGCCATACCAAGGAATACATATTCCCAGATAAGCTAAAACCACCTTTGTAAAGAAATTTGTCTTTGCGAGAGATAAGATGGCATAGTAAAGTATGAGCACTGACTGGCTTACTTGTCGGAAGTAATAGATTTCTGGTAACGCCCAACTGTTTGCACTTACTCCAATAGGTTCTGGTGGACTGGCAATGACACAAGGTTCAACCATTCTAAGCAACTGGAAAGGTAAACGCAGTGGGTCACTAGGTTGAATGCCTCTCAAACATAGAAGGGGATGCCATCTGATGAACAACCTCAATACAAACACACATTGACGACAAGCTTCCTAACAAGAAAGCAACGGAGCTGTGGATCAAATGCCAACATTAAAATCCAGAACACCCACGCCCCCTAATCCCATATCATAACATTGAAATTTTGTTGTTTGTTTTGAAAAGTTTTTTTTTTATAACTAACACAATATGCACGCAGTGGTCATTTCATTGAAGTCCACTTTAATACAACTTGTGTCCTGCCATGACTCTTTGAATTGAAATGATCATATTTTGTTGGAGTAAAACACCTTCCCTTTCTACAAAATTGAATTGTGAATATGTTTAATATCCCAAGTTTGCAGTTTATTTGAATCATTTGTTTGTGATGTTTCCTTTGCAGTACTATCAAAAAGGAGAACTTTGTGAAACTGAAGAACGATACCCTGGACATTGAACTGTGAGTTTGGCTCGTTGCCTTTTATCATTTGGTGCTGAATAAAGTCAAAAATATTTAAAAAGAAACTTACAGTGAACCATGTAGAGCTACAAACCATTCCTAAGCTGATTGAAACAAACCAGAATATGCCCCCCCCCAATCAAAATAAAAAAGAAATTGCTGTAGGCATTTTAATTAGCTTTTTCTTTTATTGTTAATCACAAGTCAAAAAATTATTTCATGTGACAATGCTAAAAAGAAGGAGTTCATCAGCACAGCTCAACAGGTTTATTAGTTATGATGGAGCAGAAAGAAATCAAAAGTACATCAAAGTGGTCATGAGACAATTTTGTCTGAAGATCAAAATTTGAATAATACTACTGTCTGCTACAAATAAGGGGAGAAAGCAAAATTAAACAAGATGTAACACTACATTTTTACTCTGAGGTACCCAGAGGTAAACCGTTAAACCTCCAGGTAAACCTCCAGGTAAACCTCCAGGTAAACCTCCAGGTAAACCTCCAGGTAAACCTCCAGGTAAACCTCCAGGTAAACCTCCAGGTAAGCCTCCAGGTAAGCCTCCAGGTAAACCTCCAGGTAAACCTCCAGGTAAACCTCCAGGTAAACCTCCAGGTAAGCCTCCAGGTAAACCTCCAGGTAAGCCTCCAGGTAGGCCTCCAGGAAAGCCTCCAGGTAAGCCTCCAGGTAAACCTCCAGGTAAACCTCCAGGTAAACCTCCAGGTAAACCTCCAGGTAAACCTCCAGGTAAACCTCCAGGTAAACCTCCAGGTAAACCTCCAGGTAAACCTCAAGTTACTGCCTATTTAATTTCGCATTCTTCCCTCATTAAAATGCACACCGAGAGAAGAAGGCTTTTTAAAGATTTTCAAAATGCTGAAAGGATATTAAATTTTAATCATAAATTCTTTCGAAACTTTTACGACAAAAGAAAAATACCCAATAACTTTGATATGAAACAAAACCACTTAATAAAATCAATCATGTTAACTTCCGTTTAACAACAGGTTTGTAGACTGCTTGGAATGTGGGAGGAAACTCCACGTGATATGTGTCCTGCACAATGAGGTCATCTGGCCTGAAGGGTAAGCATAAAGTCGCTCTTTAAACCTACCTGAAAGTCTTACAGGTTCCTTCCAAAGGACTTGCCGAATTTGGTACTCTCATTTTGTTAATCTGTGAATGAAACTAACATTTTTGTCTGACGTGACTATTATTTCTCCTCACCTCCCTTCAGCTTCATCTGCGACGGTTGCAGAAAGTCCAAAGGCATCAAGAAGGAGAACAAGTGTAACGCTAAGAGTGAGTAACATATTAAAGCCAGGAATATTTGCTTCAGCATGTTAAAAAAAAAACCCGGGATTGGTCACATGAAGCAGTCATGTGATGTGTTCAATTAACAGTTCAAACAACAGATCTACCATTGACAGTCTTAACTTTTAGATATGGGGTCAGTGTGTGTGTCCGTCATTGTCAAATATTGTGTTAACAATAACTGTGTTTCTATAAACACTACAGAAATGTATAATTATGAATTGTTACTGATGTTAATTCCAAATGGCTGCATAAAACCTGTCAGAGCATTATTTTCCGGCATCCCTAAAAAAAAAATGATATATGGACAATGTAATTGAAAGTTCATGGTGGAAATACTGCATTGTTTTGCTTGTCTGTCGTCAAACAGAACTGCCGTCATCGAAGCTAGGCATCCACTTAGAGAGCCGAGTGAACAAGTTCCTGAAGTGTCGCAATACGGGAGCCGGGGAGGTAACCATCCGGGTGCTAGCCAGCTCTGAGAAGACGGTGGAAGTCAAATCAGGCATGAGGAATCGGTAAGGGACTTGCAAAACACAAGAGGGGGGCTGTCTGTGATTTTCTGTCTGAGATTGTCTGTGATGTTTGTCTGTGTCCTTTCTGTGATTGTCTCTGATTGTCTTTGAATGTCACTGCTTGTTGTTTAATCTTTTTTGCACTTTTAAAATTTCCCTGCAAGGTTTGGAGATGACCTACCGGAAACATTTCCCTACCGGGCGAAGGCACTGTTTGCCTTTGAAGAGATTGACGGGACGGACGTGTGCTTCTTTGGCATGCATGTCCAGGAGTACGGCTCGGAGTGTCTCAGGCCAAATCAGAGGTATGAGAAATACTAGCCCAGGGGTTTTTTTTCGGAAAGGAAAAATTGTCTCAAGCAGTTTCAGCTTTACTTAAAAAATTCCGGAAAAGCCTCTTTCATCATCATTTTTATGCCTCGCGGCGAAGCCGAAGGGGCATACTGTTTCCGCCTTGTCCTTCCGTGGGTGGGTGGGTGTGAGTTTGTGTTACATACCCTATGTGGACTTGTGAACAAAAGAGGTCCACATAATGCAGGTTGTGTTAACGTTATGTGGACTAAGCCGTGTCCACATAAGGTTTTGCCCTTTCTGGAAAACAGGTTTAGAGGCATTTTTGGGTTAGGTTTATCCGTAGCAGAATGAAGAGAAACACTATAGGGAATCATAGAAAAAAAATTGGGTTAAAAGAGTTTTCACAGTTTAAGTAAAGTTATTTTTTGTACTGAGTTTTCTTAACTACACGAAAACAAAGCAATGTCCACACAAGGTATGTAACGTAAGTCTGGGTGTGCATGTGTGTGTGTGTGTCCGGACAAATGTTGTCAGCGCGATAACTTGAGAAATACTTAACATATGAACTTCGAATTTGGTTTGTGTATTGTTCTTGGTAATCCTAAGAACCCTTTTGCATTTGGGGCCGAAAGATCAAGGGTCAAGGTCACAGTTACTAAAACAAAAGAAATTTTGTCAGTGCGATAACTTGAGAAATACTTTACATATGAAATTCAAATTTGGTTTGTGTATTGTTCTTGGTAATCCTAAGAACCCTGTTGCATTTGGGGCTGAAAGGTCAAGGGTCAAGGTCACAGTGACTAAAACAAAAGAAATTTTGTCAGCGCGATAACTTGAGAAATACTTTACATATGAACTTCAAATTTGGTTTGTGTATTGTTCTAGGTAATCCTAAGAAGCTTATTGCATTTGGGGTCAAGGGTCAAGGTCACAGTTGCTGAAACAATAGAAATTTTGTCAGCGCGATAACTTGAGAAATACTCTACATAAGAACTTCAAATTTGGTTTGTGTATTGTTCTTGGTAGTCCTAAGAAGCCTATTGCATTTAGGGCCGAAAGGTCAAGGGTCAAGGTCACAGTGGCTGAAACAATAGAAATTTTGGCAGCGCAATAATGTGAGAAATACTTTACATGTGAACTTCAAATTTGGTTTGTGGATTGTCCTTGGCAATCCTAAGAAGCATTTTGCATTGGGGCCAAAAGGTCAAGGGTCAAGGTCACAGTGGCTAAAACAAAAGGAATTTTGTCAGCGCAATAACTTGAGAAATACTTTATATGTGAACTTCAAAATTGGTTTGTGGATCGTTCTTGGTAATCCAAATAGGTATATTGCATTGGGGGACGAAAGGTCAAGGGTCAAGGTCACAGTGGCTAAAACAATAGAAATCTTGTATTTATTCTGAGATCAAAGGGATTAGTTAGGGATTAATTCATATATAACCTACATAAGACACTAATGCTGTCAATGAACGTTCCATGTGACCAAGGTACATAAGTTGATGTTAAAAGAGAGGTGTTATGTCATGGGAACAGTCACGGTTGCGGGGCATTTGTGTTTGTAAACACACCTGACTTGTTTGTTTCTTTGGGGTTTTTTTGTACTGCTTTCTCAAATCCTTTGCATTTTGTACACAGTTTTGAGTGCTATTCCCTTGTATTATCTGATGACATGCCTAAAAGAGCCATTTATGTTGATGCTTAAATGCTTAAAGCAGATATTTTCTCTTCTTCCTTTTATTTTCAGGCGTGTGTATATATCGTATTTAGACAGTGTTCACTTCTTCCAACCCCGTGCTTACCGAACAGCAGTATACCATGAAATCCTCATCGGCTACCTTGATTATTGCAAGTTATTAGGGTAAGTGAGTTTTTGTTGCTTTCTATTTTCATCAAACTCCAGACTTGGAGTGGATCTACCTGTTGCATTCAAAGACTTAAGGCCAGAAGACCTTTTACTGGTGTGTGACCTCAGTTTTGTTAAATGGAATGCCGATGCCTCCTTTATTTAGGTATGAATGGGCCCACATCTGGGCGTGGCCCCCGAGCGAAGGGGATGACTACATCTTTCACTGTCATCCCCCGGAGCAGAAGATCCCTAAGCCAAAGAGACTGCAGGACTGGTACCGTAAGATGTTGGACAAGTCAGTGACGGACAAGGTCGTTGTGGACTTCAAGGTTAGATATGGATGCCCCATACCCCATGCTAAGCTTGCTATATGTTTCCTCATCCCACGTTAGTGTGCCCCAGTCCTTTAAACTTTTCCCTACCTTATCTTGAGGTACCGCTTATCATTCTTTACGATATTAACAATCCAGGCCTTCATTTTTAGAAATTCGTGGAGCTCAGTTAATCGCTCTCCTGGGAAATCCGAGGAGCTCAATTTGAGCACCCAAAATTGCTCTCCTAGAAAAGTCTGAGGAGCTCGATTTGCATGTTTTGTGCTCAAAGTAAAAAATGAATCCAAATCATTCCTGAAGCCTTTCATATCATGCACACACACTTGCATCAGAACTGAGAAACAGATGCGACTGTTCTCTACAAATTGAGTGCTTAATCCATGTCAATTTAATAGGTTTAAGTTTTACTTGTTTGTGAATCATCCTGATGTGGAAATAAAAATGAAAAACAAATTGGAGTTGACTTGTGGTTCGTTAGTGTTTCTATTTTGTTCTATTTTACTTCGTTTTTATCATACTCACTTTATTTTTATTTTATTTTGTTTTATTTACTGTTTATTTCAGTTTTTATTTATTGATTTTTTTTTATCAAATAGTTTAATTAATTTGGTTTACTAACTTTACTAAAAACCTGTTTTTGTTTAAATTTGCATATGTATCATTTGGTGTAACCGTGTTTTTGAGGGGTTCTAAATTTATATCCAAATTGATGAATAGAGCCCCCTCCCCCCCCCAAAAAAAAATCCAATTAATTTAAGTCCGGTCATACATCTGTCAAAGAAATACTTTTTTTTGTCACATAAATCCTCAAAATTAGTAAAATAGAAAAGGAAAATAATTATATGAATATTTGGTTTTGGGCACAAAAAATAAAAGGATCGAAAGTAAGGTCACAGAAATGTACAAGTAACGCCATTACAATATGTTGAATGGTACTACGCACAAACAATGTCACCGTGCACGGGTGGCCTGTTGACCGGCCGCGCTTGCGGGCATAGCCCGGTAGTCGACACACGGAAAATCGCTCTGCACTCTATCGTTGAGGGACTAATGAGCTCACCCTTTCGCAAGGTATTTCCAACCCAAACTTGTCAAAAATGAACGCTAGTTTCTTGTAGATGTACCGGAGATCATTCAAAATGCCGTTCAAAAACTCTGGCTCCCTTTGGAATATCACAACTTCCAGAAAAACGGTGTAATTTCACATAGGCCTACCCACTGTTGTCTGGCTGCACAGTATTAGATCGCACACAACACAAGCACATAACATTATGTACCGTACGCGTTATGGGCGTACGGTACGGGGACGGACACGGGAACCGTCGCCCACACACCACACTCAACACGTGTGCTTGGGCCGCCCATTTGGAAGCACGTCCATTTTATCGAAAATAGGGGTGTTGGTATTACAAAGTAGGTGGTTACGTGGTTTTAATTGCTCAGCCCATCCATTTCATAATTGTTTTGTGTTTTCACTTCATCGGAGGTTTATTTATTTAGTTTTACATTATAAATATTTATAAACTAATTTATAAACTGATCTCAACCGTAATTATTATTTCATTTTATTCACTTAACGGCGGTGCGCGTCTGAATGACGATCCTGCCAGTAACCTTGATCATAATGGAACGTGCTACATGTCGTTGACGAAAAGAAAATGGCTAATGTATCCATGTATTTGTTGATATTTTTTTGCAACGAAATCGTTCAAACATCGTGATGACAAGTTAAGAAACAGTACATGGATATAAAATTTGGATTGACAAGATTTTACTGTTGGCTTTTATGTAGACAAAAACTGGAGTCGACAATTATTAATAAGCTTACAAATTTACCCAGGAGCGCTATTATTCGCGCGCCAGAAACCGTGTTAAGGAGCGCGAAGGAGCGCGATCGCGCTCGCGCTCCTTAAATGAAGGCCTGCAATCTTTTTGCTCTTGAGAAACTTCTCCAGTGAAATCACAAGGCTATTCTAAAGTTCTGAAATGGAATGGTTCTCTTAGTGGGGATAGTGCTAAAAAATCCCAAAATTTGCCGCCTGATTTTAGATGATGCTCAGTTTCTTCCTGAATTTAAAGCGCTCTTGGAGCTCACAGATTTGCTCAGCCTTGAAGACCTTTCCAACTTGGATCTCTGCTTACCAATGTTATGCAATATTTTTAGTATGAAATGGATTTTTGGTGTAACTGTCGAATAGGGAAATGTCATTAACACACCCTTTATTTCAACCAGAGTTTCTTTTACTAAGATCACAATGTTTCATATTAATTTGTTTGAATTGTTCAGGACATCCTGAAGTCAGCAATGGACGACGGCATTACCTGCGCAACCGAGCTGCCGTACTTTGAAGGCGACTTCTGGCCCAACGTTCTGGAAGAGAGCATCAAGGAACTGGACCAGGAGGAAGAAGAGCGACAGAAGGCAGCGGAGAAGGCCGCCGCGGCCAGCGCAGGGGAAGAGGTTAGACAGCTTGAACGTATTCCACGTATAGATTGTTTCTGGGTTGTCATACCAATGTAAATAGGAGTGGTGGGTCTTCATGGACAGTAGATAGTATTTGTGACCACTTGGGGAAGCCATGTTGGGGTGCGGCACATTGCATGAGTGAGCGCTGGTTCTGGCACATAATTTATTATTAACCCTACTAAACTCCCTGGTATAATTGACTAGGAACCATACCCATCCTGGCAAATTGCAACCCCATATATGGGAAACTGCACACACATAATTCTGACTTTGATTCTGGAGGTGTGCCAACCCAATGTAAAAGACTGTCAGTTTAGGGGTGCTGTACCCATCCTGACAGATTCCAACAAAACGTTGGGGTTTGATGGGTTGGGGAGGTTAGGGTTAATGAACACAAACCTGTATCGTCGTCGTGTGAGTGCCTGGTGTAAGGCAACAATGGGTTTGAGCCCCTCCTTATGTTCTAAGACATGTATGTGTGCATGGAATCTATACAGTATAAGGTGGATTGGATAGAATTCATTTGTTTTCTATTGTTTGTTCTCCCTTCTCATGCAGTCGGTACCGATCGGCAGCAAGAAGTCCCAGAAGAAGTGCAAGAAGAACAACAAGAGCAAGAGCAGCAGCAACCGCAAGAACAACAAGAAGACCAACTTCCCCCAGCAAGGCAACGACCTGTCCCAGAAGATCTTCTCCACGATGGAGAAGCACAAAGAGGTGAGCCATCGATCAGCCAGGAGATCTGAACAGCATAACCCCCTCATTGACTAGTGCTGTCAAGTTGCCGCAGAGTAAAGATTTGGGAAGTTTGGCACTGGGAGCCAGGAAATTCTTAGCAAACCTCACGTACACGTATTTGCTTGAATGCACCCTCAATGTAATCTGTGTCATATGTTCCAGAATTTATGTCGTCCCCGTTACCTTTCATCAATTGACGCTGAAATCTTTTTGCTCTACAGGTGTTCTTTGTCATCCGTCTGGTGCCCAACCCCGGCCAGAACCAGGAACCCATCCAGGACCCGGACCCCTTGGTGTCCTGCGACTTGATGGATGGCCGGGACGCCTTCCTGACCTTGGCAAGGGAGAAGCACTACGAGTTCTCCTCACTGCGACGAGCCAAGTACTCCACCATGTGCATGCTGTGTGAGCTGCACAACCAGGGACAGGACCGCTTTGTCTACACCTGCAATGAGTGCAAGCACCACGTGGAGACAAGATATCACTGCACCGTCTGTGATGTAAGTAGGGCTAGTGAACTTTTTTTTTAATGGTTGTATGTGTTTAAGAGATTGCTTTCATTGTAAAGCCCACCCAAAAAGAAAACAAATGATGGTAATATTGCAAAAATTGACCCATGCAATCCAAAGTTATGGCCAAATATATGTCGATCAAATGATGTTATTTTGTATAGGAAATGTGTACGAAAATGTTGAATTTTTGTGAAATTGAATAAAAAGGCATATTTGAACATCTGTTATGGTGTAAATAAACACTTTGGTAAACTTTAACTTGTTTTTGTCCATTGTTTATCACAACTACTATTGGTTTCAGTTGGTTTTGAGTTGATAAAAAAACATGATATGCAATAAAACGAATGTTAAAAATGTACTTTTACACTAAAAGCACTAAAAGTAACAAAATTCCATTCACTAGAACATCTTTTCACCAAATATGGATGACACAAGGATTGTGTGTAGATACAGCATGTGGACCCAAAAAAGACCAAAAAATCTACATTCTAAAAAAAAACCTACTTTTTTTTCCTAATATTTGGCCAAAATGGAGAAATTTTAGTCTGGCATGCATAAACGTATAAACTGGCCCAAGCCGAAGTCCAATTCTCAATGCCCAAATTTGACAAAAATTTAAACAAAGATATAAAACTTGGGTATCCCATTTAGGTTATAAAACGAACTTTCTCTCATATTTGGGTTATTTTATCCCATTTTGGTGCAAATCTCATAAGACTTGTAATTTAGTTTAAAAAAAGTATGCGCTGTGCGTAATGATTTTCCTGCGTAATTCCAATGGCCTAACGTTACATCAGTGCCCATCACATTTGTACACAAAAATCGTACATGCTATAGCCACCCAAAAAACTTTAAAAACATCAGACTTCACTCTCAAAAACAGCCACAAAGTTATTAGATATGCTACCTGAGATACAACGAGAGATCGATTATTAAGATCGAGGAACTTCGATGTGGGCAAAAAGTGAAATGATCGCCGGTACTGCGGTAGCAAAAACACTCCGAGTTCCATTTCGTTTACACCACGTGCGATGGAGTCTGGACGGTTTCCGAAAACGAAGGACTTACACTGGTATCCACTAATATATTCTGACCGTACGGGTCATGAAGGGAACCAGTGTAGAATATGCATTACGCGACAATAATACGCATCACGTGACAATGTTTTGGCTGCACTCGATCTCAAACGTGATAATTTTCCGTTGCGTTTACATTATCGTGTGCCGGGAACGAAACAGTGATGCTTACACGACGTGCGCTGTCAAACAGAAGGCGCCATGATGAAAATCCATCGCGACACAAATGTGTCTATAACTCTAAACTAAAATCATATTTTGAAGGTTTTAAAAACACAATTTTCAAGGTTCCATTATTATTTTCAATGTATTTCGTGATGAAAAAGTTTTGGGAAAAACAAAAAGAATCGTAACTTTGCAACGCATAGGCTGATTATCATGGAACGTGGATGGTTGAATGACATTTTCAATAAGCTTTCGACTGATGTATGGTTTCTTGACGTCTGCTATGCTACACTACCATTGAGACCGAGTTAAACACAGTCACCAGGGCAGACAATTCTTGCCGTGGATCTTGAACGCAGGGCCGGTCTGTGCGTGCCGCATGGCCCGTGAACGTAACATGTCATGCGCGCAGCATTTTTCGTACTCGGAGTTAAAATAAGACTTTTCAACCAGTGTAATTTCGACTCAAATCACAATCACAATGGGAAAATATGTAAGTTTATTACATCATTGAACCATCTTTATAAATTACGAGGAATATTTCAAAATTTTAAAATATAAATGGGGAATGAAAACATCCGGCTTTTTGAAACAAAATCACTGGGCGTGTGTATGTTGCACGCATTCGTTTTGAAACAAAGTGATCACCGGCAGCAAACAGCGAGTGCGCGAGCCCTAATGTAAGTGCCACCAATTTTCTTTTATAATTCAAGGTGTTTTTTTTCAGTCAAGCAGATATTTGAATGGAAGTTTTTTGAACAAAACTTGGAAAGTAACTTCCGAATTGCCGTTCTAAACCTGACTTGTTATGATTGTTTTGGGACATTGACACTTATTCTTTTCATTATTTTCCACAACAGGACTATGATTTGTGCAGTAACTGCTACCGGAAGATTGGTCACAATCACAAGTTGGAGAAATGGGGACTGGAACTGGACGTGGACTCCAACAGCGGTGCGTCGCGCAACCCACAGGAAGCCCGTCGCCTGTCCATTCAACGCTGCCTCCAGAGTCTGGTCCATGCTTGCCAGTGCAAAGACGCCAACTGCCGCCTGCCCAGCTGCCAGAAGATGAAGCGGGTGGTGCAGCACACCAAGGTCTGCAAGCGCAAGACCAACGGGGAGTGCCCCATTTGCAAGCAGCTCATCGCCCTCTGCTGCTACCATGCCAAGCACTGCCATCAGGAGCAGAAATGCCTGGTGCCATTCTGCCTGAATATCAAACACAAACTCAAGCAGCAGCAGCTGCAGCACAGGCTGCAGCAGGCACAATTGCTGCGCCGACGCATGGCCACCATGCAGCAGGTGACTGCCCCAAACCAAGCCATGAACCCACAGGCTTCCACCACCGGTGCCAATCCCATACAACATGGTGCACGATCTCAGCAGGCCACAGGAGTGGCAGCCCAGCAACCAGGGGGTATGAAACCTTATCATGTTAGACTATAAGTAACTGTCAGTGTTGTAGGACTTAAGCCCAGGACTCAGACTCAAGTCCATTAAGTCGTAGTTTCTGCATATTTATGCCACGCAGACTTGACTCAAGTCACATTGCAAAAGACTTGGACTTGGACTCGTTTATGACTTGTGACTTAAAGTCACATAATTTGTTACCCCAAAAGTTGCTTTTAAAATATGTTATTCTGATGTTTATTTTCTGAAAGTAAATTTCAAGCAATACTTAAAGCACATGAACTGTTATAACGCACAACTATTGAGGTGGTGTTGCAAATAGTGTTTGTTATAGGTTTTCCCATGACACATTTAACAGGCTAGATTTTAATACAAGTCTGAAACAAATCTATTTTAGGTGTAGAATGTTGCTAATTTGTTTTTCTTGATTGTGTCTAAAGTTTATTGATTGGAGTTTGTTGGTACACATTTTAAAAGCCATTCAATTAAAATGCTTTCTTTCTGCATTTATAGCAGAGGAATTGCTGCGCAGTGCCATGGCCGGCCCTTTGCCTGGCTCCACTGCCATTAGCACAACCATTGATCAGAACTCAATGCAGCAGACCTACGAGGTCTTGGAGTCTGAGTCGGTCCATGCATGCACTGTCCCATCGTTTTCCATATGTGTATGATCAAAATGATGTTTAGACATCCCCGGCCCTTTTTGCAAATAATTGTATCTCATCTGTGGACTTATTGCGCGCAGTTTCGGCGGAAAATCGTCCACTCCATCCGTAGTGCCCTGTATAAAATTATAATTTGAAACAGTCGTCTGCTGCACAAGCATGTGGTCATGAATCCTAAACATTAGCTTATATAGACATGTAAATCGCATCAAGTCACCAGACAAATTGTTCGAGGACAAAATGTCCCAAATTTTTTATCTGGAAAAAATGCTTGAAAAACACCCTTCCACTCCATAGAAACAATTAGATTTTTCACATGTTTGTGTATTTATGTAAAGTCGTTTGACGCTTGAATGGTTTCTATTGCAAAGGTTCTAGGTCTTAACTTAAATTGACCGGACTATTTAGGGGCCATTCAAAATTTTCGATGTTTTTAAATTTCAATTTTTTTTTTTTGAAATTGTTTTGACTCACCCACCCACCCCAATTTTCGATCTTAAAATATTGATTTTCATTCAATAAAAAACATAACGAATGTCCAGTTCAGTGACGGCGGAATGCAGCTGCAGTCCGTATACAGTACCTTACCAACAACACGGCCCACTAGCATTCCCGTACGTAAAGGGAATCCACCTGGAAACACGTAAAACTAGTCCATTCTAAACAGTAATAATAAGTATCAGCTCGCTCTAAAAAAATTAACTTTTGTCTTGGCGTAAAGAGGTGTAATGACTCCCTCTATTGCAGTCGTTTTTGATAGAAAAAACATTGATCTCTCAACTCACGCTTTCCAGACATGTGGGCGCTATTGCAGCAGATGTACCATGCGCATGCATGCAGGATGCCTAAGTAATTTTGAACACAAGTAGGTTTATTTCGTTGTCGCGATTCGTAACTGACACTCGTGGCGTGTATTAAGACAAAATGAACCTGGTATCCCGCTCCTTTTGCACGGCACACTGACTTAACACATGCTTTAAAGTCTCACTTCACTGCTCCCCATGCATATGGTGCTCCAATGGACATAAACACAATACACGGGACATTGTACCACGATTGTACATTTACCGGATGCATACTGTACCCGTACGGCGTATGGTACGGTGCAGGCAAAGCGTTTACGAATCGGAAAGCAGAGAGTTGAATTGGCAAGTCCAAAGAGCTTTTATTTCTATTTTCTATCTTTTTAATTGAAAAAAGTGAATTTCGATTAACAAAAAATTCAATAAGTTAATTTGACCCACCCACCCACTTTGAAAAAACAACAACAAATTAACCCACAGACTGTGTTATGGATACCACCCACTTTGCTGTCATGAGGTAATCTCAAGGCATTTCACTGAAAAATAGGGAGGGGGGGGGCTTAGTAGTTCACAAGACTCCTGGAAACCTGAAGACCTCTGAAGAATTACTCTGTGTATAAGTCAAACTTAATTCAGTGCATTGTTCTATGGATTGAACCTCAAAAGATCTATGAAGTACAGTGATTGTTAGATGTGAATGCATGTTGTAGAAAACTGTGCCATGATTTTGAAGTTACAATTTTCAAATTTTTAAGGTACTGAATATCTTATTGGACAATTATCTATTCTTTACTTAAATAGGGAAGAGACAACTTGACTCTGCTGAAGATGATTGCATTCAACCACCATCAAAGAAGAAATCTAAAGGTAACTAATATTAATATTACTAATATTAATATTATTGTAAACGATCAATCCTTTATGCCGTCACATGCTTAAATCGGATTTTCAAGTTCAAGACTATTTCAGTTTGGCCACTAGCTGTATTCTGTTTAAATGCATGTATTTGTCATGATTTCCATAGTCTGCCCTCAAATACAACATGTCCTAGACGTTACAATATGAAAGTCAAGAAGCCAATGACTGGTAAATTGTGCCCTCTGTCAATATGTCAGTGATAATGTCAAAATGCAGACTAAAAATCTTGGAAATTTGAACCACACCTGCTTTCCTATCATTTGTACGTTCTATCATTTTGGAATTTGGAAAACTGAAGTAGAAAAAACTAAAAATAAAACATTTCTGATTTAGAATGAAGATGAAAGCTTTGCTCTTTATACATGTAACATGGGTCAGAACTGCTCAGTATATGTGTTACATTCTAACCTTTCTCTGATAAATCTAGAAAACCATTGAGTTTGAAGCAGAATGGTTGGGGCAGTTCAACAAGTAACAGGCAACTGAGGTGTTTTGTGGCAGTTTCGTGCAGTACAGGGACTCATGAGTGAATAATGGACAATATTCAAAAGTACAATTATTTACCTCAATGCATTTCATCATAATCCATAAATGCAAAATGCTGGAGCCTGATCAAATGATGATCAGCATGATGTGCAATGAGTCAGTGATAACTTCAGCAGAGTATTTGGCCAACTCAAATAAATTATACTTGTCTGGATATATGGACCATTTTGCAGGAGAAACGTCTAGTGGAGGCGATAAACAAGTTCCAGAAGGAGCTGAAGGAGAAGTGACCAAGGAGGATGTTGGAGATGAGAGCCAGCTGCAAGACTTTTGATGGCAGCCATGGAAGCAGATTCTCCTGGTACTTACTCAGTATGTTGCTGGATTGGCTTCATTTATGTTCATGAGAATTAGGATAACATCAATGGCAACTTTCACTTACTGCCAGATTAGCAACCATTTATTTCCCCGTCACTTTTGTGGTATTGGATTTTTTTCAGAATTGGTTCAGCTGGTTTAAAGGGAATGTACAACATTATTTTGTTTTTGCTGCAATTTTCAAAAATAAGTGGAAATCTCAACTTTAAAGCTGATTTCATCCTTTTTTTGTTTTGGATTTAAGTTTTTTCCCCTCACTTGCTGTGTACAAAAGTCATAGGAGATTTCCGAAAGTCAGCTTTTTTACACCTTTTTTAGCTGTTTTCAGCTATTTTTTATCAGTGGTCACTCACTACCCTGGTTATAGCAAATATTGCTGGGCTTGTAGATGCTGGAGAAACCAAGAACACCAATCATGTTCTTGTAGTCGGGTTCCCCTTGACCCCACTTATGATGAAACAGAGGAACTTATTGACTTTGGGGAATTGTAAGGTCAGAGAATCAGTCTAGCAGGCTTGTACCCCTTCACAGGTGTGTAATCAATTGCAAAGAAAATGCGGAATAACTATTATGAAAAATTAGGAGCAGTTTTTGAAAAAAAGCCAGTTTTATCCAACGCTGGTGCCATGATTTTACAGGATGCTTTAGGCTGTCATTCCCTAACATTCCAGTTAGGTATTTCGTGATATTTTGATCTTTTCGTTTTGTGATATTTGCAAATGTTGTATCTTCCCTTATAACAGAAGGTAACTTGAGCATATTCTTTGAGCTGCACTTTAACTATTTTTAAAAAATGAGTATAACATGGTGTCGGTATCTTGCTTTTCTGGTGATTTTCTGTAGGTACTTAGGTATTTACATATAGATGCTTGTTTATATTGTTTGTAGTGTGAATTACACGCAGGTCATGCAAGACAAAATCATGAAGAATCAAATCTGTCATTTAGGTTTATGTGTACATGCTGAAGTCTGTTATTTGACAGTACATATATAAATTATGTAGCGATGCTGACGAAATGTCGAGTTGTGGATAGGTGCTGCTGTCGTTGGTCACTACAAGCTTTTGTACTTACATGTAGGCACAAATTTGCCTAGACACAAACTTATTTTTAAACTATTTTTCATGGAAAATTAAATTGCCATCAATGTACATTCCTATTAGGGCCTATATTGGTACAGTCGACTGTCGTTAATACAAACTCGTTCGGACCTAGCCAAAATGTTTGTTATATCGGAATTTTGTATTAAGAGGAACATCAGTCCAATTCATTGTGCACATAAGTGCACAGTCAGGACCAAGGCTTTGAGTTTACTATTAGTTTTAGCAGAATTTGTATTAACAGTGTTTGTACTAACGAGAGTCTGAACCTCGTAATCTTAACAGTACTCATGGGACATCCAATGTTCATGGCTTCCAAAGCTAAATGTTTTGTTGTCAACAAAACTTATTTGTCTTTCATAATTGTTCAGTTCAGACAATTGCTTTTCTTCAGTCTTTATCTCCAAAGCTTACTTTACATGTATATATAGGCCACTTTGATACTATGGAGAAAATGCCCAGGATGCTTAGTAGTAGTAAGTTGGATTAGGATATTTACAGATTATTTCAGCTTTGCAAATAGTAAATTTCTATGCAGCTGTAGAATAACTTGCGTCTTTTAAGAAAAAGGATATTACTTGTCCATTAATTAGTTATTGTTTTAAGAAATCTCCAGTCTTCCATTGCTACTCCTCTTCCTTGGTTGTTTTGGAGAAAAGCAAATGTTTCGGCCAAATTTGAATAAAACTGTACGGTTAAACCCTTGAAATTTTTCACTTTTGGCTGAAAAATGAAATTTCTTGAAATTTTTAGGGAAGATGCCTAAAGGACGCTAGAGCACATTCGAAATGCAATTCCAGACAGATTCAGGCATTTATATCTTCAATTGTGTCCAAAGACGTGTGGGAAAATCTTAAAATTATTATTTCTCAATAAATTAAAGACTTTGCCAAAATCTGTAATATTTTTGCTGTTTGAAGGTCAGTTGATGCTTCTATCTTGTGCTAAATGGTTTTGGATTGTTTGGAGAAAAGTCAATTTTTGGCCAAATATGAATAGAAATGTAAGGTTAACCCCTTGCAATTTTGTTCACTTTTGACCGAAAAAAATGAATTTGTTTGAAAATTGTAGGAAAGATGCCTACAGGACCCTAGAGCACATTCCAATTGGATTTCCGGACAGATTCTGCATTTAAAATAAACACTGTGTGGACAAATTGTGGCAAAAAAATCTCAAAATTATTGATATTTTTCAATAACCCAGTTATGGCAATGATCTTTAATATTTTGGTGTTTGAAGGTTGCCCAATTTGCTCATGAAAAAAGCAAGGTTAACCCCTTACATCTAAAGTTTTCCAGAAACATCTGATTTTGCCCAATTTTGCAAAAAATGCACCAAATTTTTGCAAAAAAAAAAAGCATGGTCAACCCCTTACAATTTTAGATTTTTCATAAAAATCTGATTTTGCCCAATTTCGCTAAAATATACAAGGTTAACCCCTTGCAATTGAAATTTTTCATAAACATCTAATTTTGCCCAATTTTGCTAAAAATGCAAGGTTAACCCCTTACAATTTGAAATTTTCCAGAAATATCTGATTTTGCCGTATTTTGCAAAGAAGTGCAAGGTTAACCCCTTACAATTTAAAATTTTCATAAACATTTAATTTTGCCTAATTTTACTAAGAAAGCAAGGTTAACCCCTTATATCTGGAATATTTCAGAAACATCTGATTTTGCCCAATTTTGCTAAAAAGCAAGGTTAACCCCTTACAATTAAAGATTTTTCATAAAAATCTGATTTTGCCCAATTTTACTAAATATGCAAGGTTAACCCCTCACAATTAAACATTTTCCATAAACATCTGATTTTGCAAATTTTTACTTAAAAAGCAAGGTTATCCCCTTACATCTGGAATTTTTCAGAAACATGTGGTGTTGCCGTATTTTGCAAAAAAAATTGCAAGGTTAACCCCTTACAAATTGAAATTGTCATCAACATTTAATTTTGCCCAATTTTTCTCAAAAAAGCAAGGTTAACCCCTTACTTCTGGAATGTTTCAGAAACATCTGATTTTGCCCAACTTTGCTAAAATATGCAAGGTTAACCCCTGACAATTTTAGATTTTTCATAAAAATCTGATTCTGCCCAATTTTGCTAAAAATGCAAGGTTAACCCCCTTACAATTTGAGTTTACTCAAAAAGCAAGGTTTACCCCTTACATCTGGAATTTTTCATAAAAATCTGATTTTGCCCAATTTTGCTAAAATTTGCAAGGGAAACCCCTTACAATTTTAGATTTCTTGTAAAAAATCTGATTCTGCCCAATTTTGCTTAAAAAATGCACCAAATTTTTGCAAACAAAAAGCAAGGTTAACCCCTTACAATTTTAGATTTTTCATAAAAATCTGATTTTGCCCAATTTTGCTAAATTATACAAGGTTAACCCCTTACAATTTGAAATTTTTCATAAAAATCTGATTTTGCCCAATTTTGCTAAAATATGCAAGGTTAACCCCTTACAATTTGAAATTTTCCATAAACATCTGATTTTGCCGTATTTGCAAAGAAGTGCAAGGTTAACCCCTTACAATTTGAAATTTTCATAAACATTTAATTTTGCCTAATTTTACTAAAAAAGCAAGGTTAACCCCTTACTTCTGGAATGTTTTAGAAACATCTGATTTTGCCCATCTTTGCTAAAATATGCAAGGTTAACCCCTGACAATTTTAGATTTTTCATAAAAATCTGATTCTGCCCAATTTTGCTAAAAAAGCAAGGTTAACCCCTTACAATTTTAGATTTCTCATAAACATCTGATGTTGCCGTATTTTGCAAAAAAAATGCAAGGTTAACCCCTTACAAATTGAAATTGTCATCAACATTTAATTTTGCCCAATTTTACTCAAAAAAGCAAGGTTAACCCCTTACTTCTGGAATGTTCCAGAAACATCTGATTTTGCCCAACTTTGCTAAAATATGCAAGGTTAACCCCTGACAATTTTAGATTTTAGCAAATTTGGGCAAAATCAGATTTTTTACAATTTGAGTTTTCTCATAAACATTTAATTTTGCCCAATTTTACTCAAAAAGCAAGGTTTACCCCTTACATCTGGAATTTTTCATAAAAATCTGATTTTGCCCAATTTTGCTAAAATTTGCAAGGTTAACCCCCTTACAATTTTAGATTTCTCGTAAAAATCTGATTCTGCCCAATTTTGCTAAAAAAGCAAGGTTAACCCCTTACAATTTTAGATTTCTTATAAACATCTGATGTTGCCGTATTTTGCAAAAAAAATGCAAGGTTAACCCCTTACAAATTGAAATTGTCATCAACATTTAATTTTGCCCAATTTTACTCAAAAAAGCAAGGTTAACCCCTTACTTCTGGAATGTTCCAGAAACATCTGATTTGCCCAACTTTGCTAAAATATGCAAGGTTAACCCCTGACAATTTTAGATTTTAGCAAATTTGGGCAAAATCAGATTTTTTTCAATTTGAGTTTTCTCAAACATTTAATTTTGCCCAATTTTACTCAAAAAGCAAGGTTAACCCCCTTACAATTTTAGATTTCTCGTAAAAATCTCATTCTGCCCAATTTTGCTAAAATATGCAAGGTTAAAGGGAATATACATCATTTGCTTTTGCTGTAATTTTCAGAAATGGATGGAATTGGGGGGTTGGAAATATAAAGCAAATATAGTTACACTGACTTTTTGGAGGTTTTGGGTTCGAAAATGCTATAAAAACCAAGAAAAACGATCATTTTCCTGTAGTCTGGTTCCCTGACTCCATATAAGAAGAAACAGAGCAGTTTACATACATTTGGGAATTGTAAGGACTCCATATAAGAAGAAACAGAGCAGTTTACATACATTTGGGAATTGTAAGGTCAGGGAACCAGTCTAGCTGGCTCGTACCCGTTCATAGGTTTGTAATCGATTGCAAACAAGTGCAATGGTCAATTGGGGCCAGTATTTGAAAAAAAAGCCAGTTGTTTCCAACGCTGATCGGCCGATCAGCGTTGGAAATTGATACAAAAATACCACTTTTCTTGAAAATGACAGTATACCAGGTGCCATAATTTTACAGGATGCTTTAGACTGTCATTTACCAACATCCTATTAAGGTATTTCGCAAAAACTTGGTAGTTTTATTTTTCGATGTTTGCAAATGTTGTATATTCCCTTTAACCCCTTACAGTTTTATTTTTTTATAAAAAATCTGATTTTGCCCAAATTTGCTAAAATTGCAAGGTTAGGCCCCCCCAAAAAAGTCTCCGGTTTCTGGTATGGAGCTTGCCCAAATAGTGATGCGGCGACGCGGCTTTTATTTTTTTACACCTGATTTTTTTGCCTCAAATGTGTGCTGATGACTGCAAATGGTGCCCGACTAAACTTAGTCCAGAGAGGCCACATAAAGCTTATTCTCGACCATAACCCAATCTAAAAACACGTTAAAATTGTGCAGCAGCAGTATTCCAGTCAAACCAGTGAGTTTGGCGGTTTTAAGACATCATCTTTCATTAAAAAAAACACTTTTTCATTTTGCCGACGCGCATGGCTACGGCGACGCGCGCGCATACCAGAAACCAGAGACTTTTTTTTTTGCCTTAACCCCTTACAACTTGAAATTTCTCATAAACATTTAATTTTGCCCAATTTTACTCAAAAGCAAGGTTTACCCCTTACTTCGGGAATGTTTCAGAAACATCTGATTTTGCCCAATTTTGCTAAAATATGCAAGGTTAACCCCTTACAATTTGAGATTTTTCATAAAAATCTGATTTTGCCCAATTCGGCCCAAAAAATGCAAGGTTAACCCCTTACAATTTGAAATTTTTCATAACATCTAATTTTGCCCAATTTCACTAAAAAAACAAGGTTAATCCCTTACATCTGAAATTTTTCAGAAAAATAAAATTGTTTGAAATGTGCAGGGAAGATGCCTAAAGAACCCTAGAGCACATTCCAAGTGCAATTCCGGACAGATTCGGCATTTAAAATACACACTGCGTGGACAATTTGTGCAAAAAAATCTCAAAATTATTGATATTTCTCTATAAATCAGTTAGTTTTGCCAAAATCGTCAATATTTTTGGTGTTTGAAGGTCGATTGATGCTCCTATCCCGTGCTCAATCATTTCTGTGTTGTTTGAAGATAAGTCAGTTTTTTGCCAAATTTGAATTTTTTTCACTTTTGGCCGAAAAACGAAACTGTTTGAAAATTGTCTGTGGACAAGTTGGGGCAAAATTTCTCAAATTTGTGAACATTTCTCAACTTAAACAGTTAAATTTGAACAAATCTTTATGATTCTGGTATCTAAATGTCGATTGATGCTCTTCTGGCATTCTAAATCATTTGTGGCTCATTTAAAGTCAAGTTTTGGCCAAATCTGAATGAAAATGTACAGTTAACCCCTAGCATTTTTTTTTTTCAATTTTGGCCAACAAATGCAACTGCTTGGAACTTGTCGGTAAGATTCCCCAAGGGTTATAGCGCACATCCCAACTGAAATTCTTGACAGACTTGGCATATTTAAAAGTTAAACTGCATGAAAAATTTGTGGCAAAATTTTCAAAATTATTTAAGATTTTTTATCAACGGTTCGCCCAAAAGATGATGCCAACCAACCAGTGGGTTAAATATAACCAATTCCTTTTCTGAGGGCCCTATTGAGAGGAGCAAGTTATTTTCAATCGAGCTGAGGTTAAATACTGACATTCATTTTTTTTGAAAAGGTTGGTCAGTCTTTCCAATTAGTACAATTTCTTTACCAGTTATACAAATCACCAGTTTAAGTCGATCGATGTTCCTTTGCTCACTGTCCTTGCTGAAGCATAGCTCAGTAAATCCACACAATACCCAAGTTGGGGAGCTCTCTGCTGTTATCTAAATATAGCATATGACGACATGATGATGATGACGGGGAATACCCTCATCGATATTGCGACAGACGAGGAAGTTGACATTGCTTCTGTAGTTCTGGCACTTCGGCAGAATTTTCACATCCAAAACTGAAAAGAATGGATGGGAGAGGTATGTATTATTAAAAGGTATGTGGAAAGGAGTTTTCAATATTGTTGGAAACAAATAAAAAAAAATATATATTGACACTATTCGTGCAAAATATATTGCAAATGTTGGATTTCAAAAGAAAAGGGGGTTGACAAATTTTTCTTTAGATTTACACACATGTAAGAATGCGAAAAAAATCCTTCCCCTTTTGTTACAGTATTAATTTTACTAGTGACAGTGAACTTATTGAAAAATAGTAATTTTTATATCCCAACTTCACCATTTGTCCCAATCTAAGCTTGAACAATCCCAACTAAGTTGGGCTGACCCAACTATAGATATCCAGGACCTCTGGACTCCAATAATTTTCATGGCAGAATTTACGGCATCCATTTCATCCATGTCCCAAATACAAAATAAGTAACTACATGTAAATACAATTCAAATTCTCCAGTATTTTGCAGCATGTTCCGCATAGTTGTAGATGCGTGTCTCTTTAATTAAAGTAAAGAAGCATCCTCTTAAAAATGGAACCGATAGGCTAGCTTGGGCATAACAATCATCTGTAAATGATGCATTAGAAGCTATTTATATAACACCCTAGTAACTCCTTGTCATTTGATTGGAGGAAGTCACGCCGCATTCATTAATCGAACCATTTCACGGCCTACGTCATAACCGTATATTTTTGGTTCCATTTACCGTACAATTTCGCCCCATCCCTTTTGATCTATTGCACAGTGCGCAATAAGTAGTACAAAACGCCTTTGAAGTTGATGCAATTGCCTTGATGATTTTTTTTGCATTATTTTAAGAACTCACAAGGTTAATTTTCATTAATGTAAATGACAGTGTTGTAGTTGAGGACTTGCTTCCGAGTACCGAGTACTGCTGAGTACTTAGGTTGCCGAGTACGAGTACGAGTACTTGTACCTCCGAGTACGAGTACCAGTACCTCCGAGTACGAGTACGAGTACAAGTACTTTTGATATGTCGAGTACGAGTACTTTGCTGCCCGAGTACGGTACGAGTAAAGTCATTTTGAGTACGAGTATTTTGACATACGAGTACGAGTACGAGTACGAGTACTCCAAAAAAGTACTCAAGTACGAGTACCGAGTACTACAACACTGGTAAATGATTTCACTTTTAAACCTAAGTTGTAAGCCTAGAACAAGCTGAAAAAGGAGTGAATAAGATTTTGTGAGTTTTGTTTGTTTCTTAAGTTTTATCCTCCAATCGAATGCCAAAGATCTACTATATAAAACAAATAATGAATGTTTTGCATTCGTGCAATGGTGAGAATATTTTCATTTGTTGGAAGATGGAATGTTCCATTTAACTCAGTTTTGCCTCGTTTAATTATTATTAATTATTATTATTATTAATCATTTCTGGTAATGAAACCAAGGATTCCTCAAAAGCGCCCTAGGCACTGTAGCTAGCAAGCCTGAAGAAACCTGTGGAGAGAAGACAATGAGAAGAGGTTACAGTTTTAGAGGTGGGAGGAAAAACCCAGAGGAATATTCTGGGAAAAACCCACGGAATCAGGTAGGGACTGAAAACCCAATCCACATATTGGCCCAGGCGGGATTCGAACCCGGGTCACAGCGGTGGAAGGCGAGCAAAGTACCGCTCGCCAACCTGAATGGAACATTCAATCTTTCAACTCATAAAAATATTCTCACCATTGCCTTCACAAACATTCATTATTTGGAAAATAGTGTACATTTAAAAAAAAATGTAAAGGGTGGGGCAAGCATATACTGGGGGTTGGAGAGTAGTCAAAAACAATTGATAGAGATATGATTTTTTTACAGCGTAGTGCTCAAAATCCTGTCTGGCTCTTTACATAACCAGGTTACTTAATACTAATATTTAACATTATTTATAATAACGTTATGATAATTGACCATATAAATGATGATCTATTGTAATTCAATCTAATGCAGCGCTATGCTTAAATCGGATTCCAGGTTAGGCCACCCCCCAAAAAAAATACTCGGTCTCTGGTCAGCGCGTGCGTCGATTTTAATCATGCGCGTCAACCTTTTTTTTCGCAAATTAACACGGAAGCTACAACAGCGCCCTCTATTGCCTCGCCTCTATTGCCTCGCCTCCTCAAATTTTTGTACCAAGGAACACCAAGGAATGGGGAAATTGCCGGGCAAATGATAAAGGGCACCAAGGCAAATTATGGAGGACACCAATGTATAATGAGGACACAAAAAAGCAAAATAGTACCCACTTTGTCTTTACAATACAAGCTTGAAAACAAAAAAGCCACCAAAAAAAACCCCAAAAACGCGTCGCCGCATCAATTCCGGAACTTTGGTCTGACCAGAGACCAACTTTTTTTTTTTTGGGACTTAGGCCGCTAGCTGTTTTGTGTATGAGATGTGAACAATACAAGTATATTTGGCATGATTTCAATGGTCCTGCCTAGTCTGAGTATCATCTGTTGTTAAGATCCCTCTCTGTAACCTGTGAGATGTGTGTGAACAATATATGTGAGACTAGCTCCCATACAAAGGCGTTACAACAATGAAGTTGGTCAAGAATCTGATGATCAGTAAATTGAGCCCTCTGTCAATATATCATGACAATACCAAAATGCAGACAGCTCTCAACTATATGAATTGCAAGACAACTATCAAATTGTAACCGGGACTACCTTAAAGTATGACCTCTCAGTTGTTTCGGGAACGTCTCTAGTTTGACGTCTCATTGCATGGTCTGATGTCCCGTTGGTGCGATATCCCATCGGTCGACGTTCCATTCAGGGCAGTGGCTTAGCCAAGGTGGTGGTGGGGGGGGGGGGGGGGCCAAGGGGGGCCATGCCTCCCCTCCCCCCTGCTGTAAAAAAAATAAAAACTTATATGTAATACAAACATTTGTAAAAAATTACACCAAATGTTGACGCTAATCGAAATACAGTTACATGCCTTGGCAGCAGTTTGTCATCCAGGATTTGCGGAATCACCTTGTCTTTAAATTGTGAGTGAACAATTTTGGCACTTCAACCATCCATATATAGTGAGCTGTGGCCAATTAAAATTTGTTGGTTCATCATCAGAAACTGGTATTAGAAGTTCCTTAAGTATAACAAATTCTAGCCCCATAAATGTGGCCTATTTACCGTCTGGACTGCCTCCGTAAACATAGGCCACACAGCCACATGTACAAAAATGTGTCGCACTTTGCCAAATTTTTATTTTCACATTTAGGCTATAGTTTGTAGGGTTTTTTTGCTTTAGAAGTATACTCACCCTCTTTATAGGATAATCAGAAAGTGCTGCCTTTTTCAGATGTCTATTTTTCGTGAAATTTCCCGATTCATTTGCACACGTTTGCGTATCCAAATTTCAACATAAAATTTCACAAAAATTAGACATCTGAAAAAGGCAGCACTTTCTGATTAGCCTATAAAAAGGGTGAGTATGCTTCTAAAGCAAAAAACCCTACAAATTAAGCCTTAATGTGAAAATCAAAATTTGGCAAAGTGCGACACATTTTTGTACATGTGGATGTGTGGCCTATGTTTACGGAGGCAGTCCAGTAAATAGGCCACATTTATGGGGCTAAAAAAATTCAAACATCCATCCATCATGACCGGTACCTTAATTATTATTATATCTTGATAGGCCTATAACCTGAGAATGTGTTGACATGTTTACTTTGTTTTTATCTATCCCACAGAGTTCAAGCAATATTTCCTTCGCCGGACCCCCAGGCCATGAAGGACAAGCGAATGGGGAACCTAGTGGCCTATGCCCGCTCAATAAGTATAACTCTTTAGTTGATAGTTCGTGTAGTGTTTATTAGTCATCAACCAATGACAACAGCGGCTGCAAAGTAAAGGAAAAGATTACATTATGAATCATAGTTCTATATGCCCCCCAAGTCTTTGGGAATAACAAAGGCTAACAATTCTAGGAAGGAAAGATTCCAAATGTAACAGACATAACTAAGTAACCTAAAGAAATGCACAGATTGCAAAGGCGTGAACATGAACAATAAGCAAAGATCGAAACAAGAATAAGCATAGGTTATAGGAAGTAAACTGTAGCTGTAACTTTGGCTATATAAAAAAAAAGAAGAAGAAAAAAAAAAAGTCCAGAGTATATGGGTGTCCTATAGTTCATCCCTAAGCCTGGCCGGCGGTCGTGACAAGCGAGTGGATCGGCGAGGGGCAGTCAAGGAGCGGTCCAGGGGTGGCAGATCCACGGTCGGGGCCAGGTGTTCCTTCAGACCAGGAGTATTGTGTGGCAGGAGGCCGCGGAGTGCACGGGGAACGGAGCCTGGGTGGGACTGGCTATTAGGTGGACGCGTGGTGGCCACGGTGGGTGTCACAGGTGAGGTGGGAGTCGGTTCCAAGCCATCCGGGGTTGGAGGATGGTTGGTGCGGGTTGGCTGGGAGACGGCTGGAAGCATCGCAGGTGGTGTGGCTGAGGCGTCCTGTGGTAACCGGTTGTTGGCCTGCACCAGAGGGGTTGCTTTCGGGTGCTGGCTAGCTGCATGCGACCCCGGCAGCAAAGGTGTTGGGCCGGGTGCCATTAGGAGGGGCGCACGTGGAACGACAGGCAAGTACTTCCGCAAGAATCGCCTGTTGCGTAGGGTGACTCGACCAGATCCATCAACCCTCACGACATACTGGTCGAATTGCCTCACCTCCACCACAACCCCGGTCTTGTCCCACTTGGTCGGGTGCGGTCCGGTCTGGTTTTGGATACGCACGCAGTCGCTGACAATCAGTGGCGTGAGGGGACGGGTGTGCTCTGAGAGACGCTCTGCAGCGCGCATGTGCCGGTTGCGCAGTGCCTCCTCGCGGGATGTGAGTGTCTCCCGCCATGTGCTGTGTGGGTTGTACTTCCCAGGGTGGATGGGTATGAAGTCACGGATGGGACGCCCGAAGACGCACATAGCAGGGGAGAGGTGTGTGTCATGGTCGGGCGTGTTGCGGTACTGGAGCATGGCACGCTGAAATTCATCAGTGTTAAGTGTGCCTTCAGCGTCAGTATTGTCAGTGATGAGGCGCTTCACAGTCTTGACGCCCACTTCAGCACGGCAGTTGCTGTGGGGGAAGGCGACGGATGAGATGCGGTGACACACGCCCCAGTTGCGGAGGAAAGCGCGGGTGGACCCTGCGGTGAACTCTGGGCCACCGTCTGAGGACAGTTCATCGCTGATTCCATAGGTCACGAAGGTGCGGCGCAATGCAGTAATGAGTCCATTGGCGCCGTTGGCTGCCTGTTCGACGATTGGCCAGTTGCTGTACCTATCCACCACCACCAGGTAGTGACAGCCGCGGTAGGTGAAGTAGTCAGCGGCAATGCATTGGAATGGATAATCGGGCTGGACGGGAGGCGTTGGCGGTGCGCCTGGCTGTGATGGCACCATACGGTTGCAGGGAGAGCAGCGTGCCCGTGTATCGGTGATGGCGGGGGTCATACCTGGCCAGAAGAATGAGGACTGAGCTCGTGCGCACATCATGGTGATGCTCTGGTGGGCCGAGTGTAGTGCTTCAAGGACCCGGGCACGGAGGGACGAGGGAATGATGACACGGTCATTGTAAAGGCATACGCCATCAAACTCTGACAGATTCTCACGGAATTGGTGGTATGGCCGGAGCTCACGGGGGAGGTCACCAGGTAGAGTGGGGAAGCCCCCTTGTATCATCTCAATCAGTCTGCACATGTTTGGATCACTGGATGTGGCGAGGCGGACATCATTCCATGTGACTGATTTGATCATCTTAGCAGCTGTGGTGGCAGACTGACTGCATACTTCGACAGGGTCTGGGCCACTGGTGCGGACAGCAGTGAGGAAGTCATGTGGCAGCACAGTGGTCGTTGGTTCGCTTGAGTCATAGTGCACAGGTGCGACATCATCAGGGAGCTGTAGCGGTGCGCCTTTACCCACGGGGTGGCGGGATACCCCATCAGCTGCAGCGTGGCGTGCACCAGGTATGTGGACGATGCGGAAGTGGTAGCGCAAGGACTTCTCCTTGAGGTTGCGGAGGCGAGGGTTTGGGATGTCCTCAAGTGAGCGGTCACCGAACACCTTCAGGAGGGGCTTGTGATCCACCGCCACTATGAGGTCAGAGCAGCCAAGGACAAAGTGGCGGGCCTTGTCAAGTGCATCGATGACAGCAAGGGCCTCCCCCTCAACTGGGGCGTAGCGGGACTCGGCACCTGAAGTGAAGCGGCTCCCAACCAGAGTCACCCTCCAACCAGTCTTGCAGCAGAAGGGTTTTGAGGAGGGGCAGTCGCAGTGCTTCTGGAGCAGCCAAAATCCCAGACCATCTTTGCTCCAGTCAGTTGCAAGGCAGGTCGGCTTGGTCTTGTCGAATATCTCCACCCCTTTGTGGATTTCGCTGACGATGAGGGCCTTTGATTCCTCGAATAGGCAGTCCAGCTCATCGGTCCACGAGAAGGGGGTACCAGGTTTGAGGAGTTTGCGGAAGGGCAGCATGCGGTCAGTCATGGCGAAGGCATAGGAGACCTGGTTGATAAGCCCGAACCAGCTGCGCACGTCTGTGATATTACGGGGCGTTGGGAAATTCTGGATCGCCTCAAGGTACTCAGGGCAGGGGCGTACAGAGGTCGGGGTGATCTCAAAGCCAGCAAACTTGACAGTCATCGTGGCGAAGGCGAACTTTTTGGGGTTCAAGGTGACGCCATGTCTGCCACAAGTGTCGAGCCACTCAACTGCCTGGAAGAAGGCCTCCTCGATGGAGTCAGACCATACCAGGGTATCATCCACGCACTTGGTCTTTTTCGGGATGTCAGACACAATCTCATCAAAGCGGCGGCTGTAGCCATCACCGGAGGCGATGTACCCCTGTGGGGCGACACAGTATCGGTAGCGGCCCCAAGGTGTGATGAATGTGGTGAGGTGGCGGTCCTCCTCAGCTAGGGCAATGCTGTGATAGCCGTTCCATGCATCGAACACAGTCTTGCGAGTCTGGGGAGGGACTGCACGTGCTTGGTGGAATGGTGATTGTGTGTGGTGGGTCTCACGAACAGCGTGACGATTGAGTGACTGGAGGTCAACCGTCCGTCTGGGCTGGCCTGACTTCTTGGGGCAGATCACCATCTTGTGGCACCATGTGACAGGTGTACCGACTGGGACTGGCTCGATGACGCCGAGGCGGACGTCGCGGTCAAGGCCTGCCTTTACATTGTCCTGCCAGTGGACAGGGACAGGGATAGGTGTGTGACAGGCGACAGGCCGAGCGTCAGGGTCCACCATGAGTCGCAGTGGGGGGCCAGCCATCATGGGGAGTAGTTGGTGCTCACATACATTGAAGGTGCTCGACTTGTAGTATTCCAGCAGCCATGTCTCAAGCTTCTCCCGGTTCTCCTCAGTGGCTGGGAATGGGAGGTCTGCTGGGGGAGACGGTGGCATCTGGCGTCGTGGGCACTCGCATGTTGGCGTGAGGCAGGCTGCTGGTGTGGGCGTCGGGGAGGTGGCAGAGGATGCGACGCTGGCACTGTCGGGCCTGATTGCCTCGCCAATGGTGGGGAACCTGGTAGAGATCATGCCCAGGGCGACGCAGGCTTGCTTAGACAAGAACAGCCGGTCGGATGAGTCGGTGAAGTACACTATCTGCCGGGTCTCGAGTTTCTCTCCAGATTGGGAGGTGCCAGAGATGCGGAGGACCAGGGCACCTGCTATGTCGATGCGGCAGTTGTTGGCAGCATTCATTTTCATTGTGACAGGGATGAGGTGTTTCCTTTCAAGCCCCAGTTTGGATAGGAGTTTCGTGCCAGCCAGGCAGGACTGGCAGCCAGTGTCAGCCATAGCAGGGTAGATGGCTGAGGAGGTGGTGCTGAGCAGGGGGGTAGGGAGGCCGAGGTCACGAGCATCCTCAGGAGTTGCTTTGAGAGAGACGTCCACCATGGGTTGGGGGTCAGATCCTCGCCTCTCCCATGCGTCGCAGAACTGATTGTAGATGTGGTGCTCTAGAGTGATTGCATTCGCGTCCATGGGTGGGGCGTCGTCGACAGAGCACAGGGTTTCGAAGACTGCGGTGGCATTGTGAGGTGACTCCTGTGCCTTGGGCGTGGCTGGCTGCTGTCTCCGCTGGGATTGGCGGCACACACTCTCGTGGTGGTGGAGTATGCCACACTTCGCGCATGTGTGATTGTACGCGGGGCACTTCCTCACGCGCTCCTGTTTGTTACGTTCATGGCCCGCCTTGCCACAGTAGTCACACACCTGAGGTTTAATGTCGCGGGGCTGTAGCTTGGATCTCTCCCTTCGTTTGTAGGAGCTGGCAGCTGCAGCAGTCGTAGTGGCAGTGGCACGACCCTCGAGGAGGCGGCCGGCAGAGCGTTTGCCACTCTCTTTCGCTTCGACAAATTGAAGCACTTGGTCCAAATGCATGTCCTGTTTGGATTGTCCGAGGACATCCAGGCGGATCTCCTCATCCTCTAGTCCACGGATGAGGGTGTCCCTGACCATGATGTCACTGAAGTCAACGACTAGAGAGCACGTACAGTCCTTCTTGTAGTTACAGACGCTAGCCTGGCCACGAAGGCGGGCGGCAAAGGCCCTCACTGGTTCGTCGCGGTCCTGTCGCATTTGCTGGAGCTGCACACGAGCCACCATGATGTTCTCTCGGCGAACTGCCAAGCTCTTGATGTTTTTGAGGATGGTCGGTTCATCCTGCGACGTCAGGGCACCGAATGTTCTGGTCAGGTCTTTCCTGAGTCGGTCGTCGCAGCACTCAAGCAGTTGGTAGACTATATCGGTTCCTGTGAGATGCGTGGCTTCTTTGTATTCGGACCATCGTAGCTCGAAGTAGGACCATTCTTCACTCGTGCCGGCAGCCATGACCGTAGGTCGCCTGACCTTCTCCACTTTGGCGGCGCATGAGGCAGGAGTAGGTGCAGGGGCAGGAACGGTTGGGTGGGCGGTGCGGGCGTGTAGGTTGATCAAGGCGAGCAGCACCTCTGGGGGTGTGTTGCTAGGCCAGGATGCCTCACAGTCAGGAGCCGAGCAGTTGACGTGAGCCATTGGGAGGGGTAGAGCGTGTCAGAGAGTCTAGATTGTCGCTGTTGTCATCAATAAGTATAACTCTTTAGTTGATAGTTCGTGTAGTGTTTATTAGTCATCAACCAATGACAACAGCGGCTGCAAAGTAAAGGAAAAGATTACATTATGAATCATAGTTCTATACCCGCAAAGTAGAAAAGGACATGTACGAGCAAGCCAGTAGTAGGGTAAGTGCTGGACAAACTTCAATTGTGCCTACTCACTCATACAATGCAGAGTAACATTGTGATACTAAAATGCCCATAGTTAAATTTCCCAACTATTATATCCAATATGATCGGGCCATAGTTAGTGGCTGCACCAAGGGAGGATCCAGAGAGGTTACTGCTGGACCGGGGGCTGAGGGTGGGAAGGGCTCTCTCAAATGTCCTTATTTGAGAAAGTTCTGGTCACTGAGGGGGAGGGGCACCCCCTCCGCACCCCAAGTTTTTCCACTGCGCGCCCCTAACTATTCGCATAGTGAGCACAAATCTTTTGGGAACTTTTAAGAGTAGTTTACAACTTGAAACAAATTTATTCTCCTGAACATACCAATTTCTGAAGTCATGCATCTTTTGTGTCTTGAGGATATTGTTACTATGTTGAGGAAGTTCTTAGTTACTCTAGCTTATTCTGGTTATTGCAAATTTTTGGTTGTATTTTTTATGTTACAGGAGGAGTACTTTCACCTCCTGGCTGAAAAGATCTACAAGATCCAGAAGGAGTTGGAGGAGAAGCGGCAGAAGCGGATGCAGGAGACAGGAGGTACCAACGCTGCTGGAGGAGGTGGTTTAATTGGTGCTCCTTTAGTATCGTTTCAGTTTGCGGTAACACCGTGTGATAACTTGTTGCTCAGTAGATATTTAATTCTGATAAAGAACTTGTCCTGCGTATTATCAGCTTTCGCTAAGTAGTGTTTAGTTCTGATAAGAACAGTCCTGCTTTAAGTTCTAAAAAGAACTTTTCTTTGTTCTCAACCTTTCGACTAGCCTGCTCTAGTCATCGTCAGGAGACAGCAGGACTGTTCTTATCAGAACTATAAACACTTCTTAGCGAAAGGTGATATTAAGCAGGACAATTCTTATCAGAACTCAATATCTACTGAGCAAACCAAAACGATACTATACTCCACCATGCAAAGCCTAAAATCTTTGCTTTTTTCTCCCCTTCAAAAGCCTTCAAGATTTGCTACGACACTTATACTCACTGACCGTTTCACTGATACTGCCATGTGGTCATGTGGTATTAATTTGAGGCATTTCATTGAAATATTTCCCACCATGCCATTGTATCCTGAAGAGGGAGTCAGGTTATCGTAGCGGTACTTTCCTTGCCTTCCACTGCTGTGGCCCGGGTTCAATTCCTGCCTGGGCCAATATGTGGATTGGCTTTTCAGTCCCTACCCGATTCCGTGAGTTTTCCTCGGAATATTCTTCTGTGGTTTTCCTCCCGCACCATACAGTGTAATTTATGCACATTCTTCTCTTTACTGGCCCCTTTGGAGACCTGTGGATTCCACTGAATGGACCACCCAGATAAAATAAAAATTGATATTTTACCAAGTGACCACAAAGATGATAGTCTGTGAAACGTCTACAGAGTGAGAACCCTACTTCAAAACCTTTTTTAAGTCTTGGCCCGTTGGATTATTTAAAACCCTACCCAGTGCGCTATTTATCGAGGCGACTGTATTGCACAGTGATTTATTAAGCTGAAGGGTTGTATATTCTGCACTGAGAGTTGATTTCCCAATTGTCCATTGGACTGTTTTGGTTGCAGGTGAAGAGTGAAGGCTTTGAACAAGTTCCAGAAGGAACTTCTACATCCAACCAAAATGATTCAGACATAACCTTCTTGGATATTGACGAACTGACAAGACTCTTGGAAACCTTTTATGTGTAACTATCATTTCCTAGTGGAGATGATAAACAAGTTTCAGAAGGAGCTGATGGAGAAGTGACAAAGGAGGATGTGCAGGAAATGAGAGCAACAAGACTTTTGATGACAGCCCTGGAAGCAATCTCCTGGTACTCCTATGTTGCTGCATTGCTTCACTCACATTTGTTTTGACAGAATTATGACATGAAAAGCCATGCTAATTTTCGCCACAATTCTTAAAGGCGGGTTTTAAACCTCATGCATCAGTTTTGTGGAACCTGACTATTTTCAGAGTTGGCTACCCATTTTTGCTGAAGTAAATGGGAGCACTGATGTGAAGTATCCGGCTTTTCTGTTGTGTTTCTTTTTTTAAGGGGCTATTTCGTATCTATGCTTTTTTTTTAATGTCGTAATTTTTGTTTTCTTATATTTTGTGTACTTCATGCAGACCTTTATTTTGGGTGGGCATGATAAGCTTTGTAGCCTAAAGACAGATCGTAAGAAGAATTGTAAAAATTGCAGTGACAAAAGAACAGAAATTGTATGAAAACAATGATTTACACTGCGAAGTAAACTATCTAGAACATGTAAATGGCAATAGGCCTAGGTGTAGATTTCTATTACTCAGCACACTGAATCTTGTCCTCCTTGGTTGTTATGTTGACAGTGTCTGCACTGTGCACTTATTGGCTGCCCGATGTTCATGATGGGGACGACAGCCCACAATGGTTAGTTACTAGGGCCACCTTGATGTACAATTGTTTTTGTATCTTGTTGGTGTGGCTTTCTAGCATGCTCCTTTTGTATTACGTTTGCTTGTTTAGGAACCTTTTATCTTATTTTATAAATTCATTCATTTTCCTGTAAAACTCACCCGTTTGTTATTGTTTGTCATATTGTGGCTTTCGCGTAGCTTATTATCATATTTCATTTTCATTTAAAACTTACCTTTAATTTAACTCTTATATTTTTGTGTATGTTTTTTGTTTAGCTTTCAAGTTTCATTCTGTATTTGTTTATAATCGTAGTCTTGTCATCCTGTATCTTCTTTGTTGTTTATGTTCAGGGGACTCGCACTCGCCAAGCTTTGCTTTTTGTGGGTCCCCTGCATCTCTTGGTGGTGTTATTCAAATGTTATTCTTATCTTTATATATTCTAAAAGCTACATACCTGAATCATAGTAAATTCTAAGTACAAACTGTATTCATTTATGCCTTGAGATGAAATAAAGTAAACTAAAAGTAAATTTCTAACTAGTCTGCTACAATTATTATTTTTCCTGCTAATTCAGTACTTATAAAAGACAGCTTTTGCTGTAATTTTCAGAAATGGATGGATAAATAGGGGTTAGTACTTTAAAGAAAGTATTGTTACACTGACCTGTTTAAAGATGCTGTTGTCTGGTTCCTTGTACCCACTTCAGACCAAACAGAGCAATATATAGACGCCGGGGAATTGTCAGGTCAGGGAACCAGTGCAGCTGGCTTGCCGCTCTGTTCACGGATGTGTAACAATTGCAAACCCAATTTGGTCTAAGTCATCAACTAGATTTGATAAATTGGGGACAATATTTAAAAAAAAAAAAGTAAGATTATTTTTCAAGGATGGCATACCAATAAATTGGTAGTTTTGTATTTATGTTTATAAATTAAATGAATATGCATACTCTGTACCTCGAGGGTTGCCAACTCTCCCGCATTGAGCCTGAGACTCGAGCATTTCAGGTTGTTCTCACGCTAAAAAAAAAATCTAAAATGATGTTTAAATGATAATCTTTTATTAAAAAAAATACTGGTTAAACGGCTGGAAAATGCCTCAGATCGCACCACAGAGCGACTAGAATTCCAAAATGTCAGACCCTATAAGCGGCTCCAAACCCACGTCATTGATGCATAGTGCAACCGGCCAAATTTGGACCGTAAAAATACCAGACAAACATTGATTGAGAAAGAGAATTTCTGCAACTAAATTACCAGAATGTGCGTAATCTCTATTTCCTATGTATGTATATTCCGCTTCAATATATTTTTAACGAGCGGGTTGCTCAGCTCAAACTTGTTGCGAAACAGTGTAGTGTTTCTGCAACAAGTTCGACCACAGCACCCCGGTCGTATACACAGTACAGTTATGCACACTGATACTGCGCCATGTGCCCGACGCAATGTACGGCCAGCCTGAGTGCTGAATAACATTGAGCATAGTCGTGTGCCCCACCCACCTTATTAAGGGAAGATACAACATTTGCAAACATCAAAATACGAAATGATCAAATTATCACAAAATACCTTACTGGATTGTTAGGGAATGACAGTCTAAAGCATCCTGTAAAGTTGTGGCTCCTGGTGTGCTGACGTTTTCAAGAAAAACTGTATTTTCCCAACACTGGTCGGCCGACCAGCGTTGGAGAAAACTGGCTTTTTTCCAAAAGTGCTCCTAATTATTCATATTTAGTTTGTCTGCATTTTCCATGCAATTGATTACACACCTGTGAAGACTACAAGCCTGCTAGACTGATTCTCTGATGTAACAATTCCCCGAAGTCTAAAAATTGCTCCATTTCATCTTTAGTAGGTTCAGGGAACCAGACTACAAGAATATTATTGTTTTTGTTTTTGTTTTGGTGTTTCTAGCATCTACGAACCCAAAACGTGAAACAAGTCAGTGTAACAATATTTGCTATAACATACTAATCCTCCAAATCCATTTATTTCTGAAAATTGCGGCAAAACCAAATGTTGTACATTCCCTTTAAATTGACTTTTGAATTAGTTGAAGTAACTTTTCATCACTTTGGATGGCCACTCTCTTTTTTCCGACCCACCGACCCTATTTTGGAAGCAGACGTAATTTTTTCTTCGCCTTAATTTCTTAATTTGAAACATACTTGTAATCCATACCTTTCGTTCCAATATCTGGCCATCACTAATTTTCCCTCTAGTGATTTTAAAGTATTTACTAAGAAAACACACATTTTCAGACCAGTCTCATAGGGTTTGTGCACAGGGCGACAAGTAATGGCCAGATATGGGAATCTTTCCCTTTCTTTTTTTTTTCCAAAATATTATAAATCTCCTCTGAATTTTAATGAAAAATCTACCTTGAAGACCCATCAGATTTGCTCTAAAATGCACCAGAGAGCTTCAAAGTTTAACAAGTTTTTCGGGGCCCGCTTCCCACACCATAGCTTGTTGAATCGCAACAAAAGTTCCCCCAAATTCTCACTCTCAGCTCTAGCTCCATAAATGTGGCCAATTTACTGGACTACCTCCGTAAATAAAGGCCACACTTCCACCATGTACAAAAACATGTTGAACTTTGTCAAATTTTGATTTTCACATTTAGGCAAAGTTTGTAGTTTATTTTTGCTTTAGAAGCATACTCACCCTCTTTACAGGCTAATCAGAAAGTGCTGCCTTTTTCAGATATCTAATTTTCGTGAAATTTCATGTTGAAATTTTGATACGCAAACGTGTGCAAACGAATCTGAAAATTTCACAAAAAATAGACATCTGAAAAAGGCAGCACTTTCTGATTAGCCTATCAAGAGGGTGTGTATGCTTCTAAAGCAAAAATAAGCTACAAACTAAGGCTAAATGTGAAAATCAAAATTTGACAAAGTTCAACATGTTTTTCTACATGGTGGAAGTGTGGCGTATTTACCAAGGTAGTCCACTAAATTGGCCACATTTATGGGGCTATCTCAGCTCTTATACTCAAAGTTGGCAGCCCTGTGTACCCATCAAAGAACATCCTAACATTTCCTAATTTTCTAATAAAATTAGAAATGTCTCAGTCTTTTAAACATTTTTGCAATGACAGACCTCCATATACTATATGGAGGGAAATAATGGTGCAACCTGATGCTACTTCAGGGTGCACTGAACTAATTCAAGCGAGAATTTCTACGCCAGCTGATTAACATAAAAAGTGCCCCCACAATTTCTTTTGAAAACGGAGACCGTTTGGCTTTAAAAATGGTGGAATTGTTTAAATATATCCAAGGATCAACTCCCTGGTTTTGGGGCTTCCATCTGAGGGCAGGCTTGATAAAATCCCGGATGAAAAAATGGGTCCTATTTGCCTGTGAAAGTGGAAGGGTGCCACTTGTAAAATGGATACATGCATGCTCGGGAACTATCACTTTTTGGGAGGTGATTTTATGGAAAAAATTCCATACTCGGACGTCACTTTTTTCAATTAATTTTCTAGCGCCAAAAGTTACATCTTTTATGGTTATTCCTCCACTTTCCCTCCTCTACTCTCACCCTCTCCTTTCCTTAATTTCTATTTATTAATCAGTCAGTTACTTCATCGGGATTCGAACCTCTGGCGCTTGCTTGATACACGAGACTCTTAACCGCTAGGCCGCGCACGATCGCTGTTGCAATCATCAATCTTTGGACGTATTTGAAGTATCCATTGAAATAAACTAAATATTCATGAGAAAATAAATATTCATAATGACGTATTGAACTATCATTGGCAGGCTCATGCGACGTCATGGTTGTTGATGTCACGTGTATAACGTACCCATGTCTTTTCAGCCACTACAATCAGTTTTGACCGGCTGCTTCAAGTTAGTTCTGCACGACGTATGCATCCAAAATGTGCTCTAAAAACACATTTTGAGTACATTTTTTTCACCTTTACACAGCTTCCTGGATTTCTTTTGGTTCAAATGACAAGGTGAGGTGACAATAAATATGTTTGGCAGCAGATAAATTGACATCCGAGTATGGAACTTTTCCCAATTTTTGTTTCAGAAACCCCAGTGATGTTGGCTTGCATGTTACTTGGCCCTGAACTATGTTGATTTTACACTGTTTTCAATGGGGCTTGAATTAGTACAGTGGACCCTATTCAGCAGTTGTGTATAAAGTCTATGCAGAGTCAAGAGATTTTCTTTCCTGTTTCTCATCAACACCGATTTATGTCTCACCATTTTTGCTATGAATGATCTTCATTGGGATGACGAAGAAAAAAGCAGCGTCAGGTTGCAACATCCTTTCTCTTAAAGCCTTACCAGCAATTATTCCAGTCTTGACGATGTTATATTCCAAGAAAGCGCTGATATTGTACGGTGCACGTGCGATCGTGCGCAATCAAAATAAAAGGGGACCCTCGCCGTTCGTTAAGATAGAGGGCGCTTTATGCATTTAACAGCTCAGCTGGTATATTTCTTGGATTTTCCAGCATCTCCAAACCCAAAACGAGAAGCAAGTCAGTTTAACAATATTTTCTATAAAATACTAATCCTCGAAATGCATTTATTTCTGTACATTCCATTTTACCTCAGTACAATTTAGATCAGTGTCATTACATAATGCAAGCAGTCGAAACTTGCACTTGCAGAAGTAACTATGCTAAAATTTAAAAGCTTTTTCTGTTTGTATATATAGCTGTTAAATTGGTTTAAAAAATTTTTTTTTTACCCTGTCATCATTCGATATGACTAAACATACATGTATGCATAATCCCCACTTGGGAACGCTTTTGAAGAAACAAAACAAATGAAATCAATTGTAAAAAAACTGACCCAAACAAACAAGATCAATGTCTATAAAAGTTAACAAACATACAAAACACTATGGGCCTACACATACCAATAATTGTTTACAGTTATCAAATGTGTTATTTTGCATGAACTAAAATTATTACCTCAATGAATTATTCTTTTCTATTATGCCGTTGGTTTACGTGACTACAAGTACTTCAACTCGATTCAAATAGTCCATACACTAATTAAATTTTTGATTCCAAATACAATGTGAAGGTGAACAGCCTGTCTGTATCTCCCGTTGATATCCATCTCTTGCTTTGACGCTTAAAGCTATAGTCAATCATTTGCAGCTATCCAAAAAGTAACTGCCGTAATTATTGTTGAAAAACATACTTGGTTGAAAGATAGTAAGGGGACTAAACTCCCTGTGAAATTATTCTTTCTGACAAGCTGTCATTTTGAAGTAATCAACGAAAGAAGGCCGTTCCAACGGTGCTTCTTAAGACGCACCGTAGGAAAATTTAAAGTAGTTTTTAGTAGTTCGTTTTGTTATTCGGCGAAGCGCGCGCAAGCATTGGCACGACGCACACGCACACCCGGTAGCTATAATTCGGATCAGTGCGCGACATCGCGTAGCTGCAATCGGCCCAGCGAGAACGTGTCTCGGGCGCTGAATTCAGGCGCAATTCAAAACATGATTCAGCAACTTATGATTTGAAATTAAGATCCTAGAATGCTGTTTTTCTCGGAATATATACAGCTGAAGCTGAGCTGAAACTTCATCAGGTTAGTTGTTCAGTACCCTTCTTCAGATTTTGAGCACTTTTGTTGCTTCAAACGAACAAAATGCACAAATTACAAATGATGGACTATAGCTTTAACGTCTTTCATACACCCCTTGGTCCCGCTTTTAAGGGAGCCCCGCCCAGTCCAGCCTCTTATGAATCTCCACTTGGTTCACTATGTGTCCATATAGGCCCCCTACTCTTCAACAGTTCGATAGTTTAACTCGTATGTATATAGTTTTAACGAAAACACTATTTGTTTTAGGGTGTCTGATACCCTCTTTTATTTGCATTTGAACACAACGGGTTCGCGTGCGATCACACTGGTTCCCCAGGTCCCAAAATTGGAGGTGGGAACTAGTCTACCTTGCGCTAACTGGATTTTTTTACTCCACTTTTGACGCAGCCAACGATCGTTTTCGTTCGTTTTGTGTTTCGAAAGCGAAAAACTTTTGTATTTCGATAAACCAACAATTAAAAAAAACTCACGAAAGGGTATGTATTCGGGTTGCATGGGGCGTCACATAGCAGGCCCGGAGACGAAGTCCGGAGTTTAATGCGGATCGGTGTCATTGAAATATGGTCTGCAAGCTAAACCGATCCAAGGGTCCAAGTCTTGGGAAGGGTCCAGCGTGGTCCCCAGGTAGATGCTGATGATAGAGAAGATGAGAGTTGACTTGATCCAGGACCCACCGTCTTTCAGGAGACTGATGTGTGTGATGATCTCATCCAGCGTCTTGCTGTCCGCTCTGTCTGCTCTTTCATCCTTGACGTCCTCGGTGTATTCGGCCCCATGCCGGTCCCACGCCTGGAGGATGCTTTCTCTGAAAATGCGCCAAGGAAGCCCGACGTTCAACCCCCCGGCTGCCAGCAGGGGACCCGCAAGAAAGAGGATCTTGTCGCACCACGTGAAGACGGTCCACAGCAGTAAGTTAGACTCCTCTCGCTTCAAGTGCTTTCTGATCTCCGGCAGTGTGTCCATTGTGTACGGGATCATGAAGAACACGCCGAAGACCGCCAGGGAGAAGGACAATACCAGCCAGGCCCCGACCAAATCGCGAAAGCTCCGGAAGCCGAAGCATAGCTTTCGTATGTCGCTCTTGGTGGTCTCGATCTCAGACGCAGCTCGCTGGCTGATCTTGACCGCGTCGACGTGAAACTCTTCGCGATGCGACATCTGGAGGCTGTGGATCACGAAGCAGAAGATGCCGTACAGGGCGTACCCGGCCACGCCCCCTATGGTCCTGATGTAAACGAAGGCATCCCGGGGGCAGTAGGCACTACCGGACTCCTTGAAGAACACCAAGAACTTCATGACAATGCAGACCATGGGTAGAGCCATGAACACGGCCAAGCGCAACCACAGGTTACCGGGGCTGTACTCGGAGCGCGCCTTTAGGTAGTCTACAGAAAACACGGCCAGGCGATCTCTGTTTGGGTCGTACACGAAAGACAGATACAGTCTCATTCCAAGACAGAACAAGAGTGTCATGGTCAGGTGGGGGAGGTACGTCAAGTAGGAAATGACGAAGACAGTGTCCTTTTGCTTGCCCACGAAATCCACGCATATGATGGCGAGGTCTACGAAGTGAAGCAGCACGACTGATGTAAGAGCCAGAAAAGAAACGATGCCACAACCTGTTGGTTCGGGAAAAAAATGACAAAAAAACCCAGTCAGATTAAGGAGAGGATGGAGTGAGGAGGGGCACAAGGGCGTCGCTCGTTTCGGCTATCTCGGAGGAGGGGGTTGTTGCTTGTCCATATCATGCTTGTAATTGTTGATTACGGATGACTAGCCATAGTTTTAAGGCGTCTCGATGGAGGGTTGATGATTGGGTTAAAATCGACTGAGTACATTTTGTGAAGTGTGAATTTCCTTGGTCGCAGCAATGTAGTTGAAAATAAAATGAGGTAGGCCTACCATGCCAGTACTCGTTGATAAGAAAAAACGGTGGGAAGTAGGCTTACGTGTAACCCACATCTCCCGTTGAACATGTGCCTCAAACATTTTGGTTCACTTACTCATTTCCTCATCTTCCATCGATCCATATAAACTTCGGTGCCGACATCGATTCCAGAGGCTTGCGCACCGACCTGCGATCGTCTCGGATCGGGGACCGGGCAGAAGCCCCAAGATACGCAGACAGGTCCGCACCAAGAACGGGCCTTTCTCCATGACCGATGAATATTAAGCATGTAGGTACGTGTAGACCCTTCTAGGGAGATACGAGGTTGCCGTCTCGTAATATTTTGTTCGTTTGCGCCGAAAGGAAAGAGCCAGTGTGTTTTTGTATTAGTGAAACGATGTATCTTACACAATGTTGGAAAGTCCCTGCCATTCACACGAACACTATGGGTGCCAAGTTCCGCGAACTCGGGGTTTACAGAAAACATCTGGAACTCTATGAATAGGCATTTTTATTGGACACTCAATGGCACTGGTGAGGCTCCATAAACAATACTTTGCATGTGTAAGGGTGTTAATTGAATGAAATCTGTCCAGAAAATAGTTTGAAAAGTGTATACAGTCGAGCCCAAAGAAAGGCACTAATATTTCCATCCTGCTTTTGTATTAAGGAAAACTGCAGGTCCTAAGTCTGTGTTGTTCTCTGTTTTCCATTACTGATAATACAAGGCACCTGTACATGTTATAACAGGGTAATTTGTAAAGTACCTTGTTAAAAAGGTGTTCCACTGTACATTGTTTTTGTATTTTTATACACACGTAAACGTGCGCGGTTTACGTCCGTGCCCACTTTGGACTATTTAGTCTTTCATGTTTCATTTCGTTAAGATATTGTATGTACCGTGCTGTTTAGAGTTAATTTGAAGTCTTGTCGAGTATTGCTGTACTACTGTGACAGGTCCATCCGGGAGGCCGGGGGGGGGTCTTAAAAATAAAACGCTCGCAAACTTGGCTCCGATCTGCTACTATATACCTTCTACAACCAATACCATAAATAATTGTTGAAGCTTATTATGGCGTCAGAGCTCCGACTTATTTGTCATTTATATACGTTTATGGGAGTATTAACGCTGCATTTGTTTTTCTAGTTGTGATGATATCCAATCGGTATGATGGAAAATCCCTATTGCGCAACACAAGGAAATACAAAGAGTTCAAAATAAAAGCGGGCTTTTCCATTTGGAAATCTGAGGATCAGTTCGCGGTAAAATAGCATTATGTATAGCACTTGGCAGACGTACAAAACATTTTTCCCCGCTGTCGTTTTGATGTGCATGACTAGCACAATAATAATGTATGTTACTGTTTTGTCCCCAATTCGCTGAACTGGAGAGTGTGTGGTGATGGCACGTGACTGATACTTCGACCAATCGGGAACCAGGATTTGCGACTGGTGTGCGACAAACTTGCATCCGGTAGCAGACCAGTAAATAAACTTCCATAGACCCCAATGGTAAATGCTCCCACTTCAAAAATTCGGGAAAAATACTCCCAACTCTCCAAGGTGTTCGAGACACACATCAAATTAAAGCTTATTTCATCATCTTTCATTTTCTTTTCAATTTTCGGGGGGTCAACTGATGACTTTTAGGAGAAATTTCAATCTGAAGATGATCACCCCTCAAAATAGTCCTGAAGCCCATCGCCATTTTGAAAAACGATGCCTACACTCCATTGCAAAATAGAGCGCTTTTAGGGTCCAAATTACATCAAAATTACACAGAACTGCAAGCTCCCAGTCCTGTGCACGGCTTCCACCCATATTTTTTACAATCCCTCAAGTTCATGTCCCACAGCATGCTCAAATACCGAAGATTTTGAGGGCATGCAAATCGTGATTTGGCCGGCGCAGGCAATTTCGGACCGATTTACTGGTCTGCACCCATCCGGAATTTCTTGCACAACAGTTGGTCAACACCTAACCAATCAAAATCGTGAACCAGAGACGTTTCCCCCAACATTTTCTGCAACACGACAGGCGTAACTCTATCATTTAGTGTCATTTAATTTCAGTAACGCATGACTGCACAACTGTTAATTGATCACAACATTGTTGGACGCTGTGACCAAGTTCTTTGCCTTACTCAATTTCAGTATTGTGTTAAGTAAGCTGTTTAAAATCCTTCATGTTGTGAAAAGGGTTGCAGTTGGGATTGGAATCATTTGCCTGGCTATCAGTCATCATGGCAAGACCTCAGTTTAATGCTCAAGGGCAAATGATTCCAATCCCAAACCACATCAGCCTTATTTTTTCAAAACGCAGGATTTTACACAGCGTACATAACACGGCACTATAAATATTGACTAAGGAATGGAACTTGGTCACAGTGTCCAAAAATGTTGTAGTGCTCAATTGACAACTGTGCAGTGATGAGTGACTGAAATTAATGAAACCCATAGGGGTTGAGGCCAAGGCTAAGAAGTACATGTATCTGCAAAACCAAACATTTTCAAAATTGACTTCATGGTTTTGTAGTTATTTTAAAAACAGTCAGACGGACATTTTTTGGGGACATACTGTACAATAATGCACAGGTTTCTCTTTATCACGATGCTGGAAAATATAGTATCGCATCGTAAGGAATAATAACACTGTTTAACGCCTACAACGTACATAAAACATGTACATGTATTTAGTGTTGTGCCGTAAGCTTCAAAACTGCCCAGCGGAAATTTCCAAATCTGAAAGCCACAATAGATGAATAATAATCCGATATAACTGTTCTTTATTTTGTACAGGAAAAAGTAACTAGTATATGAGCCGGGAAGGGAATAATAACTGTACAGTTTCTATGAGGTTACAATATCAACAATAAGGCACACACAAAAACAAATTGTATCTCAGGTCGAGGCTGCAAAATGGTTAACTTCCACAGTCCATGTTTTATTTTACTGTATCTTATATACATTTAATACAAATAGCTCAATGGAGATAAAAACCAGAAAGTGACAAGTAAAAATCTTCCAAATCTGTAAAGTGCACACATTCATTCGAGTTACGTCCTCTGTATCTTTTCTTTTTACGCAATACGATATATAAGTAGGAAATAAGCATGTGTGCCCCTCTCTTGTCTCGTCTTTGTACAAAGATTTCATCGTAGGATTTGTCATTCATACCATATATAGTTTTAATGTCAGAACCTGCATGATCATTCAATTAAATTATTCAACTATCTACGCCGCAGGGGATAAAAGAAACACGTGACACACAAACATTTCATAGTTAATACCGTACTAGCACTGTAATTTTTTTTGTCGTTGCTTTTTATTAAAAATAGGGAGAAGAGACAAGTCTACGTCTACATATTAGCTAAAATCTTACAGCACATTAAGACGTAGGAAGATATTAAACAAATGAACAAACTGTATATTTTTTTCCTTGATAAACTAGGCTCCTCTCTCATTTTCACATCTGAACTACTACATAGTCAACATATTTAATAATTGCCCCTCCGGGAAATTTCTGTACAAATAATTGCTTCCTAGTCCAGCACACAACCCGGCATCTACAACCGACGACGAGTCCTATGTACTAGGCATATACTTGTATTTAGAAGTTTTTATATTATTAATTTTTTTTGTATTTAATATTTATTACAAACCTAAGAATATCATCCAAAAGTAGGAATGGAGAAGAAAATACAAAGTAAAATAACAATAAAACTTTACAAACTTTTTCAAAAATTCAGTTGAATTTGTTCTGAAAAAAAAAAAAAACACTAATGAAGCTATACCACTAGATTGCATAGTGGCCGTTCTGTGATATTGTAGAGCAGTCGGGTCACTTAACGTCAATGGTATTCTTTTATTTAAAAAAAATGGCTATATTACAAGGTTTCCACGTATCTTGTCAGTTGGTCCTGGGGATCCAAGGGGGTCATGTCTGAATCGTCTTGGTTTAACGTAGCAGCATTGGCAGGACTGTTCATTTGTGCCATGGTGCCATGCTGTAGTGGGTTCTGTGACAGCATTGGCTGGTCCGTCTGCATAGGTTCAGGCTTGCCAGGGTGTGGGGAGTTCATCTGCTGCATGGGCCTGGGTGATGGCTGGGCAGAGTGCGTTCTGGGGGACGGGGTGGGCTGAGGCCTCGGTGAGGGGTTAGGATTGGGCGATCGCACCTGCACCAGGGTGTTGGCTGTTTGCGGTGAACGCACCTGCTGCATAACATGCTGCGGTGACTGGTTAGGCAACATGCCTTGCTGCTGAACTCCTGTCTGGTTCTGGTTTGCAAGCATCTGCTGCTGCTGCTGCTTCTGCAGGAGCAGCTTTTGGTACTGCATGCTCGCCATGGTGTCACCCTGATTTTGTTGCTGCTGCTGTTGTTGCTGCTGCAGCTGCAGCTGCTGCTGTTGTTGCAGTTGTTGCTGTTGCAGCTGCTGGAGGTGCTGCTGCTGTTGAAGTTGCTGCATTTGCTGCGGCAGGAGCTGTGAGCCTGCTCCCTGCTGGGCCATTGCATTCCGCCGCTGCTGCTGCTGCTGCAAGGCAATAGCCTGGTTGAAAGGTGGAAGGTTGCCATGCATCTGAGGCTGCTGGAATGGTTGCTGGACCTGCTGTTGCTGGACCTGCTGTTGCTGCTGCTGCTGCTGTTGGAATTGTCTAGCCAGCTGCCGTCTCTGCTGGGTTTGCAGCCACTGCTGCTGCTGTTGATTGAATACCTGTTGCGGGTTGCCGGCTTGCTGAACTGCCTGCTGTTGCCCAGGTTGTTGCTGCTGTTGTTGTTGCTGCTGTTGCTGCTGCTGTTGTTGCTGCTGCTGGGCCTGAGCTGCTTGTTGCTGCTGTTGCAGCTGTGAACGCTGCTTGATGAATGCTGCCATTAGCTGAGGGTTGGACTTGAGTATGTTCAAAACCTGCTTCTGTTGCTGCTGCGATTGCGGTGACTTGAGCGTCTGCAGCAGTTGCTGGAGCGCCTGAGGTGGGAAGCTGTTGGCACGGACTGGACCCTGCTGGCCAATGCCACCAGGGCTCAGCTGCTGTTGTTGCACAACTCCTACGTTGCCTGACATGTTCATGCCCACGCCTCCTGCAATGTTCTGAATATTTGGCACATTGGGAATGTTCTGCATGCCATGCATACTTGTCACATTGACAGGCACAGTCTGTGGTTGGGTCTGGTTCCACGGGTCCATGGGAGACATCATCTGGCCGGCAGAGGCCCCCGGATTGGGCATGGAGAGCGACTTAGGCAAGTGGCTGATCTGCTGTGGTGGTGGCATTGGATTCACCTGGCCCAGTTGGTTAGGTAATGATATGGGCTTCATGCCCCTTCCTTGGCCCTGTGAGGGCGAGACAGTCCTTTGTGGCTGCTGCTGTTGGGGCACCATTTGGGGATTTGTTAGGGCCACCTGGGCTGCGGCCTCTTGTACTTGCTTAGCCGCCTGTATTGCAGCTGGTGGTGGGCCAATGGCATTGTTCTGAGGTTTCATACCCCCTTGTTGCTGGGCTGCCACTCCTGTGGCCTGCTGAGGTCGTGCACCATGTTGTATGGGATTGGCACCGGTGGTGGAAGCCTGTGGGTTCATGGCTTGGTTTGGGGCAGTCACCCTCTGCATGGTAGCCATGCGTCGGCGCAGCAGTTGTGCCTGCTGCAGCCTGTGCTGCAGCTGCTGCTGCTTGAGTTTGTGTTTGATGTTCAGGCAGAATGGCACCAGGCATTTCTGCTCCTGGCAGTGCTTGGCATGGTAGCAGCAGAGGGCGATGAGCTGCTTGCAAATGGGGCACTCCCCGTTGGTCTTGCGCTTGCAGACCTTGGTGTGCTGCACCACCCGCTTCATCTTCTGGCAGCTGGGTAGGCGGCAGTTGGCGTCTCGGCACTGGCAAGCATGGACCAGACTCTGGATGCAGCGTTGAATGGACTGGCGACGGGCTTCCTGTGGGTTGCGCGATGCACCGCTGTTGGAGTCCACGTCCAGTTCCAGTCCCCATTTCTCCATCTTGTGATTGTGACCAATCTTCCGGTAGCAGTTACTGCACAAGTCATAGTCCTGTTGTGGAAAATAATGAAAAGAATAAGTGTCAATGTCCCAAAACAATCATAACAAGTCAAGTTTACAACAGCAATTCGGAAGTTACTTTCCAAGTTTTGTTCAAAAAACTTCACTTAAAATATCTGCTTGACTGAAAAAAAACCACCTTGAATTATAAAAGAAAATTGGTGGCACTTACCTCACAGACGGTGCAGTGATATCTTGTCTCCACGTGGTGCTTGCACTCATTGCAGGTGTAGACAAAGCGGTCCTGTCCCTGGTTGTGCAGCTCACACAGCATGCACATGGTGGAGTACTTGGCCCGTCGCAGTGAGGAGAACTCATAGTGCTTCTCCCTTGCCAAGGTCAGGAAGGCGTCCCGGCCATCCATCAAGTCGCAGGACACCAAGGGGTCCGGGTCCTGGATGGGTTCCTGGTTCTGGCCGGGGTTGGGCACCAGACGAATGACAAAGAACACCTGTAGGGCAAAAAGATTTCAGCGTCAATTGATGAAAGGTAACAGGGAGGACATGAATTTTGGAACATATAACAGAGATTACATTGAGGAGTGCATTTAAGCAAATACGTGTACGTGAGGTTTGCTAAGAATTTCCTGGCTCCCAGTGCCAAACTTCCTAAGTCTTTACTCTGTGGCAACTTGACCGCACTAGACAATGAGGGGGTAATGCTGTTCAGACTATCTCCGGGCTGAGCGATGGCTCACCTCTTTGTGCTTCTCCATCGTGGAGAAGATCTTCTGGGACAGGTCGTTGCCTTGCTGGGGGAAGTTAGTCTTCTTGTTGTTCTTGCGGTTGCTGCTGCTTTTGCTCTTGTTGTTCTTCTTGCACTTCTTCTGGGACTTCTTGCTGCCGATCGGTACAGACTGCATTAGAAAGGAAAACAAAAACAGAGACAAATGAATTCTATCCAATCCACCCTTATACTGTTTTAATTCCATAGATTCCATGCAAAGGTTCAAGTCTCAGTAATAAAGAGAAAATATGGAGGGACACAAACGCATTGCCATACACCAGGCATTCACATAACGATGATACGGGTTTGTGTTCATTAACCCTAACCTCCCCAACCCATCAAACCCCAACGTTTTGTTGGAATCTGTCAGGATGGGTACAGCACCCCTAAACTGACAGTCTTTTAAATTGGGTTGGGCACACCTCCAGAATCAAAGTCAGAAATCTGTGTGTGCAGTTTCCCATATATGGGGTTGCAATTTGCCAGGATGAATATGGTATCTAGTAAATTATACCAGGGAGTTAGGGTTAATAATAAATTATGCGCCTCAACCAGTACTCACTCATGCAATGTGCCACCCCCCAACATGGCTTCCCCGAGTGGTCACAAACACTATCTACTTTCCATGAACACAGTCCACTCCTATTTACATTGGTATGACAACCCAGAAACAATCTATACGTGGAATACGTTCAAGCTGTCTAACCTCTTCCCCTGCGCTGGCCGCGGCGGCCTTCTCCGCTGCCTTCTGTCGCTCTTCTTCCTCCTGGTCCAGTTCCTTGATGCTCTCTTCCAGAACGTTGGGCCAGAAGTCGCCTTCAAAGTACGGCAGCTCGGTCGCGCAGGTGATGCCGTCGTCCATTGCCGACTTCAGGATGTCCTGAACAATTCAAACAAATTAATATGAAACATTCTGATCCTAGTAAAAAGAAACTCTGGTTGAAATAAAGGGTGTGTTAATGACACTTCCCTATTCGACAGTTACACCAAAAATCCATTTCATACTAAAAATATTGCATAATATTGATAAGCAGAGAACCAAGTTGGAAAGGTCTTCAAGGCTGAGAAATCTGTTAGCTCCAAAGAGCGCTTTAAAATTCAGGAAGAAACTGAGCATCGTCTGTAAAATCAGGCGGCAAATTTTGGGATTTTTAGCACTATTCCTACTAAAAGATCCACTTCATTTCAGAACTTGTTTAGAATAGTCTTTTGATTTCACTGAAGAAGTTTTTCAAGAGCAAAAAGATTCTTAACATTGTAAAGAATGATTAGTGATGCCTAAAGATAACGTAGGGGAAAAGCTTTAAGGACCCGGGCACACTAATGTGGGACAGGGAAACATATAGCAAGCTTGGCATGGGGTATGGGGCGTCCATATCTAACCTTGAAGTCCACAACGACCTTGTCCGTCACAGACTTGTCCAACATCTTACGGTACCAGTCCTGCAGTCTCTTTGGCTTAGGGATCTTCTGCTCCAGGGGATGACAGTGAAAGATGTAGTCATCCCCTTCGCTTGGGGGACACGCCCAGATGTGGGCCCATTCATACCTGAATAAAGGAGGCATCGACATTCCATTTAACAAAACTGAGGTCACACACCAGTAAAAGGTCTTCTGGCCTTAAGTCTTTGAATGCAACAGGTAGATCCACTCCAAGTCTGGAGTTTGATGAAAATAGAAAGCAACAAAATCTCACTTACCCTAATAACTTGCAATAATCAAGGTAGCCGATGAGGATTTCATGGTATACTGCTGTTCGGTAAGCACGGGGTTGGAAGAAGTGAACACTGTCTAAATACGATATATACACACGCCTGAAATAAAAGGAAGAAGAAAAAATATCTGCTTTAAGCATTTAAGCATCAACATAAATGGCTCTTTTAGGCATGTCATCAGATAATACAAGGGAAAATAGCACTCAAAACTGTGTACAAAATGCAAAGGATTTGAGAAAGCAGTACAAAAAAAAACACAAAGAAACAAAAAATGATGATGAAAGAGGCTTTTCCGGAATTTTTTAAGTAAAGATGAAACTGCCTGAGACAATTTTTCATTTCCGAAAAAAAAACCTGGGCTAGTATTTCTCATACCTCTGATTTGGCCTGAGACACTCCGAGCCGTACTCCTGGACATGCATGCCAAAGAAGCACACGTCCGTCCCGTCAATCTCTTCAAAGGCAAACAGTGCCTTCGCCCGGTAGGGAAATGTTTCCGGTAGGTCATCTCCAAACCTTGCAGGGAAATTTTAAAAATGCAAAAAAGATTAAACAACAAGCAGTGACATTCAAAGACAATCAGAGACAATCACAGAAAGGACACAGACAAACATCACAGACAATCTCAGACAGAAAATCACAGACAGTCACAGACATCAGTGAAACGTAAAGTGCTTTTTACTTGGTTCTCATGAGTACACCACAAAAAGACCCCTCAACAGTTAGCACAAAATGTGAACAGCCCTCCCCCCCTTGCAATTCACAAGTCCCTTACCGATTTCTCATGCCCGATTTGACTTCCACCGTCTTCTCAGAGCTGGCTAGCACCCGGATGGTTACCTCCCCAGCTCCCGTATTGCGACACTTCAGGAACTTGTTCACTCGGTTCTCTAAGTGGGTGCCTAGCTTCGATGACGGCAGTTCTTTTCGACGACAGACAAGCAAAAAAATGCAGTATTTCCACCATGAACTTTCAATTACATTGTCCATATATCATTTTTTTTTGAGGGATGCCGGAAAATAATGCTCTGACAGGTTTTATGCAGCAATTTTGAATTAACATCAGTAACAATTCATAATTATACATTTCTGTAGTGTTTCAGAGAAGCAGAGAGTTATTTTTTACACAATATTTGACAATGACGGACACACACACTGACTCCATATCGAAAAGTTAAGACTGTCAATGGTAGATCTGTTGTTTGAACTGTTAATTGAACACATCACATGACTGCTTCATGTGACCAATCCCGGTTTTTTTTTTTTAACATGATGAAGCAAATATTCCTGGCTTTAATATGTTACTCACTCTTAGCATTACACTTGTTCTCCTTCTTCTTGATGCCTTTGGACTTTCTGCAACCGTCGCAGATGAAGCTGAAGGGAGGAGAAATAATAGTCACGTCAGACAAAATTTAGTTGCATTCACAGATTAACGAAATGAGAGTACCAAATTCGGCAAGTCCTTTGGAAGGAACCTGTAAGACTTTCAGGTAGGTTTAAAGAGCGACTTTATGCTTACCCTTCAGGCCAGATGACCTCATTGTGCAGGACACATATCACGTGGAGTTTCCTCCCACATTCCAAGCAGTCTACAAACCTGTTGTTAAAAGGAAGTTAACATGATTGATTTTATTAACTGATTTTGTTCCATATCAAAATTATTGGGTATGTTTCTTATAATGTAAAAGTTTTGAAAGAAATTATGATTAAAATGTAATATTCTTTCAGCATTTGAAAATCTTCAAAAGCCTTCTTCTCTCGGTGTTGCATTTTAATGAGGGAAGAATGCGAAATTAAATAGGCAGTAACTTGAGGTTTACCTGGAGGTTTACCTGGAGGTTTAACGGTTTACCTCTGGGTACCTCGGAGTAAAAATGTAGTGTTACATCTTGTTTGATTTTGCTTTCTCTTCTTATTTGTAACAGACAGTAGTATTATCCAAATATTGATCTTCAGACAAAATTGTCTCATGACCACTTTGATGTACTTTTGATTTCTTTTGCTCCATCATAACTAACTCCATCATAAACCTGTTGAGCTGTGCTGATGAACTCAGAACCTTCTATTTAGCATTGTCACGTGAAATAATTTTTTGACTTGTGATTAACAATAACAGAAAAAGCTAATTAAAATGCCACAGCAATTTCTTTTTTATTTTGATTGGGGGGGGGGGAGCCATATTCTGGTTTGTTTCGAACAGCTTAGGAATGGTTTGTAGTTCTACATGGTTCACTGTAAGTTTCTTTTTAAAAATTTTCGACTTTATTCAGCACCAAATGATAAAAAGGCAACGAGCCAAACTCACGGTTCAATGTCCAGGGTATCGTTCTTCATTTTCACAAAGTTCTCCTTTTTGATAGTACTGCAAGGAAACATCACAAATGATTCAAATAAACTGCAAACTTGGGATATTAAACATATTCACAATTCAATTTTGTAGGAAGGGAAGATGTGTTACACCAACAAAATATGATCATTTCAATTCAAAGAGTCATGGCAGGACACAAGTTGTATTAAAGTGGACTTTAATGAAATGACCACTGCGTGCATATTGTGTTAGTTTTCAAAAACCCCTTTTCAAAACAAACAGCAAAATTTCAATGTTACGATATGGGATTAGGGGGCGTGAGTGTTCTGGATTTTAATGTTGGCGTTTGATCCACATCTCCGTTGCTTTCTTGTTTAGGAAGCTTGTCGTCAATGTGTGTTTGTATTGAGGTTGTTCGTCAGATGGCATCCCCATCTATGTTTGAGAGGCATTCAACCTAGTGACCCACTGCGTTTACCTTTCCAGTTGCTTAGAATGGTTGAACCTTGTGTCATTGCCAGTCCACCAGAACCTATTGGAGTAAGTGCAAACAGTTAAGCGTTACCAGAAATCTACTACTTCCGACAAGTAAGCCAGTCAGTGCTCACACTTTACTATGCCATCCAGTCTCTCGCAAAGACAAATTTCTTTACAAAGGTGTTTTTAGCTTATCTAAGAATATGTATTCCTTGGTATGGCCAACAAGGGGGCATCTCCTGAGAAAACCAAAGTATGCTGGGAATGTTGGCGCATCTGTAAATCTATCAATCGTGTGCAGCCTGCTTGCATTTACGATAGGGGTGTGCATTTACAGATAATATGGGAACTGGGTACCCGAATGAAAAAAAAACCGAAAAAAAAAAAAAAAACCCAGCCACCCGGGAACTCGTTAAAGAAGCTTAACCCCAAAATTCATATCTCAGGAGTTGCTGTTCAGATTTTTCATAAAGTTCCGCACATTTATACTGCCACATCAATGCAGCAAGATACAAGTGTGAACAGTGAGGTCTTTGTCTGAAAAGGTGAAAAGTGGAATTTTCGCGAGAGTCATAAACGTGATATATATTTTGTTTTCCCACGTAGCCTGGCTTTCATTTTGAAAATTATCCTCACATGACATTCACAACCTCTCTTTTTCATTGTCTGAGAAGTTACTATTAAAGTAATTTGTAAAGTTGGTTACGTGTACCCGATCCCATAATCCGGAACCGATTCCTGACATCAAAGGCAAGGTTCTCGGGTACCCAGTTCCAATACACAGCCCTAATTTACGAAACTACTGAAAGATTCTACGAAACAGATCTTGTTTACATTTTCAGAACCCAGCAGTGAATCCAACAATGCCGATATATTACTAGCGTCAAATTCACACGTAGTTCATGAAGTATACTGGCATACGTTTGAGCAAGTAATAGATTTCTGATTAACCCAACAATTACAAAACTAACTGGGTTTTGTACCATTAGGTATGTACATAAATTAATGGGGGGGGGGGGGTTAGTAGCACTAGTTATGTTTCGAGTTTGACAAAAAGTAGTGCACATAAAATAGTGATAAAAGTTCGTCATTAAACCAATTAGAACTTGTGATACATTGTACTACACTGTATTTAATCCTTGATGAATAAAAAAAAAAACATAGAGTGTTGGGCGGTTCAGGGCGTTATAGGAAGCAACCGGCAGGGCGCTTTGGGGCAGTACAGGGACAAATGGGTTCATAATAAGTTCAATGTTGCCTCATTTCATAATGTGTACAGTTAGCCCGGGGACAAACCACATTCATTGATGTTCATGACGACATCTTCTTAGAACAGACTGGGCTTCGGGTTCATTTATGTGTGTGTAACCCTATAACCTGGGGTATCCTGGGTGCAAGACCTTAATGGGATATCCACAGTACGGGACTGAAAAGGTTAGAAAAGTCATTCAGATTAGTTTGTAATTTTTGACAGAAGAGTGTTAATAGAGGGGTGAAGCCCTGATCTAGTATCTTCAACAGACGTAAAAAGTTACAAACCCTGCGAAATTACGTTCAAGACAAGCAAGTCTACTTACGTCTGTGACTGCGTTGGGTCATCTCCCAATGTCACCGAGTCACCCTCGATCTCGTTGAAGCATTTCTCACAAAAGTGATACCTAGAAAAAGGAAATCACCAACATACTCATGAGGATCATTCTTCTCTGACCAAATTTTCTTTGAGTAATGATGAATATATATCATGAAAATCAGTGCTCCACAGAAATTAAATATTGAAACTTTTTTCCCCTGACGACTTTTCATTTTGCCATTTTCTCCTCAGACTAGACCCAAATCACCCCCCCCCCCAACAAAAACCTACTATTTTTATGCTCGCTTCCGAGCATAAAAATGATTTTGCATTTTGAATTCTTACCTGTTCTGATAGCTCCAATACGCAGCGTCACGCGGGATGGTACAGAGCTGCTTGCCATAACAGCACAAAACTTGCGGGTGGAAAACAAACTGCAAACAGGGAAGAGGTAAAACAATACTGCTGTCAGAATCATTCAAACTAGCACTTGTTTTCAGAGGAAGAATTACAGTTCCCTAATCCCCCTAAAAATAATCAGGACATTGAGTAGGGTGGGGCTTAAGGTGGGGGTAAGATAGAGTGCTTGGATGCCTACCTTGTGGCCACAGCAGTACCCCAGCATCTGCATGACAGGGTCAATCTCAGTCTCAAATACCTCGGCGAGCTTGGAGCAGTACTTGTAGACGCGGGACGTCTTACGGTTGTACAGCCAGGCATTCTCCAGCATCAGCCAGACATCGTCCACATACTGCCAGGGGTTCTGGTACACCCCGGTGTCCAGCTTGTGCTTGATGGTGGACAGGTCCATGGGCTGCCTCACGATGTCAAAGTAGTCCTGGAGGAGTAAAATTCAACAGAAAAAATACCGCAAAATGGATGAATATTTTTGGCTGTTTCTTTTTTGTTCTTGTTAGTTGAAGGGAAGTGTGTGCAATGTTTCACCTTTGACAACCACTGTGATGAATTGGTTGTGAATGCTATACTATATTTGAATGTCTAACAAATATAGCTTTTATGTGTGATAAGTTACACAACAGATTTTATTTTGTGTACTCACAAGCAATAGATCACAAAACTATTCCGTTTTTAGTTTTGAGGTTAACGGAATTCATTGCCAACCAGTACTAAACAACCTGATACATCACAATACTTGTCCATTAGTTATTCCCATTACACACACGACCCTGTTAGCGAGTCTAGTACCGAGCTAACCACAAGCACACAAGCTTCTAGCAACATGCAAGACGAATACTACAACACTGACAGCTTTCTCGTGAACGGAACTCGTCCGAGCGCAGCTCAAGACCAGCGCGTCCCAGTCCAGCCGAGGAAGGGGTTGGTGGTGTCGGTGGTGGCGACAGCCAAAAAAAAAAAACTTGTAGGGGGAAAAGACATACCTCACAGGGTTTGGGGTTGGGTTTCTTGGCTCGAGTTCCGTTGACGGGGGAGTTCTTAGGCTGAGTGGTAGTTGACAAAAACAAAGACAAGTGCTGGCATTTTATCTTTTGAAGCATGGCGAACAAAAATCCTTTTATCAGTAGCGTTTTGGGCACTGCCGAATTTGGTTGAGCAAGACTACCGCGGTGTCAAAAAGCAAGATCCAAATTTTATAGAAAGAAAAATGTGACAGAACCATTCCAGCATGCAGACTCACACCACTGGCTGCTAACCAGGCAGGAAAAAGATGTGGAAATGATAGGCTGTTAGTCATCACAAACTACAAAAACTCATATCAGTCACACAGTTTGTATCGGAAAAAAAGAGGAAAAGGGAGCAAAGTACTCATATTAACTGCCAAATTAAAAGTTTTCCATTTTTAATATCACAACAGGCACAAGGTATCTTCTCAAGGCATGGGTAGCTGAGCTTTTGTATCAGAAACAACTGAGGACAAAGAGCAAAACAGGGATCAGCACAAACCGGTATTTGCAAGGTCTTGGGATCCACCGGCTGCTGGAAGGGAAGGGACTCAGGATTCTGACGGTAAAGCTTCTCCAGGGTTGGCATCAAGGCTTGCCGAAGCTCATCCGGCTTGAAAACTATTGCGAGTGGGAAAAAACATCAGACAGTGTTTATGTTAACTAAACCTCCTTGAATATTTTGCAATTTAAAGTCGGTTGACAAAAAAAGACATAGAAATGCGGTGTTGCCTACCTCATGAAAATTGGCCCGGACGCACAAAAGGAGTAGTTTTCATGAGACAAAACGAAAAGCCAACTTTCAAAAGTACATTTTATTGAGTTGTTGCAAGAAATCGTCTTGATGCAAAACACTGTGCTATGTTACAAAAGCCTCAAAAGTAAATTACTTGTATAAAGTAAAGGCTAATTACCTTTCTTTGACCTAGGGGCTTTAGTTGGCTCAGTCTTGACAGGCTGCTTCTGCTGCACCTGTGAACTGGCCGATTGGCCCGGTTCTGACTTCACCACTACATCCTGGTTCTCGCCTGGTTCCTGCTTAATCAAAACCTTGCCGTTACCAGCCTTGCCGTTACCGGCCTTGCCATTACCAGCCTTGCCAGAGCCCTTGCCACTGCCTTTCCCAACTCCGCTCATGCCGTCCGGCTGGGAGGTGGGCGTGCTGTTGAAACTGCAGGTGAATAGGTTGCCGTTGTCGCCGGGTTCCTGTTTGACTCCCGATTCCAAGCTGGATGGCCCTGCCGGGGTCTGCTTGCCTCCCTTGGGGGTCAGGGCTGGCTCCTGCTTGGGCTGGGGCGTGGCAGCGGGTGTGGTGGTCTCAGAGGAGGGCTGGGCAGCCTGCTCTGTGGAAGGTGGCTGCTTGCCAAGGGTGGCTGGCTGAACCTGTTTGGAATCAAACATGCAACATTGGTGTGACAGGCTTCTCCCAAGACCAAAGTCTGCTCAGAAATTTGAAGAAACTTTCCCCACTTACAACAGTGGCTAGGGTGTGGAGACCCGGACCCACCTTAAAATATCTGTTCAGCAGAAAACAGCGCTTAGTAAAATTATGCGCTAAGCACAAATCTACTGATTATCAGTTACGGGCAGTAGACATTACATGGAATTTTGGCTGGTTACCTGCTTCTGCTGAGCCTATATTTTCTGTGCTTAGAAAATGTTTGTGTTAAGGAGCTTCATGAGATTTGCCTTTTGAGCCACTCATAAACAGCAAATCATCAGGAGATTCGTTTGGAAGGTAGGGTATCTGTACTACTCTCCTGAACTTAGCAGAGCTATGTTGGAATCCTCACCTGTTGATTTGCCTCTGCCAGCGCAGAATCGGTAGTGGTGTTGGGGGCCATGGCATTGGGTTGCGGCAAGGTCACACCCACCGTCTGCGTAGGAGGGGTGGAGTTAGCACTGCCTATGATCCCCTGCAAGGAAAATGAGAACATCTAGTTGTAGGAATATGTTCTCAATTTGTTTTTGATTATATGAGAGTTGAATTATTCATATGTCGTTCTAAACCTCGTATCTCACACTGATATAACTGCACTAAAACTAACTCATTTTCCAAAAATACATCATCCAGCAATACTATTTCCAGGAACTGAAATGTAAGTGTATCCACAATGATTAAAGATCAAAGGGTTGTAGAGTACAACAGAGCTGGTTCATACCTGTTTGCCAACTTGGCTTGCCTGCGACTGTGGCGTAGCTGGCATCGAAGGCTGCTGCTGCTGTTGCTGCGGCTGTTGTGATTGCGGAGTCAGTACCTGCATGCCCAGATTGGACGGGGGCTGCTTGTTGCCGTTGTTGTTGGCCGTGGTGGGCAGCGGGGGGAATTGGGTGAAGGGGTTCTGAGTGATCTGGTTGGTGAGCTGGCTGGCGGGGGCCATGCTGGAGGGGGGAGTCAAAATCTGGGGGACTGAGTTGGAGCCGACAGAGGGTGGGGCCGGGGTGGCTGGAGCAACGCTCATCGGACCATCTACGGAAGAGATAGGGCAAAAAAAATAAACTCAGACCTTCAGAGAAACCACAAACTGTTTAATTACCCAAACACTTTTGCGTGCAACAGTTTAATACCCTACAAATCTGGAATCCTGATCTAAATGAGGCAATTGTAAAAGTGACGTACTCTGTGTGGGCAATCTGGGCTGAGTCAGTTGCTGAGGAGGTTGTAGCTGGGCCAGTGCTGCCGCTGCTGTTGTTGGGATGCCACCTCCTCCAGCAGCGTTGGTACCTCCTGTCTCCTGCATCCGCTTCTGTCGCTTCTCCTCCAACTCCTTCTGGATCTTGTAAATCTTTTCAGCCAAGAGGTGATAGTATTCCTCCTGTTGCATAAAAGATACAATTAACATAAAAATAAAATAAATGAAAACTACTTAAAAGCCAGAGTAAATGGTTGCAGTATAAGCAACAACCAACAAGTTTCAACTTCATATTGGATATCACTTGGTGGGGTAATTAGCATTTTAATCTCCCAATGTCACTTTGGTATTTTGAGTGACTGGGCACAGCTCAAGTTTTGTCCAGCACTTACCCTACTACTGGCTTGCTCGTACATGTCCTTTTCTACTTTGCGGGCATAGGCCACTAGGTTCCCCATTCGCTTGTCCTTCATGGCCTGGGGGTCCGGCGAAGGAAATATTGCTTGAACTCTGTGGGATAGATGAAAACAAAGTAAACATGTTAACATAATCTCGGTTAACAAGATTAGATTTATATCGTCAACTTTTAATTAAGGTAATGATGGATGTTTGAAAATATTTTACTTCAGGAACTTCAAATTCCAGTTTCTGAAGAAGAACCCACTATGGGTGAATTCTTTACCAGAACTGTTGCCAGAATTGTTTACTCACAATTTAAAGACAAGGTGATTCCGCAAATCCTGGGTGACAAACTGCTGCCAAGGCTGCGTGGTGCCGCTAATGGGCATTGCAATGCCCATGTTGGGGCCAGCATTGCCGCCGCTGTTGCCGCCGGGATTGAAGGACTGCAGCATGGCCTCTGTCTGCTGCTGGGCACCAGCGTTGGTCAGGGGACCAGTGAAAGCACCCGGCACATTACCAGAGGTATCTGCACAATAACATGAGGGAGAATGTGTTACTGGATGTCAGTACCATGAAAATGCATCTGATGTCTACTATATACACATTTTAAACGGAACAATGCCTTATATTTAGAAGGCTTTTTAAAACTTGAGTAGACCTAAAGTCTTATAACTCTACTTACTGAGAGTGTTCGGCATTCCCGGTGGCCTGGTGGGATTCTTGGTGTTGTACGGGATGCCCAGTGCCTGGTAAGCCCGCTGCATTGAGTTCTGATCAATGGTTGTGGTGATGGCAGTGGAGCCAGGCAAAGGGCCGGCCATGGCGCTGTGCAACAATTTCTCTGCTTTAAGATTGAATTGCAAAAAGAGTGCGTTTTAATTTAAAGGCATTTGAAATGTGTACCAACAAACTCCAATCAATGAACTCTAGGACAGAGTTCAAAAGCTAGGAATCCAAATTAGCAACATTCTTAACTTTTAAATGAATTATTTTTTGGTCATGCTCACATTGCAAATTGTTCCAAACTATAACAATATATTTATATCTAACATGCAAAATGTCTTATTTCAATACCCACAGATAGGTTTCCTCAACTTCATTATCCGATGTTTTTTTAAATTTCCTTTATGCTTATTTCAGCATTACAGTCTGCATGGCCCAAACTTCCAAGATTTCTTAAGATAGTTACCGTGTCGTCGGTCGGACGCATGCTTGAGTGGCAAGCAAACTGGACAGTCACTACGTGTGCAGTTCTTCCAGTGAGTGATTATCTGCCTTGATGAGGCACAGTGGGCAACTGTAGAAAAAAAAAAAAAATCAAGTTAAAAATTTAAATTTTTTGGGTCAACATGTTTACTTGAAGGACTCTCATAGTCAGTATGCACATACAGATCAGCTTTTCAGTATGGGAACACCCTGTATTTCAGGGCTGACCTGAATGAGAAAGCACTCATTTTACTCATTTGAATGGGAATGTTTCAAGCATTCCGAATTTTCAAGAGGATTGTCTGACCACCACTCACCTTGGCAAGACTTTCCCTCTTGGCAATTGGTCATGTGGTTGAGCACGTTCTTCATGGTGCGGCAGTGGGGCAGGCCGCACTGCTTGTTCTCCCCGTTGGCCTGGTTCTCCCGCCGCTGGCACTTGTGTGCATGCAGCAGCAGCACCAACTGCTGCTGGATCAGCTTGCGCTTGCCCAGGTCGGCTTGGGAGGTCTGGGTCCCACCGGCCGCCCCAGGCTGGGTACCAGGCATGGCAGGCTGAGCACCTTGGCTGATGCCTCCCTGTGATTGGAAAAAACAAATCCCAGACAACATTAGGAAATGTTCATTCAACAAGTTCATTCTAGTGCTGACATAAACATAGAAACTATGATAAATACATGTGATGTAAACAGTCCAAAGCAGCAGTGGAGGAGAAAGTCATGTAATATCAGCATCTGATCAAAACAGCTGATTTGGCAACTTGAATGTTTAGATGAGTAGAGTTTTCCGACTGCACAAAATCTTGACACAGGCTTGATAGTGCACTGAAACTTGTGCCAAATTAAACTAAAGTCGTGTAATTAACTTTGAAACTCTGAATTTTTTTTTTTTAGCTATGCACACATGAAAGCATGACGTTAGTAAAGCTTGAGTAGAAGTTTAGAGTAGCTAAGACAGGGTGGGCAGTTAAAGAAAGAACGGGAGAGAGAGAGGGAGGTAGGAAAGCAGAGCAACCCGCTTACCATAGAAATGCCACCTGAAATATTCATATTGACATTGCTTGCCATGTTTCCAGCCATGTTGCCAGGCACATTGCTGGTGATGTTGGACGGCAGACTGGACGTGGACAGGTTGCCGGCAAGATTGCCGCCCAGGTTCCCCGAGGAGTTGAAGCCCCCGACCATGTTGCCGTGCATGCCGCCGGCCATGTTGGGCAGGTTGGCGCCGGCTGCTGTCACACCAGTCAGATTACCCGGCAGGCTGGCCGCCAGGTTATTGGCCAGGTTGGGGGTCATGTTGACGTTGGGCATGTTCAGGCTGTCCAGGATACTGCCGCCACCGCCGCTGCCACCTGAGAGAGTTGTGGTGGCGCTGGTGGGTGTGTACGTGGACATGGCGTTCAGTTGAAGGGAAGGAGTTGAGGCAGTGGAGCCCACTGAGGAGAAGACCTGAAAGGGATTGGTGAGGTTGGACTGGCCGACAGGAGGGGTGCTTGAGGGCCTTCCAATCTGTAATCAAATATGCAAATTAGGTGAATCAGCGCTGCAAATGTACCATCAATTATAAATTTATACGCATCAATTATATATTTATACAAGAAAACTTCATATAAAATCAAATGGGATGCCTTTTTAGTTTTTTGTTAGGTTAGACATTTACCTTCTGCAATGGGTTTTGAGGGTTGGCCGACGTCATATTGCCCAGCATGGGAACCTGCGATGACTGGCTGACAGCGTTTTGGGTGACCATCATGGCCGTGCTATTTGTGACAGTGTTCCGAACGCCCACTAAGTTATTTGCACTATTTATAGAGTAGGGTCCGTTCATCATTGCCTGACTGGCACTGGAGATGAGGTTGCCCGGCGAGTTTGCACTTGCGTTCAGCTGGGGCGTCGAAGAGAAAGCGGCCGTGGAGAAGCTGACCATGGTGTTGGCTACCATGGGGGAGCTGGTCACATTGGGTACTGTCCTGCCAGTCTGGGTATGGCCTGGGAAGGACCCCATAGTCATGCCAGTGGAGCCTGTAGCTGCTAAGCTGTTGGCCATAGGGTTACTAGCCCCACCCACTGCAGGGCTACCACCTCCCTGGTTGGGCTTGGGGCTGTTGTTAGCGCTGGCCGTGTTGGTATTCGTTGGGGATCCCCCGACACTGCGTGGGGTGAACTGCAGCAGTTTGGAGAGCTGCTTGTTCTTCTGCATCATGTCCGCGGGGTGGGGGTCTGCATTGACTGCGGCAGAGGTGGTTCCATTGGTTGGGGTACCGGACCCCATGGAGACCCCGACGGACAAAGAGCTGGCATTGTTAGAGCTGGGTCCAATGAGTTCTTCGGACAGATCCAGTAACTTCAGCAACTCTGTAAAATGAGGATGACAATCATTTAGCACCACATATTGAAATATTTTTGTGTGTCAAGATTTCCATCATTGCTCAGGGTCAAGCTTCAGTTTAACACATGACATGATTGAGCTATCGGCAAACAAGGTTTACAAACTACCACACAAATGCCAACAATTCCAACAAATGAACTCATTCCACAACTATCAATTCACATGTTTGGCACTCTGTACCAAAAATCAACAACAATCAAAACAGGGAAAAGGAAAGAAAGAACAAATTTAGTTTGGAGCATTTTAACGATTTCAGGACGGAACATGAAATACAGCCTCTGTTCATTTTCATGGGGCTAGACGTTTCTGTATTAAGAATGTGCCTTTGGTTAAATGCAGTGTTCATTTTTGGCTTTGTAGCAAAATATCCAGGGCATTTGGTTCAATGGCATTTCAGAAGAAACATGCCATTTTACACGGTTACAGCTCAGTCATACCTAATATACTGCAATATTGAGATCTAAAAACAAATACGGCATTTCTCTCTTCCCTTGACAAGCGAGTGTGCTGTGAAGAACTTTTGCAAATCGTATGGCTACCAGCACTCCATCACCATTTTGGGGGTTGAGTATCCATCGTGAGGATGGATATATATGCTTTTTATGCTTTAACCCCAACTCCCTACTGTCTTTTACTAAGTACTGGACCATGTTTGCCAAACTCCATCAATCACACTGCTTCCAATGCATGCTTTGCTTTAGGCCTCCTGACCCAAGTCCATCATACTCCATCAATATTTAGTCACACCATCCCTGCAGGACCAAGTCCCCCAAAATCCACCAAAATGGGGGATGCATTTTGATGGTAGCTGGGAGGTTAGGATTAACATGTATTTTACGCTTAAAAGCAAATCTGGTACAAAATGTATGCAACATACACATGTGCCTGAAGCTGATGTGCATTTGTGCACACACATTTGACTTTTGTTACAAACAAATTTAAATACCAATAATGCCCAATTAATAACAAGTAGAAAAGGTTAATTTTTATAATTTCTGTAAACTGACCTATACTATTAACCTTTACAGTTCGGGGAACCGGAAAGAAGTAAGTATCCAGACGCCACTTCTTTGGTTGTGTACAAAGTCCTATGACGAGTTGAGTGCATTTTCAAAGTATTTTCTAACAAAGTTTGAAATGTTTCTCAGTCCCAGATTCATGTCTTTTCAACATTTTGGCGATAAGTGACCATCAGCGAGATGATAAAAAAGGCGTCAGGATGCAATATTCTTTTCAGGGAACCTTGTTTCTATTTAAAAAGATTTAGTAATAAATCTGCAAATGACAATGTCTTGAAAATAGCACAAGATGTACAAATTAAAGCCTAAAGTCTTGGGTATTTCCTCAGAAAACTGAGAAACCAAGATCCAAACTAAACCAACTGGCTCTTCTTTGTAATGTGGATGTTACTATAGCAATGGCCCAAACTACAGTTGGGGAAATCCCAACAATAGTTGGACAATCCTAAGTCTACCTCAGATAATGCTATGGTTGGGGTTTAAGATTGACATCAAAATACTGCAAAAAGAAAGAGTTGATTTTGATAGATATAGGGTTGCTCAGATTGAACAACGCACTACTATGAAACTGCACACAAAAAAACCAAGAAATTCTCACTTGCACATGTAGCCTCTAGTTCTATGTAATAGGTCTCTCGGAAAGATTTCCATATACGAAGTTCACTCAACACCCTGTGTACAAACCCTATGAGATTGGATTGAAAAATTCTAAGTGTTTTTTAAGAAAATGCTTGTATTTTCTCACTGCTCAAATTGACTTTGATGACATGAAATTGCTATCTTGGGGCTTCTTAGTCAATACAGAGGAAAATTAGTGAACTTCGTATATGGAAATCTTTCCGGTCTCTCTCAAAGACGGCCTCTCTGTAGGAGAACTGCAACTGCGTATTGTACGCAATCAAGCACACATTACGCAGTGTTGAAAATGTTCCAAACACGCGCTTGTTGCTCAAAATGTGTTCGAAATACAATGCAGTCGATGCGCGTTATGCAAATTGACACTAAAAAAAACCTGGCGCACGTGGCTGGTCTGTAGGAAATGACGTCATTTGAGGAGGTAATATTCATAATGAAATAGACTCTTGCATTTCATTTTAAAATGCAAGCTAGATGGCACACAAATCTTCAACATTTTGACAAAGTGACAAATTTGCGCAAACAGCTGCTAAACTGAGTTTTGAGAAAATCGCGTATGAAGTTGGTTGATTTTTCAAATTGCATTTTCGCATGCATTTCTCCCCCAAAATTGAAAAATATCTTTACTGATGCTATAGCCCATTAGTTAATAGCCAAAATTTTTTTCTCTGTTTTCATGAAGGCATGTTTAATCAGGAGAAGATATTACTAAAGACATTCGTCACTTCGTCAAAACGGAAATGCTACTTGGTCAAACGTATGTAGCATTGTGTTTGTACACAGGTTCGTCGCACGCCCGTGTACATGTATATAAAATTTATACATTTTTGAAAGCAGATTCGTTACTTCATCAAAACACAACTTCCAGAGATTACATAAATCTAAATATAGTACATGTGTAAATTCAATGAGACTAAGTGACGAAACGAGATTCGTCACTTCGTCAAAACGGGAAAAAAACAAGCTGTTGCACATTCGGCACTTTGTGCAATTAGCGTAATTAACGTACACAATTTTGTGTCTAGTAATTTGGTAATCATGTATGATGTACATACAAGACATCATAAAATGTTAAAATAACCAAAAATCTCAAACTGCTTAAAATCTTGGTTTTGGGCAGATTCGTCACTTCGTCAAAATGGCGATGAACTGACATTCCAACCAAAACTTCCTTGCTTTATGTATAACTACTGCCTTCAGATTGGATCGACTACATCATAAAGTGTAAGCCAATAATACATAAAAAAGGGTGTCCAGTCAATGCGGATTTCACCAATAAACACACTTTGTCATACCCAATTAAAAGAGGCCTTATACGATCAGAATCCGCACTGCTCTTCAGGGGATCACATCAACACTGGGCTTGAAGTCATTGCTTCGCCATTCATATGAATCGTGACTCAATGTGTCAACGAATGAACTGCAGCTCTTGGAATTAAACCACCATCTTAATTATCAATCTCTACCTGATCCCAAGTAGGGTCTGTTTTGGGGGGTAAAATTTTTATGGTTTTGGTGGGCGATGAGTGCGCGATAATTTGTTGGCACTCCAAGGAAAAGTATTCCCTCCGATTCTACTATCGCCAAATTATGACCAAATGTTTAAAAAGGCAATTTGTAGAATCCTTGTTACTCGGACTAGCATGACAAGTGAAGCTAAATAATAAATTACCTAAGCAGAGAGTATACTACTTAATAAGAAATGAACGACCAATATAAACTGTGGAGTTCTTGAAATGGATCAACGTTGCAACTAGCATGACTTGTCAAATGTGAAAAAAGAATAAGCCAAAAAAAAAAGCCATTCTCATTTGCTGCAACATGGACTTGTTTTTTAAACTTAATTGCAGAGATCTATATAAAGACCGGTTCACACTCGGTGCAAACACGAATGCAAATTTGTGACGTCAGGGCAAGTTATCGCGCTGCAAACACATTCCAAGTCCGGCTAATTTCGCAATGCTTTGTGACGTCGCATCGCATTCGCAGGAAGTATGACGATGAACAGAACGATAAACCGGTCATTACAAACATGACAACTAACAACATACATAGGTTTCATGGAAACACCCATTGAGATTTCAGTCAAACATGTCTTATTATTTTAGTCTGGTGTCGTATTGAATTATTAGAATTAGAAAGGCCCCTAGATTTAGAATTAGAAAGAAATCCAGGGCAAAAGAAATATGGCAAGGGCCAAAGTTCACATACAATTTCATGAAATTTATAATGCCTGGATTATTCGAATGATAATTTCTCACCAATATTGGTTATTTAAGTATTACTTTTTATCATATCGTGTTTTAACATTTATTCTATTTTCTAGCTATTGAAGAAAAGTATCCAATCACCTGTGTTGTCGCTACTCGGCGTCGAAATCGGCACCGATAGTTTCGCCCTCTTGTTCGGCGGACCTTCCAGGTCGGCCATGTTGAAAAAATTTGACGACTCCGTGTTCGCAGTGATACGAAGAAGTCACTATTTCAGTCTTACTTGATACCGGAATGTTCCAGTTTTGCGTTGATATGATCCATCGGTTGTCTGCTGGGTGAGGACTCCGGATAAACAAAAAGTAGATTCACCACTGCGTTGCTAAAAATGGTTTAAAATCGACGTATCCTGTGCAGTTCAACCTTAATTTCCCGTGTACAAAGCCGAGTGTGAAAAACGATCGCCGTTTTCAAATCGTTTTCGTTACATGATGAAACGACTTGGGAGTTCCCGTCCAGTCGCTAGGGGTGAAGTGATAACCAAATAAAATACCGAAAGGGGTTCCAGATGAGATGATTGCCAAAATGATGAGAAATTTCCGTCGAAAACGCCAGTTTTTCCCCGACCGAATTCGCTCAAAATGGCGGCTGTTGATGAAAACTTTTTACGCTTGTCAGAGGACTAACAAGGAAAGCTTCCGGGAAAACCCGAGTGCCGTAGAATAATTTATTCATAATTTTCTTATTAGCATGAGGTCACGCGGTACGCGGCTTGAGCTGTTATTGGTGCGTCGGGACCGACGCGTGAAAAGATTGGCAGGTGATTAATACTCGGCAAAGACCGTTACGTTCGGGAATGTTCGGAATTTGGGGGAAAGGCATGCTGGGAGCTTTTTAAATACCCAGCGGCCTCAGCGCCTAGGTTTTTTTCTTCATTTAAAAAAAAAAAATAGGAGAAAAAATGTAGCATAGCGAAAATCATACATTCACACATAGTTTAGGTTATAGGTCCAAGATTCCATCGATTTTATCCTTATTTGGATATTTTTTAAATGATCTAAATGGAAAAGGAAATCAATTCGGTATGTAACATGCACAGGGAAAGCTTCAATTTTGGGTCAAGCATATTAAGTAATTACACCATGGTTATTCCCCCACTACTTGTGACCTACACATTCAGCAACACATTCAATCAGTACTATTTTAAGCTGTTGGCGATACCTATTTGGACATTCTACTAATGCTTTATTGTCCCAAAAATGTAAGCAATAAAAAAATGTCGGCATGGTCGGGGACATTTTTGCACATTAAAAAAAGTTAATATAGTCCTTGGGAAAATTGTCTCTCGACACACACTGGCCAGTGTTGATAATTGAGGTTATATGTTCTTTAAAAAAAGTATTATGACTTGTTCAGTTTTTGTTTGTTTTTGGTATTACTGCACATAACATGCTAGCTAGAATTGGAATATGCCTGATACACACATTAGGCTGAACAAGTACCAAGCAACCATGGCAACCTGAAATCTCTCTCCCCCCCCCCCCCCGATCCCTCAAATGTAGATGATATATTGCTGTAGAATAACTCACTAGTTTTATGGGGGAATGCAGCTTTGATAAAACAATTTTCATCTGCCCTGAATATAAATTAAAATTGTCCCCTCAACTTAATCCCATAAAGCCACACCCACCTTTCAAACATGCTAAATTTGGATTCAACAATTTATCACTGAGTCCCACTATGGAACAAGCTTTGGCAACATGGCTTTGCAATTGCATTTACAAGACAAGAAATAAGAATGCACACATCTCACACATAAACATAACATCGGACACCGTGGACACATTTTAAATTTCCATTTTTGTTTTAATGACATTCAGTGCTATAACACTTTTTTACCCACTGCACAAACTAAACCAAGCATTTTGGTTTTTACATTACCTATAACTGTCCCCACTTGTCCTTTTTCTTAGATAAAATTGTAAATATAATTAGTAAAATTATTTTGTTGCAGAAAATTGCAACCTCACACCTTAAAGATAGCCTGTCTATAGCTTCCATATCAGAGGGGAAAATGCTAAAACACTAAGATAGCCCCGGCTCAGAAAGCTATGGCTTGTGGCTAATTTTAATGGCTTGCTGTAGCTTCATCCATAGCCATGCAGATAGCCTTAGCCACTGTTTCACCATGGAGGTAGAATTACCTCCATGGTTTCACTGCTTCTGTTGGCCGTCAGGGGAGGTGACCCATAACAAACACAGTGAAAATTTTACTCAAGTTGTTATGTCATGTAAGAAAAAAAAAGACCATTTCAAGAAAACCAGGATCTACTTTTATTTTGCATGTCAATTTGATATGACACACCCATCACTAAATATTCTTTGGGTGACATGACTTTTGGTAACATTATTTCAGGCTGATAACAATAAGGAAAACATTGTGGTGATATATAATTTTTTTAGTTTGCATTAAGATATGCTAGGGCAATTTTATGCTCCAGTAAAAATAAGAAATGAATGAATTATAAAGATTCTGGGCTGTTATGTATATTCAAGACTTAATTATCTATTTTTTGGGCCAATCATACAGCATAAGTTCCTTGTATGAATATTCATCAGTGACATCACAAATTTTACTTAGCCAATCATGGACTGTATTACTGTTACTCATTTAAATATACTTGGTCTGTACAGGCTGACTTTAAATCTGAACACATAACTGGCCGGTTTGTTTTCCCTTTTTCTTAATTGTTTTGTCTCTGAACGACAAGTCACTCCAATTTCTAAGATTAGCTCTATAATGGGCCTTTCCAGCAAAAGACAACTTAATAATTTGTACATGCTCCACTCTTTAGGCAATACAAAACATTGTTGTTAGTAGTACTTTGTTTGAATTCAACATCAAAACATTTTCAATTAGAATTTCACCGTAAGAGTATCTCAAATTTAGTGTCACTCATGATTTCCCCCAGCTAATATCACCAGATATACATATAATTTGATTCTAACTTATACAAAAGTCACGACAAGTCTTTTAATACTTTATTTTTTTTTTCCAAAATATTTTAGTTACTTCAGTCGGATAAAGATTATCATCATACAGGTTTCTACACAGTTGCACTGAATTAAAGATCAAATAGAGAATATATATATTAACTTGCTGTTAAGGATTGAAAAATACCATTAAATTTAAATAGTTCATTCATAAGTGTGTGACACTTTGCTGTTCAAAACTCAGGTTTATATTAAACACATTGTAAACACATCTTGGAAACTTTTGTTACCATGGCAACAGATTTTGAATAGATCAAACACGGACCAATTGTTTTTCTGTTGGTGTGGGCATATTACAAAAAAACAGCTGTCCTGTTTAAAGTTTTGGTTTGCACTGTTTTGTTCATGGGAAGAAAGGAAAAAAATAACCATGGTAATGGATGCCGCCAATAGACCCCCTCCAGCTTTGACAATAAGCCCCACCCACTTGGGTCCCTGTCTCACAGTGCGTGTGACCAAGATTGACCAGGCCATGGCACTGGTCTCGATATAAAGACTGGATAGCGTACAGAGAACCGCAGAAGAAAGCCACTTGAAGCCATACTGGGGAGACTGGTTGGTGTTCTGAAAAGGACAAGCAGCCATCTGTAATAGCCAGTACTGATTCACTTTTGTAACATCGTGGTTCACCTCGTCGACCTTTTGTCCACCACCACTGACTTTGGTTCACAATTTGTCAAACGTGGAGGTTCACTTTTTGAATGCCGCAGTTCACTTTTTGCGACGTTTGGAAATATAATCAAGACGGAAACTTGTCCTTTTTAGAACATCATAATACGTGTACTGAACAAATGCGCCTCACAACGCACACTGTATGTACATGTATAATGTTCGTATAGCAGCAGCCAGTTTTGGAAGACTGGGGCAAACTGGTCAAAATGTACGGTGTATGGGCATACGCTATCCAGTCTTCATATAGAGATCAGCGGGCCATGGTGGTCACCTGACCAAATGCTGTGATGTCATTGGTCAATGGGCAGGAAGGGTCCATGGCCTGCAACCTGCAAAAAGACAAAGTAGGTATTTGAATGTGGTGTAAGATCAAACATTAATTATGCGCAAAATACCTATTTGCCCTTGTGAGTGTTTATCTGACTGCTGTACAGCTAGCTGGAAACAAAATATGAAAAGAATGGAAGCACGCACAACGACAAACTTTCAATTAATACAAAATCATGATACAATTCATAAAAAGTCATTTTTATCTTAATTTAAATATATATTGCCCTATAAAAAAAAGCTACACCTCTTGAAATCAATGCACACCTCTATGTACAGTTTACAATGGGAATACTATACAGTAACTTTGGCCGACAATGTCAAACACTAAACCTGTTATTTAAAGATTCTGTATTGTCACCTTCCCACTAAAATTTCACAATATCTTAAGCCAGAGAGACCTACCCAGGCATCTTCTTAGAAATTTGTTTAAATATATATATTTTTAATTTCTTTTCGGGGGGGGGGGGGGGGGAGATGTGTTTTATTTCATTTGACCTAGCTAAAATGCCTTTTTTTCCCTCAAATATTTGCCATTTTTTTTCAAGTACCAAGCCTAGCTAATTCCTTTTTAACTCCCACGAAGTATAGAGCCATGCCTGCTAAATATCTGGGTGATTTTATGATCAACTTTTTTTTTTCATGACGCTTGTTTTGAGTTTGAATTGACTGCCAAAGACAGAATACAAGATATGACACCAGTGGGTAGATGGGGCAAACCGGGGGCGAGGGGAATGGGGAGGGGGTGGGGAGGGGGTGGGGAGGGGGTGGGCAGGAGGGAGGTCCTGGTCAATAGTCCTAGGGACTGACAAAGTAGTGCCTTGTGGAAAAACTTGGGAATCATCCACATTGTGTTCCATCTTTCAATGCCCATGAAGCTAATGCCGCCTCCGAATTACTTTGCTACGGCTTGAAAAAACACACGAGCCTATGGCAGCGGCTGCAGCCATTCACCATTGACTCGTGTGTAATTTATTTTAAGCCGTAGCCATAATTGGAACATGGCCTTAGGCATTTTACACAAATTTGCAATGACAGCCAAGCAGGCTGGTACCCAGTCTTCCCATCATAATAGAGCTCAGAGTTTAACAGGCAAGGGGCAGGAACCAATCTAGAATTGAGGGTCTCTTTACTCCCTGGATCACGTTTGCTTTTATCACACGTGTAAAGATCGTCTGAGTTATGGCCATCACATGTTGATCAACCCCACTGCAAATGAGACGTCACGCTCGTCCGGACAATCTAGTGACAAATATACCTAGAACCAAAATGTACATGTTGACGACACTGCTCCCAAAATAGTCACTGATTATTCAATTGTTTTACAACGAGAAAGTTTTAACTGGCAAGTTAAAGATCACTATTTGTACGATGGGAACACTGTTAATTTATCCACAAAAGGTAAAATTGCCCCTCAAAAAAAAAACCCCCAAATCATATCGTATTTACAGCACACATCAATAAAAATCTACCCCCACGAATCAACTGATATCTTAAGAAGCATATAAAGAGGCACTTAAAATAATTTAATGTCTGAATACAATTTTTTTTTATATTTTTGTCCTTATGCCAAACTTCAAGACATGCCTTAAAAACACATTGCATACCACTAAAACCATGATCATCCCTACAGTTCTGCAATATGTATGTACACTTATATACACACACTAGTCAACGGACAGGAAACACGTTTAGTTAGACCATGAACAATTTTTTGAAGTACTCTTGTGTCTAGTTTTTGGAAATGTACAGAGCGTTGGTGGTTTACAGAATACAGCAATATACTGAACCAAGAGTCATCGGGTGCCTCATCACACAACCTTTACATGCTTCTATCGACAGACATCACCTCAGTCAAAGACGGGCTCAAACAAGGGCTCTATAGACCTCGCATGCAGTAAAGCGCCCTCACTGGCGAGTCTTCCACATGATGCAGTGTCCATGTCCTCTCCTTAGCAGGCTTTGTCAGTAGTAAGCTATTAGGAACCACACAATAATGTCCGGTGCCTGGACTTCTTTAAGCATAATGCAGTGGGAATCGTGGTCACCAGTCACCGAACCTACTAGGGTCGCTGTTGCCATGGCAGACAAGCCGCGAACTCTGCGAAGACCGGTTGATGTGTGTCAACTACAGTGTGATCCTAGGACGTGTACTTGCTGCTAAAGAAAATTTGGAAGCTCGTTAATAATATGAGAACAAACTCAATAAATGAAAAACTCTAGCTGTCTTTGGCGATGAATTTGGCAAAGTAAAACATGGAAGATTAATGGTTGATTTTCATGGTTGAAATTAATTACCTGATCCGTGCAAATTATGTGGAACCTTTGCATGCAAAAAAAGTTACTAGAAGACAAAAGATTTCCCAAACTGGCCACTCCACATTCTGACAACTTCTGAATGACCCCTACAAGTACATGTTCTTAAATGAAGAATTAACGACCAAGCAAAAAGTTGTCAATAAAGGATTTCTGAAATATTTTCCAACAAGGACCAGTTTTGGAATTATAAATGGAAGCAGGGATTTGTGAGCTGTTTTACAGACAAGCTGTAGCGCCCTGATCTGGTCACTGTCTGTAGGCCAGCTCATACATGTACACCGTGCAGACATACGCGAGTTCATCATGGTTGAAAACATTTCAATTCCATCAAAATTTGCTGCAAGTGTTTTGTGATGTCAAAATTCGCTCCGCATTCCCATTTGCAAGAAGTATCCTACATTATTTGGATGCATGTTAGATAACAGCAAACACTTCAAAGCGTTGTTTCTGGTTTGATGACTCCTGTCATGGGAACGAATCAATAGACCTTTATCATGCTGCCACCATTTCAGTCATGTTCCCTGTATCCAATAACAGCACTGACTGATAATGGTTTTTGTGCAAAAAGGAACCAGACTATTTTTCCTTCCAGTCTCGCTTTGGTTACATTGATTTGAATGGAAAAAAAAATCAAGATGACCGCAACAAGATAACAGTCTATTACCTGCCTACACATAGGTTCTGCATGTCGTGACTATGGCAGCTTGTGTTTTTGGCCTATCAAAGCAACGGAAGCATATTAAACAACCGACAACATCTCTAAAACAGCTAAGCCATTGTCTCTCCTCATTCCACAAGGTAAGGTCTCCAGTCTAAGTTATCCCTTGACCTTCATTTTTAGAAAATCTCCAAACCTAGGCATTTTACAGATTATCAAGCCCAATTCTTGTTTTTAAGGTACAGCTATTGGTATTCTGGAAGCCGAACATTTAAACTAGGACACAAGATGACAAGGAGAGCTCAGGAGAAAATTCTAAGAGCTCAGGAGAAAATTATGTCTAATTTTCTAAAATGCATGTGAAGTTGTCTCCCAAATCTCACTAATTCTATATCAAAACTGGTAAGTCCACTAATCTAAATACTACAAATGCTAAAACTACTTTGCTGAAAGTCAGATGAAAAACTGTAAAATGCTATGCCTCTCTACTTGGAGTGCTGGGACCATTGGGACTAGCAGGTACTGAGTTACACTCTCCTATTAACAAAGGGGCGTCGCGTTTTCCTTTTAAAAGATATGTTGTCATGTCCCCCTTGCCTCGGACTTTGACGGGGCCGCGATATTCGAATATATAGTAGGGCTCCAGGGCCTTTTTGGAGTGTTCAGTGACTTGGATGTGGCCGGCCAGGCCTGTGGAGTCCATCCGGCTTGCGACATTGACTGTATCTCCCCAGATGTCGTACAAGAGTTTGGTGGTGCCGATGACACCTGACGTGAGCCGTCCGTGGTTGTAACCAATGCGGGGGATGAACTCAAAGGCCCCGCTTGTGATGCTAAGGATCTCGTCATTGAAGACTTTCACCTGCTTGATCATCTCTGTAGCAAACTCTATCATGGTGATCAGGCATTTGGAAGGGTTGCCGTCATCCTCGGCCGAGGGAGGATGCAGGCCACAAGCCGCCATGTACGTGGGCCCAATGGTCTTGATTTTCTCGACCGATTGGAAGTTCTTCTCACCCAAGAGGTGGTCAAAGTCACACAAGAGGTTGTCAAAGTCACTGATGAGTTCATGCAAGACGCGGATGCACTGGATGCCATCCTGGTAGGCCTCCTCATAGAAGTCAATGAAGTTGACGATGCTGCAGAAGATGACGGCCACGTTGTCGTGGTTCTGGGAGAACTTGGAGTCGCTACGCATCTGCTCAGTGACAAAGACGGGGATGATGTGATGCAGCAGGGCTTCTGCCTCTTCCTTCTCCGTTTGCATCTTTTCCTTGTCCTGCCCTGCCTCTACCCCACCGTAGAAGTTTAGCCGGTAGGAGATTTCAAACTCTCGGTTCAGGAACAGGACCAGAATCAGCAGCAGGAAGATGTCAATGATGACCTCCATGTTCAGGTTTGTCTCAAAGGTGCACTTGCTTGCGTCGGGGAGTTCCGTGTATCCGACAAACCCCTGAGAGTCGTTGAGCGAGTTGTTGGAAGCCGGGATCACGGTCGGCCGTTCCTCCTGGTGACACGGGTTGATGATGAACAGCACAAGCATGACGACAGCACACATTAATGCCAGGATGGTCTTCATCCAGGAGCTCAGCTGGACAAAGTTGCAGAAGTGGAGTAGGGCCACCACGACAAGAAAGCAAAAGAACTGCATGGTGTAGACACTTATATCTGACTGGCAAAGGAAGTTGGCGTAGACTGCAAGAACGGGCAGACTGATCAGGATGGCACCTAGGATGTGCCTGGGACCCCAGTGGTGGAAGAAGCCAGACAGGGCCATGTAAAAGCCTGACCGCTGCTTGCTGAAAGCCTGCAGCAGCACTGCGGACAGCACCAACAGCTGCAGGACAGCAGCAATGGGGAAAATAATCAACCAGTGGACCTGTACTTGGAACACTAAGAAGCTGCCAATTGAAATCAGCAGATACACTACAAACGAGATCACCACGTCAAACACAGTGTTGTACTTGGCCGTGGAGATGGTCTCCGACGAGTGACGCCGGTTTTTGCGGCCAGCCTCAGGATTCCTGGGCTCCTTGGAAGTGTCCTGCCGGAACTGGGCCCGGTATAGCGCCTCTATACTCCTGTTGTAGAAAGTCAGAGTTAGGTTGTTGATAGGAGGCTTGTGGAAGTAGTCGGTGGTTCCTTCCTGCTTGATGCAGTCCACAAAGTCCTGGTCGGTGTTGCTCTGGGGGTTGTTGTGGAGGGAGATGTTGAGAGGCAGAGGAGTGCCGTCGGCTGAGTGCTCTGCGATGAGGTCCCGGACGGAGGGAGTCCTGCTTGGCCCCAAACCTCCGTTCTCTCCTTTGACATGGCTAGGAATCTGGAGCTATGAGAGAAAACAAGACATTAGCATCAGCACAAACAATTTCAAGATGTATTAAAATGACTTCACCAAAACAGAACTGGGCGGTAAAGGCTCCATTCCAGTACTTTTTATTTAAGGTAGAGCACATCAGCAGCTATTATTATTATTATTATTGCAGCTATCCAAAAAGTAACTGACAAAGTTATTGATGAATATCATACTTGTTTAAAGATAGCAATGGCACTAAACTCCCTGTGAAATCATTATTTCTGGCATGCTGTCATTTTGAAGAAAACAATAAAAGAAGGTCATTTCCAAAGATGCGTCTAAAGACGCAATTTTTTGGAAATTTCAATTTGTAGTTCGTTTTTAATTTGGCGAAGCTGAGAATAAGTGCGCGCAAGCGTTGACATGACGCACACACGCGCGGTTGCTATTATTTGTCAGTTCAGCGCGTGACATCGCGCAGCTGCAATCAGCTGAATGAGAACGTGCCCCGGACGCTGATTTTGGGCGCAATTCAAAACATGACTTGGCAACTTTTGAATTAAAATTGAGATTCTAGAATATACAGCATTCACTGAGCTGAAACTTCATCAGGTTAGTTGCTAAACACCCTTCTTTAGATTTTGAGCACTTTTGTTGCTTCAAACGAAAAATAATCACAAATGACAAATGATGGACTCTACCTTTAATGTTTTCAATCTGAATTACAGACGAATCCGGTTGTACACTCACAAGGCCCCCGTCAGTGGAGAAACCATTGTGCACACTGTATGCTATTATTCACAGTACATGTAACTGCCCCGTAATGGATTATCTGAACAATAGCTAGCACAGTGCTTTCGCCATTGAAGGGGGCCTCCGTGAGAAATGTGACAGCGTGCCTGAATTGGTCTACAGAGCAGGAGGGTGTCAATTTTCCCACTACTATGCCTAAACAGCGCACTCTATTGACCTTGTGTAAATTTACCATCAACAATGCATTTGTGTGGGACAACTTACTTACGAGGTTGAGATACCCATATGAACTACCCTCTTTAGGGCAAACTAAAGATGGGAGAGTGTGTGGCCTAGTGGTTAGGATTCGTGACTCATGATCAGACTCAGAGGGTCCGGGGTTCGAATCCAGCCGCTGGCAATATATTGTGTCCTTGGGCAAGGCACTTCACCCCCACTTGCCCCTCTCCACCCAGGAGTATAAATGGGTACCGGCATTAGCTGGGGAGTAACCTGCGATGGACTGGCATCCCATTCAGGGGGAGTAGAAATATTCTCAGTCGTTTCATGCCAAGGAAACAGGAGATAAACACCGGCCTGATGAGCCACATTGGCTCGGGACAGACTTTTACTTTAGGGCAAACATCATGGTACCGCCAAGCCGAAGACTTTTTGCTCATGGATATTCATTATCCATGAGCAACCAATTGTATGCTCACTATAAAAGTGCTGATAATATCGATTCAAGACTGGAAGTGAGCAGCCCATGACAGGGGTATGGATTAGGGAATAGGTGAGGGGTTTAGATTGGGGGAGGGGTGCGGATTGGGGGAGGGGTGTGGATTGGGGGAGGGGTGGGAGGGGTGTGGATTGGGGGAGGGGTTTGGATGGGGGGTGTGGATTGGGGAGGGTTGTGGATTAAGGAGGGGTGTGGATTGGGGGAGGGGTGTGGATTAGGGAGGGGTGTGGATTGGGGGAGGGATGTGGATTGGGGGAGGGGTGTGGATTAGGGAGGGGTGTGGATTGGGGGAGGGGTGTGGATTGGGGGAGGGGTGTGGATTAGGGAGGGGTGTGGGGGGTGAGGAGTGTGGATTTGGGGAGGGGTGTGGATTGGGGGAGGGGTGTGGATTTGCGAAGGGGTGTGGATTGGGGTGTGTGGATTGGGGAGGGTTGTGGATTAAGGAGGGGTGTGGATTGGGAGAGGGGTGTGGATTGGGAGAGGGGTGTGGATTGGGAGAGGGGTGTGGATTGGGGGAGGGGTGTGGATTGGGGAGGGGTGTGGATTGGGGAGGGGTGTGGATTGGGGAGGGGTGTGGGGGGAGAAGAGTATGGATCCGGGGAGGGGTGTGGATTTAGGAGGGGTGTGGCTTGGGGGAGGGGTGTGGATTGGAGAAGGGGTGTGAATTGGTGGAGCGGTGTGGGTTGGAAACAAGTGTGGATTGGGAGAGGGGTGTGGATTGGAGAGGGGTGTGGCTTGAGGGAGGGGTGGAAACTGGGGTGTGTTGTTTGAGAGGGGACACAGGCTTCTTCAGTCCCGGTCCACTACTTGATTTATATGATGTTCATGGCTGCATTTGCTCAAATCTAGTCTTGGAGCAAGACTTACATGTGCCAAGGCATCAGGATTGGTTGGCTTGCGAGACCCCGGAGAGTTGCGTTTCCACACAGGGCTGTTCTGCCGAGAATCCGTCTTGCTTTCCCCTAGCAGTGGCTTGCTGCTCTGGTTACCGTTAGGGGAGGAGCCACGGGCGGCCTCGTCTCCTGGCCCCTCTCCCTTCTCGCTTGTGTCTTCCTCCTTACTCTCCGTCCTGCTTACGAGCTCCACAGGATTATCAGTCGATGTTTCCGCATCTCCGTCTGGCTGGGCTGGCTTGGCGGAAGGGTCCTCCTTCAGTCCGGTGATGAAGTAAGTCTTGCCACCTGTAGTTCAGAGAAAAAAAACCCAGAAACTGTCAGTCACTGGGTTCACTAACCCCCTAACTCCTTTTGCATTGCTGCATGTAACCTTCCTTAATTATCCACAATCCACCACTGTACAGGAATCCACTGGCACATTAGATATACATGTACTTGAACTTTCAAAGGGTTGCTACCAGTATTAGCCCCACGCACATTGTAAACTTACATTAATAGTCTGTAGTCACTACTTTTCGCGACCCTTCACAATCCTTCAAAACCTCACTGTGGATTTTGAGGGGTATGCTAGAACGCAGTAACATATGTGGCAAACTTTGACAATTTTGAAGAGCACATAATATATTTGAAAACAATCTACAACATCATACCATAAATAAAAGGGAGTTTTTTAACCTTAAAAACAAGCAAGTAAAAAAGTTCTCCTAAAAACCAGACAGAAAACAAAAGCCGTTGAGAGCATCTGCTACAAGCCCATTTTGATGACTTAAGGTACGGCTCGACAATCAAACAATTGTTTTGTGCCTTACAGGTACTTCTACATGTTACTGAATGTACATATTTCATACATTTTGATTTACGAGAGCTGCCAACATATGCATCTTGCAATCAGGGAGATTCTGTACAACAATCAGAGAGATATTTAGAATTACATTCAACATAATAGGGAAAAAGTTTGCATAATCAGGGAGATTTTAAAACTTTTTTCATCAGAACATGGAAAGATTGGTTTATTTTCAGGGAACTTTCTGCAGAATCAGGGAGAGTTGGCAGATTGAATACAATTTCGGCTTATTCAGTGGCATATCCAACTTTTGATGTCGGGGGGGGGGGGGGGGGAGGGGGGGGGGAGATGAAGGGGCAACCACACTTCCGCCCTCGGTACCCATCTTCCAAATGGGGGCACTTTTCAAAACTAACCAATGACTATACATACTGGAAAATATATCCCCCCCCCCTTTCCTACCCCGGATACGCCACTGGGCCTATTGTCTGACGGCACGTCTAGTTTCAAAGATTTAACAAAGGAGGAGAGAAGAACAGTCAGTTTTTACAGAGATCGTCTTCCTGGCAAAATTAATCAAATGTTGAGAAGCTTGAGAATTCAACGACAAAAGAAGCATCCATGCATCGTGTATATTTAATGCTGTGGAAAACCAATACAGGTCAAGCAGCTTGGTTTTTGGTTGGAGTGCTACAGCCGTACCATGATGTATTAGCAATCAGTCCTTTTCTGTGTGCTGCCCTCATTGACGCAATTTTACACTCTGGCTTTTAGTAGAGGGGGCGAGGCAGCTTTCTAACTTTTAGTTTTTACAGCTGAAATTCCCCTTATTTATTTTTGATGATTTAGATTGTTTCAAATAATATACAATCTTTAAATTTAGTCCATGTTTGTCACATTAATGTGACTGATAATTAAGGGGTATTTCCAGCGTTCTGTAATGTCCATGACAGAGATTTTAAGAGCTCAGTGAATAAACCTGAAAATGCATTAATTTTTCAAATTTTATACATCCATCATCTAGTGATGGTCAGGGAAAATACAGACTAGGAGTTTGGTATCATTTCTCTGAATCATTAATTAGATATCATGGTTAATTGGCTCTGTACGTCACGGACATTGCACTTCCTGGATTTGTCCTAAGGTTAAAAGGAACAACATGCACTGCCCACGTTAAGACTGGTGAATTCCAAAGACCATCTTGGGCTTGAGTGTCCTTTTAACATAACGGCATTCCTAAAAGCAACCTTCTTTGAAGAAAGAAAAAGTAAGATACGCAACACTCAACAAAACAAATACACATGTGTAAATGCTTTAGTTGCGGCTAAACAGCAGCATGCTGAACATATGAAGCATGTTTCTAGTAAAGTGCGCCCATAGGGTAATGACATTTCCATACACTGAACATGTCTGTGCATTTGAGTGTAGCAAATATTGCTGAATGTAGTCAATGCATCTGGTATATGTACACTGTACAAAGTACAAATATACACGTACATCATGTACATGTACATGTACATATACATGTACATGTACTGTACATGTACTGGTACGTACATGTACATGTACACTGAGTGCTCCTGGCACTGCCAACACTCAAAGCAAACACTGCCCTCTGGTGGCCACTCACAGCCAGTCATCTACCCGGGCATGGAAAGGTTAAAAGCTGATTAATTTCGGCCGGCGTGCGTGCTTCGCTATTCAGAATGCGAGGTGCTATCATATTACCGCCGCATTTACATGTAGCAACAGGCACTACGAGATATGCCACGGAATTTATAAAGAGCTTCACCAAAATGTCAAATGGTTTTGTAACATAAAAACAATTTTGGAAGGAAAACTTTGTAAAGCATCATTAGTAACAATGAGAGGGATTTTTGGCCCAGTTTAGTCCCTTATTCTTGTCTGAGCGAATAATCATATTTAAAAAAATATTTTTGTGTATATTTAATGCAGTCTTACAAAATTTGTAACGTTTTGGGGTCAGTTGCACTGAAACGAATATCCCTTTTTTTGTATAATATGTTCAAGAATTTTTGTTGACTGACAGTGATTCCCCCTCCCCCAGATTTGTGGGACAAAACCTGATTCATTATTGCAAAACGTAATTTTCCGCCAATGTTGCATGATTAAGACTAACAAAACCCTGGAGGTTACATAAATAAGAACAGAATAAGAACAGAATGAAAGCAAAAGTCAATTGGATTTGATTGTGGTCCAGAAAAGAGAAGGAAAAAAAAACGAGGGAAAGAAATTAAAATTGAGGTCACTGCGTGGACCAGACAGAACGGCGGGATTTAGCCATGCAGTTAAATGTATTGCAATAATGCATTCTCTTGCATTAAGGGCATGCATGCTTTGCATCTCCCTAGTTCAATTTCAGCAACGGCTGATTCGTTCTGAATAATGATTCCCGCGGATCTTTCCTTCCCCCCCCCCCTTTTTTGCCAGATGAATTGGATGGCAGATAAAGGCGTGCCAAACAATGCATAGCATACACCTGCTTTTAACATTTCAAGGAAATATACAGGGATACAGGAAATGAAGAAATCATTTATTACAGAAATGTGATTTTTTTTTTTTAAACCAAGTAACAGGATCCCTTTTTGGAATTTGTAATCATAATGTCAAATTCTCCGAATTATCCAGGATTCCAAACATTTTCATTGTATATTTTTGCTGCCCTACCTACATGTACATTGTATTTTGCAGGATATTTTAAAACCATATCGCATTTGAGCTGTCCTTGAAATGATATAACTTTCCTCCTTTACATGTACATGTAGTTTGTTTAAGTACAAAATAATCAATTTTCTGTATCGTACACTAGTACAACTGCATATTACTTACCAGGGGTAAACAATTCTCGCATAATTAAATGATAGAAATGCAATATGCAGTTTATACAATATAGAAAATTGACTTCTGTCTGGTTATGGGAAAACAGACTCTAAGGAATGCAACAAATACAAAAAAAAATGAAGAAATTATTCAAAGCTGTCCACGTATAATCTGCATTATCCAATTCTCTCATAACTAAATTGAGCACTTAAGGGTCATACATGTGTAATAGGGGAAAAAGGACCCTTACAAGTGCAATAAATACGACAATAGTGAAGAAACTCTTCAATATTTTACATTGTTCACGTATAATCTGCATAATCCAATTGTTTTATAAATAAAATGCAGCACTTAGGCCTCATAATGGGGGGGGGGGGGGGGAGACTTTAGTGGAAACAGACAAGACACAATTCAATAGTTTACCTTGTGTAACCTGCCTAATACAATTGTTATAACGTGGAGGGAAAAAAAAGGACTTTAACTGAAGCAACGGACATGAAAGCATGTACACCAGCTGGCGTTCGTTTTTTGGTTCTTCTCAGAAGCCGAGCTGAACGCTAATCCAATCCCAACTATAACAGGTTTATAATGTGCAGCTGGCCGGGTCTGATGGGACATTATCCTCACCGCTAAAGTAATTTAGAGTCGGGATTTTCTCTGTCCGCAGAGCCGGAGCGATGGAAAGAGGGAGCAAATAAGGGAGAGAGAAGATTGCAGATCAACAAACTCCGATTGCGTAGTTTTGTTCCCTCTCTTTGCTTTGCCCGGAGTGATATCGGCGAGATTAGATGGTTTAGGGTCGGTAGAGTGTGGCTGCAGCTTTTTCTATTTTATTTTTTAAATTGAATGATTGTTGAGTTATCCTTCACATATACACATAGATGTGTGCCTGTAATTTTTAGCTCAATAATGTTCAGAGATGCAGAAAGTAAGAAAATGTAGCGTTTAGGAGAAACCGTGACCGCACCCTCTCCCCCAAATTAATGTATAGATCTATTTCAAAATCTTTGTCAAGGAATGTTCTGTTAAATGAATTTTCACCAATAACTTAATTAACTCAGTTCTCATTTGAAAAAACTACTGCTCCTCCTCATGCCAGTAGTTACAATGTATGCTTTTCTTAACTTGCAAGGCAAAAACTAACTGACAGGGGAAAAGAGAAACCCGGCTTGATTTTAACCTCAATACATTAAAAATTAAGTTACATTGTGAACAAACAAAATGATACACCATTGGAAGGATAAAAACATCGGAGACGTCTTGTTTACGGAGAATCCCTGATGAAAACATGCAGATGTACCGGCTAGGGTAACGTCACTCTGTCATTGTGTCAACACAGTCGCAATAACCGGTGCCCCGGTGTGCATGCTGGAGACATGTAAAATGACGTCAATCCTAGCGAAGTACTGATACCAGGTAAGCAAACGGGGGGGGGGGGGGGGGGGGGGGGGGGGGGGGGGGGGGATGGGGGGGATGGGGATGCAAGACGATAACAGACACCTCTCGATACATTCTGGGAGAAAGGGTAGCAGAAAGGGTAGTAAACAGGGTAACAGACAGGGTGGGGGTATACAGGGTACGGTTGGGTTTGACAGAAGTGCTAATTTTTGGAATTGAAGGAAATGGAATTCGGGGCAACAGAGGTCATACTGTTCCTGTAGAGTGGCACCTTTAAATTACACATGGGACTTCATACAATTTACAGGTTTCAAGACCTGCAGAATGTGAACAGATACTCAGGGATTGTTGACTGCTGTGATGTGGGATCTGATGTTTTTAACACCCGAGGGGCGCATAGCACCCAAGGCGAAACCGAGGATGATATGCGCCCCCAGGGGTTTAAAACTGCATAAACCACATCACAGCAGATATTGTGCCAATAACTCACAAAGATAAATGATTGTAACTTACAAATGTACTGTGTGAGAAATAAATTAAGTCAGTGTAATCTAACCTTTGATAACTGAAGGCTTTTGTCCGGACATGAGACTGCGCGTTTGATGTCGCAGTTCTCACTGCGCGAAGATAGCGCACCGGCAGGTTCCACACGCATGCGCAACGCATGTAATGAACACAGTGCGATATCATCCTCAGTGTGTGACATGCATTTTTATTGTCCAGTCACGTGGCCGTCCTAGACCAATGAAATAAACAGTATCCAAGCACACAATATAACGAATATATTTATATCCATTTAAGGATATCCTTCACGACTTGATTTCAATTTCAGCAAAGAATTGTCAAAATTATGGGAAAACAAAGTTCAAATTATAAGAAAAGAAAAAAACCATCTCCGCCCGAAAATTAAGATTCCACAGTGTGCGTGTTGAAACCTGTCGTGCACGGGACAGCTGGAATGTCATGTAAGGCCAGGTGTTTACACAAAGACAAATTTTGTCTTTGGAAAGCAGCGACGAGAATTTGACGAAAACATCGAGGGAGGAGGTTGTTATAATGATAACTGGTCATTAAAGATGAAGAGATTACAAATGAATGAGGAGTTACATTTAACAGATTTGAAAACAATATAGAGATGGTGTTTTTTTCCGGAGAAGGGGGGGGGGGGGGGGGGTTGGGAGGGACATCCTGTGCGAATACATGAAATACCTAATTGGCCTGAAAACAGCTCTCTGCTTTACAGCCGGGGCTGACAGTGAGCGACAGGGACAGGAACGTGACGTCAATGCAACCAGGACGAGGAGCCTTACAGATCAAATGTTTGTTATTGCCGCCCGTTCGGGCGATGCACACCCTTCATCCAAAACAGCAATTTCACTTCAGATGTTTTTTTTTATTCTTCTTCCCTTTTTGGAAGGGATGACGGGAAAAGGTAATGAGAATTATATTTCCTTGGCCGGGGTACTGACAAATAAATGGATATTGCGAGGGCTGGCGAACGCGTACGTTCAGGGTTATTAGTATGTACGGATTTTATTAGTTTGGAAGGGAATAAGCGCTGATTCAGGATCTGTAATTGACAGGGATTTTTAGGCAATGAAAATGGGTATTCTAATCACGGTGGCCCCATGTAATTTGTATTTCCTGAAATTCAACTAATTATAAAGACAAGGATGAAATTTAAACATTGTTTTTTTTTTTTAAATCTTGCTACTCAAGATAATAAGGGCACTAAAGCATGCATGTTGGTTCTTTTCTTTTTCCCAGCAAATTGGTCCCTTTTTCAGAGGGGAGAGATACATCATGGGGGAGGGGGGTTAAATGTAACACAGAATCGCCGTGACAACGACATGGAGACTACTGACTACAGAAATGGAGATGCATAGGCCGCTGTAAATAATCCTTAACCCTAACTCCCTAGGCATTTTTGCTAGGATGCAACCTCAATCCAGCAAAATCCTCCGACTACCTCCATGTAAAAATTGCATACAGCCTCAATCCTGCAAAATCCTCCATTATTCCTTGAATGTGGTCCTTGGAGGGGTGACCACTGCCTCAATCCTGCAAAATCCTCCAGCAATCACTGTCAATATGTTAAGGCAGAACCAGTGACATCCTGGAGCAGTGCGGAGGATTAAAAATATAATCTAGGCCTAAATTTGTGCATGGCTGAGCATAAACAACACAAGGTCCGGCCAAAGACCTTGACACATGCATCCTCCAAAATCAGCCACACCTTTTTGCTATATAGCCTCAGTCCTGCAAAATCCTCCATTTTGCAAAGAGGATTTTGGAGGATTTGGGAAGGTTAGGGTTACTGATGAGGTTCGGAAGCCTAAATATGTAAATTCTCATCTTGTTAAAAAGCTGTTGTTAGCAACTTCAAGAATAACAAATTTAA